TTACCGGTCGTCGACATCGACGGCCAGATTTTTGGGTAAATACAATATTTACAATTAAATCGATATGTACCGGTAAATACGGTATTTCCCAGTTGCCATCATCGGTGGCCGTATTTTCGAATAAATATAGTATTTACAAGTAAATATGAGACTTATCGGTAAATATGGTATTTACCGATAAATACAGTGTTTAACAATCGTCACAGTCAGTAGCCGAATTTTTAAATAAATATGGTATTTATGAGTACATACAGTATTTACCGGTCGCAGGCACTGGCGACCGAATCTTCGAATAAATATGGTATTTACTGGTAAATAAGTTCCTGGCTCAACATTTTCCTAGTGCATATTGTAACTAGACAAATTTTTGTTGGACATTAAAGATTAAAAGCCTGTTTATAGACAGGTCAATATACATGCCATTTATATCATCCATGACTCACATATTGTTGAAAGGAACAGCTTTTCGACCAAAACGCACAGTTTTAGTTGAAAAGACTATTCAATGTAATATTTTCAGTGTAGTTTTAAATAAATATAGTATCTATAAGTAAATACAGTATTTACCGGCCGCAGGCACTAGCGGCTAGATCTTCAAATAAATATGACATTTACTGGTAAATACGGTATTTACCGACTGCCGACGATAGCTGCCAATACCCAATCGCCAGCAATGGCTGCCGATCACTGGAGCCAGCCGCTGGTCGCTGGAGCTGGCCATAGTCTACCTATTCTAGAAAAATATGATAAAAATATACATATTTTAAAAAACATGCTATAATTTACTATTTTTTTAAAAAAATAAAGGTTTAGGGGGAGGAGAATGGTGGAGAAAAGGTTTATCGGTATTTTTTATTTTTTAATAATGTTTAAAACCTAAAATATCAAATTATGCTATAATCTACTTATCTTTTAAAAAAAAATGTTATAATTTACTAGAGATGCAACAATGGGCCGGGGCCCGTGGGCCGGCCCATACCCATCCTGACATAGTGACGGGCCGGGCTAGCACGGCACATCACTGGCATGGCCCAGCCCATAAATATTGGTGGGTTGGGCTGGGCCAACATATATCGACCCATGAGTCGGCCCGGCACGGCCCATGAAAAATCATGGGCCAAGTTGGGCTTAGGCCGGCCCATTTAGGCCCATTATGAGCCGGCCCAACCCGGCCTGTCTAGGCCCATAATGGGCTAGCCTAGCCCAGTCCAGCCCATCTAAGCCAATAATATCTTCATGTTTTTTTTTCTTTTTTTTAGTAATTTTGTAAACATATTATGTATAGTTATCTTGATTGTACTCTTTTTTCATTACCAAGGTTTTATCATACTGGTTTTTTCTTAGAAAGATTTTTATTTAATGAGGTAATCGTAAATAAAATATCAATTTTCATATTTTCATTGACTATTCAAACTTATATATTTGTTAACTTGTTTAAAAACTCAAAAATAAAAAATAAAAATAAAAAAATTGAAAATTACATGCTTAGATGGCTGGCCCATCTAAACCCATGATGAGCCTTGAGTGGGTCAACATATTCAAGGCCCATGGCACGGTCCATCCTGGCCCGCGGCATGGTCCAGTCTGACCCGTGTAAAATTGGCACGTGGTGTGGACTGGGCAAAGGTCATTCTTATACAGGCGGCCCGGCCCGGCCCACAAAAATTGTGGGCTGGGCCAGACCGGCCCGTGACCCACTTAGGCCTGAAGAGAACGGGCCAGCATGTTCTTGCATCTCTGTAATTTACTAAACACACTACAAATAGGTTATTTCTATCTTTTTTTTTCTTTTCACTATGCAAGATGGTATTCATCATACCTTTAACAAAATAGTCTATAGGCATGTGGATGTGGAGTGGGCAAAGTACCATAGCTAATATATACATACATATAAAGATTGAAAAATATTGTTCAAAGGAACAACTTTTCGACCAAAACGCACAATTTTAGTTGAAAATACTATTCAGTGTAGTTTTAAATAAATATAGTATTTATGAGTAAATACAGTATTTACGAGTCGCAGGCATTGGCGGTTAGATCTTCAAATAAATATGTCATTTACTGGTAAATACGGTATTTACTAGTTGCCGGCGATAGCCGCCAGTCACCAATCGCCAGCAATGGCCGCCGATCATCGGCGCCAGCAGTTAGTCGCTGGAGCTTGCCATAGTCTACCTATTCTAGAAAAATATGATAAAAATATACCTATTTCAAAAAACATGCTATAATTTACTATTTTTTAAAAAATAAAGGTTTAGGGGGAAGAGAGAGGTGGAGAAAAATTTTAGGGGTTTATTTTATTTTTTAATAATGTTTAAAACCTAAAATATCAAATTATGCTATAATCTACTTATTTTTTTAAAAAAAATGTTATAATTTACTAGAGATACAACAGTAGGCCGGGGCCCGTGGACTAGCCTAGACCCATCCTGACACAGTGACGGGCCGGGCCGGCACGGCCTAGCCCATAAATATTAGTGGGTTGGGCTGGGCCAACATATATCGGCCCATGAGTCGGCCTAGCATGGCCCATGAGTCGGCCCGGCACGGCCCATGAAAAATCATGGGCCAAGCTGGGCCGGCTCGTCTAGGCCCATGATGGGCCGGCCCAGCCCGGCCCGTCTAGGCCCATAATGGGCCGGCCCAACCCAGCCCATCTAGGCCCATAATATCTTAATTTTTTTTCTTTTTTTTAGTAATTTTGTAAACATCGTATGAATAATTATCCTGATTATACTCTTTTTTCCTTACCAAGGTTTTGTCCCCCCGGGTTTTCCTTAGAAAGGTTTTTATTTAATGAGGTAATCATAAATAAAATATCTATTTTCATATTTTCATTGACTATTCAAACTTAAATATTTGTTAACTTGTTTAAAAATTCAAAAATAAAAAATAAAAATAAAAAAATTGAAAATTGCATGCTTTGATGGGCTGGCCCATCTAAACCCATGATGGGCCTTGAGTGGGTCAGCCCATTCAAGGCCCATGGCACGGCCCAAGTAAAATTGGCCTGTGGTGTGGGCTGGGCCAAGGTCATTCTTATACGGGCGGCCCGGCCCACAAAAATCGTGGGCTGAGTGAGTCGGCCCGGCCGGCGGCTCGCGTAGGCTTAAGGAGAATGGGCCGGCCGGCCTGTTCTTGCATCTCTATCATTTACTAAACACCCTACAAATAGGTTATTTCCCTCTTTTCTTTTTTTCTTTTCACTGTGGAAGATGGTATTCATAACGTTCAACAAAATAGTCTATAGGCATGTGGATGTGGAGTGGGCAAAGTACCATAGCTAATATATACATATATATAAAGATTGAAAAATTTTGTTCAAAGGAACAGCTTTTCGACCAAAACGCACAGTTTTAGTTGAAAAGACTATTCAGTGTAGCATTTTTAGTGTTCATTTTTTTTTTGCTTTTGATTTTTTTTTCGTTTCGTCTTCTTTTTTTCTTTTGCCCTTTTCCCCACAATTTTATATTATTTCGTTGTTGCCTGCTTTTTAATTATTTTCTTTCATTTGTCTTTTTTTTTTCAAATCTTAGCCTACTTATATTGCAGGTGGTACTCTAAAATTTATTTATTCTTTTTTTTTTAGTCTTTTTTTTGGCTTTTTTTTATTTTTATCTTGATGTTTTATTTTTCTTTAGTTTTGCTTCCTTTTGCCCAAATATTTATTTATTTCTTCATTTTGGTATTTTTTACCTTTCTTTTTAATTTTTCCAGTTAAACTTTATTTTTTTTATTTTAGTTCTTTTTACCTTAAAACTTATTTATTTATTCATTTTAATCCTAAAAATTTATTTTTTCCATTTTACTTTATTTTATCTTAAAACTTATTTATTTATTTATTTTTATCCTTTTTGACCGCTTTTTTAATTTTTACCCCAAAACCTTATCTTCTTTTTATTTTGGTCCATTTTATCCTAAAACTTATTTATTTCATGATTTAGTCTTTTTTGTTTTAATCTTTTTCTTTGGCTACTTGCCCTAACGCTTTATTTTTTCTTTCAATTTTGATTTCTTTTTAGAATTTTATATTCATATGTTATATGCTTTTAATAATAACATGGTAATTAAAATTTAACACATCATTACTCTCTACGTGCATTGCACGTAGGGGTGGTAATTCATGTTAATGGGTCGTGTTTGTGTTCAAACCGTTTATTAATCGTGTCAGAAAATATCAACCTAAGCACCACCCATTTATTAAAAAATACTAACCCAAAGACAACCTATTTATTAATCGTGTTAATCGTGTCAACTAGCGTAACTCATTTTAAATAATATATTGAATAAATAATTGATACAATTAGAACTTATTTAACACGATTATGGCACGTTTAACAGTTTTATTGGTCTATTTATCTTTATCTTTTAAAAAGAAAACAAGTAAAATTTATCTAAAAATTTTGAAATTCATGTTATTTGTGTTTAATACATTATATAAATTTTTATATTATATCATATATAATTAATTTATAAATAGTATATATAGTTAAACGTGTCGATTCGGGTCACTTTGTATTAGAATGTCAACCCTAACTTAACTCATTTATTAATCGTATTAATCGTGTTAACATGTCTAGGACCCAAACTCATTTATAATAAACCCAAATCCGCTAACATCGTGCGGGTTTCGAGACGTGTTGTCATGCATAACCCAAATTGCCATCTCTAATTGCACGTGATCTTCAACTAATTTTTTAAAAAAAAGGACCTTCTCCGGTATGTCAACGTACCGATAGGTAAGATTTTTTATCCGTTATAAAATGCACAGATTTAATTGTTTAAAAAATTTTATCTATCAGTACACCATACGTATCAAAAAATCTCTCTTAAAAAATAGAAAAATAACTAATTAAAGAGGAAAGAATAACAGGGGCAACCTATTTCATTTGCATCAACATAACAGGGGTATTTTAGTCTTTGTAACTGAAAACTCAATAAAAAAAAACTATTTAAGAAAAGAAAATGTCATTTACGGGGCAATTGTGTTTCATCCGGAGATTTTTGATTGAAAAAGGCGGAGAGTATCCCCTTCTTGCGAGGGTTCATCTGCAAAGACCAGTTCTAGAGAGAGAGAGAGAGAGAGAGAGAGAGATGGCAGGAGAAGAGGAGAAGAGCGAGTTCTACCTTCGGTACTACGTAGGGCACAAGGGGAAGTTCGGGCACGAGTTCTTGGAGTTCGAGTTCCGTCCCGACGGCAAGCTCCGTTACGCCAACAACTCCAACTACAAAAACGACACCATCATCCGCAAGGAGGTCTACGTCACCCCCGCCGTCCTCCGCGAATGCCGCCGCATCATCTCCGACAGCGAGGTCCCCTCTCTTTCTCCTTTTTTTTTTTTTGTTTTCTAGGGTTTTCATTTTCCCTCTATTTAACTGTAATTTACTTGCTTGTTTGGTTCAGGATTTTTTTTTCTTTTTTTTTTTTTTTGAAGAACAATAGATTATTATTATGATTTTTTTGGATTTTGATTTTTAGAGATTCTACGAAAATGGGGGAGTCGTTTTGGGTTATACTCGTAGATAGGCTTCTTGTGGGTTTGAGTTTTAGGGTTTTCTGCTTGGATGGTGAGAATGTATTGGGTCGAGAGAATGGGATTTTGCAGATTTTCTGATTTAGTACTGAACTTATTTCGTGGTTCCGTTGGTTTTAGGAGAAGTTTTGTCCTTAGACATTGAGGACTTGCTTCATAGAAATAGAGCCTATGGTTGTGTTTGGTAAGAGTGAAAAAAAAAAAGGGAAAAAAAATGTATATAACCTGAGCGAGGAAAATGGAGGAATGGTAGGAGCTTTCTCTTATAGTTTTGGTATGGATTTTTTCCTTTAATTTCTTCATATTGGGACGACTTCGAAATTGGGGGATTCAAATTCCTCACCAAATCCACTCCCTCGTACCAAACAACCATAGGTCCTAAAATAGTGACACTACTCTTCTCGCCTATATCCTTCCTACCAAGCAAGCTCTTATGTTAGATTGGTATTTTAATATGGTGTGGCGTTCTCAGTTCTTTTGCTAAACTGGTATATAAACAAAAAGTTGAGAAATGGAGTCAGGGCAGTCGTGAATGTTTAATTCTAGGGCCTGTAATGTTGGGTGAGATATGATTGGACAGTGATGTTTTTAGGTGGATTGGATTAAAGGAGAGATTGCTGCAGATCAAAACTATTTTATTGGCGTGAAGTCTTGAATCATATGCGTATTGTGTAAGCTAATTTTCTCTTCAAGAAGTCGGAAACAGGGAAATCTAATACGCAAAGCCTTGCTCAGATTTTTTTTTTCTTTTTTTTTTTTTTTTAAGAATCACATTGTTATTTCTGGTTTTAAACTGCGCTGCAAACTTGTGCTCTTCAGATCATGAAAGAAGATGATAACAACTGGCCAGAACCAGATCGTGTTGGGCGGCAAGAGCTTGAGATTGTTATGGGAAATGAGCACATCTCATTCACGACGTCAAAGATTGGATCTCTTGTTGATGTCCAAAGCAGCAATGACCCAGAAGGGCTTCGCATCTTCTATTATCTTGTGCAGGTATGTTAGTTTGAACATTGATTCTCTGGTATTATATTTTGGATATACTTTTCTTATGATTTTTATTTTTCACTAGAAGATTGAAATCCCAAGTGCCGTTGTTAACTTGTAAGTGGTATTAGGTCCTGAGATGACATTTGGTCACTTTATATGTAATCTTCCATTTCAGATCCACAAATATTTCTAAGTTTTCTCACTGAAATCTGCCCTTGTGATACTCCATGGGGTTGACATTTAAAGTAAAACTTTAAGTTATATGGAACTGAAACTGTTCTCTTGGGAGTTGTGTTCACTTGGGAAATGATAACATGAAGATAATGTTGGGTCGGAGTTTTGTGTTATAATTAGAACGATATTGAAGACTTGGGGAATTCGAGGTCAATTGCTTCAACCAGTGAACAGTATCTATCTAGGCTTGTAATCAGCTATCTCATTGTGGAAGTTTTACCAGCAGCTCTGTTTCTTAGATGAGATGACAAGTATAACCCGGTTATGATAGCTATGTTTTCTCTTTATACAGATTTTTAATTCTATAAGGTAGTATCTATTGTTGACTATGCAGACCGCAAGTTTTTCCTGTTTGCATATGTTCTCAAATCTTGTTCCTTACGTTATTTCTATGTTGCTGCAGGATCTGAAATGCTTTGTTTTCTCGTTGATTTCGCTTCACTTCAAGATCAAACCTATATAAGATGGATCCGTGTCTGGCCATCTTTTTTTCTAGCAGATTGCATTTGTTAATGTATCGACATTTTTGTCATGTTCGCTTAGAACTTATTTGACATCTTCCTGCATGTGTTATGTGAATTCATATTTTGGGCATTTCTTCGAAGAACTGAACATATGATTTGATAGAAGTGTTGAGATTTGAATCAGTGTGCGTTTGGTTTAAGGATCCATACCATGGTTCGAATTATGGTTCGTGGCTCAATACAGTGTTTTCTCTCACAAAAAACACACGTAAATTGAGAATGGTTCTGACTCATAATTCTGAATCCATCAACCAAACGTCCTATAAATGTTCTATTGTTGAAATCTCCAGTTATAACATTAACTAAACCAGTCAATTAAGGGCGTTCAAAGAATTTAACCTACTATATATGATTTTTTAATTTGAGAATACCAGTATATCAATTTTTATGTGTGATCTAATCTTTTATCAAGGCTTAGTCATTGCACTACTGAAATTTTTTCAAGCTTCCGTGTATCTGTACAAACTTGTTAATTAGTTGCATATTAATCTACTAACGGGAAAGCAGGAAGACATTTGTGCGCGCGCGCGCAGTATTAGCACTGTTATTTAAAACCGTTTAAAATCATATGTTTGACACCATTATTAATAATACAAGTGTAAAGATCGTAACTTTATGATAATGAAATTAATTTGTGTATACGGTATACTAACATGTCATCATAAAGCTTGTAACTTCACATTCACAATGCCACCATCATACTCGCACAAACTCTGATCATCAACTAGATATAAACATAAAAAAATTGAAACTTTATGATATTGACATAACATTACAATTTTGAAAAGGTTGGGCAATATTTTATACCACATTCAATTTTAATCATTATCATAAAGATTGCAAGCTATAATATAAAATACAAAAAGAAAATATAAGTACCACGGACGATTAATTTTAAAAGAAAAAATAGACAGAATCATAGTATAATAAAAAATAAAAATAAAAAAGTAGACAGCTTTGAAAATGGGATTCTTACATGAAGAATTTATGTTACGTTCTTGCTGCCCACTTTTAAAGTAGGTGAAATATGGATTTCCACATGTACGTTTGATATCACTCGCTTCAGTTAATGAGTGTTTTCAAATCAAATACAACACAAAGATGCTCATACATAGTTTTTTGTTAAACAACTATTTGCAAGTCAGCGGTTGAGAAGTGAGAAAATGAAATGCGGTGGAAAGATTACGGTTGATATTGGGGAACCAAGAATAATTTTACTACTTCCAACATATATTCTTCCACTTTGGACACGGCTTATATTTCTCCATAGTACATGAAAAGTTGTAACTAATTATTAGAAAGACATTCTCCTTATAGCTAAAAAAAAAAAAAAAAAAAAAAAAAAATTTCCTTTTAAAAAAAAAAAAAAAAAAAAAAAAAAAAAAAGAAAAAAAAAGATGTTACTTTTTATGATATATTTAAAGAGTATGATACTCTCCTTGCGGCTGACCATTGCATATTAATTTCTATTATATAAGCACTCTTCAGGCTTTTTTAATTTCTCCATCAATCACAAGTAAGTACTCAATTGAACAATAATTATTGATTGTGGGCTTTCTTGAATGGTCTTTGAAAATGGGCACTAGTTCTTTTCAAAGCTCTAAGCAACTTGAAATAGATTGCCAACACCTTCATTCTTATTTATCTGGTACGTAATCAACTTTTTTTAACGTTATTTTACCTCAATTCAATAGAATTGCTTAGTATATAATTATATATATATGTGTTTACATTATACTATTATTCAAAGATATACACACAAAATATATATATATGTGTTTTTTTTTTCTATATTCATATTATTCTCACCTATCAGAATCTATTCGCTTCTTTTATTTTAGTGAACATAATTGTGTTTGTTGCTTGTGTTTTAACTTTACATGTATAGCTGCAAGTGAATGGAACTATAAGTTGAACTTACTCAAATACGTATGTTTGAGTTTTTAGGTTGGTACTCATTTTTTCTCATTTTAAAAGTAATGAAAGGAACATAATTTTAGGATAAAGAACGCAAAACTAAAAAAAAAGTAAATTAAGGGAGACGTATTTTTTTTAGATTTCTCTATTAAAAATTGAAACGGCAATCTGTTAGATTTGTCTCGTAAAACCGACGAAACAAAATCCTACATCGATAAAAATAAATAAATAGTCCTCATAAAATTAACCCATTTTTTGATTCACACATTAATTTGTTTTAGTACCAACTTTGGTTTTGTACTTTATCAATATGAATATATGCAAATTTTTCTTCTTTTTTTTTTTCCCAAAACAATCAATGACAGCAAAATGCATTTACAGGTAATACTGGAGGGAACAAACACCAAAACCTTACGGACATTCTCACTTGTAGAAACTTGAATGAGATAAAGACAATCCGCCAAACTTATGGTGCTCTTTATGGTCAAGACCTTATTCATGTCCTCGCAAGTCTACAGAGAAACAACGCATTAGCTGTGAGTGAAGCGACATTGCACCTTAACTAACACATACATACACAATACATATACATATACGTATTCGTACACACACATTTGAGTGCACGTATGCGTTTGCATGAGCACATCTCTGTGGATAATAAGTTCTGATGCAGTTTAAAAATACATTTTTGGTGTCACATGTTTGATCAAAATAGTAGATTGGTACTCACTATATAAATAAGAGAATTTTTACAATAGGACCTCCCCTTTTTATCCATTGAAATTGTTGTTTTAACCGTTTAGTTAAGTTTTAAACGGTCTGATTTGTGATTGGAGCAGTTCTTTGTCGCGTGTTGTAAATTTTTAACGCGGATATTCACAAATCATACCACTAAAAATTTTATTCCACGGTTAGAATAACAATACCTACCGGTAGTTAAAAAAGACAAGTCTTGATGTATAAGTTTCTTTATAAATTATCACGAAGTGGTACCTAATTCTTCAAAACATTAACCACCAAGTACCTCGTGCCCTTTTTCAAGATAAAAATTTTTTATACCCTTTTAAATAAGAACTCAAAACTAATTTTTATGCCCTTTTTTCTCTAAGAATGATATGGGATTCTCTCAACAACAAAAAAATCCCTTTAACAAGTTCTTACATTGAAAGAGCAGAATTAACGTTTTATATTCCAATAAAGATATTATATATATATATATATTCAGAGAGCAGCTTATCTTCTCATGTGTGAACCACAAGAGCGAGATTCTGAGATTGTAAGAAATTCCCTTTTCGGAGCAACTATAAATCTCAATACTCTGATTGAGATTATCTGCACTCGTTCTTCTTCGCAACAGCAGTGTATTAAGGAGGCCTACAAGTCAAGATACAAATCTGACATTGAACAAGACATCTCAATGAGAATTAATGGTGGATTCAAAGAGGTAATAATAATAAGTTTGGTTACTGTATTTATTATTTCTGTTGAAACCATATCATTACTACTACTGATGATGAAACATCATGCATGCGCCAACTCTTGACGTTGCCAACACCATAACAAATTGTGGGGACCACATATATGTGAGTCATTTTACAGTCATGTGTAATGTTTACTAGCTAGCCATCACCTGTATCCAGTAATGGAGTTCAAAACAAGATTCCTATTCTATGCTCCTCTCTAAAAGTTGAAAAACAAAAATTCCTATATTATATTCCGTGGATGCATAATGACATTTATTCACTCTTTTTTTTTTTAACCTTTTATGGTATGACGTGTGTTTTTGCTCCGCTTGGAGAAACTGTTGTTTTTAATTATTAGATTAGTTTTTTAACGGTCAAATTTATACATGTTCACATTAAATATTTACATTATGCGACACATAATTGTTCTTACTCTAAATCATACTGTTGAAAAACTAATCCAACAAATAATACATAATTTCTACCGATGGAGCAAAAACGAATATCCTACCATAAATTTTGCCTTTTTTTATATGTGAAGAATAGTCCCTTTATAAGAGCATCTCCAAGCTAACAAGGATTAAGGGTAGATGAGGATATAGTGTGGTTGGAGGAAATTAATACCTCCTTATATTGTAGGAACTTTCTCTTATGGGCCTCCTCGGGAGAATTAGTTTCTAAACTGTTTGAATTTGGCTAACATTACATCACATCAAATTAAAACAAATACAAAAATAAATAATTTTTAATATAAATTTAACGGCCGTAAATAGAAACTTTTAAGTAGTTCATTTTAAAAAATTGTCTGCCAAATTTCGATGTGAATGCCTAAATTTGACATTTGTTGCGATTATTGATGTATTGATATTCACATAATAATTATAAAATTGTGATTTTCAAATTATTTTAAAATAAAAAATTTTCTTATTAAAATTTACTGCATAAATTAGATATAAATTTTTTTTTTTTTAAAAAAGCATTATGTTTTGGAAAAAAAAAAAAAAAAAAAAAAAAAAAAAAAAAAGAGAAGAAAAATTCAGTATCTTATTTCTACACTTTTTAATACAAAATATAGTATAGACATTGCATTGCATTGAAGATTGGATTAATATTTTAAGATGGGTCTTACCACCACAAGTAATAAAATGTTACATGGGATGTAGTCAAGCACTAATGCAGGATAAAGAGATAATTATAGTCTACATTAGCCTTATTAATAAGATTTTGTGTTCTCAACTTAATTGGTATATATATAGAAATGTCTATTTCCCTTTTTTTTTCCCCTTTATTGGTGCTTTTCTCTGATATTGTTGTCATTTTATTCAACTTAATTTTCTCAGATATTGTTAGCAGTTATAAAATCGTGTCGTAACTGTGGTGGCAAAGTGGACATGAGCAGGGCCATGTGTGACGCCAAAACTCTGTACGAAGCAATTTCTAGTGGGAAAATGGTGGATCAAAAAGCCATTATCTCACTTTTCAGCCAGAGAAACACCAGCCAAGTTAGGGCCATTCTAGCCTCCTACAAAAAGCTCTATGGCAATGAATTCTCCAAGTCACTTAAGCAGAGCAAATGTGGGCAATTCGGAAAAGAACTGCGCATTGTGGTTCGTTGCGCGCAGAACCCGGAGAAGTTCTTCGCTAAGCAACTGCGGATGAAGAATGCCGATTCTAGAGAAATTTTGATCCGAATCATCGTCACTAGATCTGAAATAGACATCAAGGAGATAAACAAGGTCTTTGCCGCCAAAACTGGTAGCTCCGTTGAGAATCTTGTCAAGAGGGAATTTAACAACAATAAGAATAGTTCCAATGACATGGTTAATCGCGTCTTAATTAGGCTAATCAAGGGTGTTTAAAGAGAGAAAAAAAAATTCAGTTGTTTTGTTTGGGGGTGTTACGAAATGCATGCTTTAAATTATTTGTAAAAATTGAAGTATAGAACAACAGATCATCTTGTTGTTCTCATTCTTAAACGATGTTTCATTTTCCATGTTGCATTTTTCATACTTTAATTATAAAGGTTTATTTATTTCCAACTTTTAAAAAAAAAAAAAATTAGGAGGTCTATTTGTGGAGGGGGAGAAATGCAAGGTCTATGCAACATTCGTGAATGATTATAAACAGTATTAGTTAGTTAGTAACTTAGTATTAGTAAGGTGAACCAAATGAAACTATTTTTGTTTTTTTGGCTTGATAAATGGTGCCAGTGGTGGTAATGATGTCAACTGTGGGACGGAAAACTGCATCGGTAACAGTGCAGAAATGTAAAAAAAAATAATAATAAAAAAAAAAAAACAATTCCCAGTGCAGAAAATGGTTTTGTATCGTCACAAAAACATCATAGTTAAAAGTTTCTCCAAACAATCAATCCCCACAATGCTAAAACATTTGTCTTTCTCTAGATGATTGTACCTTCAAATTTTGGCCAATGCTTGTTGATCTCATTATTCTTGAGATAATGTTCTAAAATTACATTGTGAATTCCTCATTAAGAGTAATTATGTTTAGTTCACGAATTCAGAATCATTCTCGATTTACGTGTATTTTTTGTGAGAGAAAATACTGTAACGAATCACGAACATTAATTCAAACTATGACACGAATTTTCATACCAAACACCCTCTAAATCCACTGTTTAGTTGGATGGGAAAGAGAGGAGAGGAGAGTGGAAGGGGGCTCTCTCTTTTCAGACATATTATTTTACCTCTTTCCATTAATGAAAAGATTCATAAAATCCACCATTTAAAAGTTTAAAAATACCATTTTATCCTCTAAAAAATTGAGTATGAAATGATCAAAAGAACAATATAATTATTAAACAAATAATCATTAATCCAATCATTTTAACTCTTCCTGCCAAATAACGGAAAGGATTATGGATTACCATAATCTCTCCATCCCTCCTACGAAACAGAGCCTAAAACTGAAATGCGAAGACAAATTCTCAGATTCCAAGGCAAGATGGCCATAGTGCGAGTATTGCTGTAAGTAGAATATCAGAAAGTAAGTTGAGTGAATGCCAAAATAATGTCGTTCCTTTAAAATTCTCTGAGATCCTTCCAAGGCTACGTACATTTTTTTCCCTGGTAATTCCTATTCCCTTCTCAAATCAAAACAAAAAGAAAGCTAAAAGTCTTCTCAGTCCAGCAGTAGATAGAAATTCCAAAAAAAAATATCTCTCTCAAGAATAAATTAGCTGCCACCTACATGCAGGAAGTAAATCCGTACATGTCTATACTATTGTACTTGAAATTTATTAATTGTCTACAAAAAGCTGGAATCATTGGAACTAAATGAAATATGGGAAAGCTTCAATCTGATGGCCTCAAACTCTGCGCAATGAATCTCGTCATTTGTCAGCCACAAAGCTAGGCAACGATCAATTATGTCCTTGCAGCCGCTCAAGGAGGAACCTCCTTTTAAAAACGGGGTCCTCGCAAATCTTGCTATGATTGCTAATTTTGTATCAGAAGGTTCATGAACAAAATTTTCTATAATGGTTCTAATGGCACCGTACCATATTGGTCGAGCTACTTTAAGAAAGTCGTGCTGCGCCAATACTGGAAGGCTAACGCTGCCCAGTTCAGACTCACCATGCCCACCTCTTCCGTGATAGTCTGACCCTCCAATCTTCAGAAGACCAAAACTATCAGCTAGATCACTGAAGACTGTTCACCAAATAAACAAAATCACGACGTGAGGACCAAATAAAAAAGCTGCATAAACACTTGACGAACAACCAAAACAAAAAATAAAAATAAAAAAAGCTCAATCAGTTTCAAGCATGCCCCCAGAACAAATTCAGGACTAAATAGTTTCTATTACAATCATGTCGATAGGTGTACTGGTGAGTGTTCCATTTGCGCTGAAAAGGAATCACTCAGCTTGTCGAGATCGATACAATGTATACCGGTAAGTGAACAATCAAGATGCCCGACATGCTAAACCACAATGTCTCATTCTTCTTGGTCCATATTTTCATAGATATATGTAAAAGTTAAGCTGGTGAATCTTAGACGTCTTGCCTCTAAATGCGAGGACCGTTAAGGAAACAAACAGCCCTCTTACAGGAAAAATTTGTACCCCTATATTAGAAGCCTGTTTAAAACTTCAATACCATTAAGCATACCCTCGCTTAACTACAAAAAATTTTCTTAAGAATACTAGTTTGGACACAGGGATTGTTTCCAATTACATGCCAATTCGCCAGTATTGGAAATAGCCAGTGAGACCATGCTAAGAACAGACCACGTCGACAAATTAATTTTATCGTCTATTGCATAGTGGACATAGAGGTATTTCCTTTTCTAAGACAATAATCTAAAACACAGCAAAAGGAACCAAACTTCAGCACCAATCAACTCCACTAGTGAATTCTAATGAATATAGTTTAACAAATCAATGCATCTAAAATATCCTTGATATCCACTAACGTGTAGAAGGCAATAATAAAAATCCAAACTCTCCACAATTAAGAAATAATAGAACACTCATTAATAGAACACTCAGATAATGAAAAAGTATTCCTTTATTTTATTTTATTTATTTATTTACTTTGCTGATAAAAAAAATATTTTCATTTTTTGAGTTTAAGTTTTCATTTATTAAAGAAGAAAAATGATAATTGACATACCAGATAGCTTTCCATCACTTCTGTAAACCTCCATACCATGAAGGCCAGCTTCTTTTAACCTCCTAACAATGGCAACTGGGTTTTTCAATGCCCAGGGATGAGCTAACACAGCCACACCTCCTGTATTGCATATCAATTTCACGGCTTCCTCCACAAGAGGCTCACTTCCCCTGCACCAATATGTGAGCCAACTTTTTCTCCATAAAATTGTTCAAAATAATGATGGACAACAACAAAATTAGAAAAACAGTATGCTTAGGATATTACGTAGAGTAAGCAGGTCCACCATCAAAAAGATATCGGGAGAAAGCTTGTTTCAGATTCTCCACATGACCTCCTTCAACCATAGCACGGGCCACATGCAGTCTCCCGGGAGCAACTCCCTTGCCCGCAATTCTAGAAACTTGCTCCCACTTGATAGGCAGCTTGAGTTTGTTCAGTTTTTCGACCATATTCTTTGCACGAAGGAAACGACCATCCCTTATATTAGCCAAAAAATTTTCCAGCTCATCAAAACTGGCTGGCCCACAGCTGCTATAGTACGCAAGAATATGTACCGGTTCCTCTGATTCAGAATCTCCTCTGTATTGATCCAAAACATCAAAGGAATAGAATTAGGGGTTAAAAGAAGATAAATAAGCATGCCAAAAAAATTATTGTTAAAGAAAAAAGCAAAATACAGTCAAGAAACAGGACACGCTCCTCTGAAGAGAAAAGAACAACGAAATCAACCACTTCCTAATCAAGAGCACTAGTAAAGCTCTAAAGGAAGACCACTAAACTGCTTTATATATGACACCTACAAAGAAACCATGTACTAACCAAAATGAGACATCCAGCTTTCAACACTATCTTTAACGATTAATTCGTGGTTATTCACGAGTACATGACCTAAATCTGAAGCAAATCACAGACCTGACAGCTCAACAAGACCCTTAGAGTTCTCAAAACCAAGTTTAAAAAGACTTAAACCTATAGTCTTTAGAAAGTCAGAAGTTCATGTGTTACCTTGGGGAGAAAATTGTACTAATTTCAACGCCTGGGATTATCTTCATCCCAAATCTGCGTGCTGCATCTAGTGCCTCAGTGACGCCAGACATCGTATCATGATCTGTCAGAGCAAGAACTTTCACCTGTTATGAGCAGATATACTAATTAAATGTCGCTAAAACAAAAGCTATAATTTTAGACGGTACACAGAAAAAACTTCCTAGAACAATATAAAGCCTCAGAGCAAAACTTTAAGTAAAAAATAAGCTCTAAGCATACGTTGGTGTCGAAACTATTGTATTTGTGAATATAAACTTTTATCTTTTACAAGACGCAAGGGAAAAGAACAAGAGCAAATATATTGAACTCCGGTAAGAAAAAGTATTCTTAAATGCATCTTACATAATAAGAAGAAACCCATATTAAAACAACTTCATTTTGATTTCATGAATTTCAAGCCAAGAAATTTATGCAAGGCAACTCTACTACTAGTATGAAACTTACATAAAGACAATTCTACAAACATATGAAAGCCATGTCCATGTTTTGTTTACGAGTGCAATGGAAATAATTTCATACATTAAATTATAATATAACCCTGAAAGTTAGTTCCTTTGTTTTTCTTCCACCAATTCGTTCTATTGTTATAATAGTTTTCATAAATTTGAAAACCATTCGAATAATACTAGCAAACTCACGAATATTAAGAGAACTTAGATGCAACCAATTTATTATTGTTATTTTTATCTCTTTAGTGGGAAATACAACTCTAATCTCCTTCATTTCACCGATTCGAGTTTAAAATTTAAGTTTTGTTACAGTAAAAAGCTCTCAGAAACAGTCACATCTAACTTTTTTTCTACATAAAAACTCTCACACAAAATTACATATCAACTCAAATTATAAACTCGAGGCCAAAATCCATCTTCAGGAACAGAAAGTTTGATGAAGTCAGCACCAAGGACTTTGTTCATTACAAAATCACAACATTAAATACACCATAAATCACAATATTATTATAACATAAAAAAAATCCAAAAGCGAACATACCAAGAAAAAGCATAACCCATTTCAGCTTTTGCTCCAAAAATGCCTAAAAAAAAAAACTCACCCCATTTCCGTGAGCTCTCTCAACAAGCTTGGAAGGAGAGAGAAACCCATCACTGAATTTGGAATGAGAGTGCAATTCAAAGACCAACTTCTCCCCACCTCTCCCAAGAGTCTTCTGAGCCCCAAAATCGTCAACAACGCATGAAGAAGCAGTCAAAGAAGAAGAAGATTGATCCAAGAAAACCCACTCTCTAACACACTTCAAAGCCAGACTCTGTTCTGCAGTCATCTTCTTCTTGGTCCCACCACGCTTCTTCTTCTTCTTCTTATTCTCCTTCGCCTTCTTCGAATTGCAACTGGAATTGTTCGCGGTTTGAAGAGCGTAAGCTTCACCCGCCATGGCTGAGGAAAAACGAAAACCAAACGACAAGGAGTTTTTTGATTTGGGGTTTTGGTTTTCTCGTTCTTTATTTATGATACGATTTTTTAGGAGCGTCGGTGGTGTGTGTGTGTGTGTGTGTGTGTGTATGTGTGTATGTGTGTATATATATGTGTGACTATATATAGAGATAGAGCGATGGAGATAGAGATGGGGAGACAGGGATAGAGGAAGAAGGAGAGGAGCTATAAACGTTTTCCTTTTGGCTTTTCCCCTCTTTTTTGCTTTTTTTTTTTTTTTTTTAAATTGAAATCTTTCCTTTGCATATATTCACAGGTGTCTGTCCCACCAGTGTCTGTACTCTTTTCTTTCTTTCTTTTTATTTTTTATTTTTTTTCTCTTTTGGTTTTGTGACTTTAGTCAAACAAAAGTATTTGCCGAGATCTACCGGGCTAACATGCAGCATACCTAGGTTGTTCTTTTACATTTTTAAGATAGGATGACTTGAGTGATGATTTTAAATTAAATTTGAGTTAAAATTATAATTTAAGTTTGTGTTTAGATGTGCACATTTTAATTATAATTTAAATTAAAAATCTATTTAACTTTGTGTTTAGGTGGATCAAAACTTTAATTTGTATTTATATAATATTTTAATAAAAACTCAATAGTGATGAAAAATTTTAATAGGGTATATTGGTACGGTTTTATTCATTTTTTCGTTGTGAATGCAAAGAAAAAAATCATCTCAATCAGAATTAAAACGAAGAAGTTATTGACATTTTTAAGAATAGAAAAAATATTGTTCATTAACTTGAGTTCGAGTTTATGAACTTGAATTGAAGGGGAAACTTGAACTCAAGTTTAGCCTTAAACTCGAGTTCAAACTCAAATTTTACAAAAGAACATGTACTTGAATAAAGTTGTAACTCGAGTTTAAACTTTTTCTGAGTTTCGTTGTAAAAGAATAATCCCCTAATTTACCAGTACCTTTACTGTGATTGGTAGAGGGGAAAAGAGAGAAAAAAATTAGAGGATGTTATGAAAATTAAGAAAATGTAAAATTAAGAAGAAAAATCTTAGAGAAAAATTAGAAAGAGTTTTATTAATTTTGAAAAATATATAAAATGAAGAATTTTAAAGCTCTATTTATAAAAATAAAAAAAAATCGGCACTATTTACGGTTATTATTTACACAGTAAGATTCTAACATGAATAATAACTTTAATTGACTTACATAGTAACTTTAACTGAGGTTGACAGCTACTATTTATAACAGAGTAAAGATTTTAAGGAGAAAAATAGAATCTTGAGTTGTTTAATAAAGAGGAATGAGGGAGGAGGAAATATGAAAATCTATGGGCCCACCATTTTTTAATCCTTCTAATTTTGAAAAGAAAAGAGGTGGGGAAAATTTTGACAAAGAAATAAGGTGTAAAATAACTATTTTAACCTTAATCATTCATCGTATTTTTATTTGTAACGGGATTTTATTATAAAATGTACTAAATTTGACATTTCTTTTTACTTTTTTTTTCTTTTCCATCAAACAATATGAGAAAATCCCTGCTCTATCATTTTACTTCTCATTCCTTCTTCTTTTCTATCCATTCTTTTCAAACATGGCATAAGAGTCATTCCCATTTACTCGTAAACATTAAAAACTCTCATTTTATCTTTTCAATTTTGAATATGTCTCATTTAAGCCCTTTTGGTCAGAATTTCTGTTAAAATCATGCAAAAGACAGTGTTAAGGGTGACCATATAATTTTTATCGATTTATTTTTAATAGAAATTTAAACAGAAAAACTACATAAATGCATTACTCTCCTTTTTTATATGTTTTTAATAGAAATTACAATAAAAGAGATTGAGTGGGAATAATTTAAAGTTCAACGAGTAAAGTGAAAGTTTCTAAAATTTAAGTGACAAATTGAAAATGACTATAAAATTCAGAACACCAGTGATAATAATAACCCTCACTTTTTTTTTTAATTTTACCGTAGCTAGTCAACTTAAACGGCATGTTCTTTACATTACTATACCTCACAACATTGGTTGAATATTAAATTAATGTACCATGAACAACATAGTTCAATTATTTATTATGATTCTAAATGTTGTGCACCACCCGGTCTAGTCTAAAACCGTCAAATTTTTCAGATCGAATTGTTTTAATGATTTAAAAGAATTTTAAATTAAACCATACCGTTTTTGTCAATAGGTTTAAATTACACCAGACCATTATAAAACGGTCTAATCTAATTTAAATCACATATTTATGAGACCTTATTTTGTACAGTCAATTTAAAATTATATTAAATTCTGTTAAAGTTACATACTTTTTATTTTAATATGATTTTTTTTGTTTTTTGTTTTTATCTATATCATTTTCTTTTGTAAAAGGAAAATGTACCTTTTTCTTTTGTAAAAGGAAAATGCACCTTTTTCCGAGCCCTCTTTTAGGATTCGCAAATAGATATTTGTAATGAACTAAAGAAAAAAAGAAAAGAAACGGATTAGCTTCACTTCTCAATTTAGTAGTTTAACTAATACTAAATTTTGACATTTTTAGTTCAAAATCCAATATTTAGGTTCTCCTCCCATTGTCTCCAATTAATTTACGTATATTTTTTTGTGAGAGAAAAATATTGTAAAGAACTATGAATCATGATTCAGAATTAAAAACGAATACAAGAAACTAGTTGAAAAAATTGTGCTTCAAGCAGAGTTGACTTTTAAAATTTGTACTAGAATTCAAGGACCAAGAACTCATATTGCTATATGCAATAATAGTGAGATCATATTGCTCTAAATGAACACACGGGGATCACTGATTATTTCTCAATTCTCATCCTAAGAGCTCGCTAGACTCCTCTACTGAACCCGTCGCACACTCGAGAGCTTTCGACAATTATTTGTCTATCAACCTTGTTTTTTTTTTTTTTTTTTTTTGGGGTAAAAAATTATCTTATTTTCACAGTTTAATCGTCTAAAAATCATATGATTATGCTACGTAAAACAATGAACAAAACCCCAAAGAAAAAAACTAAGACCTCATCTAGCAAAATAAAAATAAAAAAAATAACTAACAAATTTTGTACAAAAGAAGTTTTTAGATCAGGTTTTGAACGAAACATGACCTAAAATCTATTTGTGGCGTCTTTTCGTCTTATTGCGAGTGCATTATTATTTTCTTAACTACTTGCTTTCTATGCATAAAGCTCCATATGGCAATACTAACATGTCAAATGGCTCAAGTGGAGGAACTAAAATGCTTGGTGGAAGAAAAAACTCGAGCCAAAATTCAAGCTCATTCATTAGTCAGCCTACTTGTTGCATAAACGTTTGATCAAATGCTCCTTATGAAATGATTTTTTCATTTTAAAAGAGACAAAAAAAAACAAACTTGTGAAAGAATGGTTCTATCACAAATCCTAGGAAAATGCTAGCTGTGGACTATACAAAGTAAGCCTCATAAGTTAAACAGTCTATCTGTCTATAATAAAAAAGGACGAGGGATTTAATGATACACCAACCCTGAAACATGTGCCTCAGAAATCCAACCATGTGATTGGAGGAACACATGCAAAATATCACCCAAATTTCCCAATTTCCATCTTCTTCTTCATCGCTCTTTGACCATGATATATAAAGGAGTCTATTATTCCCGCAATAGTGAAAATACCTAAACAAACAGTCAAAAGAAACAAGCGCTCATAATTAGTCGCATCACCGTAACATAAGGTTGTACAAGAAGCTCTAGATAATAGCAGAAGTTCTAGTTGCATGTCTTTGAATCTCTAAAATTCGATATATCTATAAAAAATCATAGAGCACGAAATGATGGAACATTTGAAATATTAGAAAAGTCGCGCTGAAGAAATTATCTTAGGCTCACAGACAATTTAGAGTAATTTGTTTGAAAATATAAAAATAGCAAAGAAAAGCTGACATAGAAATATGGATCTACTCGGTTCGTTGGCTTGGGTCGTTTGGTTTTTAGATCGAACCTAACTTTCAAACTGTGCAAACCAAGTGAATTAACACGAAACATTTGTGTAGGTTTGGTTGACTTGGTAATTTGAACACGTCCACCAAAAAAATAAAGTAATAACGCTCACAAGAACACAAATAGAGAGAGAGAGAGAGAGAGAGAGAGAACTACCTCCAACAATGGCACAAATATGTGTAACGAAATGTAAAAATGGAACACGTTCTTCTTTGAGTGTTACCTGCAACACAGACAGCAATTTGATACAGAATTAATTCATTTACAACTCAAGGATCCTTACATTGTAAGACCTCCATCAAGACTGCCAGCAGTTCTTTCAAGGCAACATTAGACTAGAGCCATCTACTTCAAGGGCATGTTCACTTACCATGAAAGGGAAGGAGTATTATTTACAAACTAAGGAATGCTAGTTGGGTAGGTCCCACGTGATGCAGGAATGATGAAAAGGAAAACCAATCCTAAGTTACCACGTACTTCTGTTCCCTTTGATTTGGAATAAACCATAAAATTACTTCTTTAGGCTTTACTAAATTTTAACTAAGGAGACGTTTAGTTCATGGATTAGAATCATGAGATTAAAATCATTTTCGATTTACGTGTATTTTTTGTAAGAGAAAACACTGTAGCGAACCATGAATCATGATTCGAATCGGGGTACGAATCCCCCAACCAAACAACCCCTAAGAAACGCAAGAAGAGGTAAGGAATAGCATTGCTTCTAGTTTCACTCCCTGATGGTTAAATAAAACATTAGAAAGGAATTCAGTGAAAATGGTTTATGATTCACTTCGACCTTGCACCTTTAACACACATATAATGTTATTTAACCCTTCTTTTCTTTCTTTCCTTTTTTTAATAAGGAACAAGATGTCATTGACAATAAAATCAATTACAAAGGAAGCAAGGACAGGACGTCCTTACAATGTGAGAGAAACGACTGAGTAGATAAAACTAAGACGAGACCTAAAAAACCGGAATTATACAATTAACTCCCCATCACATCTTTCCAATTTAAAATAATCAAAGAAAAGGAAAGCCTTTCCAAGCTTTATCTGTCCTCAAATATTAGTTTTCCCTTTTGAAAGTAGTACTTATAAGAAAACAACTGATAATATGGAAAGACATATGTTAGTTCAGTTACAGGAGCTGCAAATGAAGTTATATATTTGTTCAAACTTCAAAGGAAATGAAAATTATGCGAGGAAGTAAAGCATGAAAATAAATCAAACTCATCACAAGATTTAGATATTAACAATGTTCATGAAACGAGCAGTACTTCACAAGTCAATTTCAAATCATGGTAGCGATTGCAGAGCTAACATAGAACTGAAAGATGTTTAGAGAGACGTGGAAATGAGCAGCATTTCACAAGTCAAAATTTCCAATCATGGTAGCAATTGCAGAACTCACAATTGAAATAAATAATTCCGAAAAGAAAAATTTACAAAAAAAAAGAAAAGAAAAGAAAAGGAGTAAGAAAAATAGGGAAGCTCTTTTACTGATAGTATAAGCCCCAGAATGATGAAACATTCAAAACAACTAAACAAGATGTATAAATAGTTTGTTAAAACTGTATGAAGAACCCTAAAACTTCTGTATAGTGTTCATTTGTTTAATGTGATTTTCACTTCCTATAATAATAATAATAATAACAATAACAATCATAATAATAATAATAATAATAATAAAATTGTATGAAGAACCCACCTTTATCGGAGAAAAATCATAATAGAAGAATACTCCAGGAAGTGAGCGAAGATGTCCAACTTCTGCACTCTTAAAATGCTCTGTCACAGAGTACTGCACAACACAAATGCCATAGCTTCTCAGTACATTATCTAACAAATAATTACAAAACATCACCATTAAATGATATTTTGATAATACCTGATTTGAGTGGACCTTGTGGCCTCTAATATTGGTGTATAGTGTAGGGACCACCTGTTAGGTACATAGTCAGATGTCAAGTTTTTCTCATAAATGCAAATCACTTGATGGGTCAGTGCCGGCAATACACAGGTCACTTGAATGTATCAATTTGGTCCAAAAGACATTTAAACACGTTTGATAATGACCTTATATGCATATTCCAAATATTAACCACACAAACGAAAACTCTTTTTTTTTTTTCCCTAGATCAGTCCAACCTGGAATATCTTGTTTTACGATGAATTCAATGCTCAGTAATAGAAGTTACTCTTTAGTGAGTTGGTTCTGATAATGAAAACGAAAAAGATGAGCAGAGGAAAAAAATAAAAGGAGACTAAAATCTTATACAATTTAGTATTCCTCATCAGAAGCGTTGTTTTCATTAGATCTTATCAACATTCACCGTGTTTTCTTCTCCATTTAAAAGAAAAAATGTATCTAAGCGTTCGATATGAACTCCAACAGAAAACGTAGATGATGCCAACCTTGAGAAAATACTGGTATGTACCGTTTGGTGTTTCCTGAATCCATTTTACCCTGAAAAGGTATTGCATTAAAGTGTTAGTTTAAGTGAAAAAGACAACAGATACTAGTTGAAAATAAAGCTAATTTTATTAAGCAAGTATAGAAAACGGAAGATGGAGAGAGAGCGCGAAAAGAAGAGGATTGAAGAACAAAAGCGAGATAGAGAAAGGGACATCAAGTGTGAGAAAACTGTAATGAAATCTGGTAAATCTCAATGTCAACATCAACTGAACCCAAAACGCAAATCTGGTCTACGTAGAGTAATAGTCATTCCTGAGCATGTAAATAATGATTAGTAGAAAGATAAAATTACCCATCAAGTGGATTTACCGCGCCAGGAAAATAGTGGCCAAAAGCTAGTTTATTTATCTTGTGACTTATCTGTATCATCAAGACAAAGTACAAACACAACGACCTGCCTCAGAATTCAAGGTTATAAATGATAGGGGAGAAAAGGAAAGAAAAAGCTAAAAGAGATGGATAGACCAACAGTTCAGTAATATGTTTATTTACTCCAAAAGAAATAAAATGAGCCTTACATTGTAATAATGTGTTTGTAAATCCAACAAATCAAACAAGTGGATATATGCCTGATGAAAGCTTTTCCCAGGCATAAAATGAAAATTTCCCGCCACTTTGTTAACTTCAAGAGACCCTTCAATATTACATCCTTCACCCTCTTCATCTTTTATGTTTTGGACAAAACCTTCTCGTTTGCACTGGAACAAATAAATCAATTAAAGCTATTTACCACTGGATAATTTCCCAAGCTTTGAAGAGCTTGGTTTATGAAGAAAAATGTACATTTATCTGCATTTACTTTAGCAAATATCATGGAGGTTTCTAGTGGTCAAACAAACAGTAAAGAACGAAATCATTTCTTAATAAAAGGTCAATATTGTGCCTCAGTATTCCTAACTCGAAATTTCTTAATAAAAGGTCAATATTGTGCCTCAGTATTCCTAACTCGAAACAGTAAACTACTACGTACAAGCCTAAGATAGTTTATGTTTCTGAAAAGTCAAAAACTGATGGATAATGCAGCGAAATAACAAAATACAAAGGATTGGCCAAACTAATTACATATGATGCCCCAGTTGCTCCACATAGCACCCTACATATGAGCCAGCCTCATTTTGTACAAATTAATCTTAATTGAACTCCGTGAACTTTCAGATGCACAAATGAAATGGTCATGCCATTTATCAAAGGCACCTGCAAGTCCGACTCAATTACTTGCATGCGCCAATAAGTTTATTGTAGGAAATCTCGGATGAGATATCATAGGAGGATTTTTAGGAGATCTTCTAGTATAAGAAATTAGGGAAGATTACCGAGTCCTAAGGGGCTGATCTGTTTTGGATTCTTTCCTGATTTTATGTAACAGCAAGTATCTATAAATAGAGTGTAGAATAGCTTGTAATTATTCATTCGTTCATAATAAAAATTCTTTCATTATTCTTCATGGTATCAGAGCCGTAAGGCTAGGGTTTTTGGGAAAATTTAGGGCAACCTTAATCGCTGGTTTCCGACTGGTTTATCTCTTCCCAGCCTTAATCGCTGGTTTATTCCTTTCTCTCCCAGCCTCAATCGCTGGTATTCCATCAGCTTTAATTGCTGATTTAGTCTTTCTTATTCTTCACTATTGTCCAATCATATTCAATAATGACGGATATCACCTCTTCGGCTCAATCACCTTCGATAGTTGAGGATGAACAGGCAGCACGGAGCACAACAGAACTTCAGAAGATCCAGGCAGCATACAGATTAAATGGAAAAAACTATTTGAAGTGGTCTCAATTGGTTCGAACTTTTTTGAAAGGAAAAGGAAAGCTAGGCCATTTACTGGAGCAGGGACCGGAAAGAGGAGCTATAGGTGCAGACGCATGGGAGGAAGAAGATTCAATGATTATGTCATGGCTATGGAATTCCATGAACCCGGAAATTAGTGACACTTGCATGTTTCTGCCAACAACAAAGACAATCTGGGATGCTCTCTACCAAACCTATTCAAAGGTCAATGATGCAGCTCTCATATATGATATCAAGACCAAGACAACAGGTGCAAGACAAGGGTCGAAAACCGTGACAGAGTACGCCAATGTTCTGCAAAATCAGTGGCAAGAGCTGGACTATTATAGGACAATTGATCTGAACTGCAACAAGTGTGCAGTAGCCATCAAAAAATTCATAGAACGAGACCGGGTATATGATTTTTTGGCTGGCTTAAATTCTGAGTTTGATCTTGTACGTATTCAAATTTTTGGCAGGTCTGAAGTTCCATCCTTGACTGAAACAATCTCCCTAGTCCATGGGGAGGAGAGTCGCAGAGGCATCATGCTAGATCCACCTTCAACAGAAAATTCTGCCCTTCTAAGCTCTAAGTCACAAGGGCTAATGCTTGATGGTACTGCTGTAGACAAGCCTAGCCGACCAAATGCTCACAAGGATCGTGATGAGATGTGGTGCACATACTGTAAGAAACCACGACATACCAAGGAGCGATGCTGGAAATTGCATGGGAACCCCTCCACAAACAGCCGTGAATGGGGACAGAGAGTACACACTCGGGTGATTATTCGAGAGAATCACCGTCTCTCCTCACAATACTACACAATCCAAAAGTTCCTCACCTCTAAGAGCCCCCTGCTTATTTATAGACTCTCCTAGATTGACTAACAGCTTCTCCTACAAGCTACAAACTAACTCTTAACAACTAACTAAATTCAGTTACAAGTCCCTGTCCATGTCAGCCACTAACCACCCAGTAACCAATCCTTTATTGTTTCTTTCTTCTACTATAGTCAAGCAGCCCCGGGCTCTGGTTCTTCTCACCCCATTCACAGAACCTTGTCCTCAAGGTTCACATGACCGCTCCTGGCGCCACCGATTGATCGCCATGTTCTTCCTCAACTGTAGCTTCAACTCCATCCCCATCTTCTTCATCCACCGCGGCAATGAGAACCTACCGTTGTGGTTTTGTGCAAACATGTCCGAACCGCCATTTCTCCTCACACCGGAAGCATAATCCACGCTCCCTACACCGCTGTAGTTCAGCGTTAGAAATTTTCTTGTGGATTGAGAAGAACCATATTCTTGGCTCTTGTTGACCGACACGCCCGATTGACTGGAGTTGGTATGTGTCAACTCTAGGGATCCCTAATTTTTTTCCACCAGTTTCGGTGGATTCCAGCTGGAGCCACTACCCAGCCAGCTGGAGCAACTTCCTGTAATTCCTCCACGTGTTGAATTCTTCAGCCCATCAATTCTGAAAAATCCAGCCCCTTCACCACTTGTTCTAGCCCGTTAAGTCCTCAACACCTGGGCCCGCTCAAGGGCCCAATTCTTTTCTTCAATTTTTTGGGCCAAATCCATCAGTTGGACCAGAGAGGCAGGCTTCACCATACGAACCTCTGCCTTGATCTCTTCAGCCAGACCATTCGAGAAAGCTCCCCTCAGGAACTCCTCATCGGCTTCTCTCAAGGGAGACGAGAGTAGCTCGAATTTCTCACGGAATTCAGCTACCGTCGATTCTTGTCGTAAAGCAATCAAAGCTTCGTAATGATTGCCCGTTTACGAAGACCTAAACCGCTGAATCACAGATTCCTTGAATCTCAGCCACGAGATGTGACCAGATCTGGATTCCAACCACTGGAACCAGTTCAACGCCTTCCCTTCGAGGCCAATCACTGCCGCCGCCACTCGTTCCACCTCCTCGACGCCTTGGACCTGGAAATATCGTTCCAGACGGAACAGCCACCCGAGCAGATCATCGCCACTGAAAAGAGGAATTTCCATTCGGCGAAACCTAGATTCCCCGCCAATCAGTGCTGAACCTTTGACCAGGATGAACCGCCGCCGCCGCCGCACCGCCACCTTCTACCTCGTTCGAAGCAGAAGCCTTAGCGTGCTCTGCCGATGGATTCACGCCGTTCCCCGACCTCATCCAATCGATAAGTTCCTTCATGTAATCCTTCACAACTCCCATGTCCACCGAAAGTTGTCCAACAACTCCCTTAAGCTCTCTGATATCCTTCTCCACCATCTCCACCCTGCCTTCCATTTTCTCAGCTCTCGAAGCAACCATTCCCAATCGGAACAGCTCTGATACCAATTTGATGGAAACCTCTAGATTATTGAAGGACAAATTACACACTCGGGTGATTATTCGAGAGAATCACCGTCTCTCCTCACAATACTACACAATCCAAAAGTTCCTCACCTCTAAGAGCCCCCTGCTTATTTATAGACTCCCCTAGATTGACTAACAGCTTCTCCTACAAGCTACAAGTTAACTCTTAACAACTAACTAAATTCAGTTACAAGTCCCTGTCCACGTCCGCCACTAACCACCCAGTAACCAATCATTTATTGTTTCTTTCTTCTACTATAATCAAGCAGCCCCGGGCTCTGGTTCTTATCATAAACCCTCCACAAATAGCCGTGAATGGGGACAGAGAGGAGGACAATCAGCATCAGGCTACAGACAGGCTCATATGTCCACTCGATTCAACCCACAGCTTTGGAGGATTTAGTATGGAAGAAATTGAAAAACTCAAAGGCCTGGTAGGAAAAGTGGAAAATCAGGGACAAAAATCCAGTCTGCAGGCATCAACTCAAGGTATGTGTTCATTGACACTTTCAGGTGAGACTCTAATCTCTCTTGGATTAAATACTTTAGGTAATGAGTTTAGGAATGCTTGGATCCTTGATTCTGGTGCCACCGACCACATGACTCATACCTCTAGCCTATTTAAAACCTAGACACCCTGTCCGAGCAACCGGAAAATTATAGTTGCTGATGGTTCTGCAACCACAGTGGCAGGAGTAGGAGATATTCAAATCACCTCAGAATTAGTACTTCAAAATGTTCTCCATGTTCCCCAACTTTCAACAAATTTGGTTTCCATACAAAAACTTTCCCGATATCTAACTGGTTGTGTTATATTTAATGCTTCTTCTTGTGAATTTCAGGACCCGGGGTCGGGGAAGAAGATTGGACTTGCTAAGGAGCATAATGGACTCTATTACTTGAATGTATCAAGTCAACCGGAATTGAAAAAACCAGTCGTGCTCTCATTGTTTTCTTCTTCCAATAAAGATGTCATTTGGTTACATCATAGGCGTCTAGGTCATGTGTCTTTTTCAGCATTGAAAATAATGTTTCCTACCTTGTTCAAGGGTTTGGATGTTCAATCCTTTCATTGTGATATTTGTGAGTATGCAAAACACACTCGTGTACCTTTTCCCATCAGTAATAATAAATCTTCATCTCCCTTCTTTTTGGTACATAGTGACATTTGGGGACCATCCACCATTCCAAGTGTCTCCGGGTATAGGTGGTTTATGAGTTTCATTGATGATTGTACGAGGGTCTCCTAGATATATTTGCTCAAAAACAAATCTGATGTGAGCCACATTTTTCCCACCTTTCATGCAATGCTCCAAAACCAGTTTGGCACAAAAATAAAAAATATTCGCTCCGATAATGCCCGTGATTACTTCAACCAAACTTTGACTCCATATTTTCAAAAAGAGGGAATTATACATGAATCATCTTGCATTATCACTCCACAACAAAATGGAGTGGCAGAGAGAAAAAACCAACATCTTCTCGAGTGTACTAGAGCCCTATTATTCCAACAAAATGTACCAAGTCCTTTTGGGGAGAAGCTGTACTCACGTCAGCCTATGTTATAAACAGAATTCCTTCCAAAGTCTTGGGGTTTAAGAGAGTCCACTGGAGACTGTCTCAATTCTATCCTGACACTCGAAAGTCCTTCAACCTTACTCCTCGGGTATTCGGGTGCACTTCATTTGTTCATATTCATGGCCATAACAGAGGGAAACTTGATCCTAGAGCTATTAAGTGTATCTTTGTGGGGTACTCATCTACTCAAAAGGGTTATAAATGCTACCATCCTCCCACTAAGAAACTCTATATCTCAGCCGATGCCACGTTTGTTGAGTATAAGCCATATTTCTCTACTCCTTATCTTCAGGGGGAGTTGTCTATACTTGAAGATAAGGAGTCAAGTCTGCCAACACTGGAATTTCTCTCACCCGAGTCACCATTACTGGAAACATCCTCAACCGAGTCACCCAGAGCACAAACCATATCACCCGAGTCACCCAAATCACAGCCTAAACAGCCACAAAAAAACCAAGCAGATGAAAAAATATTTGATCATTTCCGGTTTGATCAGGTGTATACAAGGAAAAGAGATCCTATTATGACTTCAAGGCAGGGACAGGGACAATTCACTGAACGGACTCTTGGAAATGAGGTAACAATCTGTGAACCAAATTTAAATATATCACCAGTAGATTCTCCTTCCAACAGTGACCTTGATCTTAATCTGCCTATAGCTGTGAGAAAACAAACCCAAGAATGCACAAAAAGGCCTCTATATCCCTTATCTCATTTTGTGACTTTTTAGAAATTCTCTCCAAGCCACCAAAGTTTCCTTTCAACCCTAAACACAATTCCTGTTCCTAACTCATTATCTGAAGCACTATCAAAGAAAGAATGGAGACTTGCTATGGAGGCTGAAATGGATGCATTACAAAAGAATGAAACTTGGGAGTTGGTTGATTTACCTAAGGGTAAGAAACCAGTAGGCTGTAAGTGGGTGTTTGCAGTAAAGTTTAGGGCAGATGGATCTCTAGAACGCTATAAGGCAAGGCTGGTTGCAAAGGGATATACTCAAACGTATGGGGTGGACTACCAAGAAACATTTGCACCAATAGCAAAGATGAACACCGTAAGAATCTTGCTGTCCTTGGCTGTCAACTTTGATTGGGAATTACAACAGTATGATGTGAAGAATGCCTTCCTCCATGGAGAGCTAGAAGATGAGATTTATGAGTATTCCACCAGGGTTTAGTGGAGTTGATAATCACAAAGTTTGCCGGTTAAAAAGGGCATTATATGGGTTAAAACAATCACCTCGGGTGTAGTTTGGACGGTTTGCCAAGGTGATGATAGCCAATGAATACAAACAAAGTCAAGGTAATCATACACTCTTCTTCAAGCATTTGGCCTCAGGGGGAGTCACGATATTAATAGTGTATGCGGATGACATTATAGTAACAAGGAATGATGAGGCAGAAAAGAAAGTCTTGAAGGAAGTTCTAGCCAAGGAATTCGAAATAAAAGATCTAGGGAGACTAAAGTACTTCCATGGAATTGAAGTAGCTCGATCTAGACAGGGAATGTTTATCTCTCAACAAAAATATGTCACAGATCTACTTAAGGAGACCGGATTGATGGCTAGCAAACCGGTTGGAACTCCTATTGAACAGAACCACAGATTGGGTGAAGCTCTTGGAGATAAGGCAGTGGATAGAGAAGTGTATCAAAGGCTTGTTGGTAAACTCATTTACCTTGCTCATACTCGGCCAGATACAGCCTATTCGGTTAGTGTCATTAGTCAGTTTATGCATAATCCTAGAGAAGTTCATCTACATACAGTCTATCGAGTTCTTCATTACTTAAAAGCACATCCTGGCAAAGGAGTCCTATTCAAGAAAGCGTCAAATATTGACCTGGCAGTATACACGGATGCTGACTTTGCAGGATCACCAGTTGATAGGCGATCAACTACGGGCTATTGCACGTTCCTTGGAGGGAACTTAATTTCCTGGAGAAGCAAGAAACAGAGCGTGGTAGCAAGGTCAAGTGCCGAAGCAGAGTTTAGAGCTATGGCAGCAGGAGTATGTGAATTAATGTGGGTCGAGATTATTCTAGAAGACCTGAAGATTCAATGGAGCATACCTATGAGACTATATTGTGATAACAAGTCAGCTATAAGCATTGCTCACAACCCAGTACAACATGACCGGACGAAGCACATCGAGATAGACAGACATTTCATTAAAGAGAAGTTAGGTAGTGGTCTAATTTGTACACCATATGTTCCTATGGGGCCTCAGCTAGCAGATGTGATGACAAAAGGGTTATGTAATAATATGTTCCATGAGAACATTAACAAGCTGGGAATGGTGGACTTATATTCATCAGCTTGAGGGGGAGTGTAGGAAATCTCGGATGAGATATCATAGGAGGATTTTTAGGAGATCTTCTAGTATAGGAAATCAGGGAAGATTACCAAGTCCTAAGGGGCTGATCTGTTTTGGATTCTTTCATGATTTTATGTAACAGAAAGTATCTATAAATAGAGTGTAGAATAGCTTGTAATTATTCATTCGTTCATAATAAAAATTCTTTCATTATTCTTCATTTATAAAGAATTTGAACGAGCTAGCAGGATAACTATCATTACCAACCCATACGAGGTTATCAAATAAGTACATAGAACAAGGACTACTATGTCCCATCCCATTTACATGGTTGCACCAAGAAATAAGCTGAATATTTCAAACTTACCTGGTCTACCAAATCTGCATTTGTCAGTGCCCAACCCTTTTTCCTGTACGCTTCGCGGACTTCTTCACATGAGTTACAACAATCATCATCAGACTGCATGAGAAAAAAACAGGTTAAGAAGAATGGAGTAAGGAGCGTCTCTTTTATAGTGCCTTACATAATAAAAGCTAAGGTGCATTCAATTCTTATCACATTGGGCTCGGTTCTCTCCAGCAAAAAAAGTTCATGGTTAATTTAGTATAAACTAATGCACCTTCAACTAATTTGCCTTTATCTGCAGGAGTACTGAAAATTTGTGCAACTGTAATTAATTTATTCAGCCAATTGTTTGTTTGAAGAAAACCTTAATCTTAAGCAGTCAAATATCAATATTATCATGAATTCACTAGCATATTTTCCTGCTTCTCATATTCTGAAAAAAAAAAAAATTATATATATATATTCCCGCTTTTCTCCCCTCTAAATAAATAGGATTTCACTGCACAGTGTCAAAGGATCAGATTAGAAAAAGAGACTATAAATTCTACAACTTCAAGGAGAACTCATTCAATAACTTAAATTTCAAGGACCATTTCATTCAAATATTAGTTACAGACACATCTCATATAAAAAAGTTTGAAACTTGACCAGTTGCCATGGATTTTAGGGGTAAAACCGTCTCATCTTTGGCTCAATACTTTACAACTGGAGATTGAGGGACATTACCAACCAGTTAAAAGTCTCAGGGGTCAAAAATCTTCTTTTGAAGCATACATTTGAACTGAAGCACCGGTTAAAATAATGATCCGACATGACAGCTATCACTAGGGCCATCTCGTCACCCAGATTTCGCAATACACACCTTTAAGCGACCACTTTAACTCCAAGATCCTCAAATGTCACTCTGCTAACCAGGTCTACCTGATTTAACAGAGACGCTAATTGGGGCACCGATGCTGCCCAATTTCTTTACAATGAAAATGTATGTGAATATCAACGACATGTTAAACCATTTTTCCCCTTTTTGTCGTCATCGAGCAAAATATTTCCCTTACTAAACCACACAACACAAAATTGCGGTGATATGTAAAATTAATTTCTGTGGTAGATAAAAGGAAATTGAGAAGGCAACCTCATAGAACTAAAAAGTAACAACACGAGAAACCTCACAACATATGATATTATTATATAGCATAAACATTATTACCAAGTGGGTACAATGAGAGATGTAAAAGGAAAATAATCAGTAAATGGGTTCCTAATTAGTAGCAAACATTCCCAGTCACAAAGGAGGGATGCCATGCAACAAGATGGAAGCTCGAAAAGGATAATGATAAATATAAGTCTAACAAGTAGCTAGGATACATTGCGACAACTGATGCCTTTTATTTTATTTTCCTAGTTTCTTCTTTTTGTGCAAGTGATTTGTATGACTACGAGTGGAGATGAATTTTACAGGGGGAAAGAAAAAGAAAAAGAAAAAGAAAAGAGAGAGAGAAAGAATTGGATTGAATAACTAAACAAAATGCACATCCAACAATTTTTAATTGGGTGGTAAAACGACATCGCACATGACTCCAATTGAGTACATGGGATTATTCAAATGGCACGGAGTGAAGACAAATTATTTCTAGGGGTCAAAGATTCAGAAGTCAGAACAAAGAACAAAGATTAACTCTTTTTTTTTTTTTTTTATATGTTATGGAGCCTATGACTCCCACTTTACTCAAGAAATGAAAGCACCAGGATTTGAATCCTAGTAGAAACATGCACACATTCACGCAGCTAACCACTTGAGTTAGCCTCAATTGGCCAGATAAAGATTAGATTTGGATTACTTTTTAGTTAGCCAATTTGATACACCACATCAGCAACTCTTTTTCTTTTTTTCCATTTTTTCTTTATAGGAAAAGTGATTATCATATAGACCTACTGGCACACTTAACAAATAACATTATTAGAATACACTATAGCGGCTTAAGTGACGGAAAACTACCGTTTCTGCCCCAAAACATGAACCACAATACTTTTCATTATGTTCCAGCCTGCCACCATGCCTCTGCAACGGCTTCTCAATCTGCATAAGAAAAAGAAACAGAGTAATCCAGCAAACCAAAAAGAATAAAGCAGTGTGTGTGTGTGTGTGTCAAAAAAAAAAAGGCAAGTATGTTAATAATTACAAACAACCGTTTCAATTGAAAAATAATCAAACACATGGACTTGGTGCAGCAGAATTGGGTTCTTGACAAAACAAGAAAACAATGATAAAACTTGAAAAATATTGGAAGGGTACAGAAGTCTTTCCCAACTCATCACAATTAGTGTCCACCTAATTACATTTAATTCTATGTTAATACTTGTACCATTTATGTTGGTAGGTGTTACTAAGAGTTAGCTTACTCTCTGTACATGAACAAAGGTAGTCCCTGACTAGATATACATTAAACAAAAGGTATTATTGCCTTTAGTTTCTATGCATCATCATTTTTATATTAAATACATTTTTTTTGGGGGGATAGTTTGTCCTCCAATCCTTTGGCACTATTCTTTCCTTCAATATAAAGTATATTTTCTCACAACAACACACACACACAAAAAAAAGGAATATAAACGGGGTACTAAATCTAATATTGAGAAAGAGTGAATAGCCCTTCAAAAGTTTAAAGGTGGTGGTCAGCAAACAAGATGCATTACCACTGTTGCTAAAAGAAACATTACAGTATTATTTTCAACCAACCTTTGGTGCACCAATGCCATCCTGCTTAGCTTGTATTAAATTACCATGGCCATCAATTCTTTTCTTGACTATATCGTGTCTCTGCACGTAAAAAATTTATTGCAGATTGTGAATCACATAGATGAATTAATAGCCAAGTCAGGAATTATGGTAAACCTACAGAACACAGTGAAGCAAATATATATTTTTTTTTTTAAGATATAAGAAACGACAAAACTTCATTGATATAGTAAAACTTTACAAATAGTTAAACAATCCAATAAAATTCGTAATTTAGCAATATAACCACTAAAATAAGCAAAAAAAAACTCATGATGGTAGCAACACATACTATATCAAGATGTTGCTCTCCACTGATATCAACTGCATCGAGACTGAGTAACGAACATGGAATGACAGGAAAAGTAACGTCAAACTGCACTTTCAAACCAAAATAGAATTAATAAAACCTGGGATACTACTGTATGAAAAAAGCTGAATTTTGCAAATTCATCTTGGAATTACGCTGCCAATTGAACTTTAAAATATTTGAGAGAGATCTTTGAGTGCCCAAGCACTAAAGGCATTTCAGAAAGATATAACCATTATAAATATCAGGAATTATAAATGCAACAAAGAAGTGATTCGATAGATCAATAATTACACTGATACGCAAAGTTTCGCCTCTTGAAGTATCCACCACAAGCTTTGTGTCTTTTACTGTGTGCAGAAATAACCCTGCAGATACGGTTAATTAATAAATACACAATACAACTGTGAAAAGCAAACAGCAATTAAGTACTTAATAATCAGTACCAAAATGAGTAAGAATCATCAGAATATGCAGAAAATGGAGCAAGATCGCAGCAAAAACAACACCTCGCAGCATTATGGTCATTTTGAATATAACTTTCTTTCTTATTCCCTTTTCCCACAATATTTACTTCTCATCCCTGGTTAGAGGTGGCTACTTTTGAGAATTTCCAATCTTTGATGAAACACAAGCATAACATTTGGTGAGCTAACAAACCCCTCAACCCAATATTACCCTAACAATTATGAGCACCTATGTACCCATGAATTAATATCACGGAAGAACTCTTATGCATTTGTTAGGCCAAGGAATGCTTCTAACCTCAAGCCTATCCCTATGTTTTACTTCTCTAAGAAGATTAATGCCTTCTCGGTGTAAGAAGCTAGGAGATGTAGAGGTCTACTGTTAGTGCACATAGAGTAATATGTTTGTTCAAACTTAAATATGTTCTTTTCAAGGGAAGAAAGAGAGATTCAAAATCAGGCTAAATTACTAAATTAAAGAAATTGTATTTTACTGCTATGGCGCGACCCTGTAAATGAATAGATTATTTACTCTCCCGATAGAAATCGAACATAAACTACAACAATTTGTAAAGAATTCCACTAAAAAAAAATAATCTCCAAAAACAAGCGTTCAACAACTCATTCCATTGATGCTAAACAATATATTTTAAAATGTCTACTTTAATTTTACATAGTCAAGTATATTGACCAAGTCCGATTAGCATCAAATAGCAACTAGGTTTCGAAGTATCAATGGAGAGAGAGAGAGAGAGACGTACAGAACTCGGAGAGGAAGAGGAAGAGCATAATTAGCGAGGAGAAGAGAGTGATAACACCGCCGGAGAGTGTACGGCTGAAGAAATCCTCATTGATTTTAGGGTACGCATCCAAATTCCTCAGCTTTTGCACGATGCTCTCCATGAATTAGATTCAGAGAGGATCCCAAGAAGACGAAAGTAGCAACTAGCAGAGGAGAGAGAGAGAGAGAGAGAGAGCAACAGGTGTCTCTCTCTTATTTAGGCCTTCTTTGACTGTTGACCGACAGAAGAGAAGTCGTTCACCCTCTATTGGACCAAAACGCATGAAATGTGTTTGTGAGTTCTAACTAGAAAACTCTTTCATTAGATTTTAGCTTTTCTTTGGTCCTTGTTTTTTTTTTATAACAATTAATTCTTTTAATTTAAAAATCTTTATAATTAAAGTCATCACACGACGCGCAATAAGCACATGAGGATAATAAAAGTCATTTCTCATCTTAAAGTAATTTACGTCTCGTTTATTTTATCAATTTAAATTTAAAACTTGAGTTTTATTACAGTAAAAAAATCTCAAAAATAATCACATTTAACTTTTTTACTACAGTAAAAAGTTCTTACGTAAAGTCGCATCTCAATTCAAATTAAAAATTTAAATCAGCAAACTAAACGAGTCATTAATATGTCTGAACATAATTAGCAATAATAATCAACCCTTAGTTTTCAAAGGTCATTGTCCTCAACAGAAGCTCACGTGTGCGTCACGTGATCAGAACTGTAAAAAAAAAAATGAGTGGAATCGGTATAAAAAGTCATTTTATTTTGGAGATTTCTACTATATAGTTTAAAAATAAACAATTGGTAGCTCTATATTTTAAACCGTTAGATATATATCAAAAATTATATGTTTTGCAAAGCTTTTCATTTTGATATTATTTTGACTAGATTCAATTATTATAAACTTGTTCTACCAATAAAAACTCCAAGAAGGACCGTTTGTTATTTGACTTGAAGATTTTTGGGTAGGAATTCAAAAATAGTAGAGCATAGCAGTTTTTTGAAATTAAAGAAAGCAAATGTCTGATGGAGAAATTAAATGAAAGAAATGACAGATTTTGGAAAACAATTTTTAAAAAGAAAGATTCTTTAGTACGCTTCGCGTATTGATATATTAAATTTTTTAACTTAACCTATCAGTATATTAACGTAAAGAAAATCCTTTTTAAAAATCCTAAATTCTCATCCACTATATCTTATTCTCTTTCCTCCCTTTTCTTCTTCTCCCTCTCTCCTCAGGACCACAAACAGCTACCAAAATCACAAAGCCAGCAGCGACAGTGGGATTGTCGCAACACTAGAGAATCGAAGCCCACGACAACGTCGGATATCACGCAAATAGTGAGGGGGATGAGAGAGAGGGAAAGCGGTGGATAGAGACCACGAGCAAGAGAGAAAGCCACACAGAAAGAGAGAGCGGCAGAGAAAAGTGTGGATCAAGAGAGAGAGTTACAAAAAAGAAAGAGAAATATAGCGAAGTGAGGGAGATAAATATAATGAAAAAGAGAGAGAGCGTTAGCTCTCAAATTTGGGGTGTTTTAAGGGTATTTTTAGCAATGCAATGAAATTATTATATACAATCTCAAGTTTTCTGCTATTTACTTTACATTTCCTCTCCTATTTATTTTAATTATTTCTCCAAAATATATGTTATTTTATTCATTTTCCAAATATTTTTAGTAAACTCAGTTGAAACTTAAAAATTGATATTCATGTGAGGAACTTTCACTTTTTTGATCTAATTTTGAAAGGCTTTTATCGATTTAACTATATTTGCCACATTAAGAAATTAAAGACATTATTATTGTTGCAAGCGTAACCTAACCCCAATGGTAATTTATACACGGCTCCATCATAAATGGGTAGATTTAAATTCTTCCATCCCAAATTTACACAAAAATAAAAGTAAAAGAATTAATTCTCAAGAATAAAATATTAGAAATCAAATAGTCAAATCACCTAAAAAAATTATGAGAGCCCTCAAAGGTTTTAGCTCATTCTACAAAGAATTATTTAATATAAATGACAATTAGAACCCTAATTATTTTTAGGAAGCTTTTCAAACTTTTAAAAATATTACAAAAGAACCAAAATATAAGGCATTCTTTAAATTTTAGACGGAAACAGGAGAGTGTGGCATGAACAGTCATAGATTTTTAGTTTTAAGGATTAATTGTAATTTTTTTATTTTATTTGAGGAAAATTTTGTTGGTTTTACTAATCAATGAGGGGTTACACGACGATAGATTTAGGCTACAATGGGTTAGATAATAAGATTTAGACGGTGATCTGCAATTTTTTTAGAAGTGAGAGAGGTTAAGAGGAAGAATAAATTTTTGTTTTGGTCTTTTTATTTTTGAAACAAGGTTGTTGATTTATTTGAGATTTTTTTTTTCAAAGAAAATTTAGGTCGTCATAGCAAACAATGAAAAATCATCATGAAATAGCATAAATTTTAAGTGATGGAAAACTAATATCATATTCTTTACAAAATTACATAACTAATCCCACCTCCTCTCCCAAATTACTCGTTGCCTTAACGAGTTTTCATCGCTATCGCCATTCGTTATGAGCCCAACTTGACGGCCTAGCCATCAACAGTGGTCGATGAAGCTGGCAGCTTCTTCTCGAGCAAGGTCCTAGAAAGATCCTGTCCTCACAAGTCTCTCGTAGTTCGTAGAGCAACGACTCACTTTCGTAGCTCATCGTAGTGAGCAAACCAATAGAGTGTTTACCGCCCTCTCTTACTCGATTTTCTGTGTTCTCTGGCGTCTCGATGTTCTTCTCTGGTGGCAATCTTCGTCAGGCTTTGTTCAATGCTTGTTGATGGATGGTGCTAAGGGCGACTGTTGCTTCGTGATTAGAAATTACAATTTTCAAATTAGAGATTTAGGGTTTTCAAAATTTAGGAATTTTTTAAGGTTTCAGAATAATTAAAAACAAGAATAAAATGGAAAAAATAAATAAATAGTTTTTTTAAATATGTTATTTACTACTAATTTATTTACTTACTCAAGTTTATAAAATCTATTTTATACTGCAAAATTTAAATAAATAGAAAAAAATAAAAAAAATATTATTTATGTTATTTTATTAAAAAAAATAAACAATTGTCATTGAAGAGAAAATAAAATGTTAATATAACTAATTGTTTCAAATGACATTATTAATAATAGTTTTGTACAAAATAATGATAAATCATGTATTTTTTTAAATTAAATATTAAATAGATAAAAAGGGGTCCGTGTTCTAAGCCCGGATCTGGACCCGGACACGAACCGGGCAAGGCCTTATCTAGCCAACCAAGTTCACGGTAATTGGCAACCGTCGAGTTTGATTTCAGTTCAGAGACGGTGGCAGAGTGGTACGCAAATGAGCTTAGCGCTCCTCCAAGGCTATTCTTCTTCAGAAGAAGAAGCAAAAGCTCATCAACAAGACCATGAGCTTCTCCACCGCACCTCATCCGACGACGAAGGCGGCGGCGACGACGATGACGACGACGAAGAAGCCTCTGCCGCCTTCAAACGCTCCATGGCCGACAGATCCCTCTTCGATCTCCCCCAAGCTAGCGCCTCCGGCCTCCCTTCCGCTTTCGATGCCTTCTCCGAGGTACCTCACTCTCTTTTCTCTCTGTTTGGCTACCGAGAATTCCAAGGAAAATTCGGCCCTTTTATTGTTTGGAGCAGTTTAGGTCTGATTTTTGTTAGGGTTTTTGTTTTTGTTGTGGTTTATGGAGGTTTCAGGACCGCCTGGGTTTTTGAAAAATTCTGTTGAGGAGTATGGTTCTTCTTCCACCGGAGACGTGGATCAGCAGCTTGGGATTGGCAGGCATGGTCGCCGCAGGAATCGAAAGGACAAGAAAGATCTACCTGCTGGTACATATGTTATTATATAGTGAAATTTCACGAGTTTTTTTCCCCCCTTTTTGGTGATTTTGAATATTACATGATTAGATTAGAGATCAAATTTTGTCAAAATGATTTTCTTTATGCACATAAGTTGTTTTAGATAGAGAACGAGGCACAAAATATAGGCAGAGTATCTGAATTTCGTTTGATGTTCGAAAATACAAATTCCTTATGTGGGAACAATGTAGAAAATGTGAATACTCTGGTTTTGGACTTTTTTTTTTTTTTTTGAAGAATCAGTTTAGAGGTCTCCTAGTATATTTTGTTATGTGATTTTGTTTTTTGTATGCAATCAATTCGTTAAGGAGAGAAATAAAAGGAAGTCATCCCTTCACCAGTTGCTTTGTAGAAGGGCTCATTATTAAGGAACATATTTCCTACAAACTTTGATCGCAGTTAGCGAGAAATTGCGTGATTGTAAATTTCATGCAAAATGACATGTTTTTCAACGTGTGACATGAGACGGTAAAAGTGTTGCAACTAAGTTATAACCATTAATTCATCTGAATGTTTTTTAAGTAATGACTTATGTATTGGTTATGCCTTTATTTCTGTCTTCGTTTTAAAATTTAGGGTAAAGGTAATGGAATTGAACTTCCATCTTCTCTATGGTTGATGGTCTTACTTTGTTTCTTTGGCTGCTATGTGATGTGCAGCAAAACATTAATGCTAGAGGAAACAACTTAAGATAGATAATGAACAGACTCATTGATTAGTGACTTATTTAATGGTGTTTGGGATCCTCCAGCTTTATCTAATAGAAACAATGGGTATTACTTGTTATGTTCTGTAGGTGCTGTAATGGAATCAAAAGCCCAACTTGTGGGAATACATGAACGAGTTAGAAGTGATATAGAGGGTAGACAACCTCCATCATCAACAGTTTCAAGCACAACACAAGGAGGCGAGCGCGTGGTCTCTGCAGCCAATCCAAATGCAGAGGATGCTGCGGAGCTACTGAGGTATGTCGTGTTGCCAGCCATTTTGTGTGTGTATACACACGCATACATGTACGTTACATGTGCATGCATAAGGATATGTGTGTCACCCACTCGCGTGTTTGTGTTGTGTAAGGTGTGTGTGCATGTGTTTTCTGTTTTAACCTCAAGTACCTGATGATAAAGACGGCTCTGGTAAAAGGATTTGGTGTGGAATACGGTGCGGTACTCTGAGTTAGGTTTAGTTTCTCGACTGAAAATCAATTTATCAAAATGGTAATACATGACATTTGTCACTTTCAAAGTTTCAATTCATAAAACTTTACTTTTATTTGCAAATTGACTTCTTTTGTCCTTTTCTTCGTGTACTTAGGGGCCCTGGAAAAGGGGACTTGTCTTTTATTTCCTACAACTTTCATCTCCATCTCCATTAGTGATTTAGTGGCAGAAAAAACTCGACTGCCACGTGAGCTGCCATACAACTTGGGAGTTGGGATAAAAGATTTTTAGATCTATAATGGGATGTTTATTTAGGTATCTGGATTTACAACTTGATAGATAGAATGATGGAAAAGTTGCATCAACGAAGAGTTGCGTGATGTGATCAAACAATTTAATCATGTTTGATCACGTGTTTTGATGGTCTAAAGGTGATATCTTGTCTCGACAGGATGTGTTTGCAATGTGGAATACCGAAGACATTCTCTAGTGCACGAGGAATGGTATGCCCAGTATGCGGCGATTGTCCTCCAGCTGACCCGAGCAATGAGACGAAGAAGAAGGGTTCTGCCATCAAAGACAAGGAGAAGAGTAAAAGGATGAAGGGTCAATCTTCTCACGCTACATGGAAAAGTGAAACGGAGATGCAACTTCGGCAGCAGTTCGATTAGCAGTGGCGAACGGTTTGTTTTGTCTTTATCATTCACTTGTGTAACTGGGTAGTTCATTCCTGGGATATAAAACTTGTTTTGGTATTAGCACCGTACAAATCATATATACTGCTAGTGTGGTTCTTGGGAGTAACTAGCATTTTAATCATCAGTACGATGATGAAGTTGGTGCATGTTGTGTGTCGCTATCAGTAGAAATATCATTTTATAAAAATCTTAATATTAACAATACCTAAATTTTACGAAAATCAGCATTTTAATCATCAGTACGACGATGAATTTAGTGCATGTTGTGTGCGCGTAGTGTTTACTGGATGAAGGATTTTGCTAAATACAGACATTATTTTGTTCTAGCTGGGAATCATTAAAGGGAATGTCTATGGCAGAGAGCGGAAAAATCAGGGTACATAAATAATAGCCGTTAGATTGATGTTTGACGGTGAAGATAAACAAACTTGCATAGACCCCCTCACACCAGAATAAAAAAGAAAACCACCTCCAACTTGGTCCCTGCTGAGCAGTGGACGGCGCGCGCAACCAATGGTCGTAACGAAAATTTCAAACAAATATCAGAGAATCCAATCATCCATGAGACAAAATCCAAAAAAGAAAAATACAGATCTGACTAGCGAAGATCTTTACGGTTGCAGATCTGGGCACTCGGGGGACCTAATCAACAAGCATGGGTCTTGTTCTTCTTCAACTTCGCCAAACAGAGAAGCACGGCGAACCAACTCTTCCCCACAACGGCCCGATTTAGCTTTCCTCCACAGCGGCGCGAGCCAAATTTCTCCCGTGACGGTGCAATCTAGCTCTCCTCACGTGCGACTTTCCAAGGCAGCACGAATAACGTTCTTCGCTGTTTTCTCGTCCAAACGGCAATAACAAATTATCATTTCATCAACTCTCGCGGCTGAGCTCTGTTGGTGGTGATCTAGTTGCGACCCCATGGTTCTCAACCCCTTTGCCTGAGCTCCATCCAGTCTGAGGAAATCTCACAGCTGAGCTCCATTGGATTCACGCCTAGAGGGTTGATCACCGTAGGCAAGATACGACGACAGTGGGCACAGGGTGTGAGATCCTACAGTGATGACATGCAGAGGCCGAGCTACCGACGGCGAGGGGACCGCGGTGGCTATGGGGAAGATTCAGTTGTGGCCGCAGATCTAACTTTTTTTTGGAGAACAAAAGTTGTAATAACATGTGGGAGGTTGTATATTACTTTAGTGCACTTTCATATTTTTTCTACCGTTGGATTTATATTAGTGTACCCCATCGGTAAGGGATTTTTCTGCCCCCCAACATAGGACATTCCCATCATTAAATAGTGTGGGAGAAAAGTGTGTGAGTTGGTTAAAGAGGAAAATGGCACTTATATAAATATGTATATAAAAAATGGTTTATTATCGTGCTTGTTTGAAAAGTTTAAGTGAGACGTGTCAAAAGAAGAATGTAGCATCTGAATAAAAATTAGAAATAAAATATTTATTTAGCACTCCTCTTTATGTCGCTACTTTTTTTGTCTGGATTGTGACAAGCCTTAACTAGTCTATTTGTATGGTGCAAACCCCAAACTCTGGCATCCGTCCCATTATCCAGAATGTCATTTCTCATACGTAATTCGATCCGAAATAGTATAATTGGTATCAATAGAGAGCCCAATAAAGCCAAACAATTATCTGGGAACATGTATGCAAGTTGACCAATTTCTTATGCCAAAATGTTATTAGAACTACATAGTGCTAAAATCATCGAACCAGTTGTGCAATAAAGGACATTAAGAAGGTGTTTGGCATGAAAATTCGTGTCATAGTTCGAATTATAATTCTTGACTTGCTATAATGTTTTCTCACAAAAAATACATATAAATCGAGAATAATTTTGAATCATAATTCTGAATCCGTGAACCAAACGTCTACTAAAGTAAATGGATGATTGGTAAATCGACCTATATAAAAAATAAAAAATAAAAACAAAAACAAAAAAAACAAAGAAAAAAAAATTAGTATTGTCAACAAGACTTAAACTACATGAAAATTTTTGCAATGAGTTGGTAAAATTGGTTATGCCCAGGCAAATTTTTATAACATAGAGTTGACCACTTCATTTTTAACTCTAGGATATCAATTCTAGCTGTGATGTGCTATGGTGGACAATAGAACTTGTCATGTCCATAGAAAAGATAGAAAGGAAGCGTTAATGATGATCATTTTAATATCAGTAAGAGCAAATGTACTATGGACTTTGCAGGGAGAGGTTAGATGATAAACACCCCTGATACATGACAAAATTGACAAAAGACAAATTAAATAGGTGAGATAAAATACATGGGGCAACACCTTTCAGTGATATTGAGCTCAGAAAGTGGTATCTACGACTAAATGGCAACAAAATTAACATTCAGCACAATATAAAAGTTTCACAATGTTTGAACTGATGCTACCCGTTTATCCATCATCAGTCATCAGCGTCTCTTTTCTGCCATCAGCTATAGTTTCTTCCTCACAACCGGCCTGTTTCTCAGCCATCACGGGTGGACTAGAAATAGACTCGTGAATCTGTTTGCGAAGATCAGAAAATAAGTCCAACAATGCAAGAAAGCCATATGTTACAATGAAAATTCTATAACAAAGTGCAAAACCTTACCAAGGCATGAGATCTAAGAGATAAGGAGTCATTAGAAGGCACTCTAGATGGGTCCGAAGGTCGGTGAAACAACAAGTGTGCTATAGAACGATCTATGGGATTCGTATCAGTCTCCATATCCATAAATCCAGTGCACCTGATAGAGGCCATTAATGTTTCAGAACCCAAAAAAAAAAGGTCATTCATGACAATTAAGGAAAAGATTCAGAGATACAGTAGTTTTTGTAGCAGAAGTGAATGTGGACTTCCATGTCAAACATTGTCTCGCCCAAAATCGTATCAGGTTTTATAGTGTATCTATAAAATAAGAGTACGCCCACCCAAGTACAGAGAATATAGTACGGTGCAAGAGTAGTATAAAAACTCGGATATTCCATTAAATGGGTGAGTATTTATGTATGTACGTTTAAAAAGAGTGTGGCATCCAAAGAAAATGATATCCAGAAAAGTTCGTAAATCACAGTAATTTCTCTTGCAAAGCTACTGAGAGAACCCTATGATATTTGACACTGATTTTTTACTTTGGTTTTTATTTTATATTATTTTGTTTTATTTTTTGGGAACAAGAAAGAGAAATTTATTAATACAGAAAATATTACATCAGTAACCCAAGGATAAGATATCCTCAGATATGATACAGAACAAAAATTTAATTCTTTGTTTCTTAAAATAAATGAAAACTTACTTACACACGTGGGTCAGAAACTTCAGTTTCGTGATTCTTTTATAAGTTTTATTTCCACGTACCTATTATTTATATATATTACACCTATCTCCTTTACTAACCCCGCCTATGCGTTTGTATAGCCGGTCCCAAGCCCAGGTAAAGGAGGAGGGTTGCGATAGGTTGACGACCAGCGTAAAAATATGTCACTCATGGATTTCACTCATATAGAATTTGTTGTTGTTGTTGACACCTATCTCCTTTACTATACATTTTGTTGGGCATACGTATGAATACATATGCCTATAACAAACATGCAACAAGGATCAACTCTACTTGAATACTGCTTCACTGAGCTAGACGTTGAAGGCCATTTCACACAAAATGCTGAAAGTTAGAACCATATCAAAATCAATCCCACAAATCTCCACTTTTGATACACACGGATGCTGGTGCGTGCATGTCATGAGCCAGACTCCTTAAATGTTAAGAGTTATTAACCACTCAACCTAATTTCAGTTGGTTGCACCTAAGTTGAATAACCATGCCAATATAACAAAAGTAGGAATCTTGTATATTCAAATTGTTGCATCTAAGAAGACTAGCTTATCAAGGGGAATAGGACTCAATTACTTAAATTAGGTGCGTTATGTTCCTCCATGCTTTTAGGTAGTCATATGTTGTGTTTTGCATGAATGTTGTATATGATCTTCTAAACTATATATTTTTTGAATATTTATTTTATTGCTTTATTGTATATTTTACTTTGTAGTCATGAAGCTGTTGTGCTTCCTAATATTGTGGTCTGTTTGTTCCCGTTTCCATGACATGTAAACATTGAACCAAAGCTTTATTTAAAGCTTGGATCTATTCAATAAAAGGCATCAAAGAATTATTTGCTGCAACTTTGAGTGGTCTTGGGAGTTGTTGGACCGTCAAAGTGCCAACAATTATCATTTGGAGGTCAAGGTTCCTTCGAATGAATCTACTTATTTTCAATGATTTCTTTTATTATTGTCACTCTTTGTTATGTATACAAGGGTATCTTTTGTACATAGTTCTTTAATTATTAATTAGAGATTTCTGTTTTTATTTATAAAAAAAGAAAAAAAAAAAGTGTATCAATAACACTTGGTTTCCAAAGCAGGCCAGTCATGGAGCAAATCCTTTCAAAGCTGAATCATATAAAGAACATGGTGAAGGCTATCCCTATTAGACAAGATGAACGACTGCTTAAGATCGAGGGGATGCTGAGGATGTCGAAAGAAAAGTTGAAATCTCCATCAAGAGTGGTGATCTTGATGAGTACTCAACAAAGTAGAAACTTTACGATTTCGGTTTACACACAAGATGTTCAATACAATTGCAAATCAAGAGCAATTATTCCCTAATTTTTATCTTGAAAACGAGTAAGAAATAAGATGGTTCAAATACCATACAAAAAGAGAAAGAAAGGCTTTGTTTACGTCCAAAGATAGAAGTGGTCCTAAACGTTAGTGCAACAACTCCTCCAGACTAAACCCTAGTGAGGAAATGTTTAAGGCTGAATCAAGGGAGCAATTTGATGAGAACAACTACTTCTCTACGTACTCACTCATAAATAAAAAATGGAGACGACTATTCTCAAAAAGTTTACCCTTAAGGATAAGAGTGCTTTTAAAAAGAAGGATTGATACGATTTTCTAAATTAAAATTTTTTGTTTTTATTATTTATATCGCTATTGTAGATTTTATTTCACAGTTATTTGATTGGTTACATTCATGGAGCTGTTGTAGTTCCTATTTTCTGTGACATCTAAACATTGAACCAAAGGGGCTTTTTTTTTTTTTTTTTTTTTTTTTTTTTTTTTTTTTTTTTTTTTTTTTTTTTTTTTTTTTTAAGCTTCGCTTTATTCAAGTGAAGGCATCAAAGAATTATTTGCTACAGCTTTGAGTTGTCTTTGGAAGTTGTTGGACCATCGAAGTGCCAACTGCCAACAACTATCAGTTGGAGGTCAAGGTTCCTTCCAATAAACCTGGCTTATTTTCTCGAGTTTCTTTTATTATTTACACTTTTCGTTAAAGACGAGTGTGTCTGCAACAAAAGTTTACGCATGCAGACACCTTGGGTTTTAGTGAATTTTCCCTTATTTGAGAAACGCAGTTGCCACACATAAAATATAATGCATTAGATGCACAAAATTCTGCCCTACGTAGTTTAATATGTGTCTGTTCTCATGCCTAAAGTTATGTGGAGTCAAGGACAAGGCAATACAGTAATGGAAAGAAATTATATGTTGAGTGCGTATAAAGCAAGCATAATTCCCATGATACATCACATAACTAAATTTAAGCTAGTGGAAAGAAAATGGTGACATACTTGCTTGTTTCTTCAACCATCAGTGCTCCGGTAGCATCTCCATTATCTCTATAACCTCCCCTCTGATTTGCACAATTATGCCTCTGTTCTGCACTCCTAGCCAAGCGGTACAGACTATCTCTTATGCACAGTTTTGTCCTGACATCCAACTAAACTCAGAAGCGTTTAGATAAAAGAATTTGGATATGCCATGTCTATGCTAGTTGACATGCTTATTTAAAGTTAAATTCTAAAAATTTAAAAAAAAAAGTGACAAAAGTACACAAATGTTAGGCTTATTTTCACTAATAGACCCTGAGAATATTTACTTGCCTCACTTTGGCCCCTAACATTCACTTTTAGTAACGTTTCTGAAATACACAGTTTTTACCCAACCATTAATAAACTGCCTTTTTCCAGGTTAAATCTAACATGAGCATGGTACATGAGGCTTTTAAGAGGACTAAAATGGTAAAAAAGAAAAATATAAGCATGTTTGGAAAGAATATATGTATACGTATATATGTATATATATTACAAAGAGAAAGACCAAATCCAAAAAAGTTTCAGGTTTTTTCCTTAGAATTTTTTTCAGATCTGATTTTTTTTTTAGCCATTTTGTCCCTCTTAAAACCTCACGTGCCATCCTCTAAAAGTGAATGATGGGACCAAAGTGAGACAAGTAGATATCCTTGGTCGCCATTAGTGAAAAGATATTATGCTAACAGATATATTAATGAAAAACGGGACATGCACATTCAAAAGCTTGCTTAACGCCTCTCAAATAAAATCCTCATAAAATTAATGTCAAAGAACAAAATCTACCGATTTCTATGAAATTCCTTCTTCCACATTGCAAATACTTCCTGACTTGTTTAACTTTACTAGATGATCTTAAGACAAACTGGGAAGTACCAAAGTTTGGATTTTTTTTTTTTTTTTTGCTTTAAAAAAAGGAAAAAGAAAAAGAAGAGAAAAGAAAAAACAAGTCATGTACACATTTGGCTTCTCTCTCCAAGAATACTCATTTTGAGTGAAATCATAAGTCAAATAGAAAAGGTGGCAGATGCGCTTAAAAAAAAAAAAAAAAAAAAAAAAAAAAGAGGCATGACTAAGCAACTTTCTGCAACCTCTTTAGCCAGAGAGAGAGAGAGAAACAACTTTCAACAACTCGAGCTATACAAACAAAGAGAATCAAAGACAAATGCAAACTTCACCAGACTCCGTTAAACGAAAAAAGATTACGAAAAAGAACAGAGGGAGACCAGAAGAAAAAAAAATCGAGAAATCAGACATTAGGCGCATCCATATTTTCTCCTCAAGATCAAACATAACAGAGAATCCTGCTCAAAGGGGAATATCCAAACACCACAAAGCAATGTTTCCCAATTCCAAGTTTCCATACGTAGTCTCCACCTATCCTTGGATTTTATCACAATTTCATAAGCCACTAAATGATCATCCTCTTTTAAACCCTCCCTGTTGCTTCGCAAAGACCAAGTCTCTTTCTACTTTCTTAGTGAAACTCCTACAAATTGTAGAGAGAGAGAGAGAGAGAGAATAGATTAAACTTATAGATTACCCAACAGTAAATCCCTGTTCTACCCATGCAGTTTCTTGGAAATTCTCACTTCCATCTAACAGTTTCCTTTGAGTTTATTATCATCTCGTGGAATCGCAAGGTACTTCATCGGCAAACTACTAAAAGAATAAGTTAACTGTCTAGCCAAGTAAACCAGGAATTGCTGATTAAACGCCAGTGTAATTCCGTGATTTTTATTATAGTTGTTATCTTTTTTCCTTTCTTTTCACGTGCAAAGCTAATTGTATTAATAATTTAAAGAAACTGGCACAGAGCTATACCTTTTCCATAACTTGTTGAAGCTGGAGAAAACTAGTTGCTTCCAGTGAGATGTCATCCAACACGGAGCTCATGCAGGAACTCTCTTGTAAATTTGAAGAATCAACTTCAGCTGGAATCTCATTGCTTGCTCCTTCAATATCACTATGCCCTCCGATCTGATTTTCAGATTTTTGCTCTTCCTTCTGCTTTGAAACTTTATTGCCAAATACTACTGGATTTGTTGTTGCAGCATTTTCAAAATTCATAATGAATGAGGATTGAAAACCCTGGCAACTATGTGGCTTTTCTGTATTTTCACTTATTGTTGCAATAGGAGTTTCTGTTAAAGGACCACGGAAATTCTCCATACACTGTAATTGGTTTGATCCATAAGAAGACTCCTTAAGAGAAGATGGTTTGCCGTCTTTTTCAGACTTTACACTAGGGGTTGGGCAGACTGAAATTTGATCTGATTGACGAGTATGATCCACGTGCATATATGGAAGTTGTCTCTGATTGTAACTCATAGAGTTAGGTCCAGCAATCTGTTTGTGTTGTTCAATACCTGGTGCAGAATAAAATTGACTGGATAAGTCTCCATGCGGTTGCTTCATATCTGTAAGTTGTTTCAGGTAATCATAATGATGAAACGAACCACCATTTTCTAGGTATTGATCTGTTGTTTCCCCTTCTAACTGGGCGTCGTGCTTTGGCTGCTTTTTACAAAAAAATTATCTATCATGCAAATCTTGCAATCTATTAGTACGTGGAACCTGGAATACTAAAGAAGACAGACGTATTCTGAACATATTCATGAGAATCAAGAATCTTGATTCTTGACTTTTACATGCCACAATCCTAATAAGCTTCCACTCAAGGACAAGCGAGAGTGAAAAGACCAGATTGAGGTATCCATCAGATGGGAAATGGGAAAAAGCTTCGGCAGTGGAAGAAAGCTCATGAAAAGTTAATGGCCAAAGTTCTTTTTTCAGTTAAATGACCTTTTTTTTTTTTTTTTTTTTTTTTCTTTTGATGGGTTTTACAGTAGTTGATCAATGATATACCAGTGGTTTATCACTGATAAACCAGTCTCATTCATTTACCAATGGTTTATCACTAAGACCAATAATTTATTAATTGAAATTGGCTAAACACTGAATAATATTAGTGCATCAGTGATAAACCACCAAGTCAATCAGTGATAGACCATAAATCAGTCCGCACTGATTTTCTTTTTGCTAGAAAGTCCACACTGATTAACCATTTCTAAAACAGCTATTTCCTAATCTAAAAAACTTGGGTCATCTACCAGAGAAAGGCTTAAAAATGGTCATTTACTTTGAAAGCTCTTCATTCAAACGATTCTGGATTACCTTAAATAACGACAAAGCCAAATGCAAGCAAAACTTTTCTAATAGACCAGTGTCTGCATTCATATATGTTGACTTAAACTGCAAGTGGCTTAAGACAACACTGAATGGGGTAAATAATAAAAGTAAAAACAGCATTGAATGGTAGAAGAATATAATTCTCCTAGATTTAAAAGATTTCTTTTTTCATACCCACAAAACTTATGCAAACCTAAGAGGTATTAAAGCATGGAAAAGATGACGGTTTCAGTAATTTGAAAGCATACGTTATTTACCTGTTCTTTTGGCATCAATATATCCCTACTCTCAAGTTTTGAATCTAATCCACTAAAAATGATACATGACCAAGAGCAGCAGGATCATCAAAATCAGTATTTTCTGAACTCTGTTTGTTACCAACAAAGCCACTTATCTTGTTTGAACTATTGAATGGCCTAGATTACCTGGCTTAAAAGCATCATAATGTTCGGAGACACCTTTTGATGAACCAGCGTTTGGACCAGCAAACTTTAATCCAGACTTCAATGCGTCTTCGGATCCTTCAGTAGCATTTGATGATGAAAACCAGGACAACTCCTCATCATTGTTGAGACTTTCCATTCCAAATGTTGAGTCGCAACTTCTACAGAAAAAAACAAACCATGCTTTTAAGTAACTTTATTGATTGGGTAAGACGAAAAAAACCTTAAAGCCAAAGCTTGCAAAGAGCACCTAAACATCCTGTCAACATCTTCAAAATTTCCTATATCAGGCCAACCATAATATAATAGATCACCATTTTCTCTGTCTTCTCGATCATTATCAAAGAAACTAAGTTCATAGCCAGTTTGGGGTATCCGACTGAGAGGATAACGATATAAGCTATTATCAACTGCAGTACACCCATCACCCATTATAGAATCATCAACGCAGAATTCTGAGCCTCCAGATTCTACATTGTCACTTTTGAAAGAATTGTTGGAAATTCTTGTACCATCTGATGCTAAACTAGTCACTTCCTTTATTGAGTCAGTATCACATGAAGGAAAAACACCATCAAGAGTGTCAGACCACGAGCCCTTCTCCAACATTGTATTGTTATCGGTCACAAATGGTATGCTTCTATTCCCCTTTCCTCCAGTATAGTGCGTAGTTGAAGTATCACCATTACTTGCAACACCAATTACTTCACTCTGTGGTTTCTTACGACTATCTCCCTCTGCGAGTGATTTATCTGCATGCTTATTTCCAGAATGAGGCACTATATGATCATCACTATCGCCAAATTCATCCCACACGTTATCTTCAAGCTGTAAAACCATCAAAATAAAATTAGGCATATAATATGATATCTCATGAAGTATGAAAGAAAAGGTTGAAAGGATCCACCAGATAATAAGACGACTTGTTGAGAGAAAAAAAAAATTTGCCCAACCTACAGAGGGACATACCAAAGGAAACAAAATGAAAGACAAGCCTTTAGATGTTCTTCAAGGGACCGAAGATGGTAGGAAAAGAGGAATATAACTGAAATTCCATTAAATTTTCTGCGTAACTAATTCACACACTAATTTAGAGTTTCCCTTCAATAAATATTATGCCTGATGGCAAATTTATCATACCTTTGCCGAGCATTTATTTAGCTGGTACTTACTATCCATTCACAATTTGAACAATAAGCAAACATCAAACCAAGCCATCTTGCTTTCTCATCTTGGAATAATAGTTTTGATTTTTGTCTACTCCTAAAAGAAAATTGTGGTCTTCAGAGTCGTCCACAGAGTTTTCATGCAAATCTTTCCTCTCCTCAATGACTGATTATCCAACTCACCCAATTATCAGACCTTCTCAAATCGTATGAGAGGCTAGTATCTCAACCAAGGTTCATTGGTTATTTTGGCTTTAGCTCATTGAGAGGTACACACATGTAATATGATGTGAAAGAGACGGCTAGACGCCTGCTTATTGTCAATTTCCTATGTTATTCATAAGTTTTTAACGGAGAGAAAAAGTTAAAAACAACCACTTCTTCCTTATTTAGTGGGCCTTAAATTGTGGCGGCATTGGCCGATTGAAGTAACAATTCAATGGCTAATAGCCTAATTCTAAAGTCACGTTCCTCTATATTTATTTGCGAAGAGCAAGAAAGGGAAGTTGTCTTAGAAGTGTGCAATTTTAGCTTTGTTTCAGATCGTTTGCTTGGAGGGAAATGGGAGGGTTTTTGAAGACAGATCTCAAGAATTGTTTTTTATATGACTGACATAATTTTTCGCTTTCTCTGCACCCTAACATCAAAAGCATATCTTTCTCTTATCGCATTTCCCCAGGAGGAAAAGCGTGATTGTTTTCTGGGTTATTTGGGGAGTGTTTCAAGTCTTGAGAAGGATTCTGAACATTCCATATTTTATTGATTCTCATCTCATTCCTTTGTTTTTATTCTCTTCAGTTGCCCTTTCCTGTTTCAATTTACAAATAGTCCATTTCATACCCAGTCATTCCATTCCTGCACAGTCGTTTCTAATTATTCCATCTCTCTTCTTCTTCATCTGCTTATCTATGGAATCTTTTTAGCCAAACCCTATGCCTATATAGGTTAAACAATTTAACCAGCCAAAGCAGTCTACAAGTAATAAACGTAAAACTCATGTTGAGATGAATTAAAAGATACATCCCATTCCTGTAGAAGTTTATATATTCTTGCTGAAGGGGTGGGTATACGCTTTTAGTACTTCAATACCTCATACAAGCACAAGTCTGACATTCCTCCAAGATCCTCTAACCCCCACCGAGAACACATGCAAGCGTTTGATCTGAAGTCATGTTTGTGGCAGGAAGTCTATCTCCGCTTATGCTTTCTGAATAGAAATAACACAGGAAAGTATTAGGGGAACACAAATCAACTTGCAAGAACCCTAATAATCAGGTTAACAAAAAAAAAAAAAAAATCCATAATTAGGTCATATTAAAAAAAGAAAAATGTGTTATGTCAATCCATTTCACTATTGTAAAAGTAAAACCAATTTATGCACTGTTAATTTTTTCACGATTGTAAAAGTAAACCCAATTTTTGCTGTGGCACAGTTGGATAGCTTCTATGTCTCATATCCATTTCACTATTGTAAAAGTAAAACCAATTTATGCACTGTTAATTGTTTCACGATTGTAAAAGTAAACCCAATTTTTGCTGGCACAGTTGGATAGCTTCTACGTCTCATAGTTATCTCCACGATTGTAAAAAGTAAGAACAGGGAAAGGGACCAAAATAATGACTTCATTCTTTTATTGACATTGTTAAGGAACCTAATACCACCCGCAACCCAGATCCCTGTGTTATCTTTTGCATGTCTCAATAATAACTAAGACCTAGTAAAAAAAAATAGCCCCCGTTTGATTCACTGGTTTGAATTTTGTTGATTTGAACTGAAAAATTCAAATTGTTTGGTTTAAATTGTAGTTTGAATTGACGTTTGGATGTGTAATAAAGTTTTAATTTGAACACATAATAAAATTTGAATTTGTGTTTGGTTAGGTGTGAAAAGCAGCGAGAGTGGACACCTTGTTACTATTCAGAAATGGTTTGAACGGTTGAACTTGAGGGGGAGCTAAACTCTAAGTTGGGCCGTTTAACTCGGTTCAAACGGGGAATATAATTCAAACTACATGCTTACCAAACGCCAGTTCAAACTGTGTTTACCGTTCAAACTAAGTTGAACTAAACTAAACTAGTGAAACCAAATGAGGGAATAATCACCTGATATGTTCAACCACCTATACAGGTTTTCTCCTCCATTAGGTTTTCTGTGTGAGAAATCTAAATCCATGTGCGCTCAGTCTGTGCAAACCAACATCGCTCAAGCAACCGCAAAAAGTGGCCATGATCCGGCTGCAAGTTAATATTTTAGCAATCTAGTTGTAAAGGAATGGTACTCCTTGGATGTCATATGTCATTGGTCTTCCTCCAATAATCCTAAATTTTAGGTTTTCCAACTTTGTTGTTGCTTTTGGACAATTTTGCAAAATTCCTTGCGAATTTCAGCATCCCAAATAGAAAAATGTTGGTTAAATTGGAAAGAAGTTATGTCTTTACTTTTATTTTTCTCCTTTAATCTTGTTCGATGTCAAGCACTTCTATACCCACTAGTTTCACTAAAATTTCAAGGTATTTTTTCTTTAACGAAGTGTTCTATGAAAATGGAACTCTAACACCATAAGTACAAAAAACCATGTTTAATTATTTGTCCACTGGATTTTTTTTCTAATGTATTTGAAACAAAACAATGAACAAATCAAATCCCTATGCATAGTTTACTATGAACGACGTGGCGTTTAGTTGATCAAAGGAAATTAACAAATCAAATCCCTATGAATAGTTATGAAGCGACAATCTGAATTCTGAAACGCTAGGAAATCTTCAATCTCAACACATGTTTCCTAAAGGAGCCCTATGAACTTGATACGTCATTACAGAAACATCTTTGTTGTATAGAAAACATAGAGAATGCTTGAGACTTCTAATCACCACAATAAGTAAACAACTTGATAAGGTTTCCACAAGACATTGCTAGAGTATGAACGAGACTATGTAAGTTAGGTTTAAATCTACTTAAGGAACTTTAGGCATGCGATGGAACATCATATGCAGGCAAAGTATGTAGGAAACTTCCTTGTGCATTTGTTAGGTTGTTAAGATGCGGAGCATGTAGTTGAACAAGCTATAAACCAACAGTGGATTCCTCTCTAGCTTCTCGTCATACAGATTTCTTCAGAATTCACAAGAATCGTCATATAGTTTGGCCACAAGATCAACTAGTTGAGAAATTCGGTTATCCATTCGACTCACAGTACTCTTAAGATCAGAAACTTCATCATCCAAATGGTTATGCTCTTTTGAAAACTTTTGAAAACTTTTGAAAGGGCTCTTTTCCATCATTCTTCATATGATTGTGAGAGAAATTGGAATGCCTTGGATTCAGCTTGAGCCTAGAAGCCTCCAATCAACACATGAGAGGGGCATAATGAGCATTTTAAAGTATGAAGAAGATAAAATGAAGGACACTCACGTTAGCTGGCACGTTGGCTGCGTGAGGCATCTTCAATGGTCAAAAGTAACCATGCTTCGAGTGGCCTAACAGGGCCAAACAGGTGGAGCTAAAGGTCCCATTTCCCAACCAAACATGAATACACATGACAATAAAGATGGGCAACGACAGGAGTCATGGCAGATGCTAGTGGGAACTTTTCCAACTATGTTGAATGATGGGGTTTGCCTCCGATTTGATTGGTCGCAGCGATAGGACAAAATGAGCGGTAGCCGGAGGTGTGCAAAGAATGAGGGTCATGGGTGTTTTAGGTAGCATAAACGACACCTATGGTGTTTTCTGGTAGAATTTGGAAGCACCACTTGCAAGGTTTTATAGATCAACTGCTGATGTTCGAACAATGAGAGCAGTGCTATCCAAAGAGGTGGAATGTGGCAGCGGGTGGGTGGCGCTTGGCAGAGATGGTCTAGGCGTGTGGTGGGTGACGAGAACAATATGAGAACATAAATAACTAAGGTCTTCTGAGTGTTTTTTTCCAACAAAAAATTTGTTTTGGTCAAGGGTAAAGCCTTCACTCTCACATCAACTACTGAAGGACCAAGATAGAAGATATAAAAGAGATAGAATATAGATAGGAAAGACAGAACCAAGAAGAGAAATAGAAACAAAGAAAAAAATAGTGGATTTAAGAGCAGAACAAGAATTGAAGAGAATGGAAAACAGAAATCTCAATATTCATTCATCAATCATAAACTCTCCAATGAAATTACAATCATTGAGATATCTCGATATTCATTCATCAATCATAAACTTTCCAATGAAATTTCAATCATTAAGATTTTATAGAATCTAAAACTAATAAGATATACTTAACTAAATATTTAAATATCCTAATTCTAAATAACCCTAATTGACAAGCATAATCTCAAATCTCAAATAAATTCTAAAAGACAAACAAAGGCCTCATTCGTTTCGCTGATTCGAGTTTAGAATTCGAGTTGAGATGTGATTTATGTGAGAGCTTTTTACTATAGCAAAAAAGTTAGATGTGACTGTTTGTGAGAGCTTTTTACTGTAGCAAAACTCGAATCAACGAAACGAACGAGGCTAAAATTCTAAATTCAAAATTAAATATCAAAATTAACTAAATCGTAATTTCCTATTCATGTTTAGCATCAGATAGTTTAGTTGATCGATGAAACAATTAACAAATTAAACACCTAGGGATAGTTTACGATTGACAGCATGGTGTTTAATTATCCTCTTTGGAGCTATATTGTGTACTTGATCAAAAGTTTCATAGACAGTAAGAAAAATAGTCTACAGGCTGCTTATCAGACCAGTAACGTCTCAAACGAGATTTTGTACACATCTCGTGCCCAACTGTACAAGAGAGGATTCTCAAAATTGAGTGCAGTTAAGATCTATAGGTAGGCAAGTGCTGATGAGTTCTCGTTCCCCGTGGCATTTGTCCTGGTATTTTCAGTCAGTTTCAAACATATACTTGAGTTTTCCTATCCCAGTGGCATTTTGTTTTGGCCTTATCTAAATCACGAAACTATTTCATTAGGACAAACTACCCACTATTGAAGCCTTCATTAAAGACCAAGCTATGGTTATCCTCCCTTCACTCTAAAAACATCATAAAACCATTTCTTTTTAAACTTTAGCCACTTATATACTGCAACCTTACCTTAATTTTCGAATTATGAAGGTTCCTAATCTTTAGCCCAGTTCTACCTTCGAAATCTTTACCATAGTTCAACGGCAAGAACCAGATTATTTTTTTAACCTATATTGCTTCTTCAGATTTCGTTGAATGTTATGTAAACAATAGCCAAACGGACAACCATTTTTTTCATAAACAAATTAACTACAACGTCCATAGTAAAACTTCAAATCAAAATGAGAAATTCAAAATTTTCAACTCTCGTAGCACAAACAAATTAACAAAAATGGAAAGGAAAAACCTTTATCACTCTTCAAATTTCTCTCGATCATTCAAACAATTTCTTACACTTTTCATCCCCGAAAGCAATCCAAAAATATTAAGAACAACAAAATCGGTTGAAACATCTTTAATTTTTCTTCCTTAATTAAAAATATAATAAAATATTCATTTTAACAAGATTTTTGTCACCAACCAAACAGCGTACAAACCAGTACACTAACACAAACAACAGAAAACTCGTTTTAACATATATAACTTTTTTTTTCCTGTTTCATATTCGTCAATAATTCAAGTTAAAAATTGAAATTAAATGAAATTAAATTAAAATCCTTAAACTAACTCATTCTCTCAGCAACCAAAAACAGCAAAACTCAATACACTAAAAATTCGAAAAATCCGCACCAAAAACTAGATTCTAAAACCATGAAATTACAGCTGAAATAGCAAAATCACAACCAAATGCAAGCTCAAAAAACGAAAGAAAAAAAGATGGAGGAGGAAAGTAAACTCACCTGAAGAGCAAGAAAATCTCAGATTTTCCGGGAAAACAGAAGAATCCAATCCAAACGGAAAATCAAAAATCACCAGAGAAACGGAGAGAGAGACTGTTAGCCCTAATTCGAGTGCGGACAAGGATTTCTGGTAGGTTCTAGAGTCGGAGAGAGAGGTCTCTCTCGAACAGTATTTTTCTTTTTTCTTTTTTTTTTCGTGGGAATGGGAATTATTTTAATATTTTTTTTAGGTTAAATAAAAAGGAGTCACGTAGTGGGCGACACGTGGCGGGAAGATCAAAACGAGAGGGGGAGTGGATCAGAATTCATGGACGAAAGGAGGCCGACGAGATCCGATCTGTTTCTTCATTTTAATTGGCCGGCTCTTAAGTAGTTCCTTCCTGGACGCGACGCGTGGTGTGGCCCCCACTGCCGTTACACTCGCCCAGTTGCCTTTCTCATGCGATGTTGCCACGCTGACGTGTCTTTCCTTGCCACTTGAACAAATATTTTATGCTTTTCCCTTCCAAGCATTTTTTTTTTTTCAAGTGTTGCGTCCTTTTCGAGGGAATTTGTAAACTGTGGATCCGAATTATTGTAATTATTTTATGGTGAGATCTATGATTTGAAATAGTTTGGGTTGTTCTTTTAGAATGTGATTTAAGTGTAGTTTTTAAGTTAAATTTGAATTATAATTTAAGTTAAAATTATAATTTAAATAAAATTGAGTAAAGTTAGAACTTAAAATAACGTGAACTTGAATAAAATTATAACTTGAGTTTAAATTTTTTTTGAATTTTGTTGTAAAAGAACAACTCATTTGTATCTCGTGCTATAAAATTTTGACATGATGACTCATATACATGGCGTCGAAAATTGATCTGACTACTAGATAATAATTTCAACAAGTAGCGAAACATGATTGTCGTGTTTGAAATTATTCTTGTTTTTATTTTTCACTTTTTCAAAAAAAATAAAAATGATTTTAAAACATCATTTGGTAAAATTAAAGATAAAAAATAAAAATGAAAATAATTTTTTAGTTTAGTGTAAAATGAGAGAAAAATGAAAAATGACTTTTAGTCATTTTTTATTTTTTGTTTTCGTTTTCTCATTTCTCGAATAAAGAGAGAGACATTAATGAGTTTTTTTATATTGAAAATAATCTCTTGATAAAACTATCAAACGTATTTTTAAAAATGATTTCTGTCTGAGATTGAAAACGTTTTCATTTTTATTTTCATATAAAAAATAAAATCATTTTAAAATGAGTTCCAAATGCACCTAATAATTCTTACTTATTTAATTGTTTGGTAGGAGCGAAAAACACATAAAAAGGAAAAAAAGCAAAGGTATTTTGAGAGAGAAAATAAAAGAGAAATGAGGAAGAAAAAGGGAAAGGGAAAGAAAAAAATTAAAAGAGAAAATAGTAGAAATAGGATCCACCATATTAACCTTTTCACGGATGAAGAAATTTTAGAAGGAAAAAGTTATCATGATTGCATTAAAAGAAAGATTATTTTCTTTCTTAGTGTAAAGGGTATTACAATGCCACCGACAGATAAAAGGTGAATCAAAGATAAATATATATATATATATATATATTTAGGACATTAGTAGTGTTCAACATAATAACTTATAAAAATTGCATCGTATTTTTTAGGTCACGTTATTAGAATATACATTCTATTTAGTATTTGGTCTTAGATACCACTAGATACATTAACGTTGTTTCACAGTATGAGACCCATACAGAAAGTTCAAATTTCACAGTAAATAATTAAAATAAATAGTAAATTTTAAAATTATTTAAAGTAAATAGGAGTAAATTATAAATTTACATGATAAAAAATCTTTTTACCACGTAAATCTTATCGTAAGAAGAAAATTTATGTGGTAGAATTCTTTTTTTACCCCATAAATCTAATCGTAAATAAAAATACGAGGTAAAAAATACTTTCATTATTATTTACTTTAAATATTCTAAAATATGTCATTTACTTAATTTATTTCAAAAATGTATTATTTATTTTCTTATCAATCCTGTGTTGTTTTATCGTTGCTTTTATTGAAAAAAAAAAAAGAAAGAAAAAGAATAGTTTGAGAGACTATTTTGCTTGTATGTTTATGTTTTGATAATGCAAACTAGTGGTTTATCATTCAAGTATCATGAGTTCCCGTTCGGTTCGCTAATTTGAGTTTTTAATTCGAGTTGAGATGTGATGTCGTGTGAGAGCTTTTTACTGTAGTAAAAAAGTTAGATGTGACTGTTTCTAAGAGCTTTTTACTGTAACAAAACTCGAATTCTAAACTCGAATCAGCGAAAAGAACGGGACCTAAACAAAAAATGTCTGCTTACATTGCCTTTGGGGTTTGTGTTCTAATAGTTCCTGCCGCTACTAACATGATAGATAATTTTAGAGTGTTAATAAATAAGTTGTTTCTCTCATAAGAAAATAAACTATCGTTAGTTTTTTATTTTTCAATCATTAAATTTATATAAAAAATTATTTATTATACATATTTTCTTAATTTAATGTGATTTTAATTATATTTAATGGTCAGAAATTGATACTACCGATAGAGATGCACACCAAAAAAAAAAATCCTCTTAATAAATAACCATCCATTAAATACCAACGACTTAGGGCTTGTTCTTTTGAGTGAAAAACTTAAAAAAATGCAACTTGAGTTACAACTTTATTCGAGTTCATGTTCTTTTAAGTTTAAACTCGAGTTTAAACTCGAGTTCAAACTCGAGTTGCCCCGTTCATTTCGTCGATTCGAGTTTAGAATTCAAGTTTTGCTACAGTAAAAAGCTCTCAGAAACAATCACATCTAACTTTTTTACTACAGTAAAAAACTCTCACATAAAGTCACATATTAACTCGAATTAAAAACTCGAATCAACGAACTGAACGGTCTCCTTCAACTCGAGTTCAGAAACTCGAATTCAAATTAATGAACAATATTTTTTCTATTCTTAAAAATGCTATAACTTTTTCGTTTTAATTCTGATTGAGATGATTTTTTTTCTATGCGTTGACAACAAAAAGACGAATAAAACCTGACCCATATACCTTATTAAAATTTTTCATCAGCATTGAGTTTTTATTAAAATACTATCTAAATACAAATTCAAGTTTTGACTCACTCAAACACAAACTCAAAAAGATTCTTATCTCAAACCATAACTCAAATTTACACAACCAAACACAAACTCAAGTTACAAGTTCAACTCAAATTATAACTCAAATTCAACTCAAAAATTATACTCAAGTTAAACTCTAAAAGAACAAGGCCTTAGTTATTTAAGGCAACACCTCACTAATTTTTAACAGTGTAACAACATGTGTCCTATATTTCCTCTAATTTTGAAATTATCCAAATATTCTTTAGGAGTTTCTCTAGTAGTCAGTCCTATCAATAATCTCAGTTTTTTATCATTAAATTTGGTTAAAATTACATTAGATTAAAAACTTATATAAAATAAATAGATTTTGATGTAGATTTGATGATTAAAAAATAAGAGACTACCGATAATTCTTTTTATAGAGATTATCAAAAAAAGTCTCATATTCTTTTTATTTATTTCTTAAACGAAATAACCACATGTCAAGTTTAAAAATATTTCATTTAGCAAAATAATTCTTTTGGGCTTCTTCAAAACTCTCATTTCAATTCTAAAAAAAAAACAAAACTCTCGTTTCTTGTGCCTTTTAGTTTATCTTCTCTCTGGAAATCCTCTATCTAAAATTTCATGTCTCAAATCATAAGCCACATCATTTAAAATATTTTGAAGGATTTTGATAGGGTTTTCTTTCCAAAAGCATCAATTTTAACTCTATCTCTATTGTCTGTTTTTTTTTTTTAGGGTTAAGATCGTGTTTTTCCATATTTATTATTTTTTATTCTCTCTTTTTTCGTTTAGAGTCCGTTTATTTTATATATCTAAACTTAAATTATAGTGTTTTTTTCAAAAAATTAATTTAATTTTTAAACATTAAAAATTATAATTTGAGTATATATTTTAAATAGGCTCTAAATATTTTTATTCATTGCTTTCCTTTTGTTTTCTTTTTTCTCAAATTGAAATTTTAAACTTAAATCGGTGAAATGAACAAGACTTTATTCTAGACGGGAACAAGAAATAAGAAAGCAGGAGCAAGAGCAACACAAAAAGACCAAAACGCTCCCTGCCAACAGGAGAAAAAAAAAAAGGCAAAACCGTCAGCATACTATAAATGGTAAACTGAGTATAGATGAATAATACATTTCGGGTCTCTTTTAGTATATGTAGTAATAGGTCTCTTGGGGTGGGATTTTATTTTTAATTAATTAATAAGAAAGTTCCGATGAGTTTTTTTTTTTTTTTTCTTTTGGGAGGAAGAAGAGGGCTACAATGTCGCTATGAGGTTCAACTAGAGTTGCAAAAATTATCCTCAAATTTGAATCAAATTAACTTGATGTATGATAAAGCAGTGTTGAGTTTGTCAAAGGGATTAGGGAAATAAGAAAATCAATGGAGAAGAAAGAAAAAAAAAAAAAAAAGGCATAAAATAGGGTAAAATAAACTATTTTGCTTTACCGATGAGATTAGTTGGACTAGTTTTTTAACGTTTAAATTTGTGCAAATCTATACTAAAAATTTACAACACGTCACACATAATTGTTCATGTTAAAAAATTAATCTATTTGGTAAAATTACTTGCCTTACCGGTCGTAAAGACTCCTAACAAATAATAAATGAAGAGAGATAAAAGCTTTTTTAAGAGAGATGTCCAATTTAACGTTGGTTAGGCATAATGGATGAAAAAACTGTGTGGAAAACTATTAAATTTTTTAAATTAGGTGGCTTAAAGGGACTGGCTAGACGTAATTTAAGACATAATATTTTAGACAAATGTATATCTATAATATCTAGAAATTTTGACCTACTAGCTTAATTGGTTTATTTTATGATATTTGGAGATTTTAGGATGAGGAAATTTTATACCAATTTAGATGTCCTATTTGAAATGTATTACAGATGAAAACTTGGTGTAGATATTAAAAGAATTAAGCATAAGGTGGCTACTCAACCTTTGGATGTAAACATATAGTGCCAAGACATGCTTAATAGGTATGACGAATCGGTTTCTAGTTTTGGTGCATCAACACTATAAGAAGAAAGTAGTAATACGGTGCAAAGTAATAGAAATTAGGAAGAAGGCCACATGGACACCTAGTTAGGTTAGCCTTGATGAGTCACATGCCGTATTCGCAATAAGAAACTGAAACAACGAAACCTTCTCAAGTTTATGTACATATAAGAGAGACATTACGTGGGCATTTAATAGCATATCCTACAGCAAATAAAAGAATGAGAGGGAAAAGAGAGAGAGGAAATAAGAGGGAAAATAAAATAAAAAGAAAGTGAAGATTTCTACTCTTTACCAATTATTTGTAAGTAGACTTGTTACTGTATCACTTGAATAATAGTATATTTTTAATTTATGTGTTATTATTGACATGTTTTTATGAGTTTTAGAAAGTGTTTCTGAGTATGATGTGAATCTTGTGCTTATTATGAGCCGACTGAAATATGATGAAGGGCCAAATCTTGGAGGAATAAGAGATTCCATGACATGAGCCATATGAAAGAGGTTCTAATAACACAAGACTAATGTTATACAAGAAAGCCCTAAATGTTAACGATAAGTATTTGAAAGTGAAAATTATTTATGGTTTATTTACTGAGCTTGCGCTCATATAGTTCTCGTGATACATGTAAGTGCTAAAATAGAAGTTCCAGTTGACTGAACAAAAATAGTTCAAGATCCTATGACAAGTTAGAAGATCTTAAGAAATGAAATTTGTAATCCTAAGAATTTATTGGAAGGATAGTTTCAGTAATTGACATTATATATATATATATATACTTTTTTTATTTTTTTTATTTTGTGGTTTTACTTGTTCTAGCTAAGTTAACGTTTCTCTTGAGTTGGCGTTGTTTTTAACTGCTAGCTTAAGAGAGGTGTTACAATCTCAGTCGTAACTTTCTTGTTTCTTTCTTTTTCCTAAAAAGGTCATCACACGTATACTTTCTTTTAGCTAAAAAGTTTGCCCAACTTGGCCACTTTTTGTGGACATTTAGCATCGTTCATTTTACCGATTCGAGTTTTTAATTCTAATTTTGCTACAGTTAAAAGCTTTTGAAAATAATCACATCTAACTTTTTTACTACAGTCAAAAACTCTCATATAAAGTCACATCTCAACTCGAATTGAAAACTTGAATCGGCGAACTGAACAAGGAAGTTCATGTTCTCCACCAATTTTAAACTACATATCTTCATGAAAATTTCTTAGATGAATTATAAAAATTCCCCCTTATAATACTTTACCATATGATCTTTAAAACGTAACATATGTTTCTCCTGAATAATGAATGTTAACAAAAAAGCTTCATCCATTAGGTTCTTAACTGAAATACATTTATTTTGCTTTTTTGAGAGTATTTTAATAATTGTGTAGTTTAAAATTTAAATTTAATTTAAACTAGTTTAAATATTCAAAAAAAACTTCATATATTTTTTTTACTCACATTCGATTAATAATGGATGTATCTTAATTAAAAATTAAAATTAAAATTATTTTTAAATTCAAACTAAATTTTAAAACATAGAGCTACAAAAGTACTATAAAATAACAAATTAAATGTCAATTTCCATTAAAAAAATCTAACAGATGAGACATTTTTGTTAAGATTTCATTGTTTAGAAGGAACAGATGTTACGTTTCAAAAATTAAAGGCCAAAGTCTTACAATGAATATAGTTCAGGGGGAATTTTTATAATTAATTCTAATTTCTTACTCTTTCGAGTGCTTTCCTACTTGTGACTTGTGAGAATTTTTACCGATAATAGTTCTCACAATTAGAAAAACGCACAATAGAATTTGTTCACCATCGAGAAATTCAAGACTCAAGCATTGTTTTTTTTACAATTCAAGTTCTATTATTACAGTATTTTCTCACACAAAAATTTAAATTTAACTTTTTTATTATAGTATTTTTTTCTCACATATATAAATTTTCAACTTAAATTGTGAAGCAGACATACCCTCAATGAATCTAAACTTGCATCCTTTTCGACATCCATGTATGTTTTTAAATGTTAAAACTTAAATCAATAAATGTGGTCAAAATAAAATAAATAAACAAAGTATGAAAATCTTATCAAAATATCATACAAATCTAATGATAAAAAACCGAGTCATACTCGTAGAGTACTTTTTTTTATATTGTACCATAGAATTTTTAAATATTTTTATGAACTCATATCATGCATCATTAATTTGGAAATTTGCATGCTAAATTTAAAATTTTGTTGAAAATGTGTCAGAAGTTTGACGGCACATGAACCTATTAAAAGGGCAGATGGTGCCATTTTCTCATTAAAAAAAATTCTAAAAATTAAAGGTTGGTTAATTAACAAAAAAATAGAGAGGATTTTTCTTACATTTTTCTGTAAATTTACGCATTGGGACATTTTCGCTCTCTCTTACTTTCAATTCCCACTAAAAAAAATTAATAAACTCACTATTTAAATGCACGATTAGATTTTTATATTTTATTCTTAATTAATAATTTTTTAATTAAAAAATATTAATTAAGAGTAAAAAAATAAAAATTTAAGACACATAAATGAGTAATTGTCTCATTAGGAGGTATTTTTCTCCTTTTCTATTTTATCATGTATCTTGAAAGTTTCCGTTTTCAATTGATAAAACAACAGGCTCAGTGAACTCTCCCATAGTGCATTGAAACACGGACAGAGAGACGCCTCAGATCGACAACAACTGAGCGGCACTGACTGAAACGATCGAAAAAAACTGCCGAAAGATGGCAAAACTGTCAATCGATGAAAGCGAGCTGTCGCTTATTGGCCAATTCTCTACCCTTTCTTTCAGCCGGTGACCAAAAAAAGACAACTGTTTGCTTGTCCATATGTTCTCCGGTGCCGCCGCCATTGGTTCCTAACTTTCTTCCCCACACAATTTGTGATGAAACCCCTACATGCTCTCCAACTTTCTGTTTTATTTTTCTTTTCTTTTCTTTTTTAAAATCATAAGTGAAATAATATGAATTTCACTTCTACGTTTCACTTATATGTGTGCGTGAGATGTCGAATTACGTTTTTTATTTCTACATATTATATTATATTAGAAGAACTGTCTTATAGGAAAAACAATAAAAAAACCTATCATATACATATATAAATATATATTAAATATAAAGAATACCTATTAAAAAAGAGTGAAAACTAAAAACGTCATAAATAAATATTATTTTATTTCTATTTCTGTTGTAAATTTATCTCATATTATTAATAACTTACGAGTTATTTTTTTATAACCCACAAGTTATCTTTCATAATCTGTTCGTAATCTGTAGATTATTTTGAGTAATTTTGATAAATACCATTTAAAAGTATATCGTCAAGATTTTTACTTTTCACTCTTGATTCATAACTTTTTTAGTCAAATAATTACACTAACAAAAATATATTTATTAATGAGACGTTTAGTTCATAGATTATAATCATGATATTAGAATAATTTTCGATTTACGTGTATTTTTTGTGAGAGAAAACACTGTAACAAACCACGAACCATGATTCGAATCAGAATATGAATCCCCCAACCAAACACAGTAAGAGTAAAAATTCAGACTTATACACTCTTAAAAGTAAATTCTTCATTTTTTTTTTATTATTTTTCACAGTGATATCAAAATTTTATGTAATGACATAAATAACAGAGCGGAAAAAAACAACACTTAAAATTTTCTCATTAAAAAAACGCTAGCAGTATACCAATTAGGGCCACTCCCGCAGACCGAAACCAACCTAAAAATTTCAGTCGCTAATCAATCAGTTTCCTACTGAACCGACCGATGAACACAAATGTAATTCATTTTCCAATGCTAAAATAGTTCGTGACAAAATTGATTAAATTTGCATTCAGAGAGAGTTTGGGAAATGTAGGGGAAACAAAACCCGGCATTCTATACACTGTAATCTCATATACAGTGAGTGAAGTATGACAATAATATCAAAAACCTACACGAGCAAATATAAATAATACAATTGCCTTTCCAAAATCATAGTTGAGAAAAATTTCTGTATCCAAGTCTAACTGCACTTGTAGAGCACATTCGAACTGTTTATGCAATCCTTAAAGACAACTTTTTCTTTTCTTTTCTTTTTCTTGCAACCATCAGCATAATTAGACTTTCCAGTTAAATCAAGTTCCATAAATGTAGTTTGTGGAGAAAGAAGCTAGTAATGATGTACAACAGCAACAGGGCTTTCGTGTGGCCGCAGAGAGGAAAAATGTACATCACTTCTTCAAAAGCTTCTGAGAGAAAATCCGCTTCGAATACGGGCTGTTGCGGGAGACTGCCTTGTGAGGCTCAATCGCTTCGACCAACGAATTGCGCAAGTGGCCCTAGTTTGATGGATGAAATTATTAAAAAAAAAAAAAAAAGGTTTTAAAGGCTAATAAGAAATGCTACCGATGCAGAACTTGACAAGGAAAAACATGTGCAATCTTAGGTAGTGATTAAAAGAATTAAACTAATTAAATTGACCTTTAAACTATTAATTAGTAAATTTTGCATGTGAAAGAGATGCAGTGAAATTTCACAAAAGATCAATCAATCAAACCTTAATAATTTTCATGCTAGCACCCTTGTGCGGTCTAAATCTTAGGACGCAAGTTTCGCTTAAATCCATGTTTTCAAAAGAAAACACAAATAGTAAAATACAGGGTAATAAAAGGTCCAAACCTGAGAAACTTTAAGAGCTTTTTGAATTACATAGTTTGCGTGTGGATCTTGAAGCAAGTCTTCAAAGGGCCGGGCAGAGAGTAATTCGTGAATGATTGTTGATCGATTCTCATCATCAAATGTTTCAAGGCATTTTTCAACGACGTGGCTGCTGAATTTCTGAGTTGAGAGACACACATAGTTCCCTTTCAATTGAGAGACAATCGTGGAGGTGGCAGATGGATTTCTCAAGTCCAAGATAAACTGAACAACATAATTTCTGTGATAACAAAAACCAGTCACAAAGATTCGAGTTTAGAAACATTAAATAATCAGAACTCACAAAGATGAATTGTGAGGGACAAAAAAAAAAAAAAAAAGATCATGAAAATCAACATTCTTGTATGTTTTGAGGACAAAACACTGACTAATTCCCCCATTAGTCCTCCAGAGATCCCATTGTAACAATGCTGATCTTAACAATAAAAAGATTTAAATAATTAGTAGGATGATTACGAAGGTTGTATGGTGCACAATAAATCGTCAATCATCCTGCAATACTAAGCAGCCAATAGTATACCAGCAGATAATTAATAAAACATTAGCATAGCGTTTCTCTTTAATAAGTCTCATAAGAGTATACCACTGATAATATATTGTGCCAGAACTTTGAAGAAATTACCCATAAGCATCTTCAGCAAGCAGAAGTGCGTTGTCCGATATTTCTGAGACCAAGTTTTCTCGGTGCTCCCCAGTAGAATGATGGATGCATCGTTGTAGAACACAACATCCATGTTGATGAGTTGCAATGCTGACACAATTCTTTGCCGCACCATCAAATATGAACTGCCAAACACATTGAAAGAAATGTTTGCTATATGATACTCTGATCGAATAACGAACATCAAAACACGTGTAAAAAAACATTATGCAACTCAGACTCTAGCTAGTTATCATGATAGAAGCTTATTATTTAATTTTATAACAACTACAAATTCCACAATGTTAAACATCTCTGTTGTTGTCAAAATGTGACATTTCATTATCTAAATAGTGGTTCCAAACTTAGCATACACCAGTTGAAGTGGACAACAATTGACACAATCATTACACGCTTCATCATATAGAATATCAAGAGTTTATTCCTATTTTGACCCACAGATTTCTAAAATGTTGATACAGAGGAACCTATAACGATTTTTAAAGTGAAAAGTTTAACCTTAGTCTATACGGCCAATTGAACCTATTGGCTAACTCAGCAAAGAAGGGAGCAGCTTTGTTATGCTGTGACCATTAATCAGATTCAAAATAACCTAGGTTTAAGCCATCACTTGTGTTTGAACTGTTCGAGTCTATTAAGTCTACAGAGTTTTGCCGGTTTCACTATAATATAGATGTGTATCATCTTTCAAGCTTCATTTTCATATTGCCAAAAAGAAAAGTGACTATATTCATCTACGCATTTTCTTGCATTATATAGTCTCAACGTATTCACACGCCTTGTACCACAAAATTTTGAATATTTAGTTATTATCTGTAATATTTTCTTTCTGGACTTGAAGGATACAAAGAGAATTGGCTTTCATCATTGCTTCAAATTCAAGATCGTGGCATTGTTTGTAGCTAGATGTCCTTAGATCACAACAAAACTCTCTCTGTGACCACAGAAACACAACACTTAGCAATTTGGTAGCCGTAACTGAGGGGGGGAAAGATTGACCCTCTTTACCGACCTTTTCCTTTGATAAGCCACTTTAACTAATGTTAGTGGAAAGCAATGTTGGTACATGCAGTGCCTTGACATTATTTTTCAACTTTCACAGTCTGATAAGACTCAGGTATGCAGCTTATAAGGACAACTTTTATATATTTAATAGAACTCAGTTTATAATTTACTCTGGAATATGAAAGCAAACACCCTAATTTAAAAAAAAAAAAAAAAACACACACAAAGTAAATACAAGATTGTTTGGACTTTTCCTGATTACAAAAAGGATTAATAGAAAATGAAGTACAACTAAAAGAAAGAGACAGTAGTAAGGCAAAAAGAAAAGGTTGGGCTCTATAAAATATTGGTCTACCAGTCCTCAACATAGAGATGGATAGAACACCGAGATTTCTAAATTTTGAAGAGACAAACATCAACTAGACAGAATGCAGTTAATCCAGTGATTCAATGATAAGCACAGGAAGTATGTTCAAAGAACATTATAGCTGTAGCAGGAAAATGTATCTCCAAAAGGTTTAGTAGTAGCTATGATCTAGCTGATTTGGGAAAAGCACACGCAACAAAATGAACAACAAACACATTAAAATAAATGGAATTTGAGCATAAACTATGGAAAGTTTTAGAGTATAAGCATATAAATATGATGATTAAAAACTATTAAGGAACATTTTAACAATGCTCAGAGGAGGCAACAGAGGATATAAAATAACAAGTTTGGTATTGACAAATAATGCATATTTTAATAATCCAATAGCATACATGCTAAACGCGTCAAATACAAAAATATTCACCTTATTATCTTCATTGCTAAGGCATTGCAAGCAGCGCTGAACAACATGGTTTCCATTCAGGTCCTTGATCAGTGCAATGAATCCTGGTTCAAGAGCTGATACAAGCCGTGAAACTTGGTGCCTTGTTTTGAGAGTCTCTACCAACTTCTGCACGGAGCGAGTGCTGACAGAGGAAGCCAAGAATTATCAAAAGAACATAAGCAAAAACATCAAAATGCAATTCATTTTATAACTTCTTACCCATGAGTGTTCAAAGATATTCTAACAAACTCCCCCGGCTTTGCAGTTACCACGAGCAAAATCTGCGTTCTCTGTTCCTCATTGCACACATCTAACAACTTCTGCATAAGGTAATTTCCAAATGGATTCATCATGAGTTCAACTGCATTGCCAATGATCTCATCGAATATTATTTTTACATCTTCCCGAGGACCCTCATCTAATATCCTTTGCAAGAATCGACAACCGTGCTGATCCTTTGCTAGTAGGCCTATATAGCCGCGAGCATCTGCCAGGGAGTTGCACTTGGATGGCAGGAAAAATGGTAAACACATCCTTGGACTCCGAGAATTTTCATAAATCTCAGTAATCCGGCGCCTGCCATCTTGCCGAGACCTATCTAGGCTTGCACCAATGTCACGTGCGGTACACCTATTGTGACACGGATTGACAATGTAATTTATACCTTCTCCATGAGTTATGAAGCTATCCTCACCAGTGTAAAAAGCCTTGGGATGACCTTGTGGGACTCGGATGCCCGAATATGATGCTCTAGTCGTCCCATTAGTTGCCAGCGGGCCATACATCAAACTTTCAACACTTGAATGAGGAGGCCTTATCCTAGTCACTTGTTCAGAATTAGGAAAATTCATCAAAACTCTGTCCTCAGGTAAATTCATCACATTTGCCTGCAACCGAAACAAAGCATCAGCAGCTCCACTGAAAGTAGTGGCTCTGCTAGCCAATGGACTCCCAATCTGGTGATGGTTACTTGTCTGCTCCTTCATATTCTGCCATGGAGAGCTCATCGGGCCATTAAAGTAATCGAATTCCGAAGATAACGCACCACGCGCAGCAGGAGCAAACTGCAAATCCAACGGATTTCCCATTCTATAATCCTGCTGCAACCCCAACAATTTTGGACTCATTTGGCCTTTAAAACTCGCAGCATTTCCCGTTACAGGGGATTGAAACCCCGTGTCATCAGAAAATTCTCCATTGAAACTCTTGCAAAACGATAAAACATCGACATTGCCTCGATTATTTCCGATCGAAGAACCATTACCTAACTCTATGAAGCTAGAAGCATCAAGTTGTTCATCACTTATGTACATTTTTCCGAGATTTGTACGCAGACTCAGTTCATCAATTAACCTCTCATTTGTGTTGTAATTATTCCTAATGGGTGAATCTGGTATTTTTGGATTGTGGGGAGTTCTAATAGGCATGTGGGACTTGAATTCTTCCAAGGAAGGAGGAGTTGGTGATCCATTGTCAGGAAAAGAATGGCCAACAGAGAACAAGCTTGAGGAGGAGCCATTTGATGTCAAAGAAAACACACTATGAGGAGATGAAGCACATGAATACATACGGTGATGATGGTGATGATGGTGATGATTCAATGGTGATCCGTTGTCATACATGTCACCATGAAAATGATGATCATGATGATGATTATATAGACGGTGACGATTGTGTGATATTTCAAGAGAATTGTCATCCATTAACATTCCAATCTCTTTCTGCATTCTCTTTTTTTTTTTTTTTTTTTTTTTTTTGGTTCTAAATCTTTTTCTCAATCTCAACGCCCTCAAACACCAAAAGACCAACAAACAAACAACAAAAAGAGAAACACCAGAACAAGAAAAAAACACACACACAAACAATGAAACCAAGGCCAGAATCACGAAGAGACCCACATTAGATATTGATTGAAAGAGGGAAAAGCAAGGAATACCCAGAAGAGATTACCACTTTTTATCAACTGGGTTTTGCTCAGAAAAACGAAATGGAGATGATGGTGGTGGTTCCAGTTGATGTGAAACGAATTTAGGTTTTTTTTTTTTTTTTTTTTGGGTTTTTTTTGTTTCTTTTGTGGGAAGTCTGTCAAGTCGGTGAAGCATGCAAAGATTGAAGGATTACTTATACGGTTACTTGGGACCGTAGATATACATAAACTCTCACGCCATTAAAGCTGGAGAAGAAGAGACCCTTATATGGCCTATTTATATATTTGGGAAATATATATACGCACACACGGAGAAAGAGAGCAAAGAAAAGAGAGTCCTATTCTTCACCCTGTGTATTTATTTATTGTTATTATTATTTAAAAGCATTTACTTTTAACTTTTTTTTGTTGTTTTCTTGAATAAAAAAATATTACGAAGCTGACACTCTTTGCCGATGCGTGTAAAACACGCTCTATATGGGAGGGGCCCACCTTGCTCGGAACCGCAATGAGCGTTTGTGATTTGGTTGCTTTTTTTTTCGCTTTAGGTAGATGTCGTTTCCTCTTGGCGCGTAGATAGTATAATTTCGGTAATTTATTGGAAAATAAAAAAAAGTACTTGCCGGTTTTTAAATCTAAGATAAGACTAACATATATCTTTATTTTTTTTGGAAAATATCAAATCAAAATCCAAACGGCAATCAGCACTTTTTGTTCCTTCTTTTTAGTTACATGATAATGGGAGAGCGAAATAGAATAGGGATTTTCTCGTGTGTTCTTTTTTCTAGAACATGAGTGTTTTTTATTTATTAATCATTGAATTATATTAAATCTGATTAAAATTTAAATTAGATTAAAAAAGTTATATAAATTTAATGATTAATAAGTAAAGAAAACGAGTATTTTTAAAAAAGATAAAACACCAGAGAAATTTTTAATAATATATTCAATAAAGTTAAGAAAAAGTCTATATCTGTACAATATTACTAAAGAAGAATGGAGTTTTGAAGCTTAGTAACGAAACGTTTCGTTACTTTTTTTTTTACTTTGCTGGGAAAAAAATTTGGTTTGACGCGCTTTAGTGAGTCCACCACGTGTCGCGCAACGATTGGTTGGTTTATGAGGTGAGATCCACGTGAGAATCTTTTGAACCATCGGATCAAAACACGTGCCATGTGTCACATCACGATTGGCCGAAGAGAGGGCGCAATCATAGTGTAACACCTCAAAAATTAAATATGATTAATTAAGATAATTAAGATTTATTAGTGTGTCTAATATAGTTTAATTAAATAATTATGTTCATTAAATATTTCTGATATGTAAATTTAAATATTTCTAAGAGATTTAAATATTTTTAGTATTTATATTTCATCCCAAAAATATATGTAGACACACTTTCTAGTATACTTTTATAAATATCTTTTGAAAATATCATGCTTTTTCCTTTATTTCTTTTTCTTTCTTTCTTTCTTTCCTTCTTGTGCGTTCTCTCTCACTCTCCCTGTCGTTTCTCTCTCACTCTCGCTTTGTTGTTTCTTTCTCTCTCTCTCTCTCGTTCAAAAATTTGTCAAATCTTCCGAATCTTGAACCAAAGAAGAACTTCAAGGAATTTCTAACGTCAAGAGAAGGATTTGGGGTAAGATTTCTGAATAACTTATCTTGAATCTAGAATTTTTCCGTTAGAAAAACCTATTTTTAGTTTAAATTGGATTTTGATGGCTTTTGGGTAAAATCACGGTGACAATTGGAGAAAATTGGTTCTTTGGACTTGATTTGTTGTCTAGAACCTGGATTTGTTGAGTTCTTTTGAAAATATCTCGGATTTACAGGTTTTGGCCTGATTTTCTTCGGATCAGCCATGTCGGCCATCTTGTGTAGCCCCCATCGGTCGACCGGACCGGTCGACCGGTTCCTTCTCCACCGGCCGACCGGTGGAGAATAACTTCTCTATCACCGGTTGACCGGTGTACACGTGATTTGAGCTGAATTTGTCTAAAAACCTTGTTTTGACCTTGGTTTTCATAAAGAACCCAAATTAGCTTTATTTGGGAACTTAAAGTAGATGGATTAGCATATTCAATCTATGTTTTGATATCAAAATCCTTGAAATGATGATTTGAAACATGAAATAATTTATGAACTTGGAATTGGATTAAGGCACACTAATAGGAAATCGAAGTGTATAATTAAGTTTAATTTGCTTTAGAAATGAGAATTGAATCCTAAAGCATTATTTTGTATCAATGCTAGTTGAAGAATCAAATTGAAGGCTTTGAGGAAGTGGAAGCCGGAGTAGTGCAACGCTAGTAACAAGTTTGGCACTTGAGACGTAGGATTCCTTATCATTTTATTTGATAGCATGTTTTTAAAGAGTTTTGGCGTTACAAATGTTTTAAAGAAAGGACATGTTTGTGAAAGAAAAACATTTTAACACAATAGCTTGATTTTAGCTATTGGAATTATAATGAACTATTTCAGAATTTTAATGAATGATTTCTTAAGATAAGATATATTGCGAACTGGTAAGCCCGCTGATGGCCTAGAAAGGATATGTAGCTAGTATCTTCGGGGGCAGAACCCAGACCTGCCCACTACGGTGGTGATAGGCTTGTGCTTGTGGTTGTTTAAGTAATTTATCATAGTATAAATTACTTGTTGGTGCCTGTTATACATAAATTTTAGTTTATATTTCATTTCAGAAAAAGAATGTTAGGTTCCGGCTGTTGTGTCGGAATTGAATATCTTTATTTATTTACTTGTTTATAAAGTTTATTTTAAATTACATCCTATTGGGCCTTCTACTCACGTTTTATTTTGTTTCTATAAATATTAAACCCCTCACAGGCGACGCTAGAAGCAACATTATGTAGCTGAAGTAGTTGCTACTGTCTGATCAAGTGAGGACTTTGCACTTTTCCATCCCTGTGTACAAATGTAAGGATTGTAAATTCTAAGATTATCAACTTTGAATATTGAGACTGTGGTTGATGTCTGTAATGTAAATTACATGTTCATGTATGTACAATATTGTATATCCAGTGGGTGAACCCTAAATGATGCCAGAGGCTCAGTTTTTAAACCTCTTTTATCAGAAAATGTGAAAGTCCCCATCACTTGTAATTAAATTTCAGTAAAATGTGAGGTTTGTTTAGAAATTTCCTTGATATTTTACTTTTGGTTTTGATTATTATGTTTCTAAATGTTTAATTACTTTCTTAATCATATTTAATTTCTAAACGAGCATCCACGTCACTAACCTCTGCTTTGGGGCGTGACACATAGAGCTCACCAAATTGGATTACGAGTGGAAAAGTGGTGGTCCATAGCCTTGTCACGTGACGTCGATAGTTGGCTGAGGTAGGTTAGTGGCGGGCCCCATTTGGCGTAGAAAGCTTGCACCTCTGCTCCTCTAACGTGTGACTGTTGGTGTGTGCCATTTGGTTCGTCCATCCTTTTGATCCGACAATAGAAAAAATTCTTTTTTAATTAATTATTAGTATTTATTATATATACTTATTACTTCCTCGCTTATTTGTGGTCCAATTTTATTCGTTTTGCACTAAATTTCTGATACCGATAAGGTGAAAATGTTATAGATAATTCGAGTAAAAAATTTAAACAAGAATGCACCAAACTAAAATAAAATTACACCAAATTATCTTATGATCTTTCTTTCATTTTGTTTATGTTTCTTTTGTGCCATTTTTATTTTATTGTTTCTCCTTTCTCGGTGCTACTCAAATAAAATCCTATAAATAATTCAAATAAAAAATAACATTAAATAAAAATACATTAAAATAAAATAAAATCACCATCAAATTAAACAAAACAAAATAAATCTAATTTAAAACACAAACAAATAAACTAAATTTTTTCCTGTCTTTTGCTTTGCATCTTTCTCCCTTTTATCTTCATTTCTTTTATTTGTCTTTTTTTTCTTCTTTTTTTTTTCTTAAAGAAAAAAAACCAATTCATATGACCGTTATTTTTAATGAATCATGCGGGGAGGGCGCAAATGGCACTACAACATTGGCACGGCCTCAGCAACTTTGTCGCGAGCAAAGAGATAAGGTGAGCAAGAGAGAGAGAGTGTGTGTGTGAATGAGAGAGAAAGAAAATGATGGGGGAGAGAGTGAGATAGCGTGGAAAGAGAAAGAGGGGGCGTGTGAGGGAGAGAATGAGGGAGAGATTTTTCTTTTTTAATTTCTTGTAAATTGACGATTTACCGTAAATGATTGATTTACTTGGTAAATCATTCATTTATCAGGGTGTATACTAACAAACATATTATATTTAATTTGGTAAATAGAGGATTTACCTTGTAAATGATAGATCTACCAATCAAATAGAGAATTTGATGTTGTAAACAATAAGTTTATTCTTGATAATTGACAATTTACCGTAAATGAAGGATTTACTCGGTAAATTCTTCATTTACCAGTGGTGTATATTAAAAAAATTTAAAATTTAGGTCAAAATGTAATTTTTTAAAAATTGTGGAGTTTAGTAGCCAAACAGAGACTTTAATGTTGTAAGCAGTAAGTTAATTTCTGCTAAATTGATGATTTACGTGGTTAATCTATTATTTACTAAAATACACAAATTGGGGTTTTCTAGTAAATGAAAGATTTATGAGGTAAATAAAACATTTAACATATAAAAATAAGCGTAAAATTAGAATACTTATTGGGTGGTAAATGATGCATTTACTAAGGCATCGTTCAGTTCGCGGATTCGAGTTTCTAATTCGAGCTCAGATGTAACATTTTCTGAGAGCTTTTCACTGTAGCAGAAAAAGTTGATGTGACATTTTCTGAGAGCTTTTTACTATAGAAACTTGAAACTGAAAACTCGAATCGGTAAAATGAACGAGGCCTAAATAAATTCATCATTTACGTAAATGATAGATTTACCTGATAAATCCTTCTTATCAATGTGTATATGCAAAAAAGGTTTTAAAATTTATGTCAAAATGTAATTTTTAAAAAAAATTAAGGAGTCAAAAAATAATTTTGAAAAACTTAAGGGGTTAAAATATAATTCTAAAAACTTAAAGGGTTAAAATATAATTTTAAAAAAGGAATGGGTCAAAATATAATTTTAACAGAGTTAATATTTACTAAATGAAATATTTATCGGGTAAATACATTTACCGCATAAAAATAATATAAGGGTAAAATTAGAACACTATGTATTAAAATTTTAAATTATGTTGTTTACCACAATTAAACTAATGAAATTGTCTATATGTTACCATTTCTCTGAGGAGTTTCTCTAGTAGGCTAATCTTATTGGTAGTTTTAGAAACTGACTATTGGATCAAATTAAAATCACATCATATTAAAAAAGTATGATACAGATCTCACGGTTGAAAATAAAAAACTATCATTAGTTCATTTATTATGGTCCTACTCGAGAAGCTCATCAATAATAAATAATAGATAACATATGTCTTTAACTGTAACATGATAACAATAAGATATTTTATGAAAATTTAGGCATAGTCGATGCACAATTTTTTTAAGGAGATGAGCCAAATAACATATTTATTTTTTTAAGATCCAAATACCATATTTATTGGGACAACATAAATTAGTAGCAGGAATTTGAAGAAATAGAAAATAATAAACATTTCTTATACCCATAAATTCGTAAATCTCATAAATCTCCTGTCACTGTCTTCTTGCTCATCTCTTTCGTCGATGGTAGCACCAACACCGGTATTATTCACTAATGACAGATAATACTCACCATGTGACAGAAACATCAGTTCATTTATAGTTTCCAATCATTCGGTGATTAAAACTTGGAATTGAAAATGATTTGTGGATGAAGAAGACCAACTGAAAATGATGGATTGGTTATGCTCAATTCTGCTTTATTTACTACAAAATAAACGATTTTTTTTTTGGGGTGTAATTTTAGCCATATATATAGTTAAATTAGAAAAAAAAAATGATGCTCAAAATTAAAGATGGCAACAAAGTGGGGCGAGAGCGGAAAATAATTTCTCATCCCCGCCTCTCTAAACTATCTCCATTCTTGTCTCCATTCCCGCTTAAAGAAAGGCAGGGCCGGAAGAACCATCTTCATATTTATCGTATTTCTCATCAAATAGAACTATTTATTTACAAATTATTACAGCTTAAAAATAAAAATAGAATAGAAATTCATTACAAATTTATGCCAAATTTAAAGGTTTCATAATATAAACCAAATTCTAAGCACATACAAATTAAATCTTAATAGTATAGCCATTAAAAAAAACTTAGTTACCTTTTTTTTTTTTTTTCTTTTTTAGTAAAAAATAATTTTAAATAATTATATATATTTACATAATCAAGGTGGAGGTAGGATAGAGAGTGCTTTTTTTAATTCCTGTCCCTGCCCTGTCAAGACTCGAGACTTAAATTTTGTCATCATTCCCACCCACGATAATTGTCCTCCATCCCCATTTTGTTCGAGACGGGACCCATTCTCGTGGAGAATATTGTCATTCTTACTTAAAATTTAAAATATCATTCAAAATAGGATAATTTGAGTATTTAGCAAGGTATTAAAGTTAATGTAAATTAACATGTCATTTATATAGAGTGATTGAGAAAAAAACTTTTTTATTTTTTAAATAAGTTACTCTTAGGGTGCATTTAGTTACATTATTGAACTGCTCTGATGGAATGGTTATAATAATAGGAATAGAACGATAATAGAAATTGAATGGTTATGTTGTTTAGTTAAGACATTGGAATAACTAATTTTAAAGGAAAATTAGACCTATAAAAATTTAAACCTACAATAACATAACAATCACAATTACTATCTAGTTTAATGATTTTCATCCAAAAACTTAAAATAATAAAGAAACTTTTTTAAAATTGACTCTTATAAATCAATGTGAAATTAATATTGTCCTATATGTTTAACCTTTTTTCTCTTGTTTTTAATTTATTTACTTTGATAAAAAAAGCAGTTATAATTATAAAAATCAATAGTAGAAAAATAATTGTTTTAAGAACTGATCCTTATAAATTAATGTAAAATTAACATTGCCTTATATGTTTAACATTGTTCCTTTTATTTTTAATTTATTTATTTTGATAAAAAAACAGTTATGATTATGAAGTCAATAGTTGAAAAATAATTATAAAAAAAGATACTTGCACTTTTTTTTTTTTTTTTTTTTTTTAAATAAAAGGGCCATCTAAGAGACATCTTTTCACTTCAGGGACTTTATTATATTGAAAAAACAAACAAATTGGATTATAGGGACTAATTTTGAAGGGACAAAATAATGTGGGACTATTCGTGAATTTATTTTTGTAGTCTTAAGTTTAAGTAGGCTCGTTCTTCAGTTATTGAACCCGTGAACTGGCATTTTCAGAGTTTTCGATTCCGCAATGTCGGCGAATTCCTCCCGCCCTAATCTCAAGCGCCCATTCTCAGACGACGGCGACGACGCATCCGCCAAACCTCCCATGTAAGCTTCTCGCCCGGCTCCGAAATTCTAATTTCTTCTCCGAGATTGTTCGCAGTCTTGTTTGTTTCTAGGGAAAACTTCTTTCTCGGAAAAAATGACTTGAAAAAAAAAACTGACGATTTTTGGTTAAATTGCAGGCAGAAAAAAGTTAGGTTTCCGAAGGGGAAAAAGGTCAGACTGGGACATGAACCGGTGGAGAGAGGAAGGGACGAGAGCGAGGCAGCTCCAGTGACGGACCCCCGCGTCGCCGCCAAAGAACGGGCCAAGCGCCGTAGCCAAATCACCACCGAGCTCTTTGGCGAAGATAGCAGAGGTATCGTTAAAGATATATCCACCGCTGAAGTCGCTTATGAGGTGAGGTTTAAGTTCAATTCTTTTCTACTCTTTTGATATTTCGGCAATTAAGCTTTAGTGATTTATTAGTTTGCAATGTTTAGGGCCTGTATTGGGTATGTATATGCTATGATTATTTTTGAATTAAGGACTAAGGTTTTATCTTTTTGTTGAAAGTATGTAGAATTTAGGGTTAATTTGGGATTTTTATAGTTTTCGAATAACATTGGATTTAAGAGTGTTGGGAATTGGGATTCCATGCTTTTCAGAATTGCTGTAAAGTGCAAAGGACTGGGTTTGTACCGAGAATTCTAGGGCTCTAGAATCAGTTCCAAATAGTACTAGGTGAACACACACTCTCACACACTCTCACACACACACACACACACTTTATTTTGTTGAGTTTAGTGATCTCAGAATGATCTGCCACCATGAGTAAGGCGAGTTAACACACACACACACTCTTTATTTTGTTGAGTTTAGTGATCTCAGAATGATCTGCCACCATGAGTAAGGCGAGTTACATTACTTTCTCAAACGAGCTTGTGCTAAAAATTTCTTTGTTTAGGTCATTTTAAGGTTTTTTAGTTAACTGAACAAATTTAATTTCTTTTGTTTTCTCGCTGTTAGACACTGTGTGTTACGATTACATATTACAAATAATTCTTAATGAAATGGTAGTATTCTTTTTCAGTCAAGATGGTCGCCAGATTCTTCTCTATTTGGGTCAGTGGAAGGATAGCCTATGATAGGATTTTTTTGGCAGGATGATGATGATTTTGTTCAGGATGGGATTCAAATAGAGCCTTTCAACTTGAAACAAGAGAGAGAAGAGGGTTATTTTGATGCAGATATGAATTTTGTTGAATTTGTAAACGAAAAGGAGATCAAGGTAAATATTGTGGTGTCAGATTTTGTAAATACATATTTTCTGGTTTATTTTGTTTTTTGTTTTTGTCTTCCTCTAAAAAGTTGGACTGAAGTTGTGCTGCTTTTGTTCCCGTGAATTCTTACAGGATGCATGGCTTGATAGTCTTGAAGTTGATCCAAAATATGCTGGTAAAGTGCCCAATGTAACAACAAATGACAATGATGCTCCAGAACTTTCGTCCAGTGATATTGGAAAGATTAAAAGACGCATTGCGGATATTCTTGAGCCAGGCGAAACGGTAGTCTTGAGTTTATTGTTTTTCTTCATCTCTTGTTCTTTCCAGTTTTTCTCTATTGCTCCCATGAAGCATGTACTTGAACTGCCAGCTAAATTCTTATCAATTTGCTGTGTGACAGCTGTATTACTTTTGTGTTTCTGTCTAGCCCACGTCCTCTCGATTTACCTTACTTTTTATGTGCCTTACTTTGATTGGAAATCAGAGCAACCAAATAGGGCCATATTCTCACTCTTACAGATTTGTAGCTATGGACTTATGGGTAGGTAATGCTGATGTTGTAATATGTTTTATGTTATAGGTTTTGCAAGCGTTAAGGAGATTGAAGGGAAATTCAAATAACAGGAAGGATAAAATGTCATCCGAAACAAAGGTCGTATTTGACCAGCTAACTGAAGATGCCGTGAAGCTTATGGAGAGTGGCGAATATGGTAGTTTGTTATTTTTCAGTTCACTTTCCCAAATATATAAATACACTGCTTTTTTACGTGTTCTATATATCTTATGCAAAGAAAAAAAAATTGTACTGCATGCATGGTTATGAACAACCTACCTACTTTTTTCATTTCTATATATTGTTTTGTAGTTTATTTCCTTTCTTCTTCTTCTTCTTTTCTTTTCTTTTTTTTTTTTTTTCGTGCTTACTGAATGAATTACTTTTCTGCAGATGTGTACCATGAAAAGAAAGAGATCTTTGAGCGTGAGGCAGGTTTGTGTCATTCTTTTTTCTTAGAAGAAAAAGGAAACAAATTGAGTCGTCATATGAGTTTGTATTGTGACTATATTTTTTATTCTTTTCAGAAAAATATGAAAGCCTGGCTCGTTTAAGAGTAGAAGGCCTAACCACAAGTGCAGGCCAAGGTTATTTTGATTCCAACTCGGGGAAGGATGCCTTGTCTGGTCTAACAGATACTGGTATAGTCCCTTCAGGTTCTGTTAATCCATTGTCAGATTCATGCGATATGTTTGCGGATGATGATGAACAGACTACTGCTAATCCGTCTTCTAGTGAAAGAAATTTGGTTTCTGGTGCTACTGGAATTGATCAACCCGTGTCCAATTCAGACAGTAATTCTGAAAGTAAGCTTTTATTTCTTGAAAGTAACAAGCTACCTCTAGGCCATCTTCTTAAGAAACAATTTTGAGATGTCTTCTGAGTCTTGGAATTATTTTTATCTGCAGGTGGAGCTTTAGGAAGTGATTATGTGTATGACGAGACTTCTGGGTACAATATCTTCCACGCTCTACTTTTAATGATACATAGGAAATTTGACTAAGTCGGTTCTTTTTGTTGTCAATTTTTTTTTATACATAAATTTTCATCAGCAGTTACGTTATGCATTTAGCAAAAGGAAAAAAAAAAGTTATTTTGTAGATTATCTTATTTACTGAATGCAATGGTGTTTAGTTCTCACTGTTCGATTGGTAAATGTTGTCTGTCTGTCTGTCATTCTAGCTTCTGTGGTGAGAGTAATTCTGCGGTTATTGGATGGGTTGGATAGTGGTTAAAATGCAGCAATACGCGTTACTATCATTTTTGTCAACTGCAAACTGCTAGTTGAAAGAGTTTAGGTGCTAAGACTGGTGGATCATAAGTTCATAACATGCAACTTCCTCCTCCCGTGACACGTTCCTTAAGTAACCAGAAACTTTTCAGACAAGAGCTTAAGTTATTTGTGTTGAAAATTCTCCATGTAGATGTTTCTCTTCGAGATTTAAGGATCGAGCAGGTTTGCATTTTAATGTCTCCACATTAAAAGGTTTTTAGAATGGGATCATAAACTTCTGCATGTTCACCTTTATGCTTAGTGATTGTTTTTGTCTTAGTTTTAAGTCAATTCCTTTTCAGTATCCAAACCTGAATTTTCATTTGTTCTTTTAATGTTCCTGTATATCTCTTTGCATTCTAGGGTGTAATTTCTCCTCCCCTTTTTCCTTTTCCTCTCTCTTAAACCTGACGTTTTGGTTTACTTTCCAGGTACTACTACAGCAGCAGTCTGTGTTATTATTACGACCCATCTACAGGACTTTATTGCTCTGCTGCATCTGGGCAATGGTAATAAAAATTTGTCTTTGTTCATTTTGTTTATACTTCATGTCATATAATTCCAACATTATGGACCTTGCAAGATTTCTTTCTACTTAATTCCATGTAAGTCCTAATTTATAGTCATTTACATTTTACATAGAATATACTACTTTGGTTTAGTACAAAGTACGCTTTCAACGAGTTTAGTAGTCGGGTATTTTGAACTTGTGAATCTTGTTCCATGATGGTTTTCGCAATACTCTTACCTCAGTTGAGGCCTGATGGGAGCAAATTTTATGCCCGGTTATGTGTATTACTTGTAGGAAAATAAATGAGATTCTACCCTCAAAAAAAAAAAAAAAAAAAAAAAGAGATTATTCTCACCGCTTTATTGGCTGATGTTTTTTTCCCTTTAAATGTAGGTACTCATTCAACGAGGAAACCGGCGCCTATGACGAAATTCCAGCTGCTGCATCGACTGTGGAAGAAGTATAACTGAGAGAGTTTTTCTGCTTGACTGGAAGATATTGTACAGACTGTGAGCAACAATTGGTGTAAAATTGTGGGTTATAACTTTTTAATTATTTTCGTTTCTGGAAATGAAGAAAATAGCGGACACATAGGATTCGTAACAACATGATGTTAGGATAGTGCTTCTGCAGTTTTAGAGCATTCCAGAGTCCAACAGACGTGCTAGGATAGTAGTTCTTTTGCAGCACTAGAAGAGAAGGATTTTAAAAGAGAATTATATTCAATGAGAAGGATTTAGCTTAATGTTTTAAGCCAAAAAATCTGGTTTAGAAACTTTTTTTTTTTTTTAATTATTTTTTTACTATTGTGTTTTCGCTAATAAAATTTAAACAAATTTGAATTTTTGTTCAAAACTCTCCGTTCAAACCATATCTCATATGGAGACGCAATTTTTTGTTTTATACTGGTTGGAGACTCGATTTAGTAAAAAAAGAAAAAAAGAGCTCTTAAATCCACTGTGTAAACGTTGTAAAGGAGCTCTAGACTTCGTTCGCTTCACAGATTTGAGTTTTCAATTTGAGTTGAGATGTGATATTTTTTGAGAGTTTTTAATTGTATCAGAAAAAATTAGATGTGACATTTTTTAAGAGTTTTTAACAGTAAAAATTAAAAATTAAAAACACGAATTAGTGAAATGAATTGAACTAAAGTTCCTTGATTCAATTTGGTTGGTTACAATTGTTAACAAATTTTGGCGTAGATGTCATAATTGAATTGTTTTTCAATTGGTGAATTATATTGAACTAATTCCTTAGAATTCATGAGTTTAAGGTCATATTTGGTAGGAGGGATAAAAGGAGGAGGAATAAAGAGAGTTTGAGAGAGACGAGAAATGTAAAATGATGGAGAGGATTATGAATGAATGAATATTTGTTTAATTATTATATTGTCCTTATGTGGTAGGTTATGAAAAAATAGGGCTTTATTTTTAACAGTATATTATATTGTGTTAGTTTTTTTATTTTTTTTATCTTTTTAATGTGATTTTGACTAAATTTTTTCGAAAAGCTCATTCTTAAATTTAAAATAGTATACCATACCGTGCGCTACAGTGCGACATCCCACAGTAGAATGTTAAAAACACAAGTGAGGAGTGATGAAGCTACAAATTGGAACACACGTGAAAAATGAACTCAGTAACATGACAAAGGAATATAAGCAATGAAACTACCAGCAATTTATATATGTATATATTAGTCAAAAACACGCACGAACACTTGTTTAAAATAATAGTTATAAAAATCGTCGAGAAAAAAAAGAAGATAAAAGAAATAAAGAAAAAAATAAGAAAAATATTTGAAGCAAAAGACAGGAAAACATGATAAAAAAAAAAGAAATTTAAGAAAAAAAACTCTGTGAAATGTTTCGCAATTGAAGTTGAAATTTATGAGGATCACATGTAAAAAATATTTATGTAAGAATACATTTGAGACTAAATTAATTTATTAAGGTAATTAGAAATAAATAATATTTTAAACAACCGTAAGAAAAGTAATAAATGAGATATATTTGAAAATATATAAAAATTAAAGGTTAAAAGATGCAATAAAAAAGATAAGGGAGGAAGAAAAAAAAAACTAAAAAAAAGCTAAAAAAAAAGAGAGAAGGAAAAAAATATAAGTAAAAGAAATAAAAAAATTAGAGCCTCCAGAAACCCATTCTCACTTTTAGAAGATAGATATATGTATATAAGCTCTGAAACTTAATTCAGGGCCGGATCAATGTATTTTGAGGCCTTAAGCAAAACTTTTTTAACAGAGGCCTATTAATAATGGTCATTTTTTTAAGGGAGAAAGGGAGAAATAGGTGAAGAAAGATGAATTAAAATTAATAAATTAATAGTTTATATAAGTTAATAAATATGTTAAATTATTGTTTTCGTCCATAACTTGTCTGGTTATGAACCATAACTTTGACAAGTTATTCACGGTTTTTATCCATAATTTGTCTGGCTATGAACCATAACTTGACAAGTTTGTCAATAACTTATCTAGTTATGAACCATAACTTGACAAGTTATGACCTATTAATTTTTATAACTAAAAATTGACCTATATACTTTCTTAAGCTTTTCATATTGACATATTTTCTATTATTTCCCTTTTTTTAATAGAATATAATACATTGAAAAAAAAAATGAAGTGAATACTCTCTTATATCGTTTGAAAATAACAAAATTACAAAATTACAAATTTATAAATTACTAAATCAATAACACAACACAGCAATGACAGAAAATAAATATCTAACATAAAGTTCAAAATGCAAGAATCAACAAGTACATAAAAAATGAGTAAGAAAAGTATAACCTGGAGATCTTATGGCCAAAGAATGTAATTTTTCTTCAAGAAGTCTTTCAATGACTTGGTTTCAGCAAAAAACAAATAAATAAATAAAAACCTTTCAATGACTTGGTTTTTTTTTTTTTTTTTTATATTTTTTGAAATGATTTTTTTTCTCTTTTATGTTTTTTTTTTATTAGTTGAAAAGTGTAGAAAACAGGAGAACAACAGTACAGTTTTAAGAAGTCAAACCAAAAAAAAAAATCTTAAGAGAGATTAGAAAACAATAAAAATTCACGTTTTGTTTAGAGAGGTAAAGAGAGAGAAGTGCAGAAGTCACTTTTTTTCTTTTTTTTTTTCTTTGTGAAAAGAGAAAAATATTGTTTCAGTTACTAATCCCTATTATTTAGGATACTTGGGTGCAAAAAAGCTGGTTTAAATGAGTAACTATCCCTGTTATTGTTGACCCTTTAACTACCCATGAGGAATCATGGGGTATGTTTATGAGCCACATCTAACATATTTATATTTAATTTTGGAAGAAAGAGGAAAATATATTAAGACTTGAGATGAATTAAAATTAATAGGTCAATAGTTTACATAAGTTAATAAATATGCCAAATTACTGTTTTCGTCCATAACTTGTCTGGCTATGAACCATAACTTGACAAGTTATTCCCGATTTTTATCCATAACTTGTCTGGCTATGAATCATAACTTGACAAGTTTGTCCATAACTTTCTAGTTATGAACCATAACTTAACAAATTATGATCTATTAATTTCTATAACTAAAAATTGACCTATATACTTTCTTAAGTTTTTCATATTGACCTATTTCCTATTATTTCCCTTTAATTTTTGAAATAGGATAATAGCTAAAATATAAGAGATAAAAGACGAAAACTTGAGGGCCTTCTTTAGAATGAGGCCTTAAGCAAAGGCTTAACCTGCCCTATAGTTAAGCTTCAAGAAGCTGTAGATAAAACTGTATGACAAACCAAATAATTCATAAAACTTTTTATGGGTTCCTTTCAGTTTCCAAAAAGAAATTATAGTCCAATGATTATGACATGTTAATCAGACAGAGAATCTGCTGCAATTCATAAACCGAGCAAGAGCAAAAGTTTATTGTTGAGACTTATGACATGGAATTCAAAAGATAACAAAGACTCTGTTCATTTCGCTAATTCGAGTTTTATTACAGTAAAAAACTCTCACAAACAATCACTTTTTGTTACAGTAAAAAGCTCTCACATAAAATCACATCTCAACTCAAATTAAAAACTCGAATCAACGAAATGAATGGGAAGGTGTGCAATCAACTTGTGTTTCCTTTTGGTCAATGTTTGTTTTCAAAAGTGGAGCAAAAGAACTGACTTTTGCTTTTTTCTTTTGTTTTTTTTGTTTTTTTTAACAAAAAAGCAAAAGAACTGAAGTTGCTGAAGAATTACCATCTATAGTTATTTTTTAGGAATAGTGTTGACAGCTAATATTGGTCAGTAATATATAATTAATGTACGTAGTTGATTCCTCTTCGAGCAAAGCACTTAAATGGGTGCACTACGTAATAAGAAAGAATATATTTTTTCCTCCCACGTTGCTCATCTTTTTTCAGCTTTATTAGCAACTTTAACTTTCACCGTCCAAACTTCTTTTTCGTGTTTTGTCTTGTTTATTTAATAATGCATGAAACTGCTTAGCACCACACAAAGAGTATCGTTGTCCAACTAGCAATATGCATGCATGCTAATACTTATAATCAACGTTATTAAGCATTTCATATAGGAAATATGTAGGCAAAGTCTTTGATTCGGCAGCCATACAATTCGATAAATGTAATTTTTCTCGTATGTCGTTTATATGTGTGTATAATACTTAATTTATTTAAATTTAACACTAGATATTACATGCGTTGGACTATATTTATTAAACATTACATCAAAACAAATTGAGTGTTACACACAAACAAACGATGTTATATAAACATCGTTATCCCTCTCACGAGTTATCCAAAGACGATGATACCCTTATCTTTGCATGTAGTAGACCATATAGAGATTAAAAAATTGGTATTATCATCATTCAATCGCAGACTACCACGTAAAATAAAAGTAAAATAGAGGTATTTGCTAGCAACAACATAATATATATTCAGGGAGCTATGCCTGAGGTCCGGGGCCGGGCTCTTGAACTCTTTTATTTTTTTTATTTTTTTTATTTTTTTTAAGATTTCATTTTGTCCTAAAATTTTGATTTTTAAGTATATAGTGAATAAACTACAAAATCGACTTTGCTACTATGTATTTATTATTTCTTAGCTCTAAATCTTAAAAAGTGAATTCAATTCTATTATAAGTTATTTATTTTGAAGAAAAAGATATACAAGTAAATAAACGAATGTAATTAAAATAAAAAAAAAGTCTAGTTTCATTATAATATTAGTTCAAAATTTTGGCTGTCGTTTCTGGTTGCTCCCGAGTGCCGAAAACTCTGAGGCCCTTGTGATCTGGTTCCCTTAAAATAGTGGTCCTTTGGAGGGGGCTTGTGTGCGAAGTGCAGTATGGCGGCCAGAGATGGTGGAACAAGCAAAGCGGTCGCGATTCTCTCCACGGGTCGGCGGTGCATGGTTCTCACGCGTCGGAGGCTAGGTTCTTTTTCGGTGTTTCTTTGGCTGGCTTGCAGTGTTGGGGCTCTTTTACTCATCTCTGGAGGTGGTCGCTTGTCATCGAAGATCCTATTAATATCATTTAGGCTTTACCTTTTTGTTTTAATTTATGTGTTTGTCAAATAAAAGTATTAATATTTCTGTTTTTTGGTTTTAGTTTGTTTCTCGGAGGTGGTTTCTCCATATTTTGATGTAGCTTTTATGTTTAGTCTGTAAGTTCTTATTTTTTAGGTCCGGTGCTTTTAAGGCTTATTTTTTTGCATGATTTGAGTTATGATTTGAATTGTGTATGTGAGAGAAAAATATTATAATAAAAAAATTGAATTTAAATTTGTGTGAGAGAAAACACTGTAGCAATATGACTTTAAGTCATGAAATGAACATACTTTTAATCTTCCAGTCTCGATCAATAGAAGTTATCTACCAACTATAGTAGTGTGTATGAAAGAATCATTAGTGTACTTAATTAATTGTGTACCTCTTCAGTTTCCTCTTGTTGGGCTCGTTATATGTACTACTCCCTCGGACATTTCAAATTGTACATCACAAATATGAACTAATAAAAAGAACAATGAACTTGATGGTTTTGGTATGTAGTCGGGGTAAACAAATGTCAAGAAAACTGCTTCTAGATCCGTTGATTGACACAACATATCAAAAATTGGCATTAAGATTCGTTGATTAACAAAGAATACCAAAAATTAAAAAATAAAAAGTGTAAAAATTCAACCGGTAAACGAGAAACTACAAAGAAAAATAGACAAAAATAACTCCAAAAATAAAAAAGAAAAAAGGAAACTTAACTTACATTTGGCTAAAAAATTAGGCGGAAAATGAAACTTGACTTTCTTAGATCAAATTAATACAAATACGAAACTTTCTAATTGTAGAAATAGTAATTTAATTAATGGAATACTTCTAAGAAAAAAAATTGATTTTCTTCCATAATAATTGTTTTCGAGTAAAAAATATTGATTTTTTTTTCCTGATATGGGTTGCATTAAGTTGCGTCACTAAATGTATTAGACTCTTTCGTATATGAATTAATGTTTGTATTTATGAGATTTAGAATGTAATTACCATTTAAAAATAAAACCACATATATTTAAAATCTAAAAAGATCAAACGTCACCGGTCATGACCAATGCCACTACATTGGCTTCCAAAGTATACGCGTAAATACGCGATTGGTTGAACTACAAGGAAAACAAGCGTAATAAGTGACGTATGTGTATGCTAAGGGTCTGTTTAGTTTGTTAATTCAAGTTTTTAATTTAAATTGAGATGTATGTGAGAGTTTTTTACTGTAATAAAAAAGTTAGATGTGACTATTTCTGAGAGTTTTTTACAGTAACAAAACTCGAATTCTAAATTCGAATCGGTGAAATGAACGGAGCCTTTAATTAAACAATATATTGTAACCATAAGATGTGCTAGGAAGTTTCCCTCTCAAGATATTTATCAGCCAACATCGCTTTTTCACCCCCCACCAAAGTCCCCACAACCAAAAAGCATCACTTTTTCTTACTCTACATAAACACCATCTAAGGCTTTGTTTTTCCTTCATGACTAAGTACTTCAACTCCATACCTTTTACTACTACTCTTCAGAACAACTTTGTAATTGTCCCCACATCAAACAGCACTTCCTACTTCTCTTCTTTCATTACTTCATTATTATTATTGTTGTTGTTGTAATTTTATTATCATTTCTTTTTACAACAAAATGAAGAACAAGGCTTCTGTTGTCTTGAAACACATTATTTCCTGGTTGAGCTCTATAGGAAAAGCGAAGAGCAGAATCACCAGGACCGCGAAAGCCCGCCTTGTAATGCTCTCGCTGATGACGAAGAGCAAGAAGGTCCTAATTATGGACTCACTGTCCCACAAAGTTCACAACCTGCTACGAAATCGTCACAGCGAGGACGAAGAGGAATACAATGTTGAGGACTTAAGCAAGGCCGTAGTCCTTTACAATGCCAGGGCTAATGATCATGACTACGTTTATTACGACGACGACGACGGCGAAAAGTATCCAGATCTGAGGCACTCGCTATTTGACGAGTTTGATGAAGATGACCAGGATTTGCAAGGAGGATCTGTGATTGATCTGGTGAGAAACTCCAAGGAAGAAGGAGAGGATTTCAGCCTGGAAGACGAGATTGATCGCGTCGCCGACTTGTTCATAACGAGGTTCCACAAGCAAATGCGCTTGCAGAAGCTGGAATCTTTCAAGAGGTACCAAGAAATGCTCCAGAGAGGCCTTTGAATTGTTGCAAGACAAAGATAACGTATATAGAAAAATGCTATATATATGTTATGTATCGCCCTTGGACAAGTGATGATATATCATCACTTTAGATCGGTTTTTTAATCGATTAGAGATTGACATGTAAGATCTAGCGGTGATGATTACAGGCGGTGATATATATTGCGTTATACTGAAGATGTATGTGTAATGTAACTGATCTGACATGGCCTATTCCATGTTATTGTTAACTTCTTAATTTTTTTTTTTGGCAAAATTTTAATGCCCACGGGGTTGTTTTTTTACAACGAAATTCAGAAAAAATTTAAACTCGAGTTACAACTTTTTTATGAGAGGTTTTTTTTTTTTTTTTTTTTTTTTTTAATCAGTTCTATCGGAAATGTCAATTTTTGACTGTTAGATCAAGTCAAATCACATTAAATTAAAAAAATATACATAATAAAAAATTTCTGATTTAGATCTAATAGTTAAAAATAGAGAACTATGGTAGTTCATATTTTCTAGTTCTACTAAAAAAGTTTCCTTTTTTTAAATAAAAAAATAACAATGGCTTTGTGGAGCAATGTTGTATTTACATTATAAGACTACTAGCACACAAATTATAATCTATGGATCTGCATCATTCACATTTCACAACTAAAGGTGGAGGGATTAACAATACGACGGGCATCCAACTGATTTTCTAGATTCTTACTTTTGAAATTAAATCCCAAGTTTATGAAAAAAATATAGATGTGATGTTTCTACAAGTCCAGCTGTTGCCCCAAGTTTTCTTTTATTTTCTTCTCTGCTTCAACAATGTCTCATGTCTGTGGAATAAGGTTCCTTCCACGATAAGGCCTCCGACTGGTTATGCATATTCTCGATTGTTAGTTTAGTCAAAATCATATCAAAATAATATATATATGTATATGTGCGCGTGCACAAAACAGACAAATTTTAATAAAAATCTGACTATTAATAATTTATTTTTTCAAAATCTAGAAATCTCCGCAGAACAAACCCCATAATTCATCTCTGTTTCCCTATCTAGTAATCTTTTAGCATTTAGAGAGAGAGAGTGGGAAATGGGTAATGCAAGGTTAGATTTGCTGGGAGAATATTGCAAGGCATGTGGATAGTAGGTTTATGAATTTTTGTTAATTTATTTCTCTCCTCCCAAACAAAGTTTTAGTGGGAATTCACTCGTAAGCCAACTAGCTTTGACATGAAAAGGGCACAGAAGAGGACATGGTTTTTGAAAAGTGATTTGAAAGATGCAAGAAAGCAACATTCCACGCACGATTACTCTCTTTCCACGCAAGTGGTTAACGGGTTCAAGTTATAGTCCAATGGCAAATAACTCTTCAATATAATGCAAAACCTTAACTCTCATTTAATGTTAAGCGCCTTTCTCACCCTTGTGTTCATAAAACAAGTCATGCATGCTTTTTTTTTTTTTCCCTTAAAAAAAAAAAAAACTTGAAAAACAACTTTTTGCTTCCAGAGGAATAGCAAATGAATGTGAGAATTAAGTTGTTTCATTGTTGGCGAAGTGTATATTTTAAGTCAAAACTTTATATGAACCATGTAGTCAAATCAAGTATCAAAGCAAAAACCAAAACCTTAGCAAAAGAACCAAAAAAAAAACGACCAAAAGAACAAAAAGGAAGCAAAAGCAAGGAGAATAAAGTTAATATCAAGCAATTTAAAGTTGCAACAATGCGAATTACAGCAGACTTAAAAGACAATCCATCAAGCATTGGTAAATGTTCTCACAATCCATTTCCACTGCAAAACAATCTACCAAAGAGAAAGTCCAACCTTTCTAGTATAAAGAAAAAGGTAAAAAGCGACTTAGGAAGTCTCTGCAGCCGGTTGGGTCACTCCAGACTTCACCAACAACTTACTCAAAGCTTCCGGTGAGCAGACTTGGTACTTCACATTTCCAGAAGGCGAAAGGAAGACCTCAGCCAGTTCAAGTTTATCAGAAGTAAGACTGGTGCTGTCCATAGTCTTGCTGAGAACCTTGAGCGCCAGCTGGACCGCCTCTTCCCTTGTCATATCGTCCTTGTAATCCTGTTTAAGCATCGATTGTGCTGCTTGGTTGTTGGCACCAATTGCTGCAGCTTTCCAACCACCATAGTTACCACTAGGGTCGCTCATGTAAAGCTGGAAACCAAAGTTTTTGTCCCATCCTGCAAACAAGAACGAAACACCAAAGGGTCGGAGGCCACCAAACTGTGTGTAGCCTTGCTTGGTATCACAAAGTGATTGAACTAGCTGCTCAACGGGCATTGGCTCTTGGTATGCATAGGTGTAGCGCTGAGCCTGAACCCTAGCAGTATTTATCAGTATGTTGGCATCCGACATTATTCCAGCCACGGCACAAGCGACATGGTCGTCAATCTTGTACATCTTTTCAGTGGAAGTTGAGGACTGCAGGAGCTTGGATGTTACCTTCTTTTCACCAACCAGGACAACGCCATCCTTTGACAGTATTCCAATTGCAGTACCTGCATTACCAATCGCTTCCATTGCATACTCAACTTGGTACAGACGACCTTCAGGGGAGAAGATCGTAGTGCGGCTATCATATCTTCTAGACATCTTTAGTTACAACTGACGAAAAAAAAATGGAATGAGAGTCATATGGACTGTAATGATATGGGAAAAAACTGAAAAAGTACTCGGAACTTCTGAAGATATTATTAGGAGCAAAAGAAGGAAAAAACTAGGATTTGAAACACTGCAACTAATAAAAAACAAAAATAGCACATGGTCAAAACAAAAATAGCACATGGCCTTCAAAAAAACAAAAATAGCACATGGCCTTCAAAAACACAAAAATAGCACATGGTCTTAATATACACAGTGATTACTAAGACAGTGATCACGAAGCTATACAGTGGAACACTTGAAAAAAAAAAAGTTAATTTAGGAATGAATATATATGACAGCAACCAATTATCAAGGAACAAGCAAGCAAAGCCACGAAACTCCTGAATCCGATAAAGATTGAGCATGACTAAATGAAAGAAGGGTCAAATTAATTGGGAAAACAGGAATAACTAATGAAAGGTAAAGGAAAAAAAAAAAAGAAAAAAAGAAATTAAGAAATTAAAAACAAAGACTGCATCTTCAAAGCCACAATGTAGTTGTAAACACATCGTATGACTAATGAAGGAGCTGTAGAAAACAATCTTAGGGCCCGTTTGGTTTGTTAATTCGAGTTTTTAATTCGAGTTGAGATGTGATGTTGTGTGAGAGCTTTTTACTGCAGTAAAAAAGTTAGATGTGACTGTTTCTGAGAGCTTTTTACTGTAGCAAAACTCGAATTCTAAACTCAAATCAGCGAAAAGAACGGGACCTAATCCTCTGACAAATATAATATATATATATATATTGATGAGTTTTCAATGGTTACCATAAAATATAGAAATTTGATGAGATAAGAATACAATTTCATTAATTTTCATAATTTTTTTAGTCAATTTTTCAATTTATTACAACCATCGGATCAATATATTACGGTTAAAATAATGATACCTATCGATAGGTGAATAATAGAGTAACTATTAAAACACACCCATATATATATATATATATATTTTGTAACTTAAAGTTCTTGAAATTTTCACAGCAGCACAGCCAGTCAAGTATGAGGATGTAAGGAAAAACAAAATTTTCAAAATGGAAACTAGGCATGACCAAGTTCTATCCTCCATTCTAAGAATCAAACAAAATCAAACACACAACGATACACCTCAGAAAATAATTGCACTTCTGAATTATCTAAATTTATAAATTACCTCTTGTTCTCTTCAGTCCAAATCAGTTCATGGCAATATTCTCGAAGTCAAATAAATCTAGCACACCGAAGGCATAGGATGTTCAATCATCAAAGTGCCAAGATAACTAAACCCAGATCATTTCTAAATCTGTAGTAATCAAAATTCTCTACATGACTTAAATTTACAAGGCCGTTTGGTAAACAGGTTCAAGTGTTTTTAACCAACGTTTGGCAAAACTTTTTGATGCTTGGTTCAAACCGATGATTTGATGTTTTGAAGCAAAAAAACTGTAAAATTTCACAATCACAATTTCACCCGAACAAGAAAAACGACATCACATAATATACGAACGACAGTAATCAAAGGGCTGAAACAAAATTTAAGCCTAAGCAGTTTCTTTATGAAATATTCCAACACGTAATTGCAGTTTTTATCAGCAAATTACATCAAGGAACCCTACTTACTACTAACCCAGATCTTCCCTAACAAGAACTATTCGATTAAGTAAACCCCATAACCACAAACTGGAAAATGAACCATTTTTCCCTCACTAAAACCCAAATTAAAAGGTCTAACGCAACGTTTTGCAGATCAAAAGCAGAAAATTAACCACAAAAAGTAAAAAAAAAAATATATCGCTCTATGGACAAAGATCGAAACCGAACAAATAAACAAGTAAAACTTTCGGTTTTTTTGTTGAGAAATTAAGAAAAGAAAATGTATAGAAATTAGAAAAATGGGATTACCAGAGACGACGGAAGAGGGATGAGAAATTCGGAGCAGACGAAGGAGAGAGAGAGTGAGTATCGTGAGCAAGGGGAAAAGAAAATGAAAAGAAATAGGGTACCAACAGAGAAAATAAAATTGGACTAAATTGTGGAAAGACAAAAGAGTCCTTGGGTACCAGTCTTCTAATTACTTTTTCCGGAGGGCAAATCGGAAACTTTATAATTTTTCTTTTTTCTCTTTTGTTAGGAAAACTAGTTCAGAGCCTCGTTCGGAGAATAGTTAATTTGGAATTTTCTCGGGAAAATTTGGGACCTCTGTGAAATGCTTTAAAATTTTTTGGAACTCGTGAATTGCGATTTCAGCGTCGCGTTTTCAGCTCACGATTTCGCTGATTCTGCTTTCGATTTTTGAGGTGATTCTTGGTCTCTCTGTCGATCATAGATTTCGTTTCTGCCGTGAAAATTTTAGTTTCAATTTGACACTTTTTTTGTCTTTAATTGTTGGTCTGAAAATCCTAAGAGTTCGGATTGATGTGAGTTGAAGATAAGAAATAATGTCATTGAAAATGTGGAAATCACTATACTATATCTTTTTGGATTTGAAATTTGTTTCAGTCCTTAACTCTTTGCAGTCAAAAGTTAAAATTAGGGAAGAGCTTTTTTCCCATTTCTGAAACAACAAATAAGACTCAAAACGATTGCATCTTAGTATCTGTGCGAAAAGTTTAAACCTTGTTTTTTGTCAAATGAAATCGGTTTTAAGTTTCAACTTGTGAATGGTGAAAGTTAATGGATGTATTAGGCAAAGAAGTTGGAATTTGTTTTGCGCTGTTTTATAAAAATAAGACCCAACACAGATGAAAAAGTTTAGATAAGTGAAGAGCCTAATTTTATGACATTTGCATTGCTAAGAAATGTCTACATTTGTTGCCTGACCTAATAAGCTTGTTTTTATTCGAAATGTGTAGAATTTGGTGGCCTTTTTTACTCAAGCATTGTGAAGGTTAATGGAGGATAAAAACAAAGGGAGTGAGAGATGGAATGGAGCGATTACCAATCTCACGGAGATGTCTTCCAATCTGGAGTCGCTTCAGAAGCTTCTCCTCAAGAAAGCAGTTTTTGTCGATGAAGAAACCTTTGCCAAAGCCTCCCTCAGCTCAGAACAAGCCCGAACTATCAAGGTTAATTTATAATTTTAACAATTTATACATCTTAAACTGTGTTTGATCCTCTAGTTTGTTCAATGATTTTTTTATGTGTTTTAATTTTCAATATGTGAAAAGGGTGATGGCGTAAATTTCGTTCAATAGATTTTAACCCTTTCTATGTTAAACTAAGTAATCGAACTTATAATGTTGTGTCTGAAATTTTAGTGTTTTACTAGCTGTGTTATTGACAATTTTGATCAATGCATGTTGACGAAGGGTAGATTATCGATTTCAATTTATGACAGAAACTTATTTTGATGGTTTAAATCCAGCTCAGCCTGATACTTTCAACATTAACTATATCACTTACCTTAAATCTATGGACCTTTTTTTTTTTCCTAATTCATTCTAGTCTTTGAATTTATGTGGTTTGTTCAGATTTCTTTTTTCCTTTTTGCTAGCATGTGCCTTGACCTATGTTGCTAAATTCACTAACTTTGTGACATACATTTGATACTCACAACTATTTAGAAGTTGTAGATTCTTAAGAATCTCTTCACGTGTCTAACATAAATTCAGCATCCGTTTTATCAAAATAAATGTGTCATGCTTTTAGATGGGTAGATGCCTCGTTCTCATACCTGTACCATAGCAAAACTTTGTGATTTGCATTCAGCTAAACGATGTAGCTCAAAAGAATAAACTTATTATGCTGTATATTCCGGTACATGGTATGTTGTACTGTGCAATGCCTGATGTGTTCATAGGATTTTAGTGAAGCACATCGAGACTTAAATGTTATAACTTTACATTCTGTCTAGGTTCTTGAACAACGGGTGGAGACTTTAGAAAGAGAACTTGATGCTGCCATTACAGCTGCTGCTCGTGCTCGTTCAGAAAAACGACAGGCTGAAGCAGTACAAAAAGCTGCTGAATTACGGGCGCTAGAGGTTACAAAAGAACTCGAGAATACCACAAGTATGTGAAACTGAAGTATTTCCCTTTTTTATAAGCATCTGGGAATATCTTATGCTCAAACCTGGAAGTTTTATAGAGTTAAAAAAAAAAAAAAAAAAAAGTAACAATATGTTGTTTGCATTGAGATATATAGCTTCGCTGATTTTCAGTTTTACATTTTACAATATTCTTTAACATTCATTATTAGAGAAATTTGGACGGGTATGTGACGATAATTCCTCCACTTCCTTTTTAATGAAGCTGGTTTTTATCAGACAATAAGTTTAGTCTAACATTTCTAGTAAAAAGGATCTGAATAAAAGAATTGGCATGGGGTTAATATGTGGTAAGAATTGGTCTGGGTTAATATGAAGTGCAGTCTACAATTCTTCTACTAAAAGGAAATTGAAAATTCCAAATTAGCAGCGAGGTGCGGTCATAAAAGGCAAACTTCCACAAAATAGAAAATTTGTGTTTTTCAGATAATTTGAGAGATTTTGCCGAGGTATTGGAAATTCAAAACGGATTTCATTTGGGTTGCACATTTTTGTAATTAACGTAGAATATGGATTTCATTCGGGTTGCACATTTTTGTAATTAACGTAGAATTCTCCACCAAGACACAGAAAATTCCTTTTGGCTTAAGGTGCACAATCCTTACTTTACGATGTGATATCCTGTTTTTTCAAGAGAATTATTCCCATCCTTCCCATTGTTGTTGGTTTAGTACTCTTTAATAACCAATCTGAGTTAGCTATGAAAACCAAATTAACCTTAACCCACTATTTTTATTGACTCTTCATTTCATTCATCAATAAATATTCACTCTTGGTTTGATATCTGTATAATTTGTGACTAATGTCCGATTAGAAACCTTGGCCATTCCAGACTAGAACACCTCTATTATTACGCAGTTAAGGCCCTGTTTGTTTTGCTGATTCCAGTTGAGAACATGAGTTGAAAAGTAAAGTTATGTAAGAGAAAACATTGTAGCATAAAAAAGTTGAATTTGAATTTTTGTCAGAGAAGACACTAGTAAAAACTTGAGCTGTGATTTGAACTAACGGAATGAATGAGACCTAGTCTTGAGAACTCTTAAAATTATTTACTTAGTGCGGTAAACATTTTTATTTGTGCACTTTTCCGGAGTTTGGTGACACGATGACGTCTCATGGTTTATTTTTGGTAGAGCACATGGCCTTGCGTCTGTAATCAGTGTTGGGAACTTTTGATGATCCTTTGCAATTGTGAAACTACCCCTGCCAAACTTATTGTTAACGTTTTTTGTTACATTTTTTTTTTATTTTTACGTTGATAGTCCGATGATTCTGTATCTGTTATCTTTGCGAGAGCTTTGTAGAGCGTTGTTTATTTAATCCCATTATATTGCCAAAGTCAGAGTTCGTCCTGAAGTTTTTTATATTTGGGTTATTGGATTCAGAGGTGTTTGAACTGCACATGGAGGAGTTGCGTGCAAAGCAGGAAGAAATATCCAAGCGTGATAAGGAAATTAAACTCTTGGAAGCTATAATTCAAACGCTTGGAGGAACAGAGTCACATTCGAGAAAAGGGTGAAATTGTCTTTTAATTCAAACCTTGTAAATTTGTGAAGTTTAAGAACTGTGAATGTATACACACTCCTGAATCTAGATTGCTTTGATTATACAATGATTTCTTTTTTTTTTATGATTCTCTGATCGGTTGAAATTTCTGTTTCTGCTTAGAACACCTGTTTGTTGTGCACCAATTCTTCAGTCTAGTTGTAGCCTTCTAGGCTTCTACCTTTTTTTTTTTTTTTTTTTTTAAACTTATATTATTATATTATTATCTTTTAATTCTTGACATTGAAGTTTAATGCAGTCATGTCGTAGTTATGTTGTTGTAGGTATATCTCTTAATTTAAAATAATAAAAAAAAAATTGTACAAGCGTAAAATGAGGAATGTGGGAAAAGCAACAAAACTAAGCTGGTGTTCGGGTTGAGAGAAAAAACTACCGATCAAAATAAAAATGTAAACCTATTTTTAGTAGGTTTGGACTGTTCGAAATTTTTTAAGAGGTACCAAAGCAACATAATGGACTTGATCGTTTTGATTTGCTCGGCTCAAACTTATAAAAATAAATTTTGATATTTAAAAAGTTTGAGTCGCTTGTAAAATTAACTTCTTTTTTTTTTTTTTTATAGGACTTTAAGCGGTGTAAAATTTAACTAAAATTGCAATAACATAGGATAACATTAAGCTAAAAGAATTTTGGTTATCTATTTAATGTTAAAAAAGAATGGGATAAGGAGGGAAATAGTATAATTAATAAAGTGATTAATAAATTATAACATATTTTTTAAAAGTAGTAAATTATAATATAATTTAATATTTTAAGTTTTAAACATTATTAAATATTCAAAAATACCTTTAAATCTCTTTGTTCACCTCACTCTTCCCCTCTAAACATCTATTTTTTTAAAAAAAAATTTTAAAAAATAGTAAATTATATCATATTTTTTTAAAGTATGTAGATTCTAGTCAAGTCCACCATGGCCGGTTCCGAAGATTGGCGACTTGTGACCATTTTTCGGAGACTGTTTTTGGCGACTGTTTAACAGTGTATTTACCATTTAATATCGTATTTATTTGTAAGTATCATATTTACCTAAAAAGTTGACCACCGACTCTGGCGACCGTTTAATGCTGTATTTACAGGTAAATACCGTATTTACTAATAAATATCGTATTTACTATTGAATATCACATTTACCCAAAAATTAGGCCATCGACTCCAATCACCGTTTAAAACTGTATTTATCGGTAAATACCGTATTTACTAATAAATATCATATTTATCTAAAAATTTAGGCACCGACTCCGGCGACCGTTTAACACTATATTTATAAGTAAATAATGTATTTATGAGTAAGTACCGTAATTACTAATAAATATCATATTTATCTAAAAATTCAGGCACTAATACTGTATTTACTAGTAAATAGTGTATTTACGAGTAAGTACCGTAATTACTAATAAATATCATATTTATCTGAAAATTCAAGCACTGACTCCGACTACCATCTAACACTGTATTTATCGATAAATACCGTATTTACTATTAAATATCATATTTACATGAAAATCTAGCCGTCGACTCTAGCGACCGTATAACACTGTATTTACCGATAAATATCGTATTTACCGATAAATACCGTATTTACCAGTATATATCATTTTTATCCGAAAAGCAGAACACCGATTCCAATGATCGTTTAATACTGTATTTACTGGAAAACACCCTATTTACCATATTTGTCCAAAAACCCGGCTATTGTGTCCGATAACTGGTAAATACTGTATTTATCGATAAATATGTTTACTAATAAATATCATATTTACCGTATTTGCTTGCAAATTTAACAACACGCTCCGGTGATTAGTAAGTACCATATTTATCGGTAAATATTATATTTATCCAAAAATTCAGCTACCGCCAACTGGCTCCGGTGAAATATTGTATCTAAGATACCATACTCACAAACTACAAAACACAAATTCCTCTACGCAAATTTTTTTGTCGTTCAAATCTTCCCACGTGCATGAGATTCTAAAACAAAACATAAAATCTATCTCTCGCAATAGTTCTTCTTATAAACAAAGTAGAATAGAAGCAATTGCACACTATAAATTCACGAATAATATTATTCTCAGCCACAAGGAAATCAAGAACTAGCCAATGGCCAAGCAAAACTAAACAAATTTCTTCTCTAATTTTTGCTCTTTATCAACAAGAACAAACTAAAGCACGAGAAAACAATTCACATCGTGACATTCGTAAAGAAGAGAGAGAAAAAGCGGACTTAGGGTTGCAGAATCGTCGATGACGGCTTATTCGATTTTTGGCCGACAAGGATCTGACCGTTTTGGCTGCGAGTTGAGAGAGAAAGAGAGAGAGAGAGAGAGAGAGAGAGCCGGCACACCTTGCACGATCTTGGATATGGAGATCTCAAGTACACCTTGTCGTCTTCTCCAGTTTTGAACACTTCGTCTTCCCAGTCACCGGAGCAGAACTCAAACGTGCTGCGGGGTAGAGCTCAAAGTCATGGTTTCACAGAGATGGCCGTAAAAAATGGCGGATCCCGATCTCAAACGGCGGTCAATCTTGGCGAAGATCCTTCCCGGCTCGAGGAGAGAGAACAGCGAGAGAGAAGGCTAGGTAGCAGAGAGAGAAGAGAGGAGAGAAAAAGGGAAAGGTTGTTGTTGTCCTGAAGATTGAGAAAGAAAAAAAATCTTATAGAGAAAGAGAGAGAAACGACATAGAGATGTAGAGAGAGAGTGTTAAATGAATATGAGAGAGGGGGGAAAGAAATAATGGTGTGTTTGGAATTAGTTTTAAAACGTTTTTATTTTTTGTATAAAAATAAAAATGAAAACGTTTTTATTTTTATTTTAAAATTATTTTTAAAATGTGTTTGATAGTTTTATTTCAAGATTGTTTTCGGTTTAAAAAAAATTGAAATTGTGTTTGGTGGTTTAATTTTTAAAAACATGTAATAATATTTAAATTAATAATATATTAAATAAATAATAATATTAAATATATTAAATAATAATATATTAAATAAACATGAATTTTTACATGAAAACTGCAAGGGGGGGGGCGCAGTCGCAGAAGAGTGAAAAACGAGCGCAGATTTTCAGAGAAAAGGAAAATGGAGGAGAGAAAAGGAAAATACGAAAACGAGAATAAATTGTTTTTAGATTTTCAGAAAATGACAATAACGTTTTTATTTTTTATTTTTAGAAAATTTTACACCAAACGCGTTTTCTTGAAGCCTTTTCATTTTTCATTCTCGAAAACTGTGAAAAATGGAAACAAACAGACCCAAGGAAACCCTAGAGGGTAAAATTAGAATTGAAATTTTCTATTTTTGAAAGTAAAATGAGAATATGCTATACTTTGTTAATATTATTTGAAAATATCCTAATTACTTCAAACATATATATGAAATGAGCTATATGGTACATTTTTTCTAAAAGAATTTTGGTTGGTTTAGTCAATTTTCGTAATTTATGGTGTGTTCTTTTGACAACTCAAACTTTTTATATGAGATAAAACACTGTAATAGAAAAGTTTAATTTGAATTTTGATGAGGAAAAACATTGTAGTAAAAAAAATTTAATTGTAATTTGAGTTGTAAAAAGAATAATGCCTTAAACACCCCTAACCAAGCTTTAAGAATTTTATCTGACAATCGACTTTTCTTTTTTCTAGCAAAAAAAAGACTTCTTTTTTTTTTTCCTTTTAACTAGCTTTTTTTAACATGCACTGCACGTATTGCCATGTTACAAATACCTGAAAAGTTTTTTTTTATTGAATAAAGAGAAATTCACTTATACAAACATTTAAAGATTTTTGAATTTATTTTAAAAAGACTATGTGTAAAGATAACTTTTGATATAATAGAAATTACACGAAAAATACTAAGTAGGGACACTGTTTGTGGTCTGATCAACTCCTAGTCACTGATCACTTTCCCACCATAATAGTGTTGAGCAGGCCTCGTTTGCTGGTAAGCTTCAGGTTAACCTGCCAAGCAACATACACTGATCTCCTCTTCTGTTCACCGCCAAAGTTCGCCCCAGCAGGGCTTAGTAGACTCCTCTTCAGCTCCATCATGTCGAACACGAATTGAGGAAAATATTTCATACTTTACCCTCCATTGGAAATCATCTCCACCGTTCATCCGGGCTACTGTACGACTAGTATAGATTAATGACACTTGGGACTGCCACTGACAGAGCTATATGACCATACCTTGGGGCCCCGGGTGAGTTATGGGACTAATTTGAGTACAACGGTAAACTATAAATACCCTCATATCATTTATTGAGGTACGAACAATATTCTCACCTAACTCCACCCCTTAATTAATTGCCCCGAGTAGTACACTAACTTGAGCATCGGAGGGTTATTGGTCAGCACCACACCGGTGCCCATTAATTTTTAAGCTTCTTTACTCCGTTCGTGCATGATCACCTCTGCTTCGTTCTTGAACGGATCGGATCCGGACATCCAATTAGATATGATGAAGAAAGTGTGTCAGATCACCATGCGCAGCCGCACATGGTGTTGTGTTAGATTTAAACATCAAAAGATACATTTGAATAAAATTATTTTAACTATTAACAAAAAAATAAAATAGAAACACATGCCAAAAAATTACTTTTATAGGAGTAAAGTAAAAAATATATATATATTTTTTTAAAAAACACAAAAAAATAAAAAAATTAAAGATATAAGAGATAAAAAGAGAAAAAATGGGAGATAAAAAGAGAGACTGTCATGTATCAGCCACATAAAAAAGAGTTTTTGACTCTTTTATGTTTGTTAAAAGATTAGATATTTGAGAAGAGTTATTTGTTCTGAGCTTCCATTAACCAAATTTTTAGATGGTGACAATGATTTTTTAGTGAGCAATGCTAAGGGTATCGCGGTCAAACACTTGGAAATTATAGATATGGTCGACTATTTATTAATTGTGGAAATTAATCCCGCATGTAATTCCAAGCATTTTTCTATTTTATGTTTTGGTGCACTTAAAGTTTGCTAAGAAGGACCAAAAAGAAATTAGACGAGTACTAAATAAAGGCTCTATTTTATACTCACTTTTATATGCTAGCCTAATCTTTTAATGTGCCACCTCTGTTCTCTTAAATAAACTCATTTATTCACTTTGCACTTTGAATTTGAAAATTGATATTATTTCCCCTAAACTTTAAAAGGCCTAGCAACTTCTCTCCTTTCACTTATTTCATAGATGGAGTTGCTGATATGGCACCTAAAAGAAAGTAAAACCTAAATAAAACTAAAAAACCCATTATTTAAAAATAAAGATAAAAATTAATGGGTTATTTACATTTTGTTACTTTGTATTTTAAATTTATTAAAAAAGATATACATTTAGTTTTTAATCTTATCAAATGTATACACAAATCATACTTTTTTTTGGCCTACTCGATTATGATCTCAAAATTCTCAAATGTCTATAATACCCTAAAAAAAGAGAAAAAAAATGGAAATATTGAAACTTCAAAAGATTTAATAAGAATTGAAAAATTCACCTTAGAAACAAATTTGAGCAAAAGAAAAAAAAAGAACGACTTATGAGTCTCCAACGATGTTGGCCCCATGTCCGACAATCTATTGCGGTCGCTGTCCCCTACAACGATTTCGCACCTCCCACTTTTTGTGATCTTGTGCTGCCTATAGCTCTCTTTAATGATCTCTACGCCCCTAACACCTGATATAATTAAAAAAGATCGATTAGCAAAATAAATAAATAAATAAATAAGATCAATATAAATTGGAGGTTAATCAGTGCGCCAAAATTTTATAATCATGTCGTTAGTCTGTTTAGTTCATTGATTTAAGTTTTTAATTCGAGTTGAGATATAATTTTATATGAGAGTTTTTTACTGTAGTAAAAAAGTTAGATGTAATTGTTTGTGAGAATTTTTTACTGTAGCAAAACTCGAATCAGCGAAATGAACGTGGCTATTTTTTCATTTAGAATTAATTCCATAAAAATTCTGACCTTTTTCTAATTTTTGTTTTTCCTCCTAGCTGTTTTCTTAAAATCATACTTTTGTCCCAACTTTCCTCATTTTTACAAAAATACCCCTCTGCACTCCAAAACCCCTTTCGCGTGATTTCTTTGCGGAGAATACAAATATGTCTATCCAGGTCTTTCAAATAGTTTTGTTTTATGAAAGAGAAATATACAATATCAATAAAAAGGGATATTTATACTAAGAATGGAGACCAATATTTTTAGAGTCCATCAATCTAAATTTTTATCATTATTCTTAATTAATATAATTTTTAATCAAATAACTATATTAATAAAAAGAACATTAATTAATAATAAAAAACAAAAATCTATATTTATGTATGTCATTAATTTTCTCGACTTTATGTTGAATTAATATAATTTTTAATCAAATAACTATATTAATAAAAAGAACATTAATTAATAATAAAAAACAAAAATCTATATTTATGTATGTCATTAATTTTCTCGACTTTATGTTTATGTCGTTCAATGTTATACTTAACATCTACTCCATACAATTCACCAAAAAAAAAAAACAAAAAAAATTACAGAATTTATTTTTAAGAGTGTATAAGTCTAAATTTTTACTTCTCATTTTTTATTGATACTCTTTTATTAGTATAGTTATTTGACAAAAAAAGTTATTAATCAATAGTAAAAGATAAAAATCACGACTCGTGCACTTTTAAAGAGTATTTTTATCTCATTTTTTCTTAAAAATAAGATATTAAAGGATCATTTAATTCAAATGTTTAAAATTATAATTCTAATTATGTTAAAATACTTTTCGATAAAAAAATTCAAATGAAAAAGTTTACGGTCGGTAAGTTCTCTTATAAAATTTAAATTCAAAATAAAAAATACTTACTTAATCGCATGAATTAAACGAGTACTAGATATTCTCTCGGTTCTTTTTTCTTTTTTTTTTCTTCCAACGAAGATTTTGGACTTGTTCTTTTGAGTGAAAAACTCAAAAAAAAGCAACTCGAGTTACAACTTTATTCGAGTTCATATTCTTTTAAGTTTAAACTCGAGTTTAAACTCGAGTTCAAACTCGAGTTTAGGACTAAAACTCGAGTTCAAGTTTTCTCTTCAACTCGAGTTTAGAAACTCAAACTCAAATTAATGAACAGTATTTTTTCTATTCTTAAAAATGCTATAACTTTTTCGTTTTAATTCTGATTGAGATGATTTTTTTTATGCGTTGACAACGAAAAGATGAATAAAATCTGACCCATATACCATATTAAAATTTTTCATCAGCATTGAGTTTTTATTAAAATACTATCTAAATATAAATTCAAGTTTTGACTCACTCAAACACAAATTCAAAAAGATTATTATCTCAAACCCATAACTCAAATGTACACAACTATATATAAACTCAAGTTATAAGTTTAACTCAAGTTATAACTCAAATTCAACTCAAGAATTATACTCAAGTTAAACTCAAAAAAGAACAAGTCTTTGATCTGACCCTTTACACGCAAATTTCCCCTCTCTCTCTCTCTCTCTCTAAACTGAAGGTCCATCCAACTCTTTCCAAACATGCAAAGTCCAAAAACAAACCCCTCTACTTTGACTCGAGGAGGAACACCTTAGAGGAGAGGTGATTTGTCAAGATTTTCATCAAAAGGAAGGAGTTTAGGTAGGGAGGGAATCCTTAAACTCAAGTTTTTTTCTCTTTTTCACCTGTGAAATCCGAATTTCTCTTTTTGAATTTCCCTTGTTATTTTCAATTTGAGTGGATAAATTGCTGATTTTTCACAAACCCTTGGATGTACTTGACTTTGTGATGTTGCAAAGTTATGGAGAATGGATTAATTCTTGCATGCGCATGATCTGAATGAGTTCTTGAACTTCTTGTTGGGATTGAAATATTTAAACTCATGATATGAACATCATACACCTAGATTTTTGCTTAAAGATGAGTTTAGGGCTCTTTTGAGCATGAAATTTAGGAAGAATGAAATTATGGATTTGTCACGATGTTTACATTTGGTTGCTGCCTGTGTCTTGAACTTTCTGGAACTGTATTGGAACTGGAAATGCGAGTTTAACTCGAACTACGCAAAAAATAGCAGAACTGGAAATTCTAGTTGTGAGTCCGGTATCGGACGGTGATGTCCGGTCAACTGGAGATTGGCAGAGTGTGCAGTTTAGGCTCCGTTTGGTTGGAGAGATGAGGAGTACGAAGGATGGAGAGAATTATAGTAATACTTCATATTATTTGGTAGGATAGTGAGAGAAAGTTGAATGGATGAATGATAATTATTTATAAAATTACTAAGGTCTCGTTCATTTCACCGATTTGAGTTTTTAATTCTAGTTTTGCTGCAGTTAAAAGCTCCCATAAAAAGACATCTAACTTTTTATGCTACAGCTAAAAATTTCATATTTTAACTCGAATTGAAAATTTATATCGGCGAACTGAACGAGACTTAAATTGTCCATTTAAACTATTTGCTAATAATTTGTTTAATGGGTGAAATAGTCTTTTAAAGCTTAAAAAGTGATGGATTGTTTGGATCTTTCTATTGATGGATGGATCCAGTTTGGTGGGTCATAAGGGAGATCTCATAAGAGAGATCACATCCCTCTACCGCTCTTCTCCCTCCTACTAATGGATTAGGGCTCTCCTTCCACCCCTTTCCCTCTCTCCATCCATCCCTCCTACCAAACATACTGTAGTTTAGAGCAGACAGTGACCCTGCTTTTCCCAAAACAACCCAAACACCTATTTCCCAGACATTTTATGATTAGTATGCCTTGAGAAAACATATGTAATATGTTAAAACATTTTAGAAATTATCTTGCATATTCATCATGTTTTGTTAAAAAGAGCAAATGATGTTGGCACGCTAGCAACCAAGAACTTGACATACTGAACCTTGTTGTTCGAGACCTTGTTATCAAATTTACCTTGACGCTTGTTAGGTTCTAAATACCGGGAGCGAGTGTGTGGATTGTAGCAGTTCTGGCGTCACTAGAAATCCGTAGAATTTTATGCCAAAGAGGTAAAACATTCTTGTCTATATTCCATTTTTAAATCTTGTTTTGGCCTTGAGAATTTTCTTACATTTTTGTTTTGAAAATAAATAGCTTTAGAACCCTAGGAAATGGAAGAATAGCGATGAAGATGAGAGAGAGAGAGAGAGAGAGAGAGAGAGAGAGAGAGAGAGAGAGAGAGATTTTAAATCTTGTTTTGGCCTTGAGAATTTTCTTACATTTTTGTTTTGAAAATAAATAGCTTTAGAACCCTAGGAAATGGAAGAATAGCGATGAAGATGAGAGAGAGAGAGAGAGAGAGAGAGAGAGAGTGATATTATTTCAGTGGAAAAATTTATAAACACGGGAAAATCTGACATTTTATTTGACCAGTAGAAAAATAAATTATGGTGGTAGTCAATTATCAACTGTGGGAATTATCTAATTTGCTTTGACTCTTTTGTTGTCTCCACTAGTAGATTAGAGAGAGAGAGAGAGAGAGAGAATGATATTATTTCAGTGGAAAAATTTATAAACATGGGAAAATCTGACATTTTATTTGACCAGTAGAAAAATAAATTATGGTGGTAGTCAATTATCAACTGTGGGAATTATCTAATTTGCTTTGACTCTTTTGTTGTCTCCACTAGTGGATTTGAAGCTTGTTAGTCGTCTTGCATTTCCAGGACTCGTAATTTCATGGCCAACAACGTAGCTAGATATGCTTCTTGTTTTTGTGTCAAGGGAGTCTTCTTCATGGATGTGACTCCCCCCTCGATTTTGTCGGACTCAAAAGGAGTGGGAGCTAGTTGTCGGCTAGCCTACCCTCGTCTTTGTTTTCCGCTCTTTTGTTTTTTCAATGAAGCATGAATTAAAAGTACTCATTGTAAAAATGACTTAATAAGAAAGCTTTATAAGTAAAATAACTTTCCAAAACTTTTAATTTGCGGAATGACTTTGGAACAACCTCACAGAAACACTTTTTACACTGTCGACCAAATGGTCCTTCAGTGTAAAACTTCAAGAAAGTTATTTTGCTAAATTGACTTTGTAGAGTAGTCAACTCTGCAAATTCTTCTTAAACTGTATAACATTTTAAATTCATGTTAAATCCTTACATTTTTCGGTCAAAGGTTGATTTTGACTATAAAAAAGATCTAAATATCCTTCACATTTTGAAATTTTTTATATTTTCTTATTCCTTTTCATATTTGTCTTCATGAGTGTTTAGGTCCTTTTTATGGTCGAAATTGACTGTTGATCAAGAAGAGTTAAGAATTGTGCATGAATTTGAAATTTGGATGTATAAATATGTTTGCCCTCCACTGAAGTTTGTCTATTCCAGGAAGCGCAAGGGCATGGGGAGTGAGAATAGAGTAAGTGATAGGGGGGAAAATGTAATTTCTGGAAACTAAGAGCTGACGTGGAGAAATCTGTTAGAAGAATTGTTAGGAGTCAGGAGATTTAAGGGTGTAAGGGGACCTTGGGAAGGGTATTCGGTTATTTTGGAGTGCCTTGGCATTGGGAGGGTGGGACCTCGAAATTCCTAAGCTTGCCTCTGCCATTTTCGTTTTTTTCGTTTTTTTCTTTCCAGTATTAGCTTGTGCCTAGCTATGACCACCGGCTATGGTGGTTAGATAATAAATAAAAGGAACAGACGCCCCTTTTGCGCTGTTATTTGCCATCCTTCTCTACTCTTCTGTGGTTTTTCTCTCTTTAACACGCAGGTTCCTAACAAAATATTATACAGCCTAAAATACAAGGTATGATTTTTTTTGGTAACCTTGAAATATAAGGAATAAAAAAGGGGAAAAAAATTAGTTAGGTCCAAAATTTTGGCATCATTTTCCAGATACTCGATTTCTTCCCAAGGAATTTGCTAGAATGATTGCCCTACGAAGTGAAATAGCAAAATGACCATTTTGTTTTTACAAAGAACAACCACTTGGTCATTCTTTATAAAAATGGCCCTTCCCAGTCGTTCCATAGTCATTTTGCTAATAAAAACTTTTTGGAAAGTTATTTTACTAATAAAGCTTTCTTATTAAGTCATTTTACAAATGGTTTATTTTAAGGCCAACCTAAGCAAAACTAATTGGATTCACTATTCAGAGCTCATCAAAATCTCTATTTGGAATATTCTTGGGAAGATATTGGCCTTGCTTGTCTATAAATTTATGAGAAATCGAAACTTGTCTATCTCAGTATCGCGTTGCAGCTCATGCTTTCACAGTTTGGGTTTTGACTTTGAAGTGATTCATGGTTTCTTCCTCGAGAATAGGTTTTGTTTTTCTGGTGGAAATTTTTTGTTCAATCCGATCTTTTTCTTTTTCTCTTTTTTCTTTTTCTTTTTGTGTGTCTGGAATTATTGGACTGAACATCCTCAAGTACTGACACTAATAAAAGTCGAAGATAAAAGATCATAAAATTTATGCTGATGCATATTTGGTGTGCCATGGACAGCCCTATTTATGTCACAAATTTGGAAAATCATCAAGTTAATTGTCCGAATTGAAAAGTAAAAGTTATGATTAGTGAAAATAGAGCTATTATACCTTGATGATCATGGTGTATTACAATTCTACATGCAGGTGCTTGTCACCGACTTTTTGGACTGTATAATCAAATTAGTTTTTCACTCATGTCATTATGTCTACTTAATTGTTCTTAATTGAAAAGGAATAGGTTATTATCAGTTGAATATAATTGTTATACTTGTGATAATTAGGTGTAGTTTTGTGGCACACAGAGGGGCTTGCTCTGTGTATATGAACCCTGCTGGCTGCTGTTTATTAGAGCTGTCTACACATTAGGCATAGTTAAATATCATTGGTGGTTATTGGCGTGGGCGTGGGAAGGCGTCCGCAGTGGGGATTCTCATTCTTTGTTGGATGGGTTCTATTCATTATCATAGCATTTTTGGAAGAGATCTTGTGCACTCACGCATATGGCTGTGTTCAATAATTTTCTGAGGACTTTTAATATTGTAGGTCCATTATGCGCCAATCTGCCCGACTTCGCAAGAACCGTGGTGTGGTCTTACCTGAAGCTCAAGAGATGGTAATTGAGACACCTGAATCTGATGCCACCACAGACATGCCTGAATGTGGTGAGCAAACCCCAATGGGTAATCTACAGCAGACAGTGGACATTATTGCCCGTGCATTTGTTTCCCATAATCGAACTCGATCTATAGAAGAGAGAGTATCACTAATTGAGCAAGTCCTCAATTTGGGTGCTGAAAAGTTCCACGGTTCTGCAAATCCTGCTGATGCTGAAGAATGGATGAGACGGCTAGAAAAGACTTTCAATGTGCTTTATTGTTCAGATGAGCAAAAGCTTTTCCTTGGGCGTTTTCTGCTAGAGGGAAATGCTTTTCGTTGGTGGACGGACATAGAACGTGGCTACCCTGATCCATCATCAATAACTTGGGAAGAGTTAAGCCGTCAGTTCAATGATAAGTATATTCCACGTACCTATCTTGATGCAAAGCTGAGAGAGTTTTTGCTACTGGAACAAGGGTCTATGACTGTGGGAGAATACGAGGATGAGTTTATCAAGTTGTCGAGATATGGTCCATCCTTAGTGGCAGATGAAATTGAGACGTCTAGGCGGTTTGAGTATGGCCTCCGGAGGGAAATTAGGATGATAGTGACTGCTGTTGGCTGGAAGGAGTTTCGCGGGCTTGTTGAAGCTTCAAAGAGAGTAGAACAGTGCATGAATGAATCCCAAAGTGATGTCAATGGTAGTGGTCCAAGACGTCAACGGCGATGACTTTGACACAGAGGTTGTGTTTCCAGGTGAAACAAAAATATTAACCCTGCTTACAGTTTGATAATGCCACAATGTTATTGATATCTCACCAACTTTGTATTTGCACTGTGCGTTTGGTTGGTGAATTCGTGTCATGATTCGTGGCTCACTACAGTGTTTTTTCTCACAAAAAACACACATAAATCGAGAATGATTCTGAATCATGATTCTGAATTCATGAACTAAACGTCCACTAAGACTGCATATATCACACGCAATTGTTGAACTAATATATGTCCATGTCTCCGAATCCCATACATGGGCAGCAAAAATTCATGCGTGTGTGCGTGGGTTCTATGTAATCAATGTATGTTCTACTTAGGTATGAATGATGAGATATTCGTTGGGGTTGTAATTCATTTTGTCTTCCTAATGAGTTCAATAATTTATAGTCACACGTGCGTTTTTTTCTCTTTCTTACAGGTTGGAGTCGTGGTCGAGGTCGAGGTTTCGCCGAATGCAAGGAACTATTTACTCTTATCTTCTCTAATGCAAGCTTTTTTCTTTTGCCTGCGGAGTTTCTAATGCTTTGCCTTTGTTTCATCTTAGGATGTTCGTTTGTGCGTAACTGGGTATTTTCACGCATGTTATGTAAATATATGAAACAACTTGTTTATGAAGTTTGAGGTAGCTGTATGTGAGTAGCGTGGGCAATATGATAACGACCCCTGTTAACGGCCTGAAACACCATTTTTTTTTCAGTTGTTGATTTGGTATGTGAAGATTTGGACATGAGAGCATAAGAGAAACCCTCCATCACAGTCTATGCATTCAAATAACTAATCAAAAGCCATTAACTATAATAAAAAAAAGGGAATTAAAGTATAAATCAGTAGTTTCCTTTTAATTTGATTCTTAGAAAAAAAAAAAAAATATATATATATATATACACATTGTCCTTAAAAAACAAAGCATAAACCAGTGGTTTCTCTTTTATTTGATTATTAAACAAAAACCTAGAAATTGAAGGAAAAAAAAGAAAAAGGTAAATCACTAGTTTACTTTTGAGGAACGGACTGGAAGAGTCCCACGGACAATGGCTTAAGTTTGAGAGAATCAGTGTGAAATAAGAGAGAAAAAGTGAAATAAAAAACAAAAACAAGGGAAATTGCAGTGTATAAGCCAACATTTAAAACTTGTGGAAGTAAATAAATTATTTACCGAGTGTTAGAAATAAATAGGTCATTTGCAGTTTTAAACCTTTTATCTTCCAATTTTACCTTTTTTATAGGATTTGTTGATTTTTTTTTCTTTTCTTTCTAGAGCCATCTTTCTCTACTTACTTCTCTCGTCACCAAACGTCTCTCTCTCTCTCTCTCTCCTGATCTCCTGCTTCTCTCTCACCCTCCCCGACTTCTCTCTCTCTTCTGGTAAAATCTAAGCTCAGACCTCGCAGTCAAGACTCACGACGGTGTAGTCGAGACAATGCGAGCCCTTTTGACGGCAACGGATTTCATTGATCTGCATCCAAATCTTCTTGCCGTCATTCTATCCGCCTTCAGTGTTAGTCGGCACCTCATGTACTGTGATGGACATGAAGAGATAATGGTGTTTCAAGAATAATTTGAATATATGTATTTTAAGCAATTTATGCTAGAAAATAAATAAATAAATAAATTGTTGATTGGAATGTAAATTTATAAGTTATGTTCTAAACCATTAATTTGGGTCATTTGGTTTGAATCTCTTAAAGTTTATTGTTGTTTTGATTAGTTCTATTGGCTATTAATGTTCGGGTTTTGCTTTGTGTTGGGTAAGACAATCTGATTGTCTAGTAGATGTTTGATGAATTTCTTATTTTTTTATAGCCCGAGTACAACGAACATAGAGAGAGAAAGAGAGATAGCAAGACGAGAGAGAATTTTGGTTTTTTCTTAGGTATTATTTTTAATTTTTTTACACGGAGACACTTTTTGTAAATTTAAGTGTTGATAAATCCAGATTAATAGTAAATGGTCTATTTGTTAACTAGCTCTAAACTTTGGACTATTAATTCTTATTACTCTCTTAATTAGGCCTATTTCCTTTCTTCTCTCTTGTATTTTTGAGTTATAGTGACTTGAGTGTAGATTTTAAGTTGAATTTGAGTTATAATTTGAGTTAAAGTTGTAACTTGAGTTTGTGTTTAGATTGCACATTTGAGTTATGGTTTGAATTGAGAATCTATTTAAGTTTGTGTTTGGCTTGGTCACAACTTGAATTTGTATTTAAATAGTATTTTAATAAAAAATCAATGGTGATAGAAAATTTTAATAGAGTATATGGGTGGGGTTTTATTCATCTTTTTGTTGTGAACGCATAAAAAAAATCATCTCAATCGGAATTAAAACGAAAAAGTAATGACGTTTTTAAGAATAGAAAAAATATTGTTCATTAACTTGAGTTTGAGTTTAGGAACTTGAGTTGAAGGTGTAGACCCGTTTAGTTCGCTGATTCAAGTTTTTAATTCGAGTTGAGATGTGATTTTATGTAAGAGCTTTTTACTGTAGTAAAAAAGTTAGGTGTGACTGTTACTGAGATATTTTTACTGAGCAAAATTTAAATTTTAAACTAAAATCGGTGAAATGAACGGGGATATCAGATTTTAGCCGTAATTCAAGTTAAAACTCAAGTTCAAACTCAAATTTTACAAAAGAACATAAACTTAAATAAAGTTATAACTTGAGTTCAAATTTTTTTTGAGTTTTAATCCAAAAGAACAAGTCTGAATAAATTACTTTAAATTCATACATGTTCCTAAAAAAATGAATCATATCTGAAGCCAAAAGCAACAATATGTTGTTTCTAAAAAAACTACTTTAAAGTTATAAATGTTCTTGAAAAATAAATAATATCTGAAGCCAAAAGCAACAATATATTGTTTCTAAGGCTCCGTTTATTTCACCGATTCAGGTTTATAATTTGAGTTTTGCTATAGTAAAAAGCTTTCAGAAACAGTCACATCTCAACTCGAATTAAAACTCAAATTAACGAACTAAACAGATACTAAAAGTTTTTCTTGTAACATTAAATCATTCCTTAAGCCAAAAGCAACTATATAAGTTAAATATATCAATATACATACACACATGAAAATTAAGTCACTTCTAAAGCTAAAAGCAACAATATTGTTGTTAATTTGCAATTAAATACCCAACAACTACACCACGAATTCAGGATTTAGGCCTACAACTACCATCATTTTGCGTTTGCTTTTGCCAAAACCAAATTTAATCAATAGAGGATCTTGTTATATATACGTATATTACACAAGTAAATCATAAGATGTATGATATAATGAAAACACTTGTGACTATGATTTGAATGATTACAACACTTGGAAACGTTGCACAAGCCGGAGACCCACCGTTTGCCACACCTGATGGCGGTTATGTGGTTTTCAGAGTAAATTGCCTTCCACATTGCAAGAGAGAGTATTGTGATAATGTCATACATATCGGTAGGACGTCATACCATCACTGTTTGAAGGAATGCATAGATATTGTAATTAGGGCTAGCACACTACCAATAATTTTTATGTGGTTATACTTAGAGTTCGTTTTGTTCGCGTACTCAAATCATAATCATGATTGGTAAAAATATCGTGAGAGAAAAAATTTTAAAATTCAAATTATTTGTGAGAAAAAATATACTGTAACAGAATTATAGTTTAAATTTGAGTACCCTAACCGAACGAACCCTTAATTTAAGTATATAAGTTATTAAGGCTATCTGCCATACTTTTGGGCTTTATTTTTCTCCGTCTTTTTCTTTGATATAAGAAGGGATTATCACTGTCATTCGTCTCGCCGTACAGAGTGTTGTCCTAATCATTGTAATTTTTATATTTTATAATTATTTTAAAAATAAAAGTTTACTTATACAACTTTTAAAATTTAATGATTATGAGAAAAAATAGATTTAGTATTTTAAATAGCATTATGCGTTAGACTAAAAATAAAAATAACAAATTATATCATACTTCTTTATGTTAAATATACAATTTACATTAACATTTGTATTAAAAATAATTTTATTAGTGAGTAGTGCTTAACACCACTAGTACCAAATAACATTATTCTTTAAAAATTAAAAACTGAATAAAATTAAGTAAAATATTTAAAAATATTACCGGTGTTAAATACCATCACTAATAAAAAAAAAGAGTCTTATATGTGAATTTCACACTCACTTTCTATTAATAGACGGTGTCGTCCAAGTGCCTTATAGAAATACTTTAAAATTTAGAGTCCGTTTAGTTCATGGATTAAAATTATGAGATTAAAATTATTTTTAATGTACGTGTATTTTTTATGAGAGAAAATATTATAACGAATCATAAACTATAATTCAAATTAGAAAATAAATCTTCTAACCAAACCAATTTTAAAGGATTATTTTTTAGATTAACTTAAGAAGTATTCTTATTTTCTAGACCAGAGGGACGAACATTTATATATCAAAAAGAAAAAGAAGAAAGACAGCGACAAATGGCCAGGCTGGTTATAAAAAGACATAAAAGCTGTCGTTTTGCAGACCACATTCGTTTTTGCCATTGTGGTGCCAATTTCTATCGACTTTAGTTTTTTTATTAACAATTCTGATTTGACAATATGTTTAGTTTGAAGATTTAAATTATGATTTAAATTATAATTTATAATTTATTATAATTTTTTTTTATAAAATATATACAAATGATTTATTATAATATTTTTTTTATAAAAAAAAAATATAAATTAAAAATAATTTTAATCATATGATTTTAATTTATTAACCGAACGTTATTTTATCCCACTATTAACTTGTTAATCTCACACTTATTACAACCCTAATTTTTCTGTTAGTTATTAGTTCTTCGAATTTCTCCTGTTTTCTGATTCTGATTTTCTCATGCCAAACCCAAACATTTTCCATCGCTTTCCCCCCCATCCAAACACCCAATTAAACTGAAATTCCCGAAGCTACGATGCTGGAAAAGGCGTAGACGAAGAAACGGCAAATAGTAGCAAGTGATGGCGGAGGAGGCGAGTTCGGAGAGGAGCGAGATCAATGGTGGCGGACTTGCGTCGATGGATTCGACGGAGTCGCGGTGGGTGTTTCAGGACGAGGACGATTCGGAATTCGACGGCGATGAGGACGAAGAAAATTTGAGGCACCGGACGTCCATGGATTCAGAGGACGATGAAGACGATGAGAATGCTGAGCAGAGGTTGATTAGGACCGGTCCGCGCGTCGATTCGTTCGATGTCGAAGCCCTAGAGGTCCCCGGTGCTCAGCGAAACGACTACGAGGTGCTTATGATTTCTCTCTTTCACATCGAACTTTGAGCTTGTGAAATCCATAATTGGGATCTCTTTGTTGCGATTCACGAATCTTATAGCTGTTTGATTACTTGCTTTCTTAGTTATCCGTAGTGCAAAATGGGTGATTAGTGCAGGAGTTGTTGAAAATGTTTTGTTTTGATGGTCTGTGTTCTTTCCTTTTCTTCACCTCGTTGGTGTTATCTTTGGAAAGAATGTAAGACAAAAGGTGTATGGTTTATTCGTTTCTATTTTTGGTGAGATTTTGAGATTTTCTTTGTGAATCTATATCTAGGTCTTGCTAATGAAGCGAGTACCGATTAGGATATTACTATCCGTTTTACAGAAAGCTTGTTGTGGAATGACAAAAGGTGTATGGTTTATCCGTTTTATGTTAGGATTGACCCATTTCTTGTACAAAAGATGTAACATTTCTTTTTCGATATTAAAGTATCAAACATTTTTGAGTTTCCTTGTGAAAAAGCTATGCCTACATCTACGCGATCCATTGTATTGTGAACTAGAATGTGAAAGTCTTAACTCAAGGGTTTCTTAGATGGTCGCAACCTAATTATGGCCTAATTATTGACTTATAATGGAATGACAATGAGAATCATAATTTATTCCAATAGGCGTGGTTCGTTACTTGAACTGTAGTACTGGAGTCCCATATGACCTATTTTCTTTTCTAGTACTTTTTTCCATCGTTGGTCAGTACACACTCCTTTTCTTTTGGTTACCAACTTTGTCTTGTATTAGCTTTTTTTTTATACCCAGAAATCCTCCAAGCCCACTTTGTGTGCCCGAGTTAGAAACTATATTTGTATTAACTTTTGAATTATGCAATTTTTGAAACTTCGCTTGCATATGGCACAAAATAGCATGGTAGGATTCTATCTCATTGATAATTTATGTGCACTTGCAGGACTTCACTGTGGGCAGGAAAATAATTCTTGCTTTTCAGACCCTTGGGGTTGTCTTTGGTGATGTTGGTACAAGTCCATTGTATACCTTCAGTGTGATGTTTAGTAAGGCACCCATTAAGGGAAATGAAGATGTTCTTGGAGCATTATCTCTTGTTCTTTACACCTTAATCTTGATCCCCCTGGTTAAATATGTGTTAGTCGTTCTGTTGGCCAATGATGATGGTGAAGGTATTATGTATTCTAAATCACACCTTCAATTTCGTATCAGTTTTTTTTTTTTTTCCCTAATCTTATTTGTATATTCTCTTCAATCTTGTTTCAGCTTCTTTTGTAGTTTCACTTCTTTTAGTCTTTATTTTTGCTTTGTAAAAGTGAAATATATTCCTTATTCTTCTTCCCCATCCCCACCCCCCTCTCTCTTTCTCTACCTTTGCATATTGCAACTTAAACGTATGAATGGATTTTTGCATAAGCTAGCTATTTAGTTCTCATATCCATTCCAGGTGGCACTTTTGCTTTGTATTCATTGATCTGTCGGCATGCAAAGGTCAGTCTTCTTCCAAATCAGCTTCCATCGGATGCTCGTATATCAAGCTTCAGGCTGAAGGTTCCTTCCCCTGAGCTTGAGCGATCTCTGAAAATCAAGGAAAGGCTTGAGGCTTCATTGACTCTGAAAAAGCTTCTTCTGATGCTGGTTCTTGCTGGTACTGCCATGGTGATTGCTGATGGAGTTGTTACACCAGCGATGTCAGGTTTCTTATCTAGCCTGTCTCTTTTGTTTGCTCATTCTTTTGAATGCCATGCCTGAAATAGATGTAAGCTGTTTCTTGGTCTATACTAGTGGTGGTGGTGTTGTTGTTGCTGGCCTTTTTTTTTTTTTTTTGGTTGTAGGTTGTATAAATATTCTTTATTTCCTAGGTTTTTTTTTTTTTTTTTATTGTATTTTTTTTGGCTAATCATGTTATAAAAAATTCATTTACTTATTTATCTGTCTATCTTTATGCAGTGGTGTCTGCTGTTGGTGGCTTAAAGGTCGGAGTTGATGCTATTAACCAAGGTATTCAGCCAGCTAGTCACCTGTCTTTTTTTGCTTGCTTAATTTGTACTTGTTAGATACTGTCAAGTCAGAGACAAAAAATTAAAGTTCCATAGAAAATTCCTATCAATTAATACACTTGATTATTGATGATTGTCGCCATATGAATCCATAGTGGCTGCATATAGATAGCAAACATTTGTTTTTAATTCACTCAGCCATGTTCAATATTGTTTTTTCCCTCTATAAGAAACAAAAACTTTGTTGAAAATAACGAAGATACAACAAAAACTTAAGAAACTAAAAACATCAACATCCCATGACATCTTTTTATTTATTTTTTATTTTTTTACACAATCAAACAAAAAGGAAAGGCTTTGAAGACTTTGTGTTGGAGCCCACAAAGAAGCTAAATACTTCATTTATTTTTACATCTTTCTTTCTTTTTGTCTTCTTTTTTTTTTTTTTTAACACAATCAAAGAAAAATGAAAGGAATCGCAATGGAGTTAAGTTCATATATGTAATTAGTGCAAAGGAAACGAAGTGGACAGGAAAGAAAGCAAAGGAGATTGGAAATTTAGGACACAAGTTATGGTATACAGGTTGGGAAAGGAATCGCAATGGAGTTGGTATTCTAGTGGACAAAATTGTGAAAGATGACGTAGTTGAGATTAAGCGAATAGGGGATAGAATTATTATGCTCAAATTGGTATTAAGAAATAAGTTCATATATGTAATTAGTACTTACGCTCCACAAATAGGATTGGATGCGGAAACTAAAGTCAAGTTCTGGGAAGACATGGATGAGTTAGTGTGTCGTATAGGTAATGAGGATAGCATTTTCATTGGAGGAGATTTCAATGGGCATGTTGGTAAGGATAGGGAAAACTTCGAAAGGATTCACGGTGGTTTTGGTTTTGGAGCTAGAAACGAAGAAGCAAAATCTATTTTGGAATTTGCGTTGGGACATGATTTTATCATAACAAACACATTTTTCAAGAAAATAGATTCTCATTTGATCACTTTTAAGAATGGGAGGAACTTGAGTCAGATAGATTATTTTCTCACAAGGTATAGAGAACGTTCTCTATGTAAGAATTGTAAAGTAAGTCCTGGAGAAGTACTAGCCATCCAACATAGGTTAGTGATCTTAGATGTGAGCAGTAAGCTTTGCTATAGAATGACTAATATAAACCACCTCCCACGAACTCGTTGGTGGCATTTCAAGGGAATAAAGCAATTGGCCTTTAAAGAGAAGTTGTTAGATGAGGCTACTTAGTCATATATAGGTGATGCAAATACTATGTGGGATGCCATGACCAGCTGCATTAGAAAAGTGGCAAAGGAGGTACTAGGGGAATCTAGAGAGGTAAAGGCCCCCTTGGAAAAGAAACCTGGTGGTGGAGTGAGAAAGTTCAAAAGGCTATTAGGACCAAGAGCGATTTATATAGAGATTTACCAAAGCGTAAGGATGTTGAAACTTTTAATAAGTACAAAGAAGCGAAGAAAGAAGCTAAGCGAGTAGTTGGTAAGGCTCGTTCTACTTACTTAGATGAGGTATATAGGAAACTTGGGACTAGAGAAGGAGAGAAGGATATATATAAACTAGCTAGGATAAGAGAAAAGAAGTGTCGGGACCTAAATCAAGTGAGGTGTGTTAAAGATGATATGGATCAGGTTCTGACAAAAGATAAACACATTAGGGAAAGGTGGAGGAGTTACTTTGAGAAGCTTTATAATGATGATCATACGATAGAGTTTGACAATCTTAGGTCACAAGGAAAACCTAATGTGATGTATACAAGAAGAATCAGAGTCTTGGAAGTTAAAACTGCACTACGGAAGATGAAAAAGGGAAAGGCATGTGGGCCAGATGATATTCCAATAGAGGTTTGGATGGCGTTACGAGATCCTGGAATTGTGTGGCTCACTAAGCTTTTTAATGAGATACTATAGAAGAAGTATATGCCTGATGCATGGAGGAAAAGTATTCTTGTCCCCATCTTCAAGAATAAATGAGATGTGTTGAATTGTAACAATTATAGGGGCATAAAGTTAATAAGCCACATTATGAAACTTTGGGAGAGAGTTATCGAAAGGAGATTAAGGGCCACAACTACCATCTCAAATAACTAATTTGGCTTCATGCCAGGCAGATCAACTACGGAAGCCATTTTTCTTCTTAGGATGCTGATGGAAAGGTAAAGAGAAGTGAAGAGGGACTTACATATAGTCTTTATAGATTTAGAAAAGGCATATGATAGGGTTCCGAGCGAAGTTTTATGGTGGGTGCTAGAAAAAGGGAGGAGTGCATGTGAGGTATATCAAGGTAATTAAGGACATGTACGATGGGGTGGTCACGAGTGTGAGAACTGCTGGAGGCTACACGACAGAGTTTCCCATTCGGATCGGCCTTCATCAAGGATCTGCTATTAGTTCTTATCTTTTCACCATCGTGATGGATGAGCTGACAAGAGAAATCCAAGATAGAGTTCCTTGGTGTATGCTTTTTGTGGACGATATAGTTGTAGTTGATGAACATAGGGAATGAGTTAACCGTAAGTTAGAACTGTGGAGAGAGACTCTCGAGACGAAGGGATTTAAGTTAAGTAAGACAAAAACTAAATACATGCATTGTAGGTTTAGTAACTCAAGTAATCAGAGTGATGAAATTTCTTTAGATGGTGTGGAGATTGAGGCTTCTAGGAAGTTTAGGTATCTTGGGTCTATAGTGCAGTACGAAGAAGATATAGAAGAGGATATTCAACATAGGATTAAGGCAGGGTGTGTTAAGTGGAAGAATGCTACGAGAGTTTATGTGATGACAAGATGCCTATTAACTTGAAAGGAAAGTTCTATAGGGCTGTAATCCGCTCAGCTATGTTATATGGTAGTGAATGTTAGGTCATTAAGAGACAACATATATCTAAGATGAGGGTGGCAGAAATGCGTATGTTAAGATGGATAAGTGGCCATACGAGAATAGATCGCATAAGGAATGAAGTTATTCGCAGTAAAGTAGGTGTATCACCAATAGAAGATAAGGTGCGCGAAGGCCGCTTGAGGTGGTACGCGCATGTCCAATGTAGACCGCTAGAAGTACCAGTTCGTGCTTGGGAGGACATTCTTTTACCTAATACTAGGAGAGGGAGGGGTAGACCAAGAATTACGTGGACCGAAGTAGTTAGGAAAGACATTCTAGATCTAGGCCTTTAGGAAAGTTTAATTTCGAACAGAACTGCGTGGAAAAGTGAAATCCATTTAGCCAATCCCAATTAAGTTGGGATTAAGGCTTGTTGTTGTTGTTGTAATCAAAGAAAAATGAAAGGCTTTGAAGACTTTGTGTTGGAGCCCACAAAGAAGCTAAATACTTCATTCATTAAAAATAATTTGTATACTGTTCCTTTTCTTCAAAAACTACCATTTCCTTCTAGCCAATTTGACCACATTCCTTGTTCAATTTACTTAACTTTCACGAGTACCAATTACCATTTAATATTCATGATGTGAGATCAGTGGCTTTTCTCTATGAACCATAGTGCAGTAACTGTCAATGTGGCCAACTGGCGACCATTACTTATTTTCTTCATTGAACACAAGATTTTTGATATCTGCAGGGTTTGCATTTTCTTCATTAATACTAATGATGTTCCCACCGAAGACGAGGCACGCCACATTTAATTGATCAAAACCTCTCCAAGACCTTGAAAGATAACTTGACCTTTGACCGTGACTACAACATGAAACATGAAAGGAAATCATAATTGATCTCATAAACATAAAAGTGGATAGAAATGAGTTGACTTTATCCCTTTTTTTTTTTTTTTTCCTTCTTGCTTGGAAGGACTTTATCATAATGTTTTAAGGTGTGTTCATTTCACAACTCAAGTCATAACTTGAGTTATGACTTGAATTGTATATGTGAGAGAAAAACACTGTATCAAGAAAGTTGAATTTGAATTGTTGTGATAGAAAACACTGTAGCAATAATACTTGAGTTGTGAAACGAGCAATGCCTTAATTAATCACCTTAAATGGTTACTTTCTGAATACGATCTGAGTTTTTTGTTGGCCGATATTAGGAATAAGTTATACTTCATGAAGAGCTATATGTGCCCTAGCCCTGCGGCCTGCACTCATGTATCTTTAATAAGTTTTTGTAACGTCATGTCTTGGTGAACTAGTTAAACTACTATATTAACTTGTTTCTTTTACTCTTTTTTTGGTGCAGATCAAGTAGTGATGATTTCAGTTACTTTTCTTGTGATACTATTTAGTGTACAGAAATATGGGACAAGTAAAGTTGGACTCGCTGTTGGCCCTGCCTTATTTTTGTGGTTTTGTTCGCTTGCGAGCATTGGAATTTACAACCTTGTTAAATATGACAGCAGTGTCTTGAGGGCATTTAATCCTGTTCACATTTATTACTTTTTCAAGAGGAATTCAACCAAGGCGTGGTATGCTCTTGGAGGTTGTCTTCTATGTGCAACAGGTAAAGTAAATACATGTGGAATTTGGATGTGTTTCTGGAGATACTAGATAGTTGCTATATTTATTTGGTGAAAAGTTTACTTCTTAGGATCTAATTGTAACTTCAGTGTTCTTGTTTTTGTTTTTCTGATAAGTAATTAAAGCATTGTCCGGATTCTATTGGCTTTATGTTTGTACAAGCATTGCGTCTGGCAATCATTCTAATTTATGAGCCTTATAGCTCCTTCCTCTGTTATTTGGTTGGGAACTGTTGATGAATCCATTTAAAGTTCCATTTCTTTGTTTCTTTCTTCTTTTTTCTCTTTGTTTTTTTCCCCTAGAATGTTAATATTAACATTTAGAAGAGTAGATCTGGAAAAGAGTTATAACAGGGGAATAGTTTTGATTATCCCAATCCAAATTACAGAAACATCTTTCCAATTCATAAAATTTATAACAAAAATCTAATAGATGATCAAAGTAATTCTGCTTATGATATGAATGTTATCAGAATCTTTGTGTCACCAATGGTTTTCTATTGTTTCTTAATGGGGATAATTTTCAGGTTCTGAGGCAATGTTTGCAGATCTTTGTTATTTTTCGGTGCGATCGGTTCAGGTAAAGAAGCAAAAGAGTATACTTTAGAATTCAGATTTTTACATGCTTTTGACATGACATGACTGTTTTCGCATTTGACTTGCTGCTTTTTGCAGCTTACTTTTGTTTTTCTCGTCTTGCCTTGCCTTCTTTTGGGCTATTTGGGTCAAGCTGCGTACCTAATGGAAAACCAGACAGGGGCTGAGCAAGCTTTCTTCTCTTCAATCCCAAGTAACTGCATTTTGAGTCTCTGTTGATACTGCATCCATTGATCTAGACTATATTGGAGCTTCCTACAACCTGTAACTAACTATTCATTATTCCTGGAAGTCATTACATGATACTAAATCATCTATCTCTATCTACAGGTGGTGCTTTCTGGCCTGTATTCCTTATTGCTAATGTTGCAGCATTGATTGCTAGCCGAGCAATGACGACAGCCACATTTTCTTGTATAAAACAATCCATGGCACTTGGTTGTTTTCCTCGGCTTAAAATCATTCATACCTCTAGGAAATTCATGGGCCAAATCTATATCCCTGTCATAAATTGGTTTCTGTTGGTGGTTTGCTTAGTGTCCGTCTGTTCCATCTCAAGCATTGATGAGATTGGAAATGCATATGGTAACTCTTTTTTCTTGTTACTTTTAAAAATTTTCCTGGTTTCATTGTCTATTCTGTTATCGTTTTTGGGAGGCTCTAGTATGGATTTTGAGTACATTGCATTTGACACGGGCACTGATCAATTTGGTAGTTGTTTTTTTCCTATTAAATCTAAGTCGCCAGAATTTTTATGCAAAATTAATATATAATCTTGTTAGGATTTTTTATTTATTTTTTATTTTTTATTTTTTTATATTCTTCTTGTTGGTGTGTGTGGGAGGTCTTAGTGAAACTGGTGAACTGTTCTTAACTTCTTCGGTCCTTTAAGCTCTTATTCATTTTGCTCTTTGAGCTTTAAGATCATAAAAACCTTAGCCTTTCTTTACTAACCACTTTCTTTCCAGAGAAAAAGCTTTAATTTTTTTTTTTTTTGGGTGATTAGAGAAAAATCTTTAATTAACCAGCTTTTTGTTGGTATTTTTTCTTTGTTTCTTCTTCTTCTTGTCCTTTTTTTTCATTCATTTATTATTTCCTATGCTCTAGCATTATGTACCCTGAATTTACAATTGCCATTATTAAAAACCCTGACGTCAGCACCACTAGTTATCAAACTTACTAGTGGGTCCTTGCTTCAACTGAAAAGTTAATCCCTCATCTGATTTGATTAACTTGCAATGAATACAGTTCGGACATGGACCAGAATTTTTCGTAGTAACAGCATTAAGTTCATAGTTTGAACTAATTGTGTGTTTCCTATGGCATCACTAATTGATTTTACCCTTCTTTTGTCAGACAAGAGTTTAATGTTTTAAAACGTGTGTATGTTTTGCAGGAATTGCTGAGCTGGGAGTAATGATGATGACAACAATTTTGGTAACCATTGTTATGCTTCTTATATGGCAGATAAACATCGTAATAGTGCTAAGTTTCGTTATATTTTTCCTTGGGCTGGAACTGACCTTTTTCTCGTCAGTTTTGTGGAGTGTGGGAGATGGAAGTTGGATTATTTTGGTCTTTGCTGTAATTATGTTTCTGATCATGTCCATTTGGAACTATGGGAGCAAGCTTAAGTATGAAACTGAAGTCAAGCAAAAGCTGTCAACGGATCTGATGCGGGAATTGGGTTGCAATCTTGGGACAATACGAGCTCCTGGCATTGGCTTGCTATATAATGAGCTGGTAAAGGGGATACCGGCAATATTTGGCCATTTTTTGACTACACTCCCAGCAATTCACTCAATGATCATATTTGTTTGCATAAAATATGTTCCAGTTCCCGTAGTTCCTCAGAGTGAGCGATTTCTTTTCCGTCGAGTCTGCCCAAAAGGCTACCATATATTTCGCTGCATTGCGAGGTAACATTCCAATTCCCTAAAGCTGTATTTTACTTAATCTGTAGTGAGTCTTGAGATTAGTGGTTTATTGCTTTATAATTTATATAATTGGAAATCAAGTAATTTGTTATACAGAAAAATACTAGAAAGGAGGATAAAAAGTCACTAGTACATGACAGGATACCATCTATTCATAACTTTTTGAAAGTCTTGGACCATTTCTTGTGCTCATATAAAATGGAAATAAATAAAAAATAAAGAAACATTGCCAACCGTACTTAACAAAAAAAGCGTGCTCATGTAAAACCTCCCTTGAAAGCAGGAAAATTGTCATAACTTTTGTACAGAACAAGATGAATTTATAAAAAAGAATTGAACTCTTGCAACTGTCTAATGTGTTGTATTTGGTGGCTAACCATCTCTAAAATTTTCCATTGCGGGAGACGAAAAGACATGCATTGCTTTAATAGTCCCATGACGAGATGACATTTTTAATATTTTTCCTTGAAAATGGTTACATTTGGTTTTTGGTACGCACAAGCAAGTGTCCAGAACGAAGCCATATCCATTAAACTTCCCCTGTTTGATCTACAAAAGCCATCCAAGTGAACTACAAATGATAGATTAATTAAAGAAGAAAGGACTAGAACACTTTCAGCCAAATATTAGCAGATTACTCGTAAAATTGTCACTTTGCTATCTAAGAATAAACCTACTGGATTTTAATCCTCTATTTTTTAACGAGTAAAGAGAAGAGCGTTAATCTTATATGAACTTACGATTTAGCATTTAGCCTTAATGGTAAGCTTTGACTAATTGTTAAAAAAAAACAAAAAAAGGAAAGACGAATTTTCATGGACAGTGCCATTGTCTTTACTTGGGCTAGAAACTGGAAACATGCCAAGATTCTTTTTACTGAATTTTTTTTTTTTTTTTCAAGCCTTTTTACTGGAATCTTTATTACCTTAACTAAACGGCTTTTCTGCCAAATAGAGATTTTAATTTATTTCTCTACTAATTGAGGACCTCATGCTCTAAATAAATGACATAAAATAACTTTGCCACCCACCCATTAAATCACTTCTAATTCATTCTTTTTAAAACGTGTTTCACTAAATCAGGTATGGATACAAGGATGTGCGCAAGGAAAATCACCAGACGTTTGAGCAGCTGCTGATCGAGAGCCTCGAGAAATTCATTCGTCGTGAAGCTCAAGCGAGGTCATTAGAGAGCGATGGGGATAATGATACAGATTCTGAGGGTGAGTCATCTCGTTCAAGGGTTCTGATAGCTCCTAATGGAAGTGTCTACTCGCTTGGTATTCCTCTTCTGGATGAATACAGGGAGACAAACAAGCCTATCTCTGAAGCGAGCACGTCAGAAGAGGTGAAACCAGTACCTTCCTCAGACCCACCAATGTCAGCGGAGCAGAGTCTCGAGAGGGAGCTGTCTTTTATACGCAAGGCTAAAGAATCTGGAGTAGTTTACCTTCTTGGTCATGGGGATATTAGGGCCAGGAAGGATTCCTGGTTTATTAAGAAGCTAATCATAAATTACTTCTATGCTTTCTTGAGAAAGAACTGCAGGAGGGGGATTGCCAATTTGAGCGTGCCCCATTCGCATTTAATGCAGGTTGGCATGACATACATGGTTTGATGATCAGTTTTCATCCCAAAGTAAGGAGATCTCAAATTTGACAAAAAATTTGGGGTTAAAGAGGACTTGATGTGATATGCTCAGCTATTAATGCAATTCAAGATCATGTTTTGAACAAAATCTCATTGTTTGTGCATTGATTGGCCCTGGTCGTTTGGATCCATCCATTGTTCAACCCCTTCATCTCACCAATTGGTAAGTTTTGTAGTGTTTCTCTCCGGAGGCTTTGACATCCATATATTGATTCTTAGTTACAGTCGTGTATGTGGGGAAAAAATAATAGAATTTGTAATTGCCGTGCTATAGATATGCGACCGTGATTTGTTAAGAGTTCTTCCGCTCTTTAAAGTTGTTCAGCTTGAGAAAAAAAAAATGTTGATAGCCATTAACAATGTTCCTCACATGTACTGTATAGGCATGATGACACGATACAAGACGATAAACACCTATAGATAGTGAGTACTTGAGCAACATGTAATTTGTGGAAAGAGAAAGGCTAGCATCATTTTTTCTGTCACTCTTTTTATCACTTTTTGCATTCATTGTTTGACATGTAGATTTTATTCTCATTTTCTGTTTAAATAATAACATATCATGTTAGTGGATTTCATGTGTCAACATTTTCTGTTTAAATAATGTCATGTTAGTGGATTTCATGTGTCAAATAGTGAATGTAGAAAGTGATAAAGAGAGTGATAAAAAGAGTAATGTTAACATTTCTTTTTTGGAAGGCATTGTATTTAATTATGTTTATCGCTTGGTTTTTTTTTTATTTTCACTTTGAAAATAAAGCTCTATGCGGTTGATATCTTTGAGCATGAATAATTTGGTAATTTTGCTTTAAATACAATATTTTTGCAATTATGTTTTGAAAACAATAATTTTTTCCAACTTCAAATACTGTATTTCAGTAGATGTGCTTTTACTCGTTTTCCTTAATAATATTTTCTTACGTATTTACTTAAAAAGTTTCATTACTACTCTAATTGAAAATTGAGATTTACCCTTAAAGGGAGAATGTAATAAATAGTAGATTTATAAAACTAAATTAAGTAACAGATTTTAAAATTATTTGAAGTAAATAATAATTGTGTGGTAAATTTATCATTTATTGTGTAAATGGTTTATTTCTAACTAGTAAAAACAATTTTTTTTCAAGTATATTTTCTTTTTACGACTAGTAAAAAGATTTTTTTCATGTAAATAAAGATTTTTATCATGTAAATTATTTTCTATAAGTCATTTACTATGTTAAGAATTAATTAATGAGATAAATTATTATTTACTTTAAATAGTTTTAAAATATGTTATGTTATTTATTTAATTTAGTTTTAAAAATTTACTATTTACTACAAGATCCCTTCAATCCCTTTAAGGGAAAGAAAGGAAGGATAGAAAAGAAAAAAAAAATAGACGTATTGGCACTAGTACTGGAACTTTAGACAGGCTGCCCGTGACCGCCTGAAAATACTGATTTTTTGCCCCATGCCTGACCCGACTTGCCCAACAAATTCAGGCTGCCCGTCCGAGCCCAAAAATGCCCTTGAATGGGCCGCGGGCTTATATTTGGCTGTCCGAGCCCGGCCGGGCAGCCCAAGCCCGCTCGAATAGCTTGAATTTTTTTTAATATTTTTTAATTTTTATAATTATTAAGTTATTTTGTGTTAAAATTATATAAAAATCAAAATCAACATTCAATAGACATTATTAACACAATTTAATAAATTAATTATGTATATTAAATTCGTAATTCATGATTAACTCGTTAAAAACCTTACCAAGAAAAATCTAATTGGGATAAAAACTTGGCAAGAAAAAAAGAGTGCAATCATTTTGTGACGAATTACAAATTTTACAAACTTACAAAGTTATACAATTACAAATACAATGTCAAAAGTAAATACATATTTACAAATTACAAATTTACAATTTAATTTGAAGCTGAAGGATCGTCTTCAAAATTAAATAATCGATTAAATTCATCGATTCATTCTTGGCTTACTGGTGAAATTGTATCCTGTAAACGTTGATCGGCCCGATCCCAATCCTTAATGCAGACCAAGGCTTCAACAATGTCCATTTGCAATGCATTCCGGCGTTCCTCAAGTATTCTTCCTGTCGTACTAAAGGCTTATTCGGATGAAATAGTGAAGACTGAGATCGAAAATATATCCATTGCCAATTGAGTTAGGATTAACCAAGTTAATGCCCGTGCCCTCCACTATTGAACTAAGTCAAACAATTATGCCGTACCGTTGACTACTAAGCCTTCACTGAGGTACGCCATAAGCTCATTGAAGCTGCCGCCGCCGTTGCCACTGCCACTTGTTGAGGAAGATTTACTCCCAGCTTCTGTTTGAGTTGTCTTCTTCTTCTTCTTCAACCCGAAAACATTCAAGAATGAATGCGGGTTTTCGTCTTGTTATTGCGGTTCCTGTACTCTAGGAGGTACTCTAAACCTAATCTCATATTTACTATAGATCGAATATATTTTTTCTTATATTATTGGATATTGGTCCGAACAATTGATGCTCAAAAATTCACCTAAGTTTTCTAAACCTTCTAGTTTTAATCTAGGATAAAAAATAGTACCTAAATCATACAACAAAGACAACTTAGGGTTTCGGCGGGTTCGGGCGGCAACGGTAAAAAAACTAACCGTTGGACAGGTTTTCGAGCATGTTGGGCATTCGGGCAAAATTCGGGTTTTCGGGCTTATTTTCGGGTCGAGCACCAACGATCAAAATTTTGACCGTTTCTCAGGCAGTCGGGCAGTTCGGGCATTTGGGCAAATCGGGCTTGGCCGGAAAAATTTTAAAAAAAGTCCTGCGGATGCCAGTTGACGGCGCCTACACGGCAGCGGGCTCCGGCGTGGTGACCAAATTCAGGCTGCCCGAGCCCGAGCCCAAATTTACAACTTTGGTCGGGCCGGCATATGGGCCGGCCCGCCGAGCCTGAAAAATCCAAGCATCAGGCCTGCCCACTGGCCCAAAGTTTCAACACTAATTGGCACTTCTTGTTTACATGTATATTTGTTCTTTTTGTGAACTTTAGGATAGTCTTAAAAAAAAAAAAAACATAGAAGTGTAATGAACTTGCTCGTAGTAGATATGCATTCAGATTTTTATCTTACTTTTAATTAATATCTTTTCTACTAATATAGTGTTTGATTAATAAGGGTATAATCAAGAGTAAAATAGTAAAAATTAAAATCCATACAATTGAGGGGATATTTGTTTCTTTTTTCTAAAAGAAGAATGTTATTGTTGCATAATTTACCTGTGTCGTTTAAGTCTTAAGCATTAATGGACATTATAGGTCATAATTTAGAAATAATTCATGTCTATAATTATGAGAGTGCAATTCTAAGTTTATAGTAGAGTAACTTCTAGAATTAATATAATTAATTAATTAAAGAGTTTAATTAATTATTAATTTCATTGGAGCTCAAAGTTATAGGTCCATGAGTTCTCGCGTTGTCCTTGTAATTATACAAGACACTAAAGACAAAATGAGAATTTTAGAATTATAGAATTCTAAAATATAATACTCAAGGATAATTAATTGAGAATTAATTATAAATTAAATAATGTGATTATTTAAATTTAAATTTTGAAACACACATGTGAAGGTGTTCACATAATGTGAACGCACAGCACAGTGTGAATACCTTTGGGATTCAAATTGCTTGCTCTCCATAGTTATCCAATTAACTTATTTGATAAGTTGTCCAATCTGAAATTCAAATTTATTTAAGTTTGACTTAAATTGAAATTTGAATTTGAGTTAAAATTGACATCTGGATGAGAGAGAGAGATTTTGTTTCAAAATCAAATTTAAAGTTTGAGATAATTATCAAGTTTTATTTTAGAGATAAAGATTAGATTTCTTTTGGGTGTCTAACTACTACTCTATAAAAAAAGAAGATATGTAGAAAATTGTGTGACACAATTTTTGCTCTCTCCTAGCTATAGTGGCTGAATTTTATAGAGTGGGGAAAGGAAAAATTTTCTCCAAAAAATCCACATCGTACATGTGTTGGTCTTCGTGAAAACCTTGAGTGCTTATTCGCTAATCTCATTTTGTTTCAAGTGTTTCCACACACACGTCTTCATAGATGCAAGGAATTGACGAGAAAGATTCGGGTGTTCTAAACTAGCTTAGAGCGAGGAAAGTTCGGAGTCAAAGAATTCAAGTTATCGTCCTAATCGGTTGCTAGGTAAATAAATTAATTTGATTAATTTATTCGTGCATAAATTAATATAATCTATAGAGTATTTCAAAGGTTTTATGAAAATTTTTGTTATACACGATCCATTACTCACACGCTTTCGCATTTGAAATCGTTTCTGAAACCAACAGAATAAACAAAACATTTAAACTATTTATTCTATTAGGTTAATCTCATAAATGGTCCTTAAGATTTAGCCTCAATCCCACTTTAATTCTTGACTTTTCAAACATTGCATGGTTGGTCTCTTATGTTTTATTCCATTTCAGTTTCAGTTGTTCTATTAATTTAGTGTTAAATATTTGACAGAATATGTAGAAATGATGGACTAAAATTGGAAGCATATAAAGTTTCGAGTAAAATAATACAAAAAAACTAAAAGTTAATTTTCACATATAGACTTAAAATTGTAGCTGTTTTTAATTTTAGACTCTAATTTATACATATTTTATCAAATTTTAACACCTAGTTGATGGAATGACTAAAATTGAAACAAAATAAAATCTCAATAACTATTTATACGACGTTTAAAAAAGTATGAACTAAAGTGAAATTGAATGTAAACCTCATAGAACATTTATAAAATTAACCACTTCTATTAAAGAATTTGAGGATTTTTTTCTCGTGCACTCTTTCAATTAGCATGAACCTAAAAGTACCTAACTCCACGAGGATTCAAAATTGAGCTCCACAAGAAATGATTACTCTTTCAAAATGCCCTCCACTTTCAATGCAAGTCTTTTTAATTTATCATAACCGACCTAACGTCGATCTTTTCTGTAAGATAGTGACTAGTATTTGTTAGTTCGTCATTAGTTAATATTTAAAAAGCACACATCGTTTTATGAGGTATTTTGACTCATTCTTAGCGAGGGACACGCTCTCTCTCTCTAAAAGTTTTTAGAGTAATTTTTTTCCTTCGTTTTGGGGCGCTATTTCATTAAATTACGTTGTTTAAGAAGCTCTAATTCATGGGAAGGAGAGAGATTTCAGAAGGTTCTACAGAGGTCATAATTACAGGTTTACGTTTGTTTAGATTGCAGCAAAAAATATGACTGTAAATACGAATGATTATCAGGCATAAAGGGGGTATGCATCCTCCACTTCCACCACATCTTAATCCATATCAAGAAGGCTTTTCTTTAGGAGGCGTCTATTGACATCCTTTGTTTACTTGTCACGCATTATTTTTTAATATTATTAAAATACTCATTAATAAAATTATTTTTAAGGACAATATTATTTAAAAAAAAATACTCATTACACACTCTACTATTAATGTTTGACAAAACTACTCATTACACACCTTACTATTAAAAAAATATTCATTACACACCATAATATTTATGGTATTTTTTAAGATATCATAAAAAGTATCACGGTTTACATTGAGATCTTGACATTTTGAATCGCTTGTTAATGTTTGACAAAACTAATTCTTATGATCTTATTTTATAAGGCTTTTTTTTCATATAAACAAATTGTGACTACCTTCATCATAAGAACAAATGATCAAATTTTCTATATAATTTATTTAGTCATATGATAAAAGTGCAAGAACAACAAGTGGAAAAAAAAAATCATACTTTTAGAGAAAAAAAAGCACAATTTCTCTTAAAGAAAATAAAAAGGAGAAATTGTACATTTTTTCCAAAAGAAAAAAGGAAAAAAATTGAACGTTTTAAATTTTATTAAATAAAATAATTTGATTTAGTTGTATAGACTTTTTAAAATTTTAAGAGGGGTGGCTTAAGAATGTATGTAAAAAGTAGAATGTTGGGTGATTTAATTGCAATGACTTTTTTAAAATTTTAAGAGAGGTGTAATAAGTAGAAAGGGGATGTTTTAGAATGTGTGTCAAAAATAAAATGAGAGGTGTTAATAGACGCATCATTTTCTATACGCTACCCATTTACCTATTAAGAAAAAAAATATCTCGCAACATTATTAACAAATCAAGTAAATTGCATCAAATTAAATATAAAATTCAACAACATAGCATTAATATCTCATGGAAACAAACCAAAGCCTTAAAAGGAATTCCAAACGCTAAAAATAACTCATCAAATCTCAAAATCATATGAAACTACATTCTAAAAATTCAATGCAAAAGTCTTAAAACAAAAACATTAAAAGCACCAAGAATATTATTCTTCTAATTTATTTATTCCCTCCATATCAACTTCATTACTTATTATTCTTTTAGTATCATAGTTCACAAAACGAAATTTGTAACATGAAATAAGATGAAATATATATATATATATATATATGCAATATTTTTCTAAAAAATTAAAGATATATGTGTATCGGGATAGAAGTAGGACATGCGTATGCCCGATTCTGAGCATGATATCCCATACCCGCTCCCACCTATTCAATAATCCCTATAGCCATCATATTAAGGATGCATCTACAAGTAAAAAGCTCATCTCTAATTTGAAATTTCACGAAGATAACGAAAATTCAAAATGAGGTAGTTAGAAACATCATAGTCTAGGGTGAACACACATATAGAGGATGGTTGGATTTCCACAACTGTTTGGCAAGTTTTTTTGAATAAAAACTTAGATTTGGAAAAGGAGAAGACGGAGAGATTGGTTCACAAAGAACAAATGATGAGGAGTGAAAGATTAGATGGAAAGTTTGAGGAGTAATGGAAAAAAGCAATAGCGATTTTCATGCATAGTTAACAAACTAAATGAGAACCCATCTAGACGATCAAAAAATAAGGAAATAATTAATGTATTTGACATAGTTACGTATTTAAAAAAAATACAAAAACAATTCATAATATTTCATCATATACCCAAGATGTTATATGCTTATGCAGGATACCCTAATATAGACAGTCCTAATAAAAATTCATTTGGATTTTGATTTATTTCATCTATTTCATGACCACTAGTTTAAGTACGTGTAGTGCATGTATTGAGTTGTAATTGAAGTTTTTATAACGTAGAATACAAACACTATTATAAAATATAGAGCCCCACATCCAATTTTCGAAGAAAAAATGAATATATGTTAGTAGTAGTTTGAGTTAAAAGTTTACATTTAATGCATAAAAATGCATTAAACATTCTAAATTATAATTAAAAAAATTAAAAAAATAAAAGAGTTGAAAAATAAAAAGGAAAGACATTTTTAGACTATAAGATGAATATAAATTACGGTAACAAAAAAAAAGGGTAATAAAGTTGAGACTAAAAAAAGAAAGGAAAAAAAAAAAGACAAAGGGGCAAACACTCCTCAAGTACGAACAATAGTTACGTATTTACTCTTTTATATATTTAGAATTTAGGAGCTAACAGAATACTATAAAAAAAAAAAAAAAAAAAAAACAAGTGAAAAAAAAAAGAAAAAAAAAAAAAGGAGAAGAATCACCAAAGTGGTATGGAAAAGAAAAGCTAAAAATTATAGAACCAAAAAAAATTATAATTAACAAAATTAAAAAATAAAAGAGTTGAAACTTAAAAAAGGAAAGGAACTGTTTTGGATTAGTACCATATGATGAATATAAATTATGAGAGAACAAAATTTTTTTTAAAAAAGGTAATGGAATTAAAACTTAAAAAATGAAAAATAAAAATAAAGCGACAAACACTCTCCATTTTAAACTACAAGTTACATATTTACTCTTTTATATATTTAAGATTAGGATTTCTGATTTAGGACTTAGCTAACAGGTATGAAAAAAAAAAAGTTAAAAAAAGAAAAAGGAGGAGAATTACTAAAATGGGTATGGAAAACAAAAGTTAAAAATTATAGTAACTAAAAAAAAATAAAAAAAATAAAAAAAATAAAAAAGTGGAAAGCAGCACCAAAACAATGCGCTACTCTTATATTATGGTGAAAACAGGAGATACACCGTCACACCTTGATTTTGAAAACTCAAGGGAGAACCGTAATCTAGCATTTCTATTGGAGTCCATAAAAACGGAATCACCCATTTTGGCATTCTAGTCATCTCGTGTCCTCAAACATATTTATGGAGTTGGTGCACTAAAAGACCAACTTCTTGTTTTAATTTTCTCATTTAGATGAGTAATACACTACTGCTAAAGAATAAATTCCAGCTAAGATATCTGTCTTACAAAACTATTAAAGCAGTCCTAAACTTCCGCTCATATTCACACAATTTATTTGTTGTGGTATCTGAATGCCGAATTCTTCTCACCCTTCAAATAGATCTTGCAAAGAAATGAAATGTTGGATTCTCCATCTAAAATGGTTGGATCTCCATCTGTTATCCACTTCTACTGCTCTCCATTAATGAATATGCATAATTTCTAAAGGGAAAATTTCATTTTGGTATCTCCTGTTAGTACCCTGTTTTTAAAAATTTCATGTCGGTATCTTGAGATTTTAGAAAAAAAAATTTATACCTCAGAGTCATTTTTTAAGACACAAAAAGACAAAATTACCTTTATTGTAAAAATTCATCAATTGACTCAAATTTTTAAGGAAAAAAAAAAGATTTTAAAAATTACTATACCTGGAGAGTATAATCTTTTTTTTTTAAAATTCATCTCTTCAAAATTCTTTTTTTCCTTTAAAATTCTAATCAACAGATAAATTTTTACAATAAGAGCAATTTTTTAATTTCGTGTCCCAAAAAATGACTTCAAGGTACTAAAAAAAGATTTTCTAAAAAGTCGAGATACCGGCATAAAATTTTAAAAAACAGATGGTACAAAACTCAAATTCTGATACAACAGAGGGTACTAAAATGAAAATTTCCCATTTTCAAATGTCATCATGCACCTTTCCATCTAGCATCAGAAACATGACGCCTCACTTTCTGTTCTCGGTCCTTGGGAAGATCAAAATTAACGTAATCCATGGGTTTTGCAGATGATCCATAAATTTGTTTCTGATTTTCAGAAAATCTAAATCTTAGAAGCAATGAATTAAGCGTCACTCCAATAGAACTCAAACCCATGAGAGCTCCAGCAATCGATGGAGTTAACAGCGTCCCAGTAACTGGCAACAACATTCCAGCAGCAATTGGAATTCCAACCTGGATGAAGATATTAATAGCAAGATTAGATGAAGCTGAAAGGAGAGATATATAGGCATCGTTCACTTCGCGGATTCAAATTTTCAATTTGAGCTGAGATGTGACATTTTCTGAGAGTTTTTCACTATAACAGAAAAAGTTAGATGTGACATTTTCTGAGAGCATTTTACTGTAGAAACTTAAAATTGAAAACTCGAATCGGTGAAATGAACGAGGCCATAGTTGTTAAGTAAAGGAGATATGGAAAGAGGAAGAAGAAAGCATAAGTTCTTACTTTAAATTTAACATCTACGAAAAGGGAAGACATCTTAGCAGTGACTCCTATCAGAGACAGACCAAAGACCCAACAAAAGAAAACTGGAGCAAAATAAAGGGAAAAAGTGGTGGCTGACCAGAACAGAGGCAGAAAGACAGAATACGAGGAATAACACAAAATAATTGTCTTATACAGTGCATTACTTTCTGGAATAATGGATGGTAAATTTAAGTGAATCAATTCGTTGAGCAATGCAAATAAATGTAAGTGATATTATTGGTAGTAGTGGGTATGACCTCGTTTCTAGCAGTACCTTCATGAAGGTTCAACTGCTGGTGGGAAAAAAAAGAAAAGGAGAAGAAACCAGAGCCATGCTTGTAGCATAGGAAAAAATACGTACAATATTATATGCGAAAGCCCACCAAAGATTTTGCTTCACAGTCTTCATGGTTAGCCTACTCAGCTCCAAAGCATCAAGCAACTGCACCAAATGATTAGGGTTGAAAAAATTGCGCGGATAACTTAAATATGCTACAAAATATTGATGAAGGAATGCTCAGAAATAAGGAGATAATAAGTTATGCTAGACTGTAGAGGCACAGTTTTGTGCATGCCCCACGAAAGAAAGGCATGGCCACTTTTTTTTTTTTTTTTTCTTTGATAATAGAAAGGCATGGCATGGCTACTTCCGCTCCACTGTGTCAAAGCGTCTTAGTTGCAATAAGGAAGGGAGCCTGGGATTTCCCTCTTCTGGTTGTTGCTTGTGCCTAGGTGCACGTGCACTTGAACTGCATTGCAAATTTATCTCTAATTTCTTGCTCAATATTAGGATATGGGATAAAAAACACGGAAGCAAAATTACGAAAGAATTTCAATATCAGTAACGGATATGAATAGTTGTATTTTGCACCACTAAGAAGGTGCACCATGTAAGATATGAGCATACAGACATGTTAATCAGAAAAGTCATTATATATTTCTAATTACAAGGAGGTGTTTAAGCATAATAGTATAAGTTCAAAATTAACTTGAATAATATACCTGTGAGAGCCTATTGCCCATTAGCACAATGGAAGACACATCACTAGCAGCTCCAACACTAGCACCCATGGCAATTCCAATATGTGATGATGCTAAGGCTGCGGCATCGTTAATTCCATCCCCAACCATGGCAACAATGTTCTGCTCCTGAAGTTTGCTAACGAACTTCTTCTTTTCCTCTGGTTTTACTTCAGATAGCACCTGCAGTTGTCAGCTTATTGGTGATGTAAAATTCTTTTTGTTTTTGACAAGGAAATAGGGGGAGTGGTGATGTAAAATCATTGATGCATGGACAAATTAGCTATTTAGTGATAAAAAGTCTTGGACCAGGTACATATTTACATAGTTTGCAAATGCTTACACATAACATAATCCGTATAATGGAACTAACCATCATTTCTATACTAGAAACTCAGAAACTGAAACTTTTCCTACCTGTTCTTTTGGGATACCAACAACAGATGCAACATATTCTGCTGTATTTCTTTTGTCCCCAGATAGCATATATACATTAATTCCTTGTCTGGACAAAGATTCAACAACTTGTCTAGCATCTTCCCTGATCTGATCCTCAAAATAAATAAGGCCAGCAAGATCATTATCAACTCCAACGTAGACGACAGATTGATTCTGATGATTTTCCACTACTTGAAAGGGGTTCTGATTAACTCCATTTCTGTGAAAATGAAAATCCAAGCTATCTTGATTAAAGAGATACTAAATCACAAGAAATGACTACTTTAAACTAATTAAAACTCAGATTCCAATTCCCGGTGCACAATAGAATTGTTAATGTGCCTCCCATATGTTGTTGGACTAAAGAAATGATGTCACCATAGTATGTACACCAATAAGAATGCGAACAAGTGAAAAGGAAATGCAAGTATGTGTGTTCCACATCTCGCCCTCACGTAGTAAATGAAGATCTTCAAACTTCCAAATCATGAGGGTACACACACAGATTTATACTTGTATCAACAGGATTTCCCGTGCACAAAAGTACTCACGGAAACAGGTACTCATATCTCAGTGAAAAAACAACAACAACAACAACAATAATAATTATAATAATAGTTAATTTTTTTGAAAAATAATATACTGTTATTATTATAAAAAATAATAATAATAATAAAGAAAGAGCATGCTGATCACAAATATAACAGAAAACTTATCCAAAGAACTTGCGACATTTTTCTATCCCAACTGAAATCATGCCCTACATAAAACTGAATCATCAAACTTCATACTAATACGATCAACATCTACTCAAAGGTAAACGCTTAAAGGTTTCAACACTATAAACTGCTGAAATGACTTTTCTAAGAATCAAAAGCCTGAAGAGCAACATAGCATTTTGTGGAATAACAAATGGCTTAGACAGGAGCATTTAACTCTATGATCTAAAGAACAAAAATAAAAAATAAAAAATAAAAAATAAAAAATAATAATAATAATGAACTCAACTTCGGTAAGGATTATGGTACGAGTCATGCAACAGTGGACAAAAGATGGAAATAATAGACATTACCTTTGAACCCAGTCCAAGGTCCCGACTGACACCTTTTTGTTGTCAATGATTGCAACAGCACCGGAGCCAGGTTCTTCTACAAAAGTTCCATCTGCTACCTGTAGAACATAGGCTACAGTGAATGGTAGGCTACAGCGAATGGTCTTTTTTAATATAACAGACGCTCACAAGGGGAGGATGTCTAGCTAACAATATCTACCTTTCTAGAGCCCAGCAAATGAAATAATTGAAAACACTAGTAAGAAAGGTTCTCATTTGTTGTAAAACTTGACTTAAAGACATTACATAGAATGAAAAAAAAAGTACGTGGTAAAACGTTTAGTAAAGAAAGCAAGGTTTTGAGCAAGGTATCAAACATTTAGAAGACTGTTGTAGAGACGGGAAAAGAAACCTAAATTTTCAAATTAAGCATATGGAAGACCAGAAGCTTGAACTCAACAACAACAATGAACCCACACAGGGCTGCTACTTTAGGTCGCCCTCTCATACCCCACTTACAAAAAAAGAAAAACACAAGTGAACCTGAAGACTACATGGATAAACCGAAGATTCAAATATAAATTGTTTTGGAGAAGAAATATAAATGAAATAATTACGGAAAAAAAAGGATCGGTTCAGTGGTCTCAAACGCTGTCTAATTAGCCTACTCATCCAAGCAATTATTAATCATAAAGAGGTTCAAAGCATGCTCCCTCTTTGAAGAACTATGACGTAATTTATGGTTTCCTAAGATCTGGCAGTCTGAACTATTTGCTAAATGTTTATATATTAAACATTTTATTTATGCAGCACTTCCATTCAAAAGAAATGGCACTGCTTATGGTTTAGAGAAGCACGTCAAATCAACTTGTGAAGAACGTACCTTCACATTCTGGCAATTAATAGCCTGAGCAGCTTCCACAATAGCTTTGCCGACGGGATGAACGGTATTTGCTTCAACTCCAGCAGCTAACTTTAAAACCTCAACTTCTGACCAAGAATAGCTCGACTGTTGTACACTGAAAGAAAGGAGGGGAAGTGAATCTCAATGGTCAAAACAAATGCAGATAACCATATTTAATTGGGTGAAGGCAGTAAATAGCCTAAATCTAGGGCCTATAAAAATAAATGGCCGGATTGGTTGGGTAAGTTAATACATGGCAAGAACCCCATGACCAAATTTGGTAAATTTGGGATTTACAAGATTTACCCCATTAAGCCCCAAAGCAAATACATTATGTATCAATACTTACAAACTTTTGTTTTCATAGTATTTACTAATTTTTCGGTTAATAAACCAATACCTTACAAATCTTCTTTTAGAATTAAAAGGGCCATTTACTACAATTATAATAAATAGGCTATTCACTACATTAAAAATTTAAAGTGCACTATTTGCTAGAAATTTTGTATTCAAATATAAATTATCTTTATAGTTTATATGCATTGTTTCTATAATATATAGATTAGGGCCGGCAATATGGGTCACGACACGACTCGAAAACGACACGAATTTTGCGGGTTAGGGTTGAGAAAAAAGATGTTCGGGTCAAAATTGGGTCGACCTGAAATTGACACGAAAAATACGGGTCAATTTCGGGTTGGACCCGCCTAACCCGAACACGACACGAAACTCGTAAAAAACTAAAAAATACATATATTTTTCATTTCATATTTTAAATTTTATTATGAACTTGTAATATCATGATAGTTATACTCAAAATCTTATACTATTATTTGCTTAATTTCAATGGATGTTATTGTAATTTAGTGTGTTATGAATTTTAAGTTATTTCTAATATGTAAAAAACTAAATAAAAGTATACAATTTTCGTGTCAATTTCGGGTTCACGGGTCAATTTCGTGTCACGGGTCATTTTCGAGTCGTGTCGTGTTCGTGTTGCGGTTTTTAAAAAATTTCGTGTCACGGGTCGTGTTCGGGTTGACTGCAAATTTTTAAAAAACGATCAAAACACGACACGTGACACGAATTGCCACCCCTAATATAGATGTTCTGGAATAAAGAATTCTTAAAGAAACTTCTAAAGATCCTAAATCCAATGCATGGAGTCGAGTTCAGGTTCCCATATTGCTTATAATTTCTTAATATACTAAAAAGTCAATTGAAAAGGCATTCAGAATAGTTCATCATCATCGTTACCATTATCAGTAACTTGTAGAGTTATTGAAGTTTGGAATAATCTGAATTTCCTCTCATTAATTGAATGGACCGGAAGGGTATTTATACAAAGGCAAAAGATAAGATCTTATCCTAAGAGACCTCCTAGATATTAGGAACTACTTTACACATTTATAGGGATTAGCTTACAATAGATCCTTAGCTATTATCCCACGATTCTAGGAGCCTATCACTTATCTAATACTCGGCTAGTTTGAATTTCAACACTCCCCCTCAAACTAGGCGGTATATACTCATTAGACCTAGCTTAGAGCTCAGTTCCGTGAAGTTGGGCCTGAAGAGGGACTTTGTAAGAATGTCTGCAACTTGATGTTGTGATGGAACATGACTCAGTGATATGATATTGCCTTCTATTTTCTCACTGATGAAGTGTCTGTCAATCTCCACGTGTTTCATCCTGTCATGGTGGACGGGATTCTTGGCAATTGCTATGGCTGATTGGTTATCACACATCATCTGGATTGGTCCTGAGATGGCAATTTTGAGTTCATCCAGTAGTCGTTTTAGCCATATTCCCTCGCAAATGCCCTGGGCTAAAGCCCTAAACTCTGCCTCGGCACTGCTGCGGGCTACCACTGGCTGCTTCTTGCTGCGCCATGTGACCAAATTTCCCCAGACGTAGGAGCAATACCCTGAAGTGGACTTTCGGTCGCTTGGAGACCCTGCCCAATCTGCATCTGTGTAGATTTCTAAGAGCCGATTGGCTGTCTTCTGGAATAATAGTCCCTTCCCTGGATCCCTTTTAAGGAACCTGAGAATGCGAGTTACTGCCTCCATATGATCTTCGGATGGATTGTTTAGGAATTGACTGACACGGCTTACGGCAAAGCTTATGTCCGGGCGTGTGTGAGTGAGGTAGATTAGTCTTCCTACCAAGCGTTGATACTGCCCTGTATCCACTGATTTTTCTTCAGTCCGAGGTTTTAATTTCGTGTTGGGATCCATGGGGGTTTCAGCTGGTCGGCATCCACTCATGCCGGTTTCTTGTAGTAGATCTAGCACATACTTGCGTTGAGAGACTGAAATCCCTTTGCTTGATCTTGCTACCTCCATTCCCAGGAAATATCTTAGGAGTCCCAAGTCCTTGATTTCAAATTCTTTGGAAAGGAGGGCCTTGAGTCTCCGTATTTCTTCTTCATGATTCCCTGTGAGTACTATGTCATCGACATACACGATTAGGATTATTACCTTGTTGCCGGTATAGTGTTTGATGAACAATGTGTGGTCGGCCTGAGATTGAGTGTAGCCATCAAGTTTTAGTACTTTTGTGAATCTGTCGAACCATGCTCGGAGCGATTGTTTAAGCCCATACAGTGACTTTCTGAGCTTGCATACCTTTCCCTTTGTGTGATCATCCTCGAACCCGGGAGGGATATCCATATACACTTCTTCGACTAGATCTCCATTCAGGAATGCGTTTTTCACATCTAATTGGAGCAGTGGCCAATCTTGGTTTACGGCAATAGATAGTAGAACACGTACTGTATTGAATTTGGCTACAGGTGCAAATGTCTCCTGATAGTCAATTCCGTATGACTGTGTGAATCCTTTTGCCACTAATCGTGCCTTGAATCTGTCTATTCTTCCGTCTGCCTTTTGTTTGACTGAAAAAATCCATTTGCATCCAACCGTATGCTTTCCTGGCGGTAAAGGTGTTAGACTCCATGTTCCATTCTTTTCAAGTGCACTGTACTCTTCCAAGGTTGCCGCTCGCCATTCCGGGACTTGTAGGGCTTCTTGAACTGTTGTTGGGATCTGAATTTTGTCGAGAGCTGTCACAAATGCCCTGAACTTTTGGGACAGGTTTGCATAGGTCAGGTGATTACAGATGGGATGCTTAGTGCATGACCGGACTCCTTTTCTCTGAGCAATGGGCAGCTCTAAGTCTGAGTGTTGTTCCGCGGGCTTCTCTGTATATTCACCGTCAATTTGCATACTAAGATCCACTTTACCTTGTGTTGTCTCAGAATTTCTTGAACTCGGGATTGGGTCATGATGTTGCTGACCTTGTTCAGGCAAGTGCTTTCTTCGGATAAATACTTTTATGGCATCATTAGGAAGAGTGAGATGATTGGGATATGGAATTGAATTGGCTGAAGATGGACTTGGTGGAGGAGACATGTTTGGCCGAGGAGGAGGTGGACTTGGCCGAGAGCTTTCTGGACTTGATGAGGATATGTTCGGATCAGGTAGGCCAGAGAGAGTAGGAGAAAGTGAGCCATAGTCAATGAGGGAAGTCCAGTCCCAATTTTGTGGTTCATGTGTGCTAATCTCCCCCTGAAGCTTGAAATTGGAGAAGTAAGGTTTGTTTTCAAAGAAGGTGATGTCCATCGTATGATAGAATTTGTTTGTGGTAGGTGAAAAACATTTGTATCCCTTTTTGTTTGATGAATACCCCATGAAGATGCACTTGAGTGCTCTTTCATCAAGTTTACTACGATTATGAGAATGAATATGAATGAATGCAGTGCATCCGAAAATTTTGAGGGGAACTTGTGTGATCAAATGTGATTTTGGGTAGCACTTTAGGAGAGTTTCCAATGGGGTTTTGAATGTGAGTATACGTGAGGGCATCCTATTTATGAGATAGGTGGCAGTGAGGACTGCTTCACCCCAGAATTTTTTGGGAACATTGGATTGAAATAGTAGGGATCGGGCCACCTCTAGGATATGTCGATTTTTGCGTTAAGCCCGAGATATATTAAAGACCCAACACGTGATGATAATTTTAAATGGGGATAAAGAGTGCAATTACGGGGGTTTGAATTCAGGACCTCCCGCTCTGATACCATGAAGTTTGGAATAATCTGAATTTCCTCTCATTAATTGAATGGACCGGAAGGGTATTTATACAAAGGCAAAAGATAAGATCTTATCCTAAGAGACCTCCTAGATATTAGGAACTACTTTACACATTTATAGGGATTAGCTTACAATAGATCCTTAGCTATTATCCCACGATTCTAGGAGCCTATCACTTATCTAATACTCGGCTAGTTTGAATTTCAACAGTTATTGCTGTAGACAACTTATTCTTCTTTGTGAACGTTAATTTCCCAATAAAATTTTATCCATCTTCCGAAAAGGTAAATACACCTTTACGGGGAATGTTCTAGAAAAATTGTCCTCACTCCGATTCAAATCTTATTTTTCACGCACCTGGGTGTCACAACCTTTGTAACAACAGGTCTGCCAACTGTCAGAGTCCCGGTTTTATCAAACACGATAGAGTTCACCATTGAAAACTTTTCTAATATATTCCCACCACGCAAAAGCAGTCCCCTTCTTGCTCCTAATGAAGTTCCAACCTGGAAAATATACAAAAATAAAAAGATAAAATGTGAACTCATATAATAATCTGGTTCAGCCCTGTAAAACTTATGTAACAGAAGCAAGGAACATAATGTGATTTCCATGCACCAATTTAAGCCAGGAAACAAAACTGTCCGGAAGTATTTCAGAAAGATTATCCCTTTGAAGAAATGGAAAATATTTAACATAAGGCCAAAAATCAAGCCTGCACCTTGAGAACAGATGCTTTAAATTTCTATTTCATCATTTCTTTTCATGTGGCTACCAAATTATAAAGCCATTTTGAAGTTTAGCTTTAAGAAAATGATAGGGAGTCTGTTTTTGATGGAGGGACATCATGGGTAGAGGAAGGGAAAAAGGAAATAAGGATATGAATAATTCAGATACATAACATCAAGGAAAACCAAATTCCTTTATTTATTTATTAAATTCTTTTCTGAACCAAATGCTTAACGGACACCAAAATAAGTTAATCAATTCACTTACAATCATATCAACAATTATTAGAATGTTTCCTATCACTGTACATTTTATAGAAAAGTTTCCCAAAGATAACATATATTCATACCTAAGCATCTCATAAAAATGAAGTAATAATTGTTCATGGATGCTTTACAATACCGATATCAATGTAAAAATTTAACAAAATGCATTTATTTTCACCTTTCGTGTCACTCTAATTAGAAAAATAAGTTATTAATTTTTTATAAGATCTCCTTAATGCCAAATGAAAACTCACAAGTTTTCATTCAAACATGGTTAACAACCATCTTTATGTTCTTGACAGGATATGAAATAGGGCTTTGTCATATATCCTTTAAATTTACATATTCAATACAGATTTTTTGTCAGTCTCCTTTTAATGGAAACATTGACATGGAAAACAAGTGAAATTATGTTCCCTGCTTGAAACTTGAGGGGAAAAAAAAATGTGAAATTTTTGTCTACTTAAAAAATAAAATAAAATAAAATAAAACTTGCCAGCATAGCAGTCGGTGTGGCTAAGCCAAGTGCACATGGACAAGCGATGACCTGCATCCAAAAATTATAGAAAAAAATGTAATTGAACAAAAATTCAATAAAAATTATGAGGGCAATGCAACATTTATTCATTTATATTTAAGATCAGAATGAAAATCAAGTAGTCTCTTCATAATGCTCGTCTGGGATAGAAGATGAAGCAAAACAACACAGAATACCTAAATATATCCTTCTGTCCATCTGTTTCAAAATACAGTACCTTTTACCTTGTTAATGAGTGTGTGCATGTGCATATATAGCGTGCTGGTATTCTTCATTAGTGGCCAAGAAAGATGTCTACACAAGTAATTAGCTCATAATGGTGAGAAACGTTCAGTTCATCCATTAAGCTTAGGGGCTAAAGACTGGGCTGGACTGAAATAAAAAGAACAAGGAAACTTCTCACTACTTTCTTTTCAATTGTTTTCTGCACCAACTCCATGTCCTTTTGCTTTTGTTTTATTTGTTGGCAGTAATAATATGTTTTGTTGTTTGCATATTAAATCAGTAACCCATAAAAAAAATTGTTGGCGGCTGGGGCAGCTAGAAATGCTATTAAAAAAAAAAAAAACCCCCAATGTCAGGAGTATGGTTTAGCTACTCTCTAGACACACATCCCTCGGTACCAAAAGAATACATAAATAAAGGGAGAAAGAAAAGTCGGTTCAATTTCATTAATGTATCGTGTTAGTTTATGACTGGCATATGGAGTACACCTTTATAACTGGTTCATTCTTGAAGGAATTGCTAACAATAAACTTAAGATAGAGCAACTTTTCAATGTCCGTGGAAAGCCGTTCAATCTGTTGCCGAGGAATTTTTCCATTGTATGAACTGTATGAAGTGGAAGGTGGGGAAGGGTGATTCCATTAGATTCTGGAAGGATTCGTGGTGAGGAGAGGGTGCTCTTAGTTTCAAATTCCCAGCATTATATAGATTTTCTGCTCTTCATGACCAAACCATCATCAATTTTATTGCGGATTCAGCTCAAGAGCTGGGTAAGGAGTGTACTTTAGTAGTGGGGTTGAGAATTTGGGTAGGGTTTGAGATAGAAGGGGAGAAAGCAGTTTTTTATGTTTTCGTTTTCTTTTTATTTTTTCTTTTTCCTGTCAAATCTCTGTTTTTCCCCCTTGTTGACAGATGTTCCCTCTATAAATCCTTTTGTTTTCTATGAGTGCATTTGGAAAACCTAGTTCCTTCCAAAGTTCAAGTTTTTTGTTCGTTGCTTGTTCTTGATAAACTAAATAGTCAGGATCTGATGCAACAAAGAAAATCGTATCAATTTCCCCAGGATGGTGCTTTTTGTTAGAACAATGCAGAGACTGTTGATCACTTGTTTTTGCATTGCCCCTGCGTAGGGAGATGGGGCTTCTCTGGGTTATTCTCAGAAGTATTAAACAATTATGCGAGTACTTTCATTTGGATGCAGCTCTAGGAGTAAACTTATGTGGGAGCATAGCTGTTCCTGAGATCTTTTGGGGAATTTGGATGGAAAGGAATTGTAGAATTTTTGAAGAATGCAAGGAAGTCGTGATGTTATAGGGGACAGAGCGAGATATTGGGTAACTCTTTGGGTTCACCAGGAAAACGAGTTTAGGAGCTTTCTGTTGTCTGACTTCTTTAGGAACTGAGCTCTTTTTCGTAGAATAGGATTGGTTTTTTCTTTTCCCTTTTTGACAGTACTTTTTTAAGAGGGAAGCTCTTCTCTCTTTAATTAAATGTTGATCATAAATATACAGATTATTGTTTCAAAAAAGTGACAATTAAGTTAAGATAGAATATGAAAGCATAACTCAGTGATCTGGTTTGGAGGAAATCCCCATATGGTGATCTCACATTTCCAGTGTGTGTCGTGCAATGAAGGGGGAGAGGTAAAATGATGAGGGGCTTATGGGTTTTGTTTCTTAGGAGGGCCTTTTATATATATATATATATATATATGGACCTTTGCTAGCAGAGTGGTTGCATTTTGATAGAAAGGCCAGTAAGGTTGGATCCAATAAGATGGCTAGGGGGACGTGAAAAAGTATGGAACTGGCCTTGCTGTTGGTTATCAGGATGGAGAGGAATGGGAGAATTTTTGAAGAGAAGGATCTGGACACTTAATCTTTTTGAAAAAACCTATATATTTTGCCTCACCATGGGCTTCAAGCTTCTACTCATAGTCTTTAGTCTTTACAGACTTTTCTTTTCTTTGATTGTATTGCGCTCAAGGGATGTAATTGGGTGTTAATTTGTTTTGTTTTCACCTTTTCTGTTTTCTTTGAGGAGGACATCTTGTTCTTTCCTATTATATTGATTTCAATCCATAATTTCTGTTTCCAATTATATTGGATCATATGCCATACCAGAACGCTGCAAGAAAGCTGCAATGCCAATGAAACTGAACTTCCATGATGTAAAGCAGCAGGTAGAATACGTGCCCCAAATAGACTCCAAAACAAAAATGTAGCAGCAGATAGGGCCATTACTCCGTAAGTAAAGTGTCCAGACACCTGATGAAATTAAGACTTAACAGGTCAAACAGACAATATAACACTACTACAAGCACAATACATACACATAGAGAGAGCAAAAAGTTCTCAAAAATCAAACTAAAAAGGTGAAACATATAGAAGAATCTCTAAAAGTAATATCCAATCCAACGAAACAAAAAATAAGCGAACCTCTTCGAACAAACACACACACACACACAAATAGATTATTTAGGAAAAATAAAAAACAAAACGAAACACACACACATACACAACAACAAAAGACAGCATTACGGTATGTAGAAGCTTGTATTATGAATTGGACATATGCCGATCTAGAATAGATATTTTTTTGGAACAACTACGGCATCAAGTGCCTAAATAATCTAAGAATGACCCACGACCTTGTCAGCCAGGCGCTGTACAGGAGCTTCCCTGCTTTGTGCTTCTTCTACCAAACGAACAATGTCTCCCATAGCAGTCTCACCACCAGGCCTCCTCACTTCAACTGTAAGTGTCCCATTAAGATTTATGCTTCCAGCTGCAACTTGGCTCTAGCCCAAACATAAACACAATAGTGTCATGACAATGTTAGAGCTTTTATGCTTACTAAAATAAAAAGTAGGGGATAAAACAAAAAAACAAAAAAAAAACAAAAAAAACAAAAAAAAAACAAAAAAACAAAAAAAAAACAAAACAAAACCAAAACAAAAAAAAAAGAAACAGAACAAATGTACCAAGGGAAGAAGACCTTCCATTTCTATGCATGAAATTATGCAATTAGAAACCAATTTAATTTTGAAGAAATACCTACGTAACAAGAGCAGAGAGCAATACCCCAGGTAGTTTGGTAACTGGTAATGGCTCCCCAGTGAAACTTGACTCATCAATGGTGCTCCTTCCAGCTCTAACAATTCCATCCACAGGAACACGGTCCTAAAGCATTGAAAGAATATAAGCCTTAAAAGATTCATGAGTTGATGCCTGGGATAAAAAATCAAAATTTTAAAGAATTCAAATCTTAGGAAATTCAACTGCGTATCATTCAAAACTAATTAATACTTTTTTGCAGCAAAGTTGGGAGAAGAGAGTTCGTGACAAGAAAGGCAAGACATAGGAAAACAACATCTAGAGTACAGAAAAAACTCTCACAGGACTTCATTTCTACAAAAAGAATCATGAAGTAAAAAGGAAACAACATAATAAAAAAAGGAAAGGAAAGTGATTGTTCACCCAAATAAAAGTGATTGTCTTCTATGCAAAATAATAACACAACAGTGGAAGCTACTTAAATCCTAAACAAAGGGACGTTATATTACTTACTCCAGGTAGTACAACAATTAGGTCTCCGACTAAGAGACTGTTACATGGGACTTCAACTGTTGAGCCAGATTCTTTTTCATCATTATTTAACAGCAGACGAGCTTTTGATGGCAAAATACTAAGGAGCCCTGTCATATCACTTGTTGCTTTAATTTTAGCTCTCTGTTCAAGATTCCTCCCCAACAAGACGAATGCTATTAGCATAATTGGTTCTTCAAAAAATGTCTTCCAACCCTGCAAACAGATATTCCACGCATAAGCCAGATCATAATTTAATTGACCTTTGGAGGACGTCCTTTTTGTTATTAATAAAGTCGTCATGTTCGCTTACTTCACTAAAAGAAAGTCATTTTATTCCCTTCACATACATTAGATTCCTGCTTTTAGTTAGGATTTAGCCCTAACAATTTCAAAGTGGAGAGAGGCAATGGTGCAGAATCAGTCCCTAATAGAGATAAATAGCTTTAATGGCAAATAATAGCTAGTAACAGGCAAATGGCAAGTTATGCAATAATATCATGCAGGTTAGCAACTAGCAAGCATAGGGTTGCCACACGAGCATAGAAAGCATGTGAACAAAATAGTATTGCCTTTAAAGCAACGGTTCCTATTCAGACTTCAGTCCTTCACAACTGTGATCCAAGAATACTCAAATTAAACCAAAAAATGAATATACAATCTAAACATCACTAATATACCTGTCTAGTATATTGATTCACTGATATGAAGTTGAACCTAAGATGGAACCAAAGTATCACAATAAAGATCACCAATTACCAGTTTTGGTATAAAGGCTGCTAATGTGCTGACAGTAAACGACGACAAAGCCCCGAGACCAACCAAAGTGTTCATGTTTGGAGCCCCTCTTATAAGGCTCTTCATACCATCAAGAATAAGTTCCCGGCCAGGACCAAGCAACGTAAATAAAGACAAGGAAAGATGGAATCCGGTGGAATGAAATGCATGGATCCATGCAGCCTTAGCTCCAAAGAAATGAGAGAGATGACCAAAAAGGCAAACAGCACACAAGGCCCAAGAGAAAGCAAGCTCGCGACCTATAAGATAAAGATAGTAGACTCTCAGTTAGGTAGATGAATAATCAGCAGCTGCAGCTTTGAGGCAGTCAAATGCAGCTGACGTGTCTGCTATAACAGATATCCAGAAAATCAAAGATAATACAGAATTTATCATCTAAACGAAATAAATTATGTTTACCACTTTCTTTAAGGCGGCACTGCTTTTCTTGCATTTTCTGTGCAAAAACTTTAAGAAAATTATCTCCCCCTGAATCTGCATCCATGGCAACAGCAAATTAGTCCATCCAGTTTGCATATTCAATTCATATGGCTGCAAATTGTTGACAAATCAGGTTCTCCACTAATGGAGATCCACTTCATGTAAGAATTTAAAACTCCAAAAGATAAGAACAAACTGTAAGAAAGGGAATAGAAGACCGTCTTCAACATCACAAGCAAAATTACAAGAAAATATACAGACCAAGAACTCATAAAGTTGGCTACAAACTGACTGGCAACAAATAAATAACAAAAAGAGGATTAAGCATGCACACCAAATAATGGGTTAGTTGAGAAGATTATAAATTGAAAATATTCGAAGGACAAGGATAAAATCGAATCTTATCATTTTCCTAGTCATCAGGGGTAAAGAAGCATACAATCCCAGCGTTAAAAGTGAAAGCATTAAGCAAATAACAGATTTGAAGGCCAGATTAGCATCCTGATAAACAGACGTGGACTTGCATATAATCCTAATTCTTCTGGAAAAAATATAAATTGGGAAACCATGCCTACAGTATATCATTTGTATGTATACTTTCAGTGTTTTGTTTGTATAAATATATAAGAGTATCAGAATCTATCATAACAAGAGCAAAATAATCGTTTAAAGAACAGGATATGAGGAGAGCAAAGTTCAAAATTATATGCTTGAAACTAGATGTTAGCCAACTAATGTGCTACTTTTCAAGCTAAAAAGAAAAGAGAACCAAAAAAAAAAAAAAGGAGTTAAATACCAGAGTGAATAATTCAACATACACAAAGGAGAACGAGAATTCCACTAGCAAGTGAAACAAAAACCTCAAACAAACATTAGAAAAATCCCACAACTTGGCAAGATGAAAAGTTAAATTAAACTTTAATCAAATCAAAGCTTGTAACAAACATTAGAAAAGAGACTCAAATATATGAGATCACCGCAAAGTATTATTTTAAATATTGTGTTACATTAATTACTCCTGGCATCATTATTAAAGATTCACATCTGATACTATCAAAGATGTACCAATATCGATAATATTTGTAGGATTACAAGATCAGTCTAGTTGTCCAACGGCTAACACTGAAAAACATGAAATACAACAATTTTTTGTCTCTCTCCTTTTTTTTTCCCTTATGAGGACAGGAACTGGAAAATTATTACAAAGTACAACTTCCTAGTTAATATCTTGAAAATTGATATGCTCAGAACGTGGAACAGGATATTCTCCAGAATAAGATGCCTCGTAACAGAAATGCCTCTCCAATCAATCCACAAGCGGCTGCTGAGACTCACCTATTGAAAGAAGTAATTATGAATCAATAATTGATCTTAAGCCTATTCTTTCACGTCTAATCAATGATGAAAAAATCAACAATCAATGACATGATCATGACATTGTTGGTTTTTTTGCGGTGTCCCACATAGACAACCATGAAGGTAGACGTTTCCCAGTTGTCTACGACAATGTCAGACAATGTCGCGGATATTTCACCAAATCTCAACAAAACATGGAAAAATTTCTTGGGAAGTCCTAATTTCTGCCTTTCGTTTTTGAATCAAAAATAATATATTGAGCTACACATGTATGTTTTCCCAGAATACCCTTGACATCAACATTATCCATAAATTAAAACTTCAACAACTCTGCCAACATCGAAATTTTCGTCCTTGCATCTAACATGGTGGAGTTGAGATTTAACATATTCTTAACATGGAGAAATTAAATCCGATAACTTGGGGAATACCATAAAGACCTATGGTGATATCTCTCCTTCAATAGCAGCTTGACCTGCCAGTTTAACATAAATCATTTGAAATGCCAGAACATGGTAGTTTCTACTCTCATTTAAAGTTAGAGGTGCTTAACAGAACAACACACTAGAACATGCAATTTTACATCTTGGTCTTTTGATCTTTTATATAGCTAGCCAAAAAAAAAAAAAAAAACTTCTGCGTCCAATTTAGAGAAGCTTAATCCCTTATTATTTGATTCCTTCAAACTTCTTTTGAACATGAACTCAGTATTTGTAACAGCTTTAACTTCCAGAAATCAACACTGACAACTATAGACCAAGGAATAAGACAAAATTCAAAGAAGTTAACAACTTCAATCAAATATAACTACAGCAAACTTCATGCCACAAAATATCAACAGCAACAAAGGAACAACAAGAATCAATAACTAAAGCACTTTAGCTTGATCTATTCTCGATATATAAGTAGCCATGCAATTACTTTTGAACAGTGACACAACCAGAGTCTTATTTAGCAAAAGAAAAAAAAATACAATTAATGAATTTTTTTAAAACAGTATCTTTGGTGGTCCTACAACTAAACAGCTATAAGAAACCAAGACAGAAAATTTTGCTGACTTGGACATGTAAAATTTAAATTGCGCGCTTCAATTTTTAGCAAATGACATTATGAAAGAATTCACTTTTTTAACAAATGAAAGAATTATAAAATATAAAATATAAAAGACACCCCAGTATAACATCAGTCTTGATAAAAAAGATCGTCCATGAACTTTATAAGTTTGGTTTTTTTTTAATAATTGAAAAAAAAAAAAAGACGATAGCTATGCAAATCACAGTAAAATAAAATTGCAACAATGAAAATAAAATTAACAAGTAATGGCATAGCATATATAATTCCTTACCTCGGAGATTAGACTTAAACCCACAATTTGTCAAATGCTTAGCAAGTGCCTCTCCTAACTGTTGTTGCCAGTCCGGCACAACCTTGGCTTCAGCCACAGGCCAAACAATTGCTGTCTCTGTCGTAAGATTTACACTAGCTGATGACACTTGAGGCTGTCAAAAAACAAATATGAAGAGCATAGATTAGATTAGAGTACAGCAAAGCTCGCAACATAATGCGCCCCTTCCCAAAATATATATATATATATACACACACATAAAAAAGTAAGAAAGATAGTACAATTGTTAATAAAGTTTTATCTCTCCCTTTTCTTATTTTTTTATATGCATAAGAACATTTGTAATCAGCTCATATAGAAGTGCGTCCACAATTTTAGTGTTCGGAGCTTCTCCAGGATCAACATGGGTGCGACAAGAACTTCAAAATAGCATTCATGGTACAGACGATAAATTTCACTTACAGATGGAAGAAGGATCGTCTCCGAACACAAATAAGTTTATGGCATGAAACTGAAAGAAATTCAAATCTCGAAATTCTGGACAGTGACACTAACTTCTTCACTTGTTATCGATTTTGCTGAAGGACTTGTCATCAATCTTAGGTCCTTGACAGTATTTTTCCATTGCTGCTAAAGTTTCTGTTCCAGCTGAAATGCTGATTACACAATTTCAGGTTTCTTTTTCATTTTCTCCATTAAATTCTTTAAGTATTTCCTGTACCACTGCCCACTTAGTTAACTTGAGTTCGAAATTAGAACTCTCACTAAATTCACAAGATAGGTCATAGGTGGCCATTGAATCAAACACCAAACCTTGTCAAAGCAAAGGGTTTCTATTACCATTTTGCATTCTTGATTGAAGTTTGAATTATTATCTTTTTAACTTCATATCAGCTTAATATCCTTGCATCACTCCTCCCAGAATAGTATATCTGAATTTCTCTTTCCAAACTTGTCCAGAACTACTTGTTACATCACATCAAGTAACTATTTTCCAGAACTACTTGTTTGTTATTTCCCATAGCAACTAAATATCCATATCAATCCATAACAAGAAATTTCTATATAACCAAACAAGAAAAGGCAAAATAAAAAATTATAAAACAAAAAAAAAAAAAAAAAAACCTTACTTGACTTTCTAAAATCCTCTTCACACTAGCTGCACATCCTCCGCAAGTCATCCCCTACCAGAGACATGAAAAACAGGAAATTGAATAACTTAAAACGCACAATTAAAAGAAGAAAGGAAAGGAAAAAGTGCGTCTTCTTCGTGTGCTTGTGGCTTTAGCAAAAGCAGAGCAAGAATCATACTCCGACGTCGAGAATAATGACATCTGTAGGGTTAGCCGAAACATCCTCAGCTCCTGTCGCCGGAATCTTTGACTTCGCATCGCCGCCGTCAGATCCACTCCCTCCATCGCCACCTCCGCCGCCGCTCTCTCCACCGAAGCCGCCACTCCCACCGCCGGAGGAAAACGAGGCGGCGAAGCCGGAAGCTCTCCCGATGCGGCGCCGTAAGGGAAGCTCCGCCGCGGCGCAGAGACTTCTCAGGGACAACGAAGACGCCGCCGACGGCGGAGAAAACGAGGCCGCCGAGCCGAAAGTCGGCGACCTCTGAAGGCAGTACGAATGGCAAATGCAACGGAGTCGGCGAGCGACGAGCCGAGCCGCGACACTGTGCTCAGTGAGAGCGGCTCTGGAGACGACGGCGCCGCCACCGACGCCGCGGTTGAGGGCTTTGGAAATGGTGAAGAGACTGGTCGTCGTTGCGGTGGCGGTGACGGAGGATAGTGTGGACTCCATAGGTGAGGTTAAAGATGTTTGTCTCTGTTCTCTTTCTGTTATTCTTAGCTCTTCTTCGTTCTACCTCTTCTCCTTCTTGTTATGTTGTTGTCTATCTCTTTCCTGTTTTTTGGTGTATATTATTAATTAAGGTGTGGTGTGAGACATGTGCGCCATTCAATACTGAGTAGTAAGTAGCAAAGGGAAACCCGATTCTGCAATAAACACTCGTTTGGCTGCAAGTCAAACCTTTGTTGGATTTCGTATTAGACCGGGAAAGGAAAACCAATGGATTGAGCTGCTTCTTCTTTTTCTTTCTTTTCTTTCCTTTTTTTTTTTGTGTGTTAAAAACTGCACTTTAAACATTTTTATTACGGTGTTTTTTTTAATCGATTTAAATTTATTATTTTTGTTTCCTTTTTCTTTCAACTCTAGATTATGGGTGGTAATTTATGTTTATAGATTGTGTTTGTGTCAATCCATTTATTTAATTTTGTTAAAAAAATATTAATTTAAATATGATTTATTTATTAAACGCGTTAAAAATATCAACTTAATGCGATTCATTTATTAATTGCGTTAATCTTGTCAGTCCGCATAACCTATTTAAATTAATATATTAAATAAATAATTAATATAATAGTGACTTATTTAACCTGATTATGACATATTTAACATGTTTATTGGTTAATTTATCTTTTCTTCTAAAAAAATAAATGAATTTTACCTATAAATATTAAAATTCGTAGAGTGCGTTTGGAACTCATTCTAAAATGATTTTTTTGTATGAAAATGAAAATGAAAACGTTTTTAATCTCAGACAGAAATCATTTTTGAAAATGTGTTTGGTAGTTTTTTCAAGAGATTGTTTTTAGTATAAAAAACTCATTAATGTCTCTCTCTCTCTGCTCAAGAGAGGAGAAAACGAAAACAAAAAATGAAAAACAACTAAGAGTCGTTTTTCATTTCTCTCTCATTTTATACTAAACTCAAAAATCATTTTTATATTTTTTTTTTGTCTTTAATTGTGCCAAACGCTATTTTAGAATCGTTTTCATTTTTTCTTTCTTAAAAAATGTGAAAAATAAAACAAGAACAATTTCAAACACGGTAAAAAGTTTGATCTTCATTTTTATTTTTTTATTTCATTTTGGAAAATGCGCCCCTCAATACGTTTTTTTTTTTTTTTTTTTTTTTTTTTGAAGAGCAAATGTAAGGTTTTCATGTTTTGGAGATTTTCATGTATGAAATTTTTATTTCTAGTTGTTTCTGTCCTTCTTTTTTTTTTGTAACAGTATATTTTTGTTAATTTTAAAATTTCTCCTTAGAGAGCAAAGTCTATTTTTTTTATATTAACGGACAACGGTGCTGATGATTGAAGTAATTGTTTATTTTTTAAAACAATAAAGGATTAATTGTCGAAAGGTTTTTATTTACAGCCTAAGTTGCCAAATCATAATAATAGAGAGCATTATTGCCGCAAACCATAATTTGGTATCTTTCAATTTTCCCTTTTACAATCTCTATTTTATGTTGTTTGGTAACAAGTGACCACGTGATATTAATGACCAAAATACTGACGAATGTAGGTAGCTTAATGAGTCTCTCACTCATTTTAAACGTGGAGGCTGTCAGGGTTCAAACTTTCTCGAGAAAATGGTTGAATTTACCCTCAAAATGTATGGATCTATGAGAGAGAATACAGATAGTTTATTCACAGTAGCAAAAAGAAAGAAAGAAATTTATTAGAGTTTTAAATTATTTTAATATATTTAAAGCAATTTTTAAGAAGAATGACGATTTTAACCTTTCAAGAAAAAAAAATTTAAAACGTCGAGATACTCATTTAATATTATAAAATATAATATAGAGTACTAAATTAAAAATTTTCCATTTAAATATAACTCGTCGTTTTGTTCAAGAAGAAAACATATATTCTATGGATCTATAGATAAATATAAAAGGAAGAAAATCCTTTCAGTTCCTTTGTATTAGAATTAGTGAGATAAATATGAGTGAGTATATTAATTTGAACTATAATTCACTTACTTTTTTAAACACAATAAAAAAGCATCCATCATTTAGAATAGGAGTTGCAATTTGAATCATGACATGAAATACGGCTCGAAATCCGCATAAAATTAACAGATTTTAGTTTATTATAAGTGAGTTTGGATCATAGTCTAGTTGATACGATTAATAAACTTGTTAGGTTAGGGTTGACCTCCCCTAACACAAAGTAATACGAATTGATACAATTAACTATATCGGTCATCTATAATCTAATGATATATGATATAATATGAAAATTTATATGACATATTAAATACAAATACTATTGCCGTGTTTGAAATTATTCTTTTTTTTGTTTTTCACGTTTTTCATGAAAGAAAAAATGAAAACAATTTCAAAACAGTGTTTGGCACAATTAAAGACAAAAAAAGAAATGAAAACGATTTTTTAATTTAGTGTAAAATGTGAGAGAAATAAAGAATGACTTTTAGTCATTTTTCATTTTTTATTTTCGTTTTATCCTCTCTTGAGCAGAGAGAAAGACATTAATGAGTGTTTTAATACTGAAAATAATTTTTTGATAAAACTACTAAACGCATTTTTAAAAATGATTTCTGTCTAAGATTGAAAATGTTTTCATTTCTATTTTCATATAAAAAATAAAATCATTTTAGAACGAATTTTAAACGCACTCATAGAGGTCAAAGGTCTATATGTACGAATGGCTGTATATTCTGTATGTTCTTCAGTATTTGAAATGTTTTCCTTTCTATATACTTTTGTGATACCTAAAAATAGTGAAAATCTAAAAAATACCCTCAGAGTTTTAGCTAAATCCTACGTTTGTCCCTGTGTTTTTCTATAATCTAAAAGGTATCCCCTTTGTGTTTAGGCCATCACAAAATCATCTCCTGCAGCTTTCAGAAGAGTAAAAACGGCCCCATTCATTTCACTCATTCGAGTTTTGCTACAGTAAAAAGCTCTTAGAAATAGTCACATCTAACTTTTTTGCTACAGTAAAAAGCTCTCACACAACATTACATCTCAACTCGAATTAGCGAACCGAACGGGCCCACTCTTTAATTGGTCAGAGTTTTCAAAATACAAAAAACAACCTCACGTTACTGCTTAAATATTATCTTAACAGTTAATCATGTAAATTTTTTAAAATATAAATTTTAAAACTAAACAAAATGAAGAAAAAGGTGAAAATGTGTTTGGATGAGCCTGAAACAAGACTCAGGTGACGTTTGGTTTATACGTTTATAACTATAGTTAATGATTCTGATTTTAAAAATTTAAATTTTTTATGAAAAAAAACACTGTAGCGAACCAATAACCATAATTCAGAACCAAACTAAAACCCTCAAAATAAACAGAGTATTAATGCAGCAGGTCATCAGTCTGACAAGTCCAAATCCATCTAATTTTTATGTTAATAGTGAGTATGTGAGATTCTGTGTGGAACTGTACCAGTTTGGCCAGTTAAGTTTTAATTTTTTTAAATATAATTTATTTTATTGAAAATTTTACCTTTTTTCTCTAAACTTAATTTTTGTAGTCATTAATATTTAGGACAATGTTTACAATAGAATTTAATATCTTAGCTATTACTATTTAAGGTAATGATAATTAAGGGAATTTATGTCATTTTCAACCGTTTGGCCATTTAAAGGTTATAGTTTATTTTTTTATTTTTTGAAAAACTTAGAGAATAATTTTAGGATAGTTTAAGGCATGACTAATACGATAAAAACACAGAAAATGTAGGATTTACTTCAAACTCAGGGGTGCTTTTTCTTAAACTTACTATCTTAGTGGATACTAGTTGGAGTACGTGGATGATTTTTTTTATTGCGTAGATGTATTTTTATTTTTCAAGATCACATTTTGATAGAATAATAGTACTCAACATAAAACATATTTATGCTTTATACATATATAGTATTTCTAAATCTAAATGCGTTTAGATCATTTATTTTATTGTACTTTTTTTAAAAAAATCAACACAAATCTTAGAAACCCATTAACTTAACAAATTTTAATGGTCAAATATCATAGATAATTAGTAATTTAATGGTCATATTAATATTTTCGTTCAAAAAATTAATAGAATAAATATGCATGGAGAAAAGTTGAAGACATATTATAGTTTAGGGACAAAACATGTACATTTTAAAGTTTAGGGGGCATATTAATATAAGTGATAAAGTTCACGGGGTGTTTATAAGCATTTTTGTTAAAAAAGAGTTAACCTCAAGGAGTATGTTGACACAAGTGATAAAGTTCAGGGAGTATAACATGCACATTTTAAAATTCACGGGGCATGTTGACATAAGTAACAAAATTCATGGGAAATTTTATAAAATTTGTCATTTTTTTTACTATACCTAACTTTCTATTTAATTTGCTTGACTTGGGAACCTCTAAGGGTTCATAAATCGCAGCCAACAACAATAACACGGAAGTAAAAATTTAAAGGATGAAATTTTACAAGAGTTACTGGAGTTCAAGAAAAAAAAAAAACTAAAACAATGTTCAAGGAACATTTTGTGACAATGGGGACAACTGTATAATTTGTCTTAATATAAGAGATTATATCCAAGCAAAATATTTGTATAGGAACAGATTAAATTAAACTAGTTTTATAGGAACTTTTAATTGTAATAACTAGCCATCCAACTTACTAAGGGCTTGTTCTTTTGAGTGAAAAACTCAAAAAAAATGTAACTTGAGTTACAACTTTATTCGAGTTCATGTTCTTTTAAGTTTAAACTCGAGTTCAAACTCGAGTTTATGACTAAAACTCGAGTTCAAGTTTTCCCTTCAACTCGAGTTCAGAAACTCGAACTCAAATTAATGAACAGTATTTTTTCTATTCTTAAAAATGCTATAACTTTTTCGTTTTAATTTTGATTGAGATGATTTTTTTTTCTATGCGTTGACAACGAAAAGACGAATAAAACCCGACCTATATACCCTATTAAAATTTTTCATCAGCATTGAGTTTTTATTAAAATACTATATAAATACAAATTCAAGTTTTAACTCATTCAAACACAAACTCAAAAAGATTCTTATCTCAAACCATAACTCAAATGTATACAACTAAACACAAACTTAAGTTACAAGTTCAACTCAAATTATAACTCAAATTCAACTCAAGAATTATACTCAAATTAAACTCCAAAAGATCAAGCCCTAAATTATTGCAACGCGAATTATTTTTATCAATTTTACTATAATGGTTTGTCAGATTTAACAAATTGAGGGCTTGTTCTTTTGGAGTTTAACTTGAGTATAATTCTTGAGTTGAATTTGAGTTATAACTTGAGTTGAATTTGTAACTTGAGTTTGTGTTTAGTTGTGTACATTTGAGTGATTTGAGACAAGAATCTTTTTGAGTTTATGTTTGAGTGAGTCAAAACTTGAATTTGTATTTAGATAGCATTTTAATAAAAACTCAATGTTGATGAAAAATTTTAATAAGGTATATGGGTCGAGTTTTATTCGTCTTTTCGTTGTCAACACATAGAAAAAAAAATCATCTCAATCAAAATTAAAACGAAAAAGTTATAGCATTTTTAAGAATAGGAAAAATATTGTTCATTAATTTGAGTTCGAGTTTCTGAACTCGAGTTGAAGGGAAAACTTGAACTTGAGTTTTAGTCCTAAACTCGAGTTTGAACTCGAGTTTAAACTCGAATTTAAACGTAAAAGAACATGAACTCGAATAAAGTTGTAACTCGAGTTGCATTTTTTTGAGTTTTTCACTCAAAAGAACAAGCCCTGAGAAGTTTGTGTTACGGTTTTAATTGGGTTGAATTCTTTGATTGAACATGCCTTTCTTTACATTACGACAATCAACAATCTCAACCCCGTTTGTTTTACTAGTTTAGTTCAGTTCAACTCAGTTCGAATAGTGATCACAGTTTGAACTCATATTTGGTAAGCATGCAGTTCAAATTATATTTCCCATTTAAACTGAATTAAACTGTCAAACTTAGGCACCGTTTGGTTCACTAGTTTGAAATTTATTAGTTTGAACTTTTTGATTTGAACAGAAAAATTTTCAAATTGTGTGGTTTAAATTGTAGTTTGAATTGATATTTAGATGTGTAGTTAAAGTTTTATTATTTGAACATTGAATAAAATTCGAATTTGTGTTTGGTATGTGTGAAAATCAGAGAGAGCGTGCACTTTTTACTGTTTAAAAATGGTTTGAACGATTGAACTTGAGGGGGAGCTAAACTCTAAGTTGGACCGTTTTGCTTAGTTCAAATGGTGAATATAATTCAAACTGCATGCTTACCAAACGCCAGTTCAAATTGTGTTCATTGTTTAAACTGAATTGAACTGAACTAAACTAGTGAAACAAACAGGGGCTTAGAGTTTAACTCTCTCCTTAAGTTCAACCGTTCAAACCATTTTTAAACAGTAAAAAGGTGCTCACTCTATTTGTTTTTCACATATACTAAACACAAATTTGAATTTTATTCCCTGTTCAAACTAAATTTTAACTGCACATCCAAACACTAATTTAAACTACAATTCAAACTACACTGTTTGAGTTTTCTGTTTAAATAAAAAAATTCAAACTAACAAAATTCAAATCAATGAACTAAAAGGAAAATTAAGTTGGGACTTAGGAGCAAACTTTATAAGTAAAAAAAGAAAAAAAAAAAAAAAGATGTCAAATTTATAAAACTCTAAAATTAGAGGGATAATAATGGAATAACCTATTTTCCGCGCACAGCCGCTGCAACTCTTCCAAATAAAACAATCATTCTCAATTAGGTTCTTCTTCTTTCCAACTTTTTTCCTATATATTCAGACAACAAAAGTTACATACCCCTCTGCGTTCTGCAATAGAATCAAACCGAAGTTTTCTTTCAAAAAAGTTATTTCATCATTTTTGAAAGCGTTACAAATCCGAATTGAAGGCTCTTACCCTAAACGGAGAGGTAGCTGCTGCTCTTGCCACTGCTGCTGCCGCCACTCGAGTGAGACGGAGAGCTTCAAAGAAGTGAGTTTTTTTTTTTTTCTTCTTCTCTTTTGTGTGTGTGTGTGATTCTTTTCACTTATTAACGTGAAGTAAATAAATATGGGTGGCTAGTCTTGTTTGTGTGCATATGGTTAACTTTTCATATCATAGTTGTGGAGAAGTTTTGAAATTAATCCAATTGGGGACGGCAAGGAAAATAAAATAAAATAAAATAAAGACTAGAAGGAAAATTTAAGGGTATGTTAGCTTCGTGGGTTCGAGTTGAGAAATTAAGTTGAAAAGTGAATTTATGTCAGAGAAAATACGGTAAGAAAAAAAATTAAATTTTTATAAGAGAAAATATTGTAACAAAAAAGTTTGAGTTTTAATTTGAACGGCGAAACAAAGGAGTAATGACATGTTTAGAAGAATGATATAGAAGTACCTATGTTTCACTTGTAGATGTATGCATTGCCCCCCCCCCCCCCCCACCCCCCCACCATCTTTTAGTTGTTCAGAATTTCTCTTCCAAGGAGGCAATGGGGATTGGTGTTCTTTTGTGGTAGGATACTAACTAGTAAAGGAACATCATTTGAATCATTCACATATTCTTTTTAATTATATGTGTCCTCAGGATTAGTTTGGCGCCTTTTATTTCCTTTATTTTGTATTATATTTTCAGATATTATTATATTTTGTATTCTTATCAAGAAAAAATTATGCAGTCTTTGAATGGTTCTGGTCATGTAGTGGTTAGATTTGAGCTGATGCACCATTAAGAAAGACAAAAAAAAAAAAAAAAAAGAAAAAGAAAAAGAAAAAAAACTAATATCACCTCAGTTTCAGTATATATTCCTTATAAAATTCTCTCCTAGATAAGCACGTTCACATATCTTTCTGTTCATTTTCTTGAAGGTTGATATATTTTGTTACTTCATTATGTTATCACACCTTAGTAGTTTATTATTCTTTTTTTGTTTTTTGGGGTACATCCGTACATGTTAACTATGTACATCCAATCTTCATCTAACAGAGACAAAATAGATGCAATATTTGTAGAGTTTCAACTGACAAAAGTAGAAGATGAAGAGTGTTGTCCACTTTCCCGATCTTCCTTTCGAATTCATGATGCCGGCTTCCTCTAACAACGCCAGAGACATTGCGCTGAAAACCATCCCTTCTGCTTCGAAAGTACTTTACAAGCGATCACTTGTCTGCCTCTAATTAATGTTCCTACTTTGCTTGTTTTGGATTTTTATTTTTATTTTTTATTTTTCCTCCTATTTTGATCTGCAGACAGAAATCAAGAGGGTTCTGCAAACGGTTTACGGATTTGAGGTTGAAAAGGTAAGGACACTAAACATGCAGGGAAAGAAGAAATATAGAGGGAGAGTTTTGGTTGCTAAACCAAATTACAAAAAGGCCTATGTGACGTTGAAGGAGTCATCAACCATCTCTCCTACTCGTTTCTCTGTTAATTCAATGGGAGATGAGAGTAAAAGCATGAAGAAGCAGTGAAAGTCTAATATTTTTCATCGGGTCGGCAGAAAGAGAGATCCAGGAGTTGTGACATAGAAGCAATTTAGTTGACGAGGTGGCAGCGGCATTTCGGCACGTATACTTGCGTAGCAAAAATCACACAACACAATACAATATCAAGTTCTGTAAATCTGGTTGAGGGGACTGGTAGTGTAAGTTTTGTATTGCCAAATAGAACAAAGTTTCCATAAATGATTACGTTTTGGTTTTTGGTTTAGATGGAATGGGGATAATGTGTTGACAATATTTTTTTTAGACCATTGATAAGCTATCATATAACAGTTATACATATTTCTGCTAGGAATGGACTGAGGTTTTAACTGAGAAAGAGTTTGTCAGTCCATTACTTATTATCAATATTTTCACTGAACCATCTGTTGTTTTCACTAATCACGGAGTCTGCTGTGCTTTCATATCTGTGTAGGCTCATTCATGTTGTTGCCTGAAGTTTCATGCTTTGCCATTTCTATTGTTCTTTTTAAATTTTCCCCTTACATTGCATTTATTTTAGAGAGGATGTTTGGTAGAGGGATTCGAATCATGATTCATAGTTCGCTACAGTATTTTCTCTCACAAAAAATTTATGTAAATCAAAAATAATTCGAATCACATGGTTTGAATCCTCCAACCAAACGTTCTCAATTTCTTGTAGCAAAGTAGTGGATTTTTGGCTTGTTTGGAAGAACTTCTTAGAAATTGCTTTTGACTTTTGAGTCAAAAATATGTTTTTAAAAGTGTTTAGATGAGCAGAATTTTGTTTTGTAGAAAAGCTTCACAACCTTCTCAAAAAAGGTGGTGTGCCTATATGAGCAATTCGTCCTGTTGCTTTTACAGAACTTCCCTCTTGTATCATCAAACCGTCATCCATTAATACAACACCAACATTATTTGATTTTAAATTCAGAGCAATGCCTATCGTACCTTCTTCAAATTCTATTAATTTACAATGTCATTGCCTACTTAAAGTACGGTACCAGTATTTAAAATTTTTACTTCTCTATTATATTGTTCAATACGTTCACGGATAGACTTAAAACTTGTACCGTCTCCGTAAGACAAATTTTCTGCAAACACGTAAACTTTATTCAAATATTTTTATTGGTTATTTGAAAATTTAAAAATTATTTTGACCTATTTAAACTTTTAAAATATGGTTTCAAAATTCAAACAGTCACTGGAAAACAACTTTTACTTCTTTTACTTATTATGACTAAATAAAAATCTCGTTCATTTTATTGATTCGAGTTGAGATGTGATTTTATATGAGAGTTTTTTATTGTAAAAAAAAAATTAAATATAACTGTTTATGAGAATTTTTTATTATAATAAAATTTGAATTTAATCAGTGAACGAATGAGATCAAAAACTCTACCAAATGTGCTGCGCTTTTTTCCGACAATCTCGCAGATGATCGGTGTCCCTTCTTTCAAAAAAAAAAAATACTTTTGGAGCAATGATCCTTTTGCTCCCTTCTCACGCATTCAATCAAAACTCTCAATTCTCTAGTCCATTTTTTCCCCGTGCTTTTTATTTACAACATTTACGTGGGGTGCCTAGATTTTCCCAAAGCAATGATTAAAGCCTTTAAAGTCTAAGCCGCGCCCTCAAAAATTTAAAAAAAATAACTCAAATTTTAATTTTATTTAAATTTATATTTTTTTAAATTTAAACTCAAGTTTAAGATTAAAATTTAAATTCAAGTTTCTCTTTTAATTCGAGTTCAGAAACTCAAATTTAAATTAATAAACAGTATTTTTTCTATTTTTAAAAATGCTATAAATTTTTCGTTTTAATCTTGATTGAGATGATTTTTTTCTATGCGTTGACAACGAAAAGACGAATAAAACTCCACCTCTATACCCTATTAAAATTTTTCATCACTATTAAATTTTTATTAAAATACTATCTAAATATAAATTTAAGTTTTGACTCACTCAAACACAAACTTAAAAAAATTCTTATCTTAAATGTACACAACCAAACACAAACTCAAATTACAACTTCAACTCAAATTATAATTCAAATTTAACTTAAAAATTATACTCAAATTACACTCTAAAAAAACACATCCTAAACATAAATATAAACTTTTCATGGGAAAAGGATATGTAGCCCTAGGAGAAGCTTGACAGTTGACACAGGCAAAAGTTACTAACAATAATAAAGGTAGCGGAACCGCCATAAATGTCAAGGTCACTTCAACTAATTGTTCAACCTTTACTTCTCTTTTCATCCACACGGATTGTGATTCGTGCTTTAGGTAAACCATAAAACTAACATTATTCGGCACATATAATAGACACACTAAAACCACATATTTGAGCAAGATAATACTAATGGTATCCAACAGGAGCTGGAGCTTCTCTCAATTCCTTTCCTTGAAAATGGATATCCTGCAAGCCAAAAACAAAACAAAAAACAAAAACAAAAAAAAACCAATAAAAGGAGAGCAAGTCCCATCTTAGAATCAGTTTATAGCAAACGAACATGGTTGTTCTCTAACAAAGAAGAATCATTTTTTGAAACAAAAAACGAATTTTATTGATGATCAAAAATCACGAATTACAACAAAGAGGAAGAGGTTTCATAGAAAAAATAAAAACAGAAAATAAAAAACTAAGAAAGGCTATAGAAAAAGGATCCCAACTCCCAACTAAATCCGAAACAAACAAGGAATCATTTTAGCACCGATTAAAGCATCTCTAATACAATGCTATAATTGATGTGTCAATTATAAATTTAACATTTAAGTATAAAAAACACTCTCTAATGCAATGCTATTTGATGTGCCAAATTTTTCATATGTTATATTTAGTGACAAATTTTCCACCAAATATAGTATATGAAAAACTTGACATTTAATTACTATTAGTTGAAATATTTACTTTTTTATGTAATCATTGTAACTTTTACATCTTCTAATTATTTTTAACATAAAAATTTACTTTTACAACTTTCAAAGCTTAATAATTATTAAAAATAGTAAATTTACCATTTCAAATAACATTATGCATTGGAACATAAATGAAAATAACATATCATATCATATCATATTTTTTTATGATAAATATACAATTGGCATTAGCATTTGCATTGGAGATGATCTTTAGATGGGGCAACATTGTGGATGAGGAGAGAAATTGCAAGAACAAACAGAGCATAATGTAAACCAAGAAATGCTTACTGATGCAAAATGGTTAACATCTCGATGGTGAGCTTCATCGGCACGAATAACAGTAATCACATCCTTAAGGGTTGCATCCTTGGGTAGCCTCCAGTAGTCAATAGCAATTGCAGGGGCAGGAACATTTTCGATCTTACCCTCATTAATATCCTTCAAATATTCGGTGTAAGAGTGTATAGCCTCCTCCTCCAAGTACCCAACAATCCTATGAGAAAGCTTAGGAGAGAGTAGATAGAGCACAAAGTAAGCGTTGAAGAAGACTCCCTGCACGGCAAGAACCAGCATCCTCTCATACCATTTTGGATGGACGAGTTCCACCATCGTCATCAGGTGCATCCTCTCGTTTTCTGCTTCTTCGATCAAGGCTTTGATCCAACCACCACTTTGCTGGAACTTGCGGAGAGATCTCAGGTGCAAGAGAGCTCCTCCTACCATACCAGGGACAGCCGCAACAGTTTCCAGCATCATTGCACGGCAACCATACCGCCTCTGCAAATTATCTCATTGATTAATACAAGAATGTTCTATCGACCAATGCCAAGCACCATGCTGAAGAAAAGATATACTGTTGAGAGAGAAGGGTAACTCAAAAAGGTACAAAGTTCCCAATACTGTTCCAGCTTGGAATGTGCAAACTCCCAAGACATGTCAGTTTGGCTAATGACTTTCAACCATTATGCTGAACATAAGATGTCTTGAGACAGATGGCTAACTCACAAGGCTATAAAATGATTAGTTTGTTTCTTTGGTGATGGATAGGGACGTTACTTATTTACCATTATATTTTAACATATCTGAACTCATTAAGATAACATGCTACCGTATTTACTATTATTATTATTGTTATTATATACTATTATTATTATTATTATTTTTATTTTAAAAAAAGGTCTAAGCATGAGGTCCAGGGATCCAGGGTATAAACTGTAAAGGTTTCTGAAACAGCTGGAGGAAGAAAAGTAATGAAAATACCATGCAATAAACACATAAGAAACATTATGCGTTTGCTTTAGACAAGAATCTGCCATAGCAGAATGAACTTATACAATATTAACAACAATATGTAATAGGAAAGTAAGAGCTGGAAGAAGAGGAGTTTCCTTTCATCTCGCTTTACTATAGATACGTATATGCAGGTATTACACACACACATACACATAAAATAGGCGCAAACTTACAGTTTGACGCAGATACTAATATACACATAAATACGCAGTACATGTATGGATAAGGACTCATATATTCAAACACAATAACCCATATTACACATAAACTAGAAGCTAAATATTAGATATAACACAGTCGTTTCAGTAAGCAACTTTCCTTTTTTGTTTTACAGACTCCCTGATTTCATTTACACTATACATATCATTCCAAGAAGGAGATTTCTACGCTCAGCCTTGAAAAATAAACTACCAGTAAGTCTTTAATTCACATTTACTGTAGGAGACCCTACTATAGAAGAGCCCTTTCAAAAACTAGAGCAACTTTTTTTTTTTTTTAAGATATGGATTAAAGCAATTTTCAATGTACCCATTTGATGTTATAATCTTCTATAAAACATTAATGATTTAAAGACATCTGCTATAGTAGGTTAAAAAAATTCATACTGTGCAATCATTTGATTTATTGATTATAGTAAATGATAAAAAGAACCCAAAAGTTGGCACTATTATTCCCTTTCAATGATTTCTGTTCACACGCAATCCAACGGATTCTCCACCACGTGGAATGCAAACAGAGAAAAGCTAAAAACAAGCATACAAAAAACAGAAAAATCGTATAAAAAACAGAGTAGTGTCTGAAAAAATGAGAGAGAAGCTAAGAAGGAACCTTGAAAAACAAATCCGTCGGCCATCTCAGAAGCTTCACAGTTCTATAAGCAAACTTGTCAGAGAATGTCTTCGGCACATGATGTTTGCTCAGATCCACCGATAAGTCGGCGGTATAAGTCTCCCATGGCTGCCAAATCAAGGAACCAAAATTCAATTCCTAGAAATGAACAAAATCGGAAAAAAAAGGAAAGAAAACATGCTAATCTTACCAAAAAGCAGTTCCAAGGCCAGTCGGTCCCATCCTTTCGTTTGATCATCGGCCGCGAAATTCCCCAATAGCTCGAAACCATCAAATTGCTTTCGTCTTTCTTCGCTTCCGACACCGATTTTGGAGTCTCCTTCGGATTATCCTCCGGAGTCGAGGAAGACGCCGTGCTCATCATCATAATCCTCATCGCCATCGTCGTGCAAGCTCTGTTATCCTGAAATGCCGCCATGGAAATGTGGCTGTTAAAGCTCCTGCCAATGATCAGAGACCTCGCCGCCGACCTAGCGAAAACCCGAATCATCTTCGACTACTCGCAAATTCTCCGATTCCGACCAGGAATTTTTCTTCCTATTTGCTTCTTAAATCGCACAAGGAAACCGTTGTGTGGGAGTTGAAATGGATTTCCGAAGACTTGGGAGAGAGAGGTTTTGGAAAGAATACGCACAAGAAAATTTCAGAAAATGTTGTAGGAGAAAGTATACTGTAGCCTGAAGGACAAAACAAAATGTCCACATGGCAGAAAATAAGAGGTTACAATTAAGCAAGCTTAAACAAATAATTAAAGACAATAATTATATCTTAACAAAAAGAAAGAAAAAAAAAAGGTATCGACAAGTTTGCATTTGCTGGGCCAAAAGTAAGATCGCACGGTCGGGGAGATAAAAGCAAATTTCGGTGCACGTTAATGTGTTGGTGTGCGACGCAGATGATCGCAAGCGACAGAGTCCTAAGTGAGTGAATTGCCCGTTCACTTCACTAACTCTAATTTTATGATTTGAGTAAGAAAAGTGAACTTGAGTTATTTTTAATTAGAGTTGTAATGTGAATTTTGAGTTAAATGTTTAGTAAGAGATTGATGTGACATTTAAAACTTGAGTTATGTGTTCACTTGCACACAAGTAAACTCACCACTTACACAAGATATTACATTGGATTTATCTTCATTTTCTGGACCTACATAAGCCAATGTTAAATACTCTTGCAAACATTTGACGTGAGGCAGCTTAAACAACTACACAACATTATGCAGAGGCATTACACAACTTCATTTCAAGAATTTAAAATGAACATGCTATACACTTTAGTGTAAACGACATCCAAGTAAGGGAGACACAATGAAAACGACGAATGGGTGGAGTTAGCAATGTAATCATCCACCGGGTTTAGGCAGAGGCACAAAACAATGCAACAAACTTGGCTTATGACAGTAAAGGACATCAAATAATGCCTAATGTCGTTCCCCATGGGCACCAAATCAGAAGACAGCACTTGTTCCATGTAATTCTTGCAATCTGCATATTCAACAAATAATAGTGATAAGATAACTCCAGTACGACAACAGGGTAGGTAATAAGCTTAGGTATAAACGGCAACAGGAGAGACAATACAACAACAAGGGAGGCAATAAGCTAAACACGGCCACAGGACAGCCAATACGACAACAGAGTAGGCAAACGAGTTATATAAAATTAACTAATTATTGTATTATTATATATAAATAAAATGGACAAACATTTGAAAGTGAAACAATAAGCACTGCACGTGATCTAATAGCCAACAATCTTATTGCCCGCTGCAAGATTTCTGAGAATTGAAGAATGAAAGAAAATGTATTATTAGCATATGTTAAAGGTTTTCAAATTAAAAATAACGACAATCACCCAATTGGTGGGGACTTAATGAGCCTAGAGTGGGAAAAGGTGGAGAAATTAGTCATATTGGATCTCTCCAACACAGGCCGTATAGGAGAGATTCCAGAGTCCATATCAGAATCAAATAGACTGAGGTTTCTGGGTCTTAGTGATAACAATCTCTCAGGAAATCTCTCACCAAAGCTTGTCACAGCAGGAGTAAACACATTTCTTTGTCAATGTATCACAAAATAACACATTGCTGGGCCTTTAATAACACATTTCATTCTAGTTTTCATCCATCAAAGTTCTGTTTTTGTGTAAGTTGTTGGTAAACATATGTCTTATAGCAAGTAACTACTGTATGTCGGGAAGGAAATTTGCATCTCAGATTTGCCTAAGTATTCAAACAACAAAACATGCTTCATACTATTGTATTTAGTGAAATTGTCAAAACTAGCGTATGAAGAGCTTCTAATAACTCAAACAACTATAGAAAAGTATGCAACGGCAATCATACAACTTCATGAAATGAATTTAAGATGAACATGCTAAACTTCAGTGTAAACGACATCCAAATAAAAGAAATCCAATAAAAACGACAATGTTTAGATTTAGCAGTGTAATCATCCACTGGCATATGCAGAGGTAATGGAAGTGTAAATCAGTCAAAGAAAAGGTCTTACCGTGTTTGATCCGAAAGAGGACAATGGTTGATCTGCTTCGACAACCCCCAAACGCGACTGTGATGGACGTCGGTGAAGAGATGGATACCGGCACCGACAACAGAAAGCTCTATTTCTAGGAGCACGCTTCGGAGGTCGGAGACGGCATTTGGCGCTACATCGACGTAGGAGCACGGCCAACGGAGGAAGCCGGCTCACTCGCGTGGGATCAATTTCTCCCGTGTTGAATCACTGAAGGAGAAGGCAACAAAGGAATATAGGGATCGGGATTCACCAATATTGCCGATTTGGGCTGGGTTTATATGGGATGTACCTGCGAGCAACTTCACCGTGGGTGAGTTTGGTGGATGAAGCGATTTCACAGCGGTCCAAGAAGAACACGCTTGTGGGAATGGTGTGCAGCGGTCCAAGCGATTTCATAGTGGATTAATCGTTGGTCTCATTGAGGGGAATCTGCAAGCTTTTTGCAGCGGAGCTTTCTCGTGAGGCAAAATCCAACGGGAAGAAATGTCAGAAGAGAGGAATCTGCACTGTAGAAAATAACTCGAGTAATGGGAGTTTGAGGGGACGGTGAAGTTTACCTACTCGAGTTATTACTCGAATTTTAAATTCAAGTTTGGGTAAGCGAACGCTTATTTCAGCCCAAAAACAAACTCGAGTTCACTTTATTTGAGTGTAATGCACGAAGTGAACGGGCGTCAGTGTTGTAGTTGGTTTCTGTTGGAGGATGATAGAGACTGTGCATTTTACTATTTGAGTTTTATTAAGTAAAAAAATTTCAAAAATAATTATATTTAATTTTTTTATTATAATAAAAAAATTTCATATAAAATTATATTTCAACTTAAATTAGTAAATTAAATATGCCTTTAGTTGTATTGCTTTCCTCCTATTTGGTCGTGTTTGGTTTGGTAATGATCGTTTATTCTAGTTTTATTACGGTTAAAAATTTTATAAAAAGTCACATTTAATTTTTACTATTACATTTAAAAACTCTCACATAAAGTCATATCTCAGCTCGAATTAAAAACTTGAATTAACGAACTGAACGAGGTAAATACCATGTTACTATGAATGGTCCAAGTATATCTCGAAGACATTAAACTTGTTTGGAAGATATACGCAAACTATTGGTGCATTTGGAACTCGTTTCAAAATTATTTTATTTTTTATATGAAAATGAAAATGAAAACGTTTTCAATGTCAGATAAAAATTATTTTTAAAAATGAGTTTGGTAATTTTATCAAGAGATTATTTTCAGTATAAAAAGTACATTAAATCCATTAATATTTCTCTCTCGTTTTCATTTTTTCTTTCTCGAAAACGTGAAAAATAAAAACAAAAAAAAATAACTCCAAACACAGCCTATAATTCTTGATTTTTACTTTTGAAATTCAAAATTTTTATAAGAGGAAAACACCGTAGTAGACTAATGATTTTTTTTAAGGGAGCAGAATGACGATTTGAGTTTGAGTATATGAAACAAGCGAGTCCTAATAAATGGAATTAGGCAATTTAAGTAGGAGAATTTTTAAAAATACGATTATTAAAGTGACAATATTTTATTTATGTTACTGTTGGTAAATTTACATGCCACTAAAAAATATTCTGCAAGTTATTTTTCATATCTTATATATTATCTTATTCTTAATATCCTTTAAGTTATTTTTTACATCTTGTATATTATTTTTCATATCTTATAGGTTATCTTAATAACCTATTGGTTATCTTTTTATATTCTACAAGATATATGTTTTTCTCAATAAAGTGACAATATTTTATTTATGAAATTTCTTTTCTAAAAAAAAAAAGAAAAATACAAAATTCTTTCTCTTTCCTCTCTCTTCCCTCAAATGTAGGGATGTACATTGGTTGGGTTGGTGCGGGGTAGGACTTTTTCTTGCTCCGCCTTAAAAGGTGCGGGTTGCACATATTTAGTCCTAACGATGTTAGAAAAATTTCACAACCTAATGATGTTTTGGTTGGCTTGGGCGAGGTGGGGTGGGTTGTGCGGTTGGGTTCATCATTCAAAGAATCAAAGTTCAATCCAATATTCAAAGTACTTCATCAATAATATTGATCGTCAAATAGAAATAATATTGATAATCAAACGTAACTCCAACATTCAAAGTTCATCATCAAATAGAAATAATATTGATTAGTCCATCATCAAACATATAGCAGTTCAAAGTTCAAGTTTATCCAAAGCAAGCGCTGCAACAGCAACCATCCTTATCAGTCTACACTCATAGGCTCCTCAATTTTGGGTGTGGTTGCTTGATGATGATAGGAACTTGTCCATCCTAAATATAAAACATAACATTAGCCAAAGTCCAAACCGATCAACACATTCACATAACAGACGAATATAGCCTAGCCTTAACATCGTCCTTGTCGCGAACCTAGATCTATCAAGCTTGCCTTCACCGTTACAACCCTTCACAAGCCCGAACCTCTATCCCGCGACTCGCGTCTGTTAGGAATAGTATCCTTAAAGCATGAAATGCAATAAAGATATTTATTATTTAATTAATAAATAGTTTATTCATTTTTTATGTGCATGTATTATTGAATACTTTATGAATATCATTGAAAATTCCACGATTATTTTTATGGCCTTAAATATTGTATTTAAGTATTATATACGAGAGGATAATACTTAATGATAATAATCAAAATAATAATAATAATAAATTTAGTTAAAGTTACAGAATCTTTAATTAAAACATTAATAATATACGTCATTCACATTAAGAATGAAATGATGTAATATAGAGGGATATTTAACGAGTGCATTATGCATAATAAGATTATGTTGAATTGAGACACGTACACAATTTAATTTTCTGATAATTTCTGTTAACTATAGAAAATCAAATTTGAGTCTACCGATGGTCGTATATGAAATGATCTTAATCCTCAGTTATTAATAGACTCCTATTTATTGATTTGTGTTTTTTGACTTACTCGGTAAGGATTTCGAGATCCTAAATCCTATTCTTGTATCTTATAAACATGATGAAATGGATGCCGAGAATACTAATATATGAGATGGAATCCATTCATTCTTCTTTGAAAAAGTAGATAAATTTCCTTAAGGGTTGATTCAGTTCTTGAATAAGTAACGAGCTCGTATTCCTCAATGTGTTTTATGAATACACTATTAATTAGAGAATCAATGGTACTCAATGATAAAGATGTAATTAGAGAGGTTAACGAATTTTACCTAGCTCTAATTATAAATTATTGTGGAGGATTGATCTATATGTAATGACTATATCGAATGGACACTTCAAGTTCTTACAAGTAAATTATGTCTAGAATTTTGAGAGTGCAATTCTAAGTTTTTAATGGAGTAACTTTTATAATTAATAGAATTAATTAATTAATTAAAGAGTTTAATTCATTGTAAATTTTATTGGAGCTCAGAATTATAGGTCTATGAGTCTCTGCGTCATCCTTGTAATATTTGCAAGACAAGATGAATTATCGGGATTTAATATCACTCAAAATAAATAATGTGATTATTTAATTAAATTAAGGATTAATTTTAAAAATTCTCCTTGACCTATGACATTTGTAACACTTTGCCCCCTAAATTTTAAGAAGTAACATCTGTTCCCCCCAAACTTTGTTTCGTTAACAAGTTTTCCCCTTCTGTTACAATAAGTGACGGAATTGCCACATGTCACTTATTTAGTGAGAATTGAAAGTGTAATTACGCTTATACCCTCATAATTAGATAATTCTCCATTTTTATTGAAAATTTTCATCATCTTCTTTTCCATTTTGCTTCTTTTTTTTCCTCAGGTGTCATAAAGAAGAAAGATGTAAGACCCAATTCATGTTTCTTGTTTTTTCTTAATAATTAATTTATGTTTCTTGTTGCTAGTTCAGAATTACCGCTAAGATCCAGAAATTGCAAGCTAGAAAAGTTTCCAAGGTAAGGAGAAATTTCTCCCCTTAGGGAAGTGTAAGCCAGGTTGAGGTACCCTAAGTTGCTGAGAGTGAGTGCCAATAAAACTTGGGACGAAGTGCTGCTCATAAAAATCAATGCCACTCAAGTCCAAGTACTTCAAATAGTGAAGATTAACCAGTGAGGAACTATTATTGCCTCTTAGCTCATAATAATCTCAGCCAAAAGATGAAGCAGAAAGATCGAGCGTGATGACTTGATTGGATTAGTTGTCGCACCGAATTCCACTATACTGATCATCTTCATAAATATCCTCTTTGATCCTTAGCAATGACTATCTCTCTTCTTCTTTACACCTAATTTTTGGCTCTCCAATTTCTGGAGTTGATCCCCAGCTACTTGTCAAATGAATCAACGGAGGTGAGGAAAAAAAAAAGCAAAATGGAAACAAAAATGGTGAATTTTTTCAATAAAAATGGAGAATTATCTGATTAGGATGGTATAAGCGTAAGTGCGCTTTCAATTCTCACTAAATAAGCGACACGTGGCAATTCCATCACTTATTGTAACAGAAGGAGCAAACTTGTTAACAGAACAAAGTTCGGGGAGAACGGATGTTACTTTTTAAAATTTAGGGGGCAAAGTGTTAAAATGGTCATAGTTCATGGGGAATTTTTGAAATTAATCCTTAAATTAAATTTGAAATACATTGTGGTGGGATCACATGAGGTCGCATGCCCAGGCATAGGGAGGGGCAGGGGGCGTGTGACACAGGTAGAATCCTACTGTGATTCAGTTGCTTATTCTCCAAAGTATCCGGTTTACTTGTTTGATAAGTTTTCCAATCAAATTTAAAAAGAAATTGATGTATGACTTTATTTACATTTGAATTTGAGTTAAAATTAAAAATTGGATAAATGAAGAAATTTCTATCTGCTGCTACAAATTTGCCAACCACAGGGAGTCTCCTTGTGGTGTAGCCAGCCATATAGCAGAGTGAATGGAGAGAATTTTGTTTTCAAAATTAAATGAAAAACTATATTTTAATGAGATTAAAATATAATAATAACCAATTTTTCTATTGTTTTGTCTTCAAGTTAAAACAAATGGGTGCTACTGGTGTTCTATAAATAGGAAACAATAGAAAATTGGAGTAGATAATTTTTACTCTTAAAAATTTCTAAGGTAGCAAAATTTTAGAGTGAGAGAAAAGAGAAGAAAAGTTCTTCAAATTCCTAAAGTCTTTGCATACATGTGTTGATAGTGAAGAGATATAAATTAGCGAGTAATCTAATCCGATAGTTCTTTATTAAAGCTCACACTTTAGGTCTTGCAGATTTTAAGGACTATATGAGCAAGATTTGGATTTTTTGAGAAAACTTAGAGCTTGGACTGTTTGTGGTCAAACACCTTAAGTCATCCACTTAATCGTTTGCTAAGTATCTATATTTATAAATTAATATGATTAATTTATTATTGTATAAATTAATATAATCTATAGAGTATTAAAGAATTTTATAAAAATTTTTATTATACACGATCCACGTTATCATACTTCCGCACTAAAAAACGTTTCGAAAACCAAAAGCGTCGAGCTCACAGCTCACTCCTTTGCAACCCATCTAGATGCGTAACACCTGCCACTTCGCGAGCTGCCACAAGCCCAAATCCATCTGTCGTTGTCGCTCCACCATGCGAGTCGAGGCAACATCTCCGCTGCAAGCTCCTTGCAATTTTGCCTCTGTCGTCATAAGTTATCTCTCGTAAGCACTCCTCCACCTCCCGTCGTCACTAGACATGAGCAAGAAGAAATTTTGGTTTTTCAAATCACAAAAAAAAAGTATTGGGAAAGAGATCCCTCGAAAGAGAAGTTTTTTTCTTAAAAAATAATTGTCTTAAATATTCATTCAGTAAAAAATAATCTAATAATAGTTAAGTTTAATTTCTAATAAGTAATTTGTTTTTGGCTTCAAGTAACTTTTACAAAATTATTAGCTGTGGATTGCTTTTGAATGACTCATTAAAAAGATGTATCAAATTCTAATAGAAATTCTCACATCTAATCGTATCTTTCTTTTCATTAAAAAATATCAATTTTTATCAAAATAAATCACAAGTATTAATCAAATTAAATTTTTAATCCTAACCTTTTATTATAAAAGTTGTCTAAACTCTTATACCTGTTTATTTTATTAATTTAAATTTTAAATTTAAATTTTATTATAATAATTTTTTTTAAAATAATTATATTTAATTTTTTTATTATATTAAAAAATTACATGTAAATTTAAATTAAAAATTCGAATAATAAATTAGTCTAAGAGCCCGTTTAGTTCGTTAATTCGAGTTAAGATGTGATGTTATGTGATAATTTTTTACTGTAATAAAAAAATTAAATGTGACTGTTTTTAAGAGCTTTTTACTGTAATAAAACTTGAATTTTAAACTCGAATCGGCAAAATGAACGGGGCCTAAATTATCTTAGGCCCCGTTCACTTCGCTTATTCGAGTTTAGAATTCGAATTGAGATGTGATTTTATGTGAGAGTTTTTTACTGTAATAAAAAAATTAGATGTGATTATTTGTGAGAATTTTTTACTGTAAAAAAATTTAAATTCTAAACTTGAATTAACGAAGTGAACGAGCCTTAAAACTCTTCAAAAAAAAAAAAAAAAAAAAAAAACTTTGAGCTTCCCATCGCCGCCGGCCACCTACCCGCAAAGCTTCATCCGCGAGGGTCACACCAGAGTGAAAAAAGAAAGCCACCTCAATTCCGTTCCAATGCAAATTATTTTACCAGATATACTCAACAAAAAATCAAGTTTCTTCTTCAATTTTTTAGTAAAAAAAGTTCCTTATCCGATTAGTGTTCTTGGGATAGGCCAATACAGATCAAACTAATGTGAAATCAAATTCAATCAATTAATTTTTTTGTTGATTATAACTCTAGTTTCAAAGGAATTTCACAGAACTCATGAGACAAAATCTAAAAAACAAAAAGACAGATTTGGCTGGCGAAGATCTTCCCCGTTGCAGACCTGGGCACTGGGAGGACCTAATCGACAAGCATCGATCTGGTTGTTCTTCTTCAACTCCGGCTACGCTTGGGAAGAGAAGCACCGCGTTGGCGGATCTTCTGCCGTAGCGTATCAGATCTCGAGTCGGCGGCGTCTTCAATGGAAGAAGAAAGAGATGGCGGCTAGCAACTTCACGACGAGATCTGATCTTAACCCGCGCCGGAGATTTACGGGATGGACGTTCGACGGCAAACCAAGGTGGGTGGCGACGGCCAGAGGGGTCAGTCTGAGGACGACGGTGGAGCGCGAGGTGGGCTGGCCGGCAGCTTGAGTTTTTTTTTGTTCTCAGATATGTTATTTGAATAAATGATGTAGGAATAATATGTGGGAGGTTTCATTCTAATTTGGTATTCGTCAGATTTTCATCTTTGGTTTGAAATTAACCCTACGGTAGTGCATATTTGCCTGCCCTACCATAAATTGTGCCAAAAAACACGAGGGATAACTCTCTTCCTCCAAATTTCCACCAAATGTCCTCTAATGGCTGGCTATGATCCCACAAGGAAAGTGTTCGATCGCTCCAAAATTGACTTTTAATTAACGTCATGGTCTAATTCTTTTTTTTTTTTAAAAGGGTCTATTTTTATTTTCTTAAAAAAAAAAATCTGCTAATTCCTCCAATTTCGCAGGTTGAAAAAATAGGCAAAAAAAATAAATGAAAGAAAAAAAAAGAATAAATGAAACACATGTTTGTTTTGATTTCACATTTGCCGGTCAAGCCTGTAATTTTAGTCTTACGTCATACATTCATATAGTGGCAACGAAGTCTCTGCGAAAGCTCTCTTTCTCTTTCTCTCTCCTCTCCTCTCTCTCTCTCTCTTCCTTTTTAGCTCTCACCGCGTCTTCTCAGCTGCCCTTTTTCTTTCGTTGGCCTCAATCACTCCTCTGATTCACTCGGTTTCGTTCTCTGTTCTTCGCTTTCCCAATCCATGGCGGAGCGCGGATCCTACGGTCTCAGCCCTCGACTAGGTCAGATTTCTGTTTCTCCTTTTGCTTTGAAATGCTAATTGCTTGGGTTTTCGTCATGTCTGGTTCGCTTAAATTTGAATGTTTATGGAATTTGGTTCTAGTTTAGTGGAAATGGTTTGAAGAAGACTGATATTTAAGCTCAGATTAAGGACTTTGGCTGAGTAGTACGACTAATTTGAGCAAAACGCTTAGTTCTATTTGCAATGAATTGTATAGTACGGTGCTTAATCAGTACAGAGGTTGAATTAGGGATTTATACGATTTTGGGAATAGTTGTGAGTTTGATCAGGTTGAAAGTGGAGATCTTGTGAAAAAAGAAAAGAAAAAAGTATTAATTTTAAAAATTCTCCCGAACTATGATTCTTGTAACACTTTAACTTCTGAACTTTAAAAAGTAACATTTGTTTCTTTCGAACTTTGTTCCGTTAACAAGTTTTTCCCTTCTGGTATAATGAGTGAAAGAATTCGCCGCGTGTCAGGCACATGACCCATGACCCATTTGAGGATGGTATTATCGTAAATTAACCTGCAACAACCCTTTCAAGTGATAAAGAAAGAAAACCTAGATCTTGAACAACATAAAGATCATGAAAAAAAGGACCTAAAAGACACAAGATCAAAAACATGATCAGAACAATGAATCCAAGACGGAATGTGACAAGAAACTTACTGAAAAAATCAGTGTTCTCAAGACCCTTGACGTTGACAAGAAGAACTTCAAGCGTTCCTTGAGGCATTTTCTTTAAGAGAGAATATTCAAAGATCACAATTGAGATCCCACATTCTCTCTCTTCTTCATTTTGCATTCAATCATAAAATGAAACAGATTCAACCCACAGCCTCAATCAAACTTAAATGAACTAGATTCAACCCAAATATACAAAAGCTTTTTCTTCCAATGTTAAATGATTTACCTTATACTGAATGCACCCATAAAATTGTCTTTATGGATTCTTCTTCGTGTGTGATGTTTTCACTACCGGATCCCACATCGATGAACAAAATGAGGAAAAAAAAAGAAGGAAAATGGGGAACAAAATGAGGAAAAAAGAAGAAGGAAAACGGGGAACGAAGATGGTGAAATTTTTCAATAAAAATTGAGAATTATCTGATTAGGAGGGTATAAGCGTAATTGCGCTTTCAATTCTCACTAAATAAGTGACACGTAGTAATTTCGTCACTCATTGTAACAGAAAGGGAAAACTTGTTAACGGAACAAAGTTTGGGGGGAACGGGCGTTACTTTTCAAAGTTCGGGAGGTAAAGTGTTACAAGGGTCATAGTTCGGGGGGAATTTTTGAAATCAATCCAAGAAAAAATGGTTCTCATTAGGTGTTTCGGGATAGGATGAAGATTTCTTTTATGGTTGCTCGGATCCCTAAACTATTGCATATGTCTTGTTTTAGTACATAAACTTACGAATTCCAGAGCAGGAGTCCTTGAACTTGCTAAAAAAGTTAGGTATCAGTACTTTCTAGCATTTTCTATTGAACTTTAACATAAAGGGGCTAAGATGATAGGTCAGATAAATTTTAGGAATTAGAAGCAACAATTATTGTATTCCTTATATGAATTTATGAACAGATGTTTGCCTTTACGTTTAGGCGGAAAATGTTAGAAAGACTAAGGGGAAACGTTTTACAATCTAGGACTAGGCTACTAAAAGGATTAATCCCAATGGACTTTATTGCGTTGTGTAATGTTGTGCAGTAGAATATTATGGTCAAAATTCACGTGTCATCACCATTTTTTGTTGTTGTTGATATTTTACAAACATCATCATATGGTCCTTCCTCAAGACATTACTGGAGGTCTCGAGGCTCTAAATATTGCCTGTCCAAAAGAACGTTAATTGGTATTTGCAAGTTTATAGTTGTTGCGATTTCTTAAGTGGTATTAAGTCGTGGTTTAAGTGTAGTAAGTGGAACACGTGGCCCGAAGAAGGTATATGAGTTTTTTAGCATGAAAAAGCTGTTTCCCTATGCCAAATTTTTGGAACACTGATACAAAGATTTGCACCAATGAAAAAGAGTCTTACGGAAAATAGAAACAAACGGTATGAGGAACTTTGTAGGATAGATTTAGCAACATTCTTGTCTATACTGATATCATGGGCTAAGAGAAAGACTTGGAAGCATTGGTGCTTTGAATTTCAGGGAACTCCAAGAATGGATATGAGCTTGTTTGAATTATTGATTAAGTTGGAGAGTGCAGAGAAACAAAGTTGTGGAATTATGGTTTTATAATAAAAACAAGGGAAAGGAAGGAGCTTATTTTGTAATTTGAAACTTGGAAATGTAAAGCATTTTTTTATCCTGAATGTAAATCTAATTACCATCTTGTAGCCCATGGATAGAGGGGGGAAAAAAAAAATCTAAATGTCTTGTTTGCTTTGAGTGCAGTGAAGCATTTATTTATACTCTTGAGTCTTTTTGTTCGGATAGAAGTTTTTTGTATGTCTTCCACTATGTACCTCAATTTTGGATACAGAGAACACAAAATTAGGGGAAGGATATTGGTTGTCAAACTTGTAGAATAACTAATAGACGATAAGTGATAAAAATAACATGAACACTGATTTTGCAAATATAAAGGTAAGATATTCTATATGATTTTTAAGACCCAAAAGTAAAAAGAAATGTAGAGCAGAGCCAAATGCAAGAAAATTTACTTCTCTGCATTATAGTCGAAAAATATGATAGTTGTTGTAGACCCAAATGCAACATTTATGGATTTTTCACCCTTTTTTTTTCAAAAAGGATTTTTCACTTATTTAACCATATTGAGATCTTGCCTCTAACTCACATGCAAATGAGCTTTGCATTTATTTCCATTTCATCGAGATCTTGCCTCGTAATAGCATGCAATTGGGTTTCAAAAGGACACCCTTAGTCAATGAACAAGCAATATTAGTGACAAAGATGATCCTTTAGGCAGAGTTTATTTAATATCATTTGCTGCCTTTTGTTTTATAGCTTTTTCTGAATGTAATGATTTTTTCATTGACAAAAAGTATTGATTTCTTATGTGCAGATATGCAACAATTACTATCAGAGGCGCAACATCGTTGGTTACGCCCAGCTGAAATTTGTGAAATTCTTTGTAACTATCAAAAGTTTCATATTTCATCAGAGCCCCCAAACAGGCCACCAAGTATTATTCTTTTATTTATGGATTTTTTTTTTAATTTTGAATTATGATTTCATGAATCATAAATGGTGAAATGGCTGTTTTATTACATGGACAAGCAGCTTAGTGGTTAATCATTTCTTTCATATAACTTTCATAATTACTTCTGATTGTTGTCTTGTTAGTGTTAAATGTTCTTTAAATTGTTTAATGTAACTGCCTTCCAAAGATTGTAGGGTTTGGTGGAGGGCTCCAGTTTCTAACTCGGGCTCACAAAGTGGGCTCGGTAAATCTCTGAGTATAAAAAAAAGAAAAAGTTAAATGTAACTGGAAATTAAATTGTCTGTTTGTTCTCTAGGATGATCAACGTCTTCATTTTTTGTGTTTTGTTTTTCTTCCTTTATCTTTATTTGGGATGTCTCATCCTTTTCTTCTTGTAATTGATTAAGTTATCATGGAAAAGGTTGTTCGTATAAAAAAATAATTGATTAAGTTATCATGGAAAAGGTTTTTCGTATAAAAAAATAATTCTTTATAACATGTATGAAAGCAAGTTGTCATGACTCATGAGTTTAAATCCATATATCCTTAAATGCCTTGAGCTTGGTTGATATGTCATGAATACATTTTTGGGTTGCTTTTGCAACAGATTGTTTTTCAAGGTTATTTATTTCTTTTATGCTTTTAATTATTGGCATAAATGCACCCATAGGAGTATCATATATTGACACATAGGCCACCACACCAGGTGGTTCACTTTTTCTTTTTGATAGAAAGGTTTTAAGATACTTTAGAAAGGATGGACATAATTGGAGAAAGAAAAAAGATGGAAAGACTGTGAAAGAGGCTCATGAGAAGTTAAAGGTAATCCTAGGTTGTCTACCTTTAACCTTACTGCATTTTGAGTTTAAGCTTAAGCTTGTCTACTGGAATAAATAATATCTAACTTGTGTAAACATTACCGAGTCTGAGAGGTAACATACTTAAAGCTATTTTAGGTTGGAAGCATTGATGTGCTACATTGCTACTATGCTCATGGAGAAGAGAATGAAAATTTTCAAAGGCGATGCTATTGGATGCTTGAAGAGTAAGTGTGAATATTTTGTGATGCAGTCTTCTATTGTAATGTGCATGTGCACACTTCATGGTTTGTGTGTGTATGCTAGCATTTCATCATCAATATGGTCCCATAAACAAAAGAGCATTTCATCATCATGTGAACTCCTTAAACAGTCTACAATAGGGTGCAAGTTCTTTGAATGTTATTGCATTCATAGTTTGTTTCGTTTCATGACCTATAACATCCTCCTTTTTTTTTTTGGTTTGCTTATAATATATTATTAAAAGAAGGAAGAGAATAAAGAGTTTTTCTTCTCATGTTGCTTAAAATTTCTTCTGTGTATTTGGTGCCTTTGAGTGACCTCATGGGCTTATTTTGTAATTGCTAAAACCATCATCTTCTTTCTTGTAAGTAGACATTATGCAAAAACAAGAGTTCAAAAAACTTATATATACACACATACATACATACATGCATACATACATATCAACTTCTTTTATCTTCTACAATCAAATACTTCTATGAATTTATTGATGTCTTCCTTCTTGTTTTTTTGGTTGAGATTTTTTTTTCCCCTTTGCTCATCTTATCTTGCTAGTTCACATGTAGATTCAACGTTATATTCATGTTCAGGACATATGCTATAGTTACAATTTTCTCCTCGCAATACATTTCTACTTTATTTGTATTTATGTTTTAGAATGCTAGAGTGGTGTTCCTTTCTAACTGTTTGGAGACATATATGTTCACAGTGTTGAAGCTAGACCTTCTTTGAAGGAAATAATACTCTTTTTGTAAAGCTTTTCATGATTGTTTTTCTCAAGGTTTCTGTTTACAAGTTTTGATTCTATGATAATTCTTTGCTGCAGGGATTTGATGCACATAGTCTTTGTTCACTACTTGGAAGTAAAGGTGTTTGCTCTTCTTTTGTTCTTTTATATTGCTTCACTTTCTGTTGCTTTTGTTGCTGTCCTAGTGTACTTGTGTTATTATTTTTAAGGAATACTGGTATTGTTACTTTTGCCTCTTCAGATAGTCCATTTTGGAAGAGCTTCAGAGGATTTCTAATATTTATGTCAAACTTTTATCTAGCTGAAACACTTGCCTAAGATGGCAAAATCTGTATACTGCAGTTTTCATTTTTAAGCTAATTAGTGGTTGAAATTAGAAAGCAATGATTAGTTAGCAACTAGGTGTTAATTGATCTTTCCTCAATTCAGTAATAATCTGTGACATTATTGCCTTATTGGTTATACCTAGCCACTCAAATCAGAATATTTGTACTTGTCATCTTGATGGTTTGCCTCAGTGGACATAGTTCTTTCCATTTTTTTTTTCCATATGGGTGGTAAATTTCTTTAGTTTGAGATTTTCTTTTAGTGCTCTACTTTAACTTTTTCAAGAAAGGTTTTGGGGGGTAACCATGTCAACGACGAATAGTATTTTCTGATGTAGCAGTTGTAGCTATTGTAGCTTCTTGTGTCGGGGCTGCTGGAGCAATAGTAGTAAATTTTTTAGTATTGGAACTATGGCTTGCTTAGGACTAGGGTATAATTAAATTTTAGATTGTTTCAAGGGTCAGTTTAGAGCCAACAGACTACGCTACAACCTCTAGCAAACTGTAAAATTTGATACTATCTTTTGACATATTTCATGATTTACGAACCATAATATAACGAGAGAATGATAGCTATACTGCAACAATATCTATTAATGGATCTTTGACATTGATTGAAGTGACTAGATATCGCTGAATGCTTTATTATTATTCATATTCTCGAACTATTTGTTTCTAACAAGGAACCTTCCCAATTTTGAAATGTTTCATATGTCAGGTATAAGTTGTTTAATAATCGGAGCATGTGCCCATCTGTCTCAGTTTCTTCTATACTTGTCTTGTATCCTTTGCAGATTTACTTTCCATTGTCAAATATGTCGTATTTTGGCACCCTCAATATTCTTCTAAAACAATAGTTATATAAGATTTCTCAATTTATCATCAGGGAAATAGGACAAATATTGGAGGCATTAGAGAGATTGATGAGGTTTCACAAAGTCTCCGAGAAGGCAGCCCTCAGACTTCTAGTTCTTCCACAAGTCATTATAAAGCTCCTTCAGGCAGCACAGATTACACAAGTCCAAGCAGTACTTTGACATCGTTATGTGAAGATGCTGATTCTGGTACTCTACACTCTGATTTTGCTGTTAGAGATCACTTTTTCTCTGCTTAATTTGGTGTCTCCTTCAGTTAGACCCTAATATATTTTCTGAGACAAATGAAATTGATGCACTGTAATGACTTTTCTATCCTCAATTACCGTGCCTCATGAATTGGCAGTTCTTCACTACTTACGCGATATTAATTGCAGGGGATATTCACCGAGCAAGTTCTAGATTGCATTCATATTTAGAGTCACCACAGCTGCAACTTAAAATGGATATGGGTTCTGTGCATCCGAATTCAAGTAATTGTTTAATATAGTTCTTGCTGATTTTAATTGTCTATGTATTAAATATGTGGCTCCATCTCATAACCTGTTATATGATGATCCTACTAGACCTTCGTGAAGGGCACTTAGGGCAGTCATCAATTCATGGAGCAAATTACGTTCCACACTTTCAGGGAGATAGGCCTAACTATAGTGAGCCAGCTACTTGTGCAACCGGCTATCAAAACACACTTGGTTTGGGATCATGGGAAGAGATCCTGGAACAATGTACTACAGGTTTCAATACTGTACCTTCTCATGTATCAGTGTCAACCAGCCAACCTGCATGCACAGGAGTTGTACACGAACAAGAAAATTTGGTTTCAGGCAGGCTCTTAGCTGGGGAAAGCATTACCAAAGAGGAGCTTGGCAATTCTCTATCAAACTACTCAACTTGGCAGGTATTTAACGTTTCTTGTATTTTAGATTTTTTAGCAACCCCTTCATGTATACATATACAAACATACATGTATACTTATATTTCTAATAGCCTTCGTAGGAGCTGTTTGAAAAGGCCTAAACTGAAATTTAGTTCCTGTTTATATGCATATGATTTTTTTTTTTTAAATCCTTTTTTCTCTTCAATGATGAAATTTGACATCAAGCTGTTGGGCATTAGTGGTATTGGCCATGACAACACACATGGGGTGGATCCCATATGTGGGCCTATGTGCTGGACCAACTCTGTTTTGAGTTATGCTTCTCGGGCAGGCACCATTGATGCCCTTTATCATTTTCTTTGAAATTTGCTTAGCTGAATTTATTTGCTCTTGAATTCAGAAAGAATGAAATAATTTTCTTTTTCGCTCAAGTCATCAGGTAAATTTTTTAATTCAACATTTTAATAAAACACTAGATAGAAAGGTAGAATAAATTATAATATTGCTTCTTGTGCCAAAGTAAAATTAAACTGCCTTGGCAAATAGCTTCATCTGCAAGGTCCCCACCCCAACCTGCACTGGCTTCCTTCGGGGGAATGACAATGAGCCTACAAGCAGTCCCACCAAGTTATGCGGAACATTTTTCTCTTATTATTAAACCAGGACTGTTAAAAATTCCTGAGAGAGCACCGTTTATTTAGATTAGAAATAATAGTCATCTCTTTTCAGTAAACTGGCCTATATGTTTTTAAGTGATTAAAGATCTTGTAGGCCTTGATTGATAAAGTCTCTAGGACTTCCATATTTCTTTTTCATTGTTTTGCATTGGAAGGGTGGTGTGTGTGTGTGTGTGTGTGTGTGTGTTGGGGGGTGCTTACATCGAACAATGAAACATTTTAAAATGCACAAGCTGTTTCATGTAAAGCAGAAGGGGGTGGGGTTTGTTTGTTTGTTGGTTGTTGGGGGGGGGGGGGGGGGGGGGGTCGTGTTTCCTATTCTTACGTGTGTTTGAGGAATATCTAGATTGGTGACCAAAGTCCCAGTGTTATAAACTATGTCACTCTGAAGTTGAATTATCATATAAGAATTTGACACATTATCTTTACTATGGTTAGGTCTCTAATGATGGTTTACTTTGTTTAATTGCACATGGTTAATCATTGCTCCTGTGATCTTTAATCATTCAGAATGGCGGTGATATGGCATCATCAAGTTTAGTTGAGAGTTGATATCCTGATAGCTGTAGTTAACAAGAGAGTTGATTTCCTGATACGTATGAAAGGCTGATTGGTGTTACATTTTGGCTTTAGGAGTTTTGTTTTTGTTTGAGTGTGTCTTTATGTAGAATGCATTTTCTGATTTTGTTTTCTATTGTGGATACCTCATCCATCCTGTTGCCTTGTAATTGCATTGTACTTGTTTCAGTTTAAATCTAATAAATTGTGTTTTCTAAATATATGTGTGTGTGTGCGTGTGCGCGCGCGCGCGCTTGTGTGTGTAATATGAAAGGCTGTATTGTGCATATACTCTCGAATTACTTTGCATCTGCCTGTAATTATGAAAATCTTGTTTCTCCAAATACATTATTCATATGTGTTGGATTTATGATATTTTGCCAGATTTCACTCGAGGACAATTTGTTGCCCCTCCCAAAAGGATTGGTGGAACAGTCATCAAATTTGGAAATGCCATACGATCTTGAGAACATGCTATTTGAAAATAGTACTGCTGATTCAAGTTTGACATCATCTCCTTATCAGTTGGATAGCCATCTAGATCAGCAAACGGAGAATTCTACAGAAGGAAATATCAACTATGCTTTCACTCTGAGACAACAGCTACTAGATGGGGAAGAGGGTTTGAAGAAACTTGACAGCTTTTCTCGGTGGGTCACCAAGGAACTTGGGGAGGTAGATGATCTACAAATGCAGTCCTCATCTGGTATCCCATGGAGCACTGTTGAAAATGTGGTTGATGATTCTTCATTGAGTCCCTCTATCTCCCAGGATCAGCTCTTCAGCATAATTGATTTTTCGCCAAAGTGGGGCTTCACAGACTCGCAACCGAAGGTATTTAATATGTTGTATTATTCATTCTAACAAGAAATTGAAACGAAGTAAAATGTTGTAACCTTGTAGATATCTATTGTGCTTTGAATTGAGTTAATCGATGAGTAACCAAATGTAGATAACTTTCTTGACTGTTTTCTAAATTGTATCAAGCATTTGTTTCTCTTTTCTTTTTCCACAGATAATTTATCTCTGTATATGCAAATTATGATAGGACTTAGTTTCACAAAAATAAAAGCGTGTTGTACTCATATTTCCAGCTTTCTATTTATATATTTATTTATTGCTGAACTTAACAAATCTTTTCAGAAGGTCAAATATATTATCGTTATTCATGCTAAACAATTTTATTTTTCTTTTTGTTCTTTTAGACATCCCTGTATTTGCTTGTAATAAGTGCACCATCATATATTCTTCAACTGCTGCTTCTGCTTTTGGAATTAAGGTGCTTTAACCTATTTCATTATTTTCTCTTCCTGATTTTCTCAAGGCATCTTCTGTTCAATTGGGAGATGCTATTTTAAGGTCCAAGTATTTTTACCGATCTGGAGCAGGAGGACCTATGCATTTGTTAGGAGAGAATGTCTTAATTCATTATGCACGTCTACAGCTATTTTAAAGTTTTTCCATTCTCTTTGATTATTCTTAGCTGGAGGACCTTGATGGTCATTAGTTTTATGGTTATTTTCACTGACAATAATTTTTCAGAGGATATCTTATCCTCCAATAATGTTTTCATCAGTAAAAATTTTGCTTCCATAAAACAAAATAAGGTTTGGATCTACAAATTATGGCTCGTTGATTTTAGATCTAATGGTGGTCATGGCACCGTAGATATTTTGATACACATACATCCATACAAACACACACACACATATTTATATTATATGCCTTTATGTAAAATGTCAATGGTTTTTTTCTCTTCATGAATTGAATCTAATGTCTATCCATTGGAAAACAGGTTCTGATTATTGGAACTTTCTTGAAGAGTCGGCAAGAGGTAGAAAAATACAAATGGTCTTGTATGTTTGGGGAGGAGGAGGGTCCTGCTGAGGGTTTAGCTGATGGGATTCTTTGTTGCTATGCTCCACCACACACGGCTGGGCCAGTTCCATTCTATGTCACCTGTTCCAACAGGTTAGCTTGTAGTGAAGTTAGGGAATTTGATTATAAGTGTGGTGCAACAAAGGATTTAGATATTAGAGATATCTATAATGATAACACAGTGGAATTGCGTCTTCACATGCGACTTGAGGGACTACTGCATCTTGGATCTGTCAACCCTACAAGCTTCTCCTTTAGATCCACTGTGGAGAAACGAACGTTGATAAGTAAAATTATATCATTAAAGGAGGAAGAGGAAAGTCACCAGAAGGTAGACCAGGCTGATGAGAAGGATTTATCCCAATATAAGGTGAAAGAGCATCTGTTTACTAAGCTGATGAAAGAGAAACTTTATTCGTGGCTACTCCAGAAAGCAACTGAAGATGGTAAAGGGCCAAATATATTAGATGATGAGGGGCAAGGTGTATTACATCTAGCAGCTGCTCTTGGTTACAATTGGGCCATAAAGCCCATTGTCACCGCAGGAGTTAGCATTAATTTCCGTGATATTAATGGGTGGACTGCCCTTCATTGGGCAGCATTCTATGGCAGGCAAGGGCTTCTAAACTTAAAACTTTCTTTTGCGTGTGTGTGCGTGTGTAATATACATGCATGCATGCACGCATGTAATATACATGCATGCATGCATACGTACATACATATGTTTCTGTTAAATATGTATAGATGTCTCTGCTTTTAATAAACTTCATACGCATAGACTATGGTGACGAAGGCCCAAAATTCTCATAGGGACTAATGGTGACAAAGGCCCAAAATTCTCTATGGCATGTTTATCAAAATGTATTGGAATATAAAAAGAATTGTCATGGGTTTGGAAAGAAAAGAAACAGAATAAGAACCAGATCGTTGATTCCCTTTCTAGCATTTGCTTTATTTCAATTAGAAACAATTCAAATTCCCTTTCTAGTGTTTACTAACGTTGGGAATCGGAATCTTAGTAATATAACTACTACAATAACCTTGTCCACTATTCATTGGCTTGATAGGGCATATATATATATATATACATACATATATAAAATGCAGAATTTATTTCAATTAACGGGGAAATAATACCAAGGTGTAGTTTTTGATTTGTCTTTTCTTACCTTATTCCTTAATTCATGCGGACCCCTCTAAATTACCTTTCCTTATTTCATAAGAAAACACATAAATATGTGGGAAAGGGAAACATTCCTCCCTTTCCCTTTCCCATTCATGTAAGGCAAACATGCGCTCCTTTGTTGTAGCTGTTAAGTTTTAAGCTCGTCCTCTTTACATGCAGACTACACAAGTTATCACAAGCCACTCCAAAGCATGCTAAAAAATTAACACTGTTATTGTATGTGCTTTTTTTAACAATATGTATAAACTGCCAATAAAAATCTTGTCAGTATAGGATCTTTTTTAAAAAATTTTCAGTATAGCTGATCTTTATCTACTTGCTTTAAACTCATGAAATTCAGAGAGCACACAGTTGCATTCCTTGTATCTCAAGGAGCGGCCTCTGGAGCTGTGACTGATCCGTCTCCCGAATTTCCGCTGGGTAGATCAGCAGCAGACTTAGCATCTGTGAATGGACACAAAGGAATCTCTGGTTTCCTTGCAGAGTCTTCCCTGACAAGCCACCTCTCTTCCCTATCAGTGAACGACTCAAAGGAAGATGGAGGTGCAGAAATCTCTGGAACAAAAGCTGTCCAAACTGTTTCAGAACGGAAAGCAACGCCTGTGACTTATGGTGAAATGCCGGATGCACTGTCACTAAAGGATTCACTTACTGCTGTACGTAATGCCACACAAGCTGCTGATCGTATACATCAGATGTTCAGGATGCAGTCGTTTGAGAGGAAACAATTAAATGAGTATGATGATGATGGATGTGGATTGTCAGATGAGCGAGCTCTTTCACTATTGGCTGGTAGGTCAAGGAAGTCTGGACAAAATGATAGACTAGCTCATTCTGCTGCTGTACAAATACAGAAGAAGTTCCGTGGTTGGAAGAAGAGAAAAGAATTCCTGCTGATTCGGCAAAGAATTGTTAAAATCCAGGTTTGATCATCATCGCTCCATGAAAATTCTCGATACTTTCTAGAATATTTTTATTTTAATGTTTCCTATAATCCACTAGATCTTTAAGGTTAACCTTGTAGAAGATGAAAAGAAAATGTTATAGGATCTATTTTCGGTGGAGAAATTGTTCTCTATTAACGTCTTAAAAAAGCTAACCTCCCTATGAGTGACTGATGATGAGCAAATGCTGAACTTGACTTCATTGTTTTTAGGCACATGTAAGAGGACACCAGGTAAGGAAACAATATAGAGCTATTGTTTGGTCGGTGGGGATTCTGGACAAGGTTATATTACGTTGGAGACGTAAAGGGAGCGGTTTGCGGGGATTTCGACCTGATGCAATTCCCAAGGAACCAAAGTTACCAAGCATGCCCATAAAAGAGGATGAATATGATTTCTTTAAGGAGGGGAGGAAACAAACCGAGGAAAGGTTACAAAAAGCGCTCACTAGGGTGAAGTCCATGGTTCAATATCCCGAAGGACGTGCTCAGTATCGCAGAGTGCTAAATGTTGTACAAGGACTCCAGGAAACCAAGGTAAAATATGACTTCTGTCTGTATTTTTTAAGGGATTGTTTTCTTAATTGTGGGCTGCTTTATGTATGAGTAGCTTGATCATTATCTTTATGAGATGATCATCCATCTTGTTTAGTACAAATTACTTGCAATTGGTTCTTTCCCCTGCTTAGAAAGTGCGGGAAGTTGCAAATTATTTCAATTCTTTGGCACGTCCGTCCCTTAATCCTAATAACTTGTGTTATAAGCTCCAGACTTGCACCCAAGACCTCTTGGTCTAGTGGCACTGGGGGGTTTGGGTGGGGTGGGGGTTGCGGGTTCAATCCTGTGTTGTATCTAAAAAAAAAAAAAAAAAGCTCCAGATTTGATAATTGTTGCAAAACCATACCCTGAAGAATAGAGTTAGAGGAACAGACATCCCTATGTCCATAAACCTGCCACCAGACAGATATTGCATCTTAACAGGCAATTTCTTATCTTCAACAAAAACGTGAACTTGCAAAATGCTACATTTTGACTATGAAAACTTTCATAACAGTGGTTGAATCCTCACCCCCAACTTTATAGTTGAAAATAGAAGTTAAAGAGCATATTTTTTAAAAAACTTTCCTCCATTTGCCATGCCTAGGAAGATATAAAGGTTTCTATTATTGCGGTCATTTTTTTAACATCCTATGACTCTGATTCTGGTCAGTATACTCTTCAACTTTTGTTCTTTAGATGTTAGAACTATGTTTATGAGCTTTTACCCAATTGGTTTATTGTCAGGTAACGGATATGGCTTTGATCGATTCAGAAGAAATAGCGGATGCTGATGACGACGTGATTAAAATTGATCAGTTCTTGGATGATGATACTTTCATGTCTATAGCATTTGAGTGAGGCTCTCCCACGTTACTCTGATTAGCCTAACCTGTACATAGATGGGCTGGTGTCTAGTAATTTTAATGTCTTGCCTAATCTTGTGTGTAAATGTAACGTGTAATCCATTAACCGAATTCAGTTCTTAATGTTCCCGGCAGGTTTTTCAGGTTAATAGGTCAGACTAGCATCTTTATTCCGATTGCAAATTTTAAGTATGATTGTAACTTTTCTTGTTTATGCTTGGAGGACAAGGGATGAGATCATGTCTAGTTTTTAATTTTTCTTTAAATGAAAGTATAGTTTTCACTGTTAATAATAGGTGAACTGCATTTACCATTTTTTTGTATAAATCAAATCTGTCATTAAGATAAATCTTTCAGTACTACAGATGAGAATGGTGGGGGAATTTCCTCCAGCCTAGTAAGTTCCATTTCTAGCTTAAGTGGCTAAGTACATCTCATTGATATGCCAATGGTAAATTTAGCATTTGAGTATAAACTATACCCTCTAATGCAGTGTTATTTATTGTACTAAATTTGCTATATGGTATACTTTATAATAAATTTGTTATTAAGTATAACATATGATAAATTTGACATTTGATTGTTATCAGTTGATATGCTTATTTTTTCTTTGTTAATTATTGGAACTTTTGTATTTTTAAATATTTTAAAATCAAAAGTTTACTTTTACAATTTTTAAAACTCACTGTGTGGTAAAAAGTAGAGTTAGCATTTAAAATGACGTTACGCATTAGTGCATGAAATGAAAATAGTATAACTTTTAACACTTTTTTTTATGCTAAAAGTATAATTAGCATTAGTATTTATTTATATTGAAGATAGTCTAAGTGAACCAGACTATGAGCCGTTTTGATTGTAAACTTAGGAGTATGAAACACAAGAACATTCGCGTCTTATTACAAACTACCCTGAAAACTAAGGTGTATGCCACTTCTAAAAATCTAGTATTTTAATTCGTTCTATTTTATTGTGAAGATTAGGCTTACATTTTCCAAAAAATAGTACATTTGATTACCAAATCTCTAGAAATGGCATTCTTTAATTCACCTGCTCTCTTTAGAGGCCGTCTCTAAAGAGCGCTAAAGTTTGAGAGTCAAAATTTGATTTGGAAGCACCACGGGCTTTTTTGTAAGAACTATACCAATCTCTCAAAGAGAAGCAATAGAGTAATGGGTAATTGCATTGTTTGTCCTTGAACTTTAAAGCATGGTAAATTTTAGTCATTGAACTTTTAACTTTGACATATTATTCTTTGAGTTTTTGTATTTTTACCATTTGGTCACTGAAAATAAAGTTAACGATGGATTTTTTAGAATTTAATTTTAATCATGTATCCATCACGTGATACTTTAAAACTTTTACAAAAGTGGTTGTATTTTATGTAAAATTTTCTCTTTGTTGTTATTAAAACCCGTTGAAAATTATTGCATCTTGTTCTTATCGAAACTGTTTTTGTGAAATTTTCTATTATCACGCAATAATGTGATTATCTATGTTAATTTCAAAAATCGTTCGTTAATTTTAATGTTAGAGACAAATATTGTTAAAAATGAAAATTTAAGGAGAAATATGCCAAATTTTAAAGGTTAAGAACTAAAATATCACTATGTTCAAAATTTAAGGACTAACAGTGCCGATAAGCCTTCCCCAACTTAACAATCAATCATGTGAAATCTCCCTGTAAAGCAAGTTTAAAAATGACCTGACATTTGGTGAATTATGAGAATAAGTAATAAGGAAATGTCTACAGTCGGACACTTGTAACATTTTTCATCTGAGATTATAACATTGTTCATACGTTTGTGTAACTCTCAGTTTACATTACTGTTACACCTAATAAATGTCGTCTAATAACTGATAACATTGAGTGTTACATTTAAATAAATTGAGTGAAACACGAATGTATGAATGATCTTACAATAACAAATGATTAATGTTACAAGTTCAGATTGGTCAGTGCACTGAATTTGAGACTTTGCTTAAGTAGTTAATATTTATGAAACCAAATTTCAAGTGAGAAAACAGAGTTTAACACAACGATGGAATATTGAAAAAAAAAAAGAGAAAATTGGTGAATTCATCTTATGAATACATTGTTCTAAGATTTTTACTATTTATGCTTGATAAATATTTTTTTGACTAATATAATTCATTGACTGAAAGGTATTAATCAAAAATAAAAAATAAAAATTTAAGATTCACCAATTTTAAGAGGCGTTTATCTCATTTTCCCATACTAAAAATGTTAATAAGTATGCTTTTAGATTTTGGGATATGGTCGCAAATATTCCTAAGAAGAAAAGGAAAAAAAAAAAAAAAAAACAAAAAACAAGAAACAAAACCTCTCGAGAGAATTTTGAAGATTATTGGAGGCTTTTATTTAGGTTTAACTTTTCTCATCATCAAGATTCAAGATTGGCGCACAAAAAAGCTCGTCTTCAGTGTGATCAAGAAGAACGTTAGTGAATGGTTGAAAGACTCTCTTGTCATAATTCCTCTACGACGGTGTAGTTTTCTTGCCTTTTTTTTTTTTTTTTTTTTTTAATGAAAATGAAAATTTTCTAACTTTTCTGGTACACGTATAATCTAATTATCATATATTTTGTGTTTAATCCGTATGTCTAAACTATTTTTTTATACAAAAATGCTAAAGTTCTTTTTTTTTTTTTTTTTTTGTGGCATCGTGCGTCTTTCTCTGGGCAAAAAACCTCTAAAAAAGGCCATTTGCCCCTAAATCTCATTTAGTTTATTACTTAATCTATCCAATCCACATAACAAACTGCCCCTGGTTGGATTGGATGAAAATATCAAAAAAAAAAAAAAAAACGTGAAAACATATTCTAAAACTTGTGTTTTGAGTTATAGTTAAGAGTTGCCAAATGTTGCAACCACCTTGCAATATTATATAGTACTTTTGATTGTTCACTTCAGAATCAGAACAATAGGGGTTTAAAATCACAACCTCTGTCACATTTTGAAAACACAGAAAGGTGCTAAATTGACTAGCTTGTTGACAAGATGCTTCAATGAATTAGGTCCTATCTCCTAATTACGCAAAATACAGCATAGTCATAGACAAGTAAAATGTTAGCCAGGTGAATTAAATGCCCGTTTAGTTCACTGATTTGAGTTGAGATGTGATTTTACGTGAGAATTTTTTACTGTAGCAAAAAAGTTAGATGTGACTGTTTCTAAGAGTTTTTTACTGTAGGAAAAAAGTTAGATGTGACTATTTCTAAGAGTTTTTTACTGTAAGCAAAACTCGAATTGGTGAAATAAATGGAGCCTAAGTTATAAATTTTTTTACAAACTTTTTTGTATTTTACTAATTTTCACTTGAATAAGTTCTAGTTACCAACACATTAAATTCAATCAATATGAACAATAACAAAGGTTTTCTTAAAAAATAATAGTAATAAAGGTGTTAAGGAAAAATAGAATGGAAAAACGATTTATACTAGTTTGAGAATATTCCTCTATTCACCATCGTCAAGCAATCACAAGTCACAACTTAACCTTTTTAACTATCTCGATTGTCTTTTAGCATCCTCTTTTGTGTAAGGTTCAGTACAACCTCTACAACTATCAATCTCCACAAGAAAATTGACAAATATATGAATCATCATTAAATTTACAAGGCTTGACAACCGATCCTCTTGTTTTCTAATGATTTGAAACTGTAATACTCATTGAATAACAAGTTTTATGATTTGGATTTAATACAATGTTCTTTTTTGCTGGAAAGGATTTAATACAATGTTGGATTTTAGGAGATGCATAAATATACACAAGGATATAGATAAGTTCGGCTCAAGTGTGGGGTTTTTTTTTTTCCCTCAAAATTATTTGAATCTATTTTTGAGTTTGAGAGACTATAGAATATGACAAAAGGTTGGATCAAGGTTTCAAAAAATGTATCACCAAATGTTGTGATGCAGTGGTGAGGATGCCTCTGTTAGGACTCTTTTTTCTATCTTTTCAGAGTTTGAAACTCCATAACCACAAGAAGGAACCAGCCGAATGAAAAAGTAAGTGATCCCGTGACACTAGACTGGAGTCTAGTTCAAGCTCTTTTCCCTTCTTGGTGGTCCTCGGGATTGCAGGGAGATGTTTGATTCATGGATTAGAATCATAAGATTAGAATCATTTTCGATTTACGTGTATTTTTTGTGAGAGAAAATACTGTAGCGAACCATGAACCATGATTCGAATTGGGGTACGAATCCCCCAACTAAACAACCCCTTAAGTAGAAACAATGTGCACCAACCTTTCACAAACATAAAAGAACCAAAAGGGCACACTACAGACATGGCTTTTTAATAGATCCTCTACAACTGATGAAATATCTTATCAGCCGGTGTTGAGAAACTCATAGCACAAAGTCCACACAAAGTCCTTTTTTTTTTTATTGTTTTAGTTTTTCTTTTTATAGAATTAGATGAGCTTTTAACTATTTGGATTAGTTAGCAATCTGTGGAATAGGATTTGCTACCCCACTTATGCTCTACAGCACAAACATCTCCTTTGCGTGGCATCACCGTTACGTTCTTCCATTGATATAATTCCAGAATAATTTGGATTATCTGTCAGTTCTTTCTTTTTCTTTTAACAATTTTCGTTTTCCTAAAATCAGTGAAAGGGTGTTCAAATATTGAGATCTTGCAACAAAATCGTAATAAGCATTCATAAAATACATTCCGGAAGATGGCATATGAGAATTGCAGGAAAATATGTGTATAGAGATGTCTGTTTCTCGATTGCAGGGTACTGAGCGAACTGCACGGAAAGAAATCATGTGTCATTCTGTTGATATTATTGTTTTCAATTTTATTATAATTTGGATAGGCCGGAGATGAAGCTGTCGTTACGCTGCTTCTGAAGACAAGCAGAAAAAAAAAAAAAAAAGCATGTAACTAATGGAACTAACAACTGTTTTCAATTTATAATTGCCTTTTTACCCAGAATCCTAGCGCTTCTTCTTAAGTATGGTGCTCGAGTCAGTCAAAAGAATAAACTAGGATTGACTGCTCTTCATATGGCTGCCAGTAATGGCAATTCATTGGCAGTTCAGGTAGAAAATAGTATCTTTTCAGACCTAATCTGGTATTTGTTCTTTTAGCAACCAAAAGCAAAAGAATACAATCCTTGTGCTGGAAGATCCAGATGGTATCAACTATAAGACAGAAATGAAAGAAACCCCACTATTTTTTGCAGTGAAGAATGACCATATGGACTGTGCTGAGCTGCTTTTGCGCTGGGGAGCAAATAGTGAAGTTCTCAATTTACGGTACCTTTTCCGTCTTGCTCATCCTTGTTATTTTACTTGATATGATTTGTTTTTAAGAAGAAGGCCCTCACAATTTCACTTTTGATGCTAACATCAGTTACATATATGGATATTAACGGATCATACATATGTACTTAAAACTGTTACTCTTACTCTTGGCGAAGTCACAAGATATGCGTTTCATGCTGAACCCAACAAATATTTGTCTTAGTAAGATGAACATCGACAATTTCTCAATTAGGACAAAGTGACGAGCTATTTATTTGGACTGGTGGCATTTTTTTCTCGGATTCTTGATATTGATATGCAGTGAATCGCAACTTTCCAGTTCAACAGAAACTCCAAGGTGATGATGTCTTATTGAGTGCCTGTGAAACACTCCTATCCATGACAGATCAAGATGCAGCCTCCGAAAGGTGACCGCCTTACTTTTTTTTTTTTTTTTGATTGGTTTAAAGTTATTGGATAACTGTGCTTGCATGACATGATTGGTTCATATGATCTCATAACTCCTATTTCACCTCTGGGTGCTAGAAATTGTTCTAGCACTATGACAGGGATTTGTAAATACTTTTCCTCTGCTCAAGGATGTATCAGAGGAGCGAAGTGCTTCTACACACATGGTGAAGAAGAGCACTGACAGGTGAAGCACAGAACTCGCTATGACGGTTCTTCTTCTGCATTGGAACTTTGATTATTGCTTAACATTGCAATAGTTATTGAATGAGAATTTCGTCAAGTTAATTTCATTGTCATTTTTTTTTTCTTTTTTGAGAAGATGATTTTCTTCTTTCACTCTTTTGGAAGAGGTTCCTTCACACACAATCTCGAGGCTTTGGTTTTATTACCTTCAAGGATATGAAATCTGTTTCGGCCGCTATTCGAGCACACTATGTCACCAAAATGGACAAGCGAGTTGAAATTAAAAGCGTTATCCCAAAGAATATATTAGTAAGTGAGCCCAAGAAACTGTCAGCTCGACAAGATGTTCGAGAAGGGAATGACAAATTCTGTCCACATGCAGAAGTATTCAGTGAGAATATTATGGAAGAGAATAAGGCCTCGTTAATTTCACCAATTCGAGTTTTTAATTCCAGTTTTGCTACACTTAAAAGTTCTTAAAAACAGTTATCTAATTTTTTTACTACAGTTAAAAATTCTCACATAAAGTTACATCTCAACTCGAATCGGCGAACTGAAGCTTAAGCCTCAACAAAGTTTTGAGGTGAACAACTTGCTTCCGGGCCAAATTATGACATGTGCAACGGAGCTCAGTCACATGCACATACAGCGATTCAGGATCAAACAATGCCTATGTGGCTACGAATTTTCAAGAAGTGGTTTCCGAGCTTTTTACAACACCTTTCAAAGCATCCAAGGGAAGGAGTATATGCTCTCTCATCTCTGAAAAGCTAGACCATGTATCTCTGGATTATTCTAAGCTCAGTGACTTTATGAAATGTTTCTCTGACCTTTGCTCCGCAAAGGTTGTTCCTATAGGCAGAGGCGGACCTTTAAATCACATGGTTCTCTCATCAAAGCATCCTACGCTTCAGCAGCAATTGCGCCATAGGTTGACAATCCCCATTGCTCCCATCCGGTACAAAAGCAATTGATGATGGGGTGACAGTAACAAATCTAACGATTCCGTGTGTACTCTTGAAGACCTTGTTAGGGAAATTGGATATTTTCCACTCAAAAATAACTTCACCACGAACAATATTTGTGAATAGTATCATACACGTGAATAGTGCCGTACACGTGAATAGTAACGTATAGATGAACAATACTATACACAACGGACAAATCTAACATAATAACTATAAAATACTGAAAAAAAAAAAACACCATAATTGATAACAGAATTCAGTCAAATATTAACATAAATTATAAAAGCCCACGAATTAAAAATCTAAAGAATTTCCTACATATTTACGGAAGAAGCTCCTTTTAAGATGCAAAACAAATGAGGAAAAGTATGTATTTATAGTCTGCTTTCCCTTCTTCTACGCACCTCCGAAAGTCAACACCGTTTTCTGTGCTTTATCTTCTCTTCATCTCCCTCTCTGACTCTCTCTTTTGGTGCAGCCCAATTTTTTTGACAATTGAGCCACCCATGTTGATTAACAGACCTTACCCCAAGGTCCACCTCTAGATCTTCTGGAAATGTCGGCCTCACCAATTGCAACACCGTGAAAGAGACCCCCTCCACTGGGATCTCTTTGCCCACAAGGTTTCTTCAGTTCTCGGAGCAAGATTCCCTTTTCCACATGCGACCCTGGCTACAGAAGGAACACAGTGCAGGTGAGGAGAATGGAAATAATGATTTGGGAGGGTATATCGATGGGATTAAGGGGAGTAATCTCAGGCATCAGCGACGACACCTGGTTTTGGAGGCCTTTTACAGAAGCAGGAAGAACCAATCCTTTTACTTTCTTCGTGAACTAAACCATTCACTGCTATAAGAGCATATCAATATGTTAACATATGGTGTTTGTGTCATTTAAGATGACCATATTTTGTTGCCGCAGAATTACAAGGTAGTAACTGTCATGGGAGGAAAATGTTTCGCCTGGCGTTATGGGCCAATATTCCATGCAAACACTTGCTGTGGTGCACTGACTGCAAATTGCAGGCTTCACTAGCGACCGGTTCTTTTGCACACAAATGTGTGGTTTGTGATGTGGAAGTACAGAAAATGGATTTGCTTCCATGCCAAGACGGTCGTCAACTCGTTGGTGAACACATCTCCCCATGAGGAGTTTCCACCTTTTGATCCCAATCATATACGAAGGTAAAGTCTTTTAGCAATGCTTTGATTTGATTAAAGCATTGAATTTCGATTGCTGATAAAAATTTGCATTCTCTAATTTTCTCATGAAAGCCTTTTATGTACTAAGAAAACATGTAACAGAAAAGAAAGATGTGGTATCCAAGTGGTAACCAACTGGTATTCAAGTGGTAACCATATGCTATCGGGACAATTTTTTGTGAATGATGGACAGTTTTTTGAATTTTGAGTCTTCATGCTAGTCAGTCATATTTATTCAGAATTATTTGCGAATGAATTGATAGTGATTTTCTCATGGATGCCTTTAAAGTACCAAGGAATCATGATATGATAAACACAACATTATATTAAGTTTTAGGACAAATTTTATAAATTTCTTAAACTTTGTCACTTGTGTCAACATGTCCATAAACTTTAAAATGTGCATGTTGTGCCCTACGAACTTTGTCACTTGTGTCAACATACCTTTAAGGTTAACTCTGTTAAGTTTTTTGACGGAAATGTGTATAAATGCCCCTTAAACTTTGTCACTTGTGTCAATATGCCCCATGAACTTTAAATGATACCCATTTTGTCTCCCGAACTATGTACATTTTAAAGATCAGGGGGAATATTGACACAATTGACAAAGTTCAAGGGGTGTTTATAAGTATTTCAGTTAAAAAACTTAACGGAGTTAACCTCATGGGGCATGTTGACACAAGTGACAAAGTTCAGGGAGCATAACATGCACATTTTAAAATTCAAAGGATATATTGACACAAGTGACAAAGTTCAAGAAATTTATAAAATTTATCCTAAGTTTTACTATTGCAGTATCCAAGTGATAACCAACTGGTAACCATATGGTATTCGTTGTTTACAAGAAGTAAAACAGATGTTTTAGTTGAGCGTTGTACTGCGGTTTAAAATGAATCTGGTGAAGTAAAATATTGTTCTTAAAACAAATACTTTCGTAAATTCTTAATTGATTTATGACAGTAACTGAGAAAGATAACAAGCAGTTTTTGAGTAAGATACTAGACGAGTGGATACCTAAAATAAACTATAAAGCCAAAAGAATAAGAAATATGCCCAAAGAAAGTAAGATGCCAAGCATCTTTTAGTAAGAGACCCAAACATAAACATGAAAGCAAAGTGTAAAAAATTCTGTGTCTAATTCCAAACAGTTGCTTTAGTAAGATGCCAAATAGTTACTGAGTAAGATACCATACATTAGAAGTAAAAACATAAACAATAAAAGCAAAAATCAGAGGCATTTGTAAAAATAACTCAATAAAAAAGTTTTATTAGCATAATAACTTTTAAAAATTTTTATTTATAAAATGATTACGGAACGATCAAGAACTATCATTTTTTATGAAGAACGATTGAGTGGATATTTTCATAAAAAATGAAAAAAATTATTTTGTCAATTTCACTTTGTTAGATAATCACTCTAGCAATCACTTTGTTAGATAATCACTCTAGCAAATTTCTCCGGGAATTACAAACATTAAAATTACTCTGTCAAATACCAAACAACTGCTTTGTAAGATACCAAACGGTTACTGAGCAAGATACCATACAAAAAAAATAAAGCATGAACAATAAAAGAAGAATTTACAAACATTTGGGACGTGATTGGATGGAAGAGGTTTTCTTCTTGATTGATGAATAGAAGAAGTTTAAGCCACTTTTCTTTTCCATTTTTGATGGCGATCATGGATGCTTTTCGCCTCCTTTCCTCTGTAAAAGCAAAGTCGTCATCAATGACGCCTTTGCTAACCTCTGTGCCTTTGCTGACCATTTGGATTAAATCTGGTGACAACCATGACCTAAAACAAGGAATTTTTTTTAAAAAAAAAAAAGTAATGGAACCAGCTGCTAAACATCTTTAGAGCCCGTTTGGTTGGAGGATTTGTTCTCTGATTCGAATCATGGTTCATGGTTCGCTACAGTATTTTCTCTCACAAAAAATACACGTAAATCGAAAATGATTCTAATCCATGAACCAAATGGGCCCTTAATGTAACGACTTCAAAATCTAGATAGTTGTCGTGCTGTTTTCTTCAAATTCACATCATCAATTCCAAAGGCATAATTGACAAGCAAGAAACTTAAAACAACAATACCAATTATTGCACATAATCGAAGCTTTACCTCCGAGATTTTGAAGAAGGGAGCGAGCTAGAGAGGAAGAGAAGAAGAACCGTGCGGAACACGCCGAGAGAGATGGAGAGAGAGGAAGCGAAGAAAGAACACTGCAGAGGACGGCAAGAGAGATGGAGAGAGAGGCAAATAGGAAGAAACACAAAGGCGGAGGACAACGAGAGAGGCGGTGTGAGAGGCCACAGGAGAGACACCAAGAAATTTGGGGAAGATTCAAAAAAAAAAAAATCAAAAATCAAATGAGGGTAAAATCGTCTTATCATGTTTATGTCCATTTGGCATCGTGTCAAAAAGTACAATAGTTTTGAAAAATGCTAAAGGGTACCACCGGTGCTAAGCACCATTATTTAATAGAAGGTGAGCTCTATTTGTGGGTCCCACTTTATGGGATTTACTTTCTATTAGATGGTGGTGTTTAGCATCACCGGTGCTCTATAGTATTGCTCAATAATTTTAGATGCCTTGACAAAAATCAATCCTCATAGAAAATACGTGGCAAGAACCTTTAATTTCTCATTTTCTTTGTTTCAATTTTTCATATTTTTTTGGAGGAAAAGAGACAAAGGGTGAAAAAAGAAAATGGCATTTTTAATAGAAGAATTAAAAATTATAGCATAATATTATGAGTAATGAAGTTTATAGCATAATCTGAAATAACAATTTTAACAATCTAAAAGTACCTCAACATCTTCTTATCTTAAAAAATTGTCGTGTTACTGTCACCTTCTTTGTCGTTGTTGACGCTGCCTTTACCGTTATCGTGTCGTCTTTGCTAATCCAAGTCTTGTCGATTCCTCCCTCTCTCTAGAACCCACAGATCAGTTTGCGTAATGATTTTGTTTGTGATGATTTCATATTCCCATATCAACGTTGTCGTTCCCTTGCCATCGAGACGTTGGGCGAGCTCCAACATCATTGCAGTTGGACAGAGTCATGATGACGATTGTGATGTCATTGAGCCCTGAGGAAGATCTTGACTTGACACTGTCCGCCAGCGCGACATTCAAAAGTACAAGAAGTGGTCGGGGATGAGGAAGAAGGTCTATGAGAGAGAAAGGGTTTAAGGGAAATTAATTACGGGATTTTAGTTCTCTAAACATCCTGATTATGCTTTTTTCTTTTACAATTTTAAAAAGCTTCTATTTTCTTCTATGTGTTGTCCAAAATATGACATTTACTGCAATTTCTCAAGGGATAAGTACCCTTTAGAGTACATGGATTTGAATGTTTATCATTTATTCTTGATTAATATCATTTTTAATCAAATAATTATATTAGTCAAAAGGGTACTTATTAAAATTAAGGAGTAAAAATCAAAACCTAAATACTCCAATGATAAATTCAATAATTTTATCTATTTATTTTATGATATAAAATGCAAGTTGGCCCGACAAGGTCCATGCGGGTTTTGGGATGGTGTTGGGGCTATCATATACTCGTAAGGGTAGGCCAGGCCGAAAGAAAGCAGACTGACCTGGACTGGTCTGTTTTCATCCCTCCGGTTGTCTAGGCTAGACAGTCCAAATTTGACGCCACTATCCGTAGGCTGTAAGTAATCTAGACCCATGACCATCGTGGCAAGTATGAGTGAGTGCTTTTCCCTTACAAGACAAAGGATGGGGGAGATTTTTGAACTTGCCTAAACCACTTCATTGTCATCCCAGCCTGAAGCCTTTCTAACTTTCAAAAGAATCGAAGTTTTGTCTTCTACATAATTTTGAATCATCACTCTAGTTATTCCTTCCTCAATTCCCTCTTAATAAAAAAGAATAAATCTTAGAACTTACTGCACTATTTCATTTCTAGCCCTCTTTCCTATTTACTTTTTTCCCTTTACAAAATAAGGTTCAAGATGGCAGGGATTTTAGGTCTTGTTTGTTTCGCGAGTTCAAATTGTATGAGTTTGAACTTATATGTGGGTTTTCAGTGATTCGAACTAACGTTTAGTAGTGTAAGGTCTAAACATGAAATAAAAGTTGATCTAGCTTTGGGTTATATTACTAGAACTGTGTGTTTTTACAAAACTCTCCCTTTCTACTCTTGGGTAGAATATGAAATGAGCCAAACTAAAAGGAAAAAATCCCCCCTACTCGTTTGGGGCTTTGCCCCTTTTATAGCCAAGGGTTCCTCTCGTAGGCAGAAGCACTCGAGTGGCCTACCCTCATAGGCTCAGACCGTAGCCCACTAATCACCTTTTGAACTGTACACTCATCCAATTAGTCTTCCATTACGGCTCTGTAGACTCCCTGTAACCCTCCACCGTTCATTGTTGGGCGATTTAGGGGCTTGTAATTAATGCCTACACTGCAGACATCTCCCAGTGCCAGACGCAAGTTAGTTGTGTCAGACACCTTTCTGGAGATACGGGCGCGCCTCCCATGCTCTTCCCTCGACATCTACGCTGAGCGGGCGGTGGCCTCTTCTGGCCGCCGATCCTTCTATGGCGTAGGGAATTTGCACAAGTCATAGGGTTGACGGCATAACGGGTCGACGCCCTAAGGCGGGCTTTCTTCGCAGCGTAAAGAGGAAGTGAGCTTCAGGCGTCGAGGGTTGTTGCTTTGTGAGGAGAAGTAAGGCCACGTGTAACGCTGTCGCTATCCCACATGTCACCTGGATTTTCCCACACAACAGCTGCCCCCCAGGTCGAGGCTTTCTTTCAGACAGCCTCAGGCTAGGTTTGGGTACTTTTCTGTGCTTCGGGCGTGGGAACCTAATTTTGAGCCTATCTTGTAATGATGCCCTGACGCTTTGAACTCCTTCGAGAAGTGTAACCGTCGCGTCGGTCACTTCACCAAACTGACGTAGGGTTTTATTTTGAAAAGATGAATATGAGCCTTTGGATCGTGCCCCTTCATCTTCCCGCCTTTGTTTGCCGTCGTTCGATCCTGACTGAATGCCCCCGCCATTGGATTCATCAGAACTTCATCCAACGGCCAGGGGTCGAGGGCTCATTTTTCTTTAAATGTTCCTCGAACCGAAGCCACTTCATTTCACTCCAAGTTTTGAACTGTCGTTACTCTGCCCAAATTTTCTCAGATTCA